CCGATTGATGCTAGCTTTGAGGCCAGGTTTATTGATACTTCCTTCTGTCTTACTGCCACGTTTTCGGGAAACACACAGTACTTGAAATTCGAGGCGACTAGACGAAGCTGTCTTCCCGAAACTAATCCAGGAAGGGCGCCTCCTTCTTTTTCCCAAGTTGTTTGAACTTTATTCAAAATTTGAATTTTTATTGCCGCTCTTAATTTCTATAAGCCTTCTCTTCCCTGAATTTCACCATAAGGTCACGCAAATGATCTGTAACCCTAACCGTAAACAAGCTGGTTCAAAGTTCTCCGAACCGGCCAAAATACCAACTTTCACCCATTTATAAGATTGTATTTTTAAAAGTGATAAATGTAAGAAGGAAGAGGCAAAAAGATGGTGAGAAGTGTTATTATCAGTAGACAAGTTACGATGACAATTGTCCAGAAAAAGTAGGTGAGCAAGTTACTCTGCAAACAGCTTCTCTTCGTTGACAATCGGGCGCGAGCACCAATCGTTTCACCTGATAAGGAAGATCGAAAATCGCTTTCCTCCAGAAGATTGTATTGAGGGGAAGGAACGGGAATCGGAACTAAACATACGAGTTGGTTTTCTGATTACGGTTTTCAACACAGGTTGTGGAGCCCAGTTTGTTTTTACCTGACGTCCAATGTGGATAATTCATGTAGACTTCGTATGATGGTGGTGCATCTGCAACACCTTTTATCTGACTATCTCCGGAGTATTGGTTCATATCAGCTTGCGACTGTGCAACTTGCTCTTCAATATATATCTTTCGAAAAAAAGATTGTTGTTTTTCTTCTTATGAGAGACTAAATGGCCGGTTGGGCGAAACATACACGCATGCGTGGTGAGCCATTTTCCCTTTTTCACTCAGTTCATTCATACACTACTTCGATAAGCAAGTTATTGCCGGCGAACTAAGCAAGATCGACTCATATTTTTGCGGGATTATTAGTAGCTAAAAAACGCTTACAATCTGCACGCAATCGAGTTTCTTCCAGAATCCATTCCAGAGCTGTCAAAAGTCATGACGTAAATTTATTTTTCTTTGCTTTTCCGTTTTCTGCGTCAAGTTTGTAAAAGCGCGAGAAAACGCGCCGCAGAGAGCAACCTTTTGCGTTTTTTAATCACGTTAATCAAGCAGCCGCGAACTTTAAGAAATCTGCAAATTTCCAGCAAGCATCATCTAATCTGTGCCGTTATGCAAGCGCCTGAAAACATCCCCAAACACAAACAAAAAATGCGTTATGGTATTATGTCGGCCTTGGCAGCGGGTGCCACGACATTGGCTGCCGCTGAACTTTCCAAATCTAAAACGGGTTAAATTCGTCTCGTCAAAATAATTCAAAAAAACTGCCCACTTGCATTATCTCTCCAGCCAAAATGAAAACAGAGTCCGACGATCGCAGCTCCACGAAAAACCGATTATCGAAATCGTTGATTGTGATTTTGCGTTAGCCAAGAAATAATAGATTCTAGCACTCGTTCTTTAAAGCAGACTTACTTTATTTTCAATTCAAAACTGTCTAGTTAGCTTTACTTCATTCTTCAGTCCTTTTTAGTTAAGAGAAAGTCATCTGCGATTACGATTTTCTTTTCACCTGTATATTTTAGAGTGACACCCTTAAGAATACAGTTAGAAAAATAAGCATAACCTTGGGAGAATTTTCTTGAAAAGAATTGAGTTTCTACTCCCGCTAAAATGAATAAATTTTGATCAGACAGAAGAGCAAAGTGCAAGATGAAGGAATTAGTCGGCAGACAAAATACGCCCCAGACGTGGGCAGAGAAAACTCAATTATCATCTGATCTGGTTGAATGTTTCGTGTGAACGACGGCGGGAGTGAATCGATTAAGGATTCAGAAAAGCGCGGGGGCTTGGTATTTTTGCTCTTCGGAAATTTGGACTCGAGGCGAAAATGAGCTAACCTTTCGCTGGAAGGAGATTGAGCAGATCTTGTACAACACCTTGTCGAAAATTATCAACTTATCGCGCCAAGCCTGGGCGGTTCTAATCGCCACTGATTTCACGTTCATCCCGCCACCAAATTCGCAGTACCGAATCTTGCCAATCTTGGCGGCCAGAAACACCAGCTCATGACCTCCGTCCTGACCTAATTATTGAGCTATCTCACTTTCAAAGCGACAATTTTCAAAAACGCTCTTTTGATTGATGCTTATCCAACTCGCGGGCTGTCAACATGGAATATTCTAGCGTCGAGAATTTCCTTGAAACCTTGCTTATCTCTTTTAAAGAGAAAAAGAACGTTCATTCTTGAGCTCAGCTAGGAGCGAATGGAGTTTTGAGAAAAAGCGCAAAAAATGATTTTATATTAGTATTATTTAAATATTATTGTATTTTTTATATATGATATTTTATATATGATGTTAATATATCGTATATAAAAATAATAAGCAATAATTAATTATAATATAACATAATAATAATTTCATTATTTTTAAGGACCCCCCGGGTCCCCCCCCCCCTCATTAAGAATCGCGAAAAGGGGCTTTTAGGAGCAGCTTTTCTCCGATACTATCTTCGGTAGCCTGCAACTTTTAGATCCGATCTAGTGTTACAACTAAATAAGAAACAACAGTCTGCTTCAATTGCTAGTTGCCCAATAAATTGGAATTGAATATTCATTTTTTGTTGGAAATTCTTACAAATGTTCGCAGAATCATCATATTTCTCCGAGCAAAGCTAATTTATTCACAGCCGCAATTTCCTTCGCAGAAATATAAAAGCGTCAAATTATAATTTTATATTATGTTTAAAACGAATCCAAACGGTTATAATTCCCACCATTGATGACAAGTTGGATAAGGCCAGAAAATTAAAATTCGATTATCCTCTCATCCGCTCGTTAGAGGAAGGCCTTGAACGTGACGAACTGCTATTTCTCCCCGAATACAGTAAGGAGCACTTATTTTAGATACGCTACGTGTATAGGTGTAATTATCAACTTCTTGAAAGAAAAAGTGCTCTAAGCTTGAAACTGAATAATGCGCGAGTCGAATTCGCCGCTTCGCCAATTCGAGAGGCGCTGAGTTTGCCATCGACGCGGCGGGTTCACGTGTTCCATGCGCTATCTTCGCGAGACTGGATAAGGAGCACGGAAAATTAATAGCAGGGTCAAGCGGCAAAATGTAACATAACGATAAGCGTTGTACAGTCGACACTCCTATCAACCTGATCTTTAACGGCCTGTATATCCTTTTAAGTTGTTGATCAAGAGATCATCATAAGGGAAACGGTTGTAGTCGAGGGTTGAATTTTTAAGTTCCAATTGAATTAAGGGTGTATGTTGTGGATATGCATTTGCTGCGATGCGAAAAGATTGACTCTAGTTTTGCGAATTGTAAAAATTTAATATTAGCGGCATTTTGTAGCAAGCGGTCTGGCAGAGTGAACAGAAAAGTGGCCGAGGCCAAGCGAAAGTTATTTTGAACAGGTGCGGCGAATCTCCTTTCCTTATTTGGAGATGAGCAAAGCGAATCCACAACAGTGTATATAAAATATTATTAATACCCTAATGCGACAAAAGTACTGAATGTCCTTTCTGTAATCAATATTTTAATCCAGCGTCATTCAGTGACTCGTAAAATCCGAGTTGAATAAATTTCGCAACGCTGTTATATTCGCTGAAATTTGACTGCGATTATCCCCAGCGCGGCTTTCAGATCAACTGACAGTTACTTTTGATTGACAACCAGTTACGAAAGTGGGAATTATCCGGGTACGTGTTCTATATGCAAGAAAAGAGTGCTCTAAATATCAATCGCAATTATTACGACGGCTGTTCCACGAAAAGGAAAGCACCACTTGGCTCCTCCACTCGAGATTGATTTTCCGGAAGCTGGGCTCAAGCTGTCCCGCGCAAAATGCACTTGTCGGCTTCGAAATGCACCGGACGCCGAAATTTCAAGACAACACAGTCAACTTATGTCACCGTTAAGACGCTAGCGGAGCGGAGCTAGAATTTGAGAGCATGAACTTTTTGCCACAGATAATTTTCGTTTCCAATTATATTTGGTATTTTACTCCCTTTCTTCAGCCAATTTAACCCTCCCACTAATAAATAATTTGCGATTTTTTTCATCTTTACAGTCCTTTTTCGACCTTTCTTCAAATAAAATTTTTATTTTCGAATAGAAGCGGAACTTTGAAAAATCAGTAAACAAAGCAGGGCAAACACTTTCTTGAGCTTTTCTATCATCCAGCATAAATATTTGATGTTGTCAGCAGAATTTTCTTTTGACGCTTCTTCGTTTTCGCATTTTTGGCAGATAAAGAAAGAAACGAGAAAGGAACCTGTCGCTATTGGGACTTGACGAGGAGTTTCTTTTCTTCTGTCATTGTATGATCAATCAATATGTACTCTCCTGGAGGCCCTGAAGTGGTTGCCATGGGCGCCGGTTGTTCCCACGTAAATGCGTATCCTTTAATATTTTAGCACGAGATTCTGAAATTCTGAAAGCTGTGAACCGGAGCGTGACTTCTTTCCCCTCTGTTCGGATATTTCCTGCTTATTTTCAAAAACACAAACAAAAGATCAACTCGATCTCAAGAGACTCGCATTTTTAGGAAGAGAGAGCTGGAATCGCCTTTGTCGAAGATGGTACAAGGACCCTGGGACGGCGCCATTTATCAAAATGAGAGATCATCGTTTTGGGTTTTATTTAACCTAACTGCGCGAAATTACCAATTTATTGGACAGTTTATTAAACCCAGTTGAAGATGAAAGACATCAAGTCCGAATACCACCTCGAATATCCGCCGAAAAGCCAGCAAAAACAAGCCCAGATCAAGATTTTGGGTCCAAAATCGTTTTTTTTTTGTATATTTTCCCGATAAATAGCCTCTAATAAATCGAGTTGGAGTGTATCTGGCGAGTGATTAATTGAACTTGGGCGCGCTATTTGTCGGTAAAGAGGGAGGACTCGTTTCGTGACTCGATCGAAAGCCAGACTCGCGGCAGGACTGGGCGAAAATGACGGACAAAGGTGCTGACGCCAGCATGTACACAGACGTTTTCAGAGTGCCGCCGATGACTGACAGGAAACGAGTTGTTAAAATTTCGCCCATTTTTTTGCAAAATTATCAATCTGCGCTAGCCACAAAAATTCAGATTCTGATGATTTCCCTTCTCAATATGACATGTTCATAAATTGACCGCAGATCAATTTAAATTCCAGGTGTTTTCGAATTTTTTTGCACAAAAATTCGCGTAATTTTCTTAGAGTACACTTTTCTTCTTTTTAACAACTTTGTGAAAGGAAAGTTTGAACAAAGACCATATGCCGTTTTTTCTGGCATTATTTGTATCCTGGATAGACTCTATGTGATCAGTGTGTTTTCAAACAAATCAAGAACAAAGAGCTTCAAGCCACCACCAAAGGCATTCAGCAGCGGTGCCAAATTCGCAGCAGGAAGGTGTCAAACTCGGTCACGCTTGGATCGCGTTTCTGGATCCTACTGAATTCGCGCGTGAGAAAGAGCGCCTTGCTCTTTCGAATTCTTGATCAGCTTTATCGGCGAATTTTCGAATTTTATTAGATCGCGCTATCTGAATACTGTCAGATTCGTGCTCAGACGTTACCTCAGCCTTTAGAATTTCAAAGCTGTATGTTCGCGGATTCTGAGGAAATGAGATAGGTAACCTTTGTAGAGGACCTTAGTCAGGGAACCTGACTCGAGGTTAGGGTTAGGGATAGATAAGACTCAAAATCTAAAATAAAAAGCGCATAAATTTTACGCATTGTTTTTCTAATAAGCGGATTTTCGCGTGTGCAATGCGCGATTTTCTCATTCTAAACAAAACTCCAGCGTCACGTGCGACCAGATTTCTGCACCAAACCTGACCAAGTTGGTGCTGATAAGGCCAGCGCTGGAATTATCACGACCTTCGTCGTTTACACGTCCGTCGATCGTTGCGCAAAGTCGTTTTCACACTGTGGTCGTCGCTCGACTCACGATTTTGACAAGCGCCAACGCAATCCAAGCATCTTCTGACTTTTCAAGGTCGCTTTTCGAACTTTTTAATAACATTCTTACTCGGGCATATAATTTGCTTCGTATTCTACTTTATTCTAGTGCCTCGAAAACCTCTCACTTCCCCGCCAGTTTTTTAAGCCAGTAGCTTAGCAGGCGTATAATACGCTTGAAGATATCCGCTCTTAATCTTTTAACACAGCGAGATGACACCAATGAGTTACCAACTACTCCGGCGACTTTACAGGGAAATCAAGTCAGCGCTCTAAATCCAAAATTATCTAACAGCCATTTTCTCTTTCGAGCATTTTACTGAACGCAAACAAAAGTGAACGACCAAAACAATATCGTCCTCGATCAGCTCATCGAGATCTCAACTCCTCGACCGAGTTTTTCGCGGATACGGAAGCCGCCCGGGCCTACCGCGCCTTCGAAAGGGATGAAATCAACAACTCCCGGGCGCGGATTCGACGACTGGGATCAACTCACGGCCGAGTGGATCCAGCAAACCAGACGCAATTCGCTAAAGAAACCACAGTCAACCACGACTATGTTTCGCATCCATTCTCCAAGGTAGGATCAGCCGCATTCCACGTTAGAGAGACGGCATTAGAGAAACAAGACGACGTGCTGAGCTTGCTAACCTCTGTAGAAAACCTGAGTCAGGGCCTGAAAGATCTTTTTTTAAAGCCGCGTGGCAGAGTTACCTTTCAAATTCTGCCAAAGGTTCATTCAAAAAGAAAAGGTTATGCGGCTTTTAAAAACTGATCGTTCAGACCCTGACTCAGGTTTTCTACACAGGTTATTGCCGAGTCCACATGAAGTGCTCTGCTGCTAGAAAAATGACGATGAGTCATGTTTTAGGCGGCGCAAATTGTTCCAGCGGGAGGAAACATCGAAATGGGCGATGGAACTCGAGACTTGGGAACTAATTACGGTAGTAACATCATTCACGCGTTTTGAGCGAACAAGCAAATTTGCCTAGCCGCTGATTATGCACCGATCGTTGGCGCGAAACGACAAGAGCCGCTAAAGCCCAAGTACACGCCAAAGCCACAAGTAAGCAGAAATCGAAGAATTATCATTTTTATCTTGCTTTTACAACGTGCATCTTTGCATAAACCAGACACGTGATGAAGAGGAAGTGACCCCTCTCAGCGTTAGAATTTTTCCGCCGCGAAGTTGGAGGGCGCGTTTATTTTAACCACGCGGTCGAAAAGTGACCGATTATGTTTAAGGTGTCTTATCAAGCGCCGCAGTTCTCGGTATCTCGCCAGGCATACGTCAATCACGGCGCGATTACCAGACCAAAGGTGTTTTCCGCAATCAAGCTTGATTTTCTAAACGCCGGCTCTTTTACTTTAGGACTATGCTCCAGAAAATAGCTACAGGCCTTCCAGTTCCCCGGCGCAGAAAGACACAGAGGTTCGATCTTCTTTTAAAACCTGGGGTCCACAGCCAAAAGTCGATACTCCCTGGGCCGATTTGGCGAAAAAACGAACAGAGAATGGCTCAAAAAGACAATAACCAGATGATATCGACTCATAAGAGTAGCATTCCCATTTCAAAATTGAAAGAGCCATTGAAAGTGCTCTACTCTAACAATGGAGAAAAGCCATTGACGAACTATTCGGCCGACTTTATCAACGGTTCAGTAGACGCTCGGAGAAGCCCAATCAAGCCAGAGCAAGTGCAGTGGACGGACAGACCGAAATTCGAGGCCAGCTCGCAGTACAAGGTACTTACAAGGCAATCATTGATCTTTTCGCAGAGAAAAACGAAGAGCGTCGATTCAGAAGTTCAAGAATCTCTTGATTTTCAAGAGCGCCGCTTTCACGCGCCATTATTTATCTAATCAAAGCTACAAATGCCGTTTTCTTCGATACACGTACTTTACGAATTTGATTGAATCCAATTTTCATACATCGTTTCTTAATTTTAATGAGAGTTGAAAGAGGAGAGTTCAAAGAGTCGGTTGCTTGTTTTGATGAGTTGCGCGATATGTCGATAATTTGTAAAATAGGATCACTTCGTTGGGGCAACAGGGCGTCGGCCAGCGAACTACAAGCCAGTGTTGTCTTACCGGAAGCCGTCGCAGGAGATGCTCAAACTCAGCACAGGTATTACTCGCCCGGATTAGCCAAGCTCACCAAATCCAACACTCTAGCCCGGGAAGCCTTCCGAGGCGACTTCGCCCTGCCCCCAAAATCCTGCAAGCCTGAACTGCGAGCCTACCACAACGAGACAGGCATGGACTCGGCCACAGAATACAGAGACCGCTACAGTCATCGAAACTGAGAGGATCAATGCTGGTCGATTCTCGATTCTGTGAATAGCTTTATTTTTTTATCGAATGTATTTTACATGACAACGAAAATATAACATTAATAATAAACGAAAATAGTTTTGCAACTTCAGGGAGTAGAAATATATCAAGATTTTTATCCGGGCTTTTTGACAAAAATTAACATTGTGACACCCTTATTTTCTGCCAAAAAATGAGAATATCCTTGAAATAACATCATATAACAAGTTTAATATAAAAAATAAGGATGTCACCATGCAAACTTGAGGAGAAAAAGCTAAACAAAAATCGCGCTTATTGAAGTCCACTCCAAAGATTGAAATCAAAGTGGAACATCAACGTAGGAACATAACGGAGTTTAAGGAAGCAAATGCAGGAACAGAAAAAATGAGTAATAGTTTTAGTAAAGTTTGAGAGCTCTGGAAATTGTGGTTAACTTTGAAATCGTTACTTTGAATTTTTGAATTTTGGACTCGTCACTTCTTTTTTTGCGGCTTAGTTAGAGCAGCAAAGAGTTGAACTCCTTGTTCAACCCATTCAGCCGCACTCTTCGGTTGTCGACTCTGGTTGCTATCGACTTTGGCGGAATCTGCGCTTCCATCGCAGCGTGCTCTAGAGATAAGCAGTGAGAAAGCTGATTTCTATTCTAGTAGAAATCAAACCCGCTGGCTGGCTGCGGATTGCTCCGTTCGAGATAAGCATTTGCCCAATCGCCGAGAAGGTTGAGCCCAGTTTCCATTACTTTCGCCTCGGCACGTTGATAGAGCAGATAATGCTTCGCGTTCGTGGCTTGGAAGGGCTTAGGGAGCGTGATTGAGGACGGATGAACTCAACGCCTGGATTGCCTTTCAATTTAAAGCAGTCGGCAGCACGCGCTAATGCTCCGTGAACTTTTTAGAGCAGAAAGAAATTAACCCGGGCGATTGCCTATTGCTTGGCTCGGCAACCTGTGTAGAAAGCCTGAGTCAGGTTTTGGAGAGCTCATTTTCAAGCGCATTTGGGCCCTTCAAAACCTGACTCAGGATTTCTACACAGACTGCCGAGCTCAGACCAATTGAAACTGGAATGTTTCCTGAGCCGTTCCTGAAAATGGGCCAGGAAATAGATACTCAATTAGGGTATTGGAATACGTTCGGCAGTTGTGATTGAAGAGGCGGTATTTGTCTAGGCTACTGCTCAAACACACAAAAGAAGCAAAAAACGTTACCAGCTGTCCAGTCCTCGCGAATACTGAAAATGTAGCTTTCGAAGTCTTGCTGAGAACGCTCCGTGAAGCCGGCGTAAATTTCATCCGCCAGGTTGAAGCCTTCTTTTGGCGCGTACTGGCTCGCTTGTTCAGCACCGTATTTTTCGAACCAGTAATGTTTGCCGAAAGCGCGCACTTCTGTGTGAATTTCGTTTACTAATCCCATCGAGAAGGCGTAGCCGATCACGTAAACTTCCGATCCTACCATTTCTGCAAAAAATACAAAAATTAATTTTCATAATTTTAATAATTCTAATAGTTTGGCAGTTTGAATTAAATTTCGAGTCCTAAAACACCCTCGATTTCGTGAATTTCTCGAGGAACCAAGTCTGTCAGCACTTTGGCGCCATCTTTCGTCAGGGCGACTGTATCTTCTATCCTCACTCCGATGTTGTGGTACTTTTCCGGGAAAATGGGGTCGGCGGGGATGTGCAGTCCGGGCATGATGTTTAGTACGTGTCCGGCGCGGAGTCGGTCCCTTGTGTTTTCAAGAATCTGGTCTTGAAGATCTGAAAAACACGATTCAGGGGAACACGTGAAAGAACACCCTTGCCAGATTGATTAGGGCGAAAAAGGAGGGGACAAGAGATCCGGAAACCGGAGGCGAAACGCCCGACAAGCGTTAATTAATTTCTTTGGCGAAGAAACACTGACGAACTTACCGAGGCCGATGTGGTGCCCGATGAATTGTTTCGACAGCGATCGGGCAATTACGCCGAAGGTCTGCTCCCGCGACAGTTTCTGGTTTTTGAAGAAACCGAGGTCGAAAAGGCGCTGCGAAAAAGTGACGATCATGTAGGTCCACAGCTGATCCAGCGAAACCTTGATCTTCTTGTGATTCTGATTGTTGGGTTAATGAAAGCCCCAAAGAGTTTTTTATTAAGATTTTTCAAATAAAGATTTTTAATTTTTGATAATCGATCTTTAAAAATAAAAAAATTCATAAATTAAGCCCATATTCTTGAGCATATTTAAAATAGTATTTTGAACTTCCAACACGATCGCGTAAATTTCCGCTTGTTCCGTCGAAAACTTCCCGCTAACTGGCCACGTGCGGGAGATTCTGAACGAAAAGAAGCATAAGAATTTGATTCTCTCCTTTGGCTTACTTTTACCTGGCTGTGTAGCCGCTAACTCGCGGACTGGCGGAAGCGATTACCAAGGCGCCGTCCTCGACCTGGCCGAAATTCTGGTCGTAATGAGGCATTATTGCGCGCTCGCCGCCAGCCACCACCGTCGAAGTGGAGAACACCTTCTCTGCGCCTCTGGAAAAAGACGATTAGAAAACGCGGCGGCGATTACGGCGCCAAAAGAGGATCAGCCAAGTTTCTCAAATAAGATAGCCTTGAGCCTGATACACGCGCGCGAGTTTGATAAACAGGGGCTTTATTCGAGGATGATCTAACCTGCTGCGGCAGCCGAACTCGAACAGCGAACTCAGGTAATTCTCGCAGCGGTGTTGACGAGACGCAATCATAACGTCCAGCAGCCCTTCCGCAGAAATGCCCGCCGCCTTGCCAATAATATCCACTTCCTTCGCCCAGAGTTCAACAAAAATGCTTTTCAATTGATATCTGAGAGCCATTTGCTCGGCTCGGCAACTTGTCTAGATAACCTGAGTCAGGTTCTGAGAGAGCTAGAATAAAAAGCCGCGGAGCGGCTTTCTAAGAACGTAGCCGCGAAACGTCTCCGCTAGAATTTATGAAAATTCGTTTTTAAAAAGGCCGCTCCGCGGCTCTTCATTTTAGCCTTTTCAGAACCTGACTCAGGTTTTCTTGACAGGTTACCGAGTCCAGGCGATTTTAACGTAAGGAAAAACTTTTGAACTCGTTTCCTCAGGTGTTTTATCCGCGCGAATCTGCTGAATTAGCGGAGACAAGGGGAAAATTTCTGCCTCGTTTTGCACGGCGGTGATTATTCCATCGTGAATGTGGCGTGAGTGGAGTGACATGTTTCCGATTCGCCCGGGCTGAACGTCTCCCCATATTTTGAAGTTCGACTGAAAACAGGCAATTATCTTTCTAAAATAGGCGCGAAAATCGTCCTGCTTCTCATTAGAAATTTTTCTTTCGCTGGAACTGTTTTTCCAGCTTTTCTTATCATTTTTTCTTCGATTTCTTTTTCAAAATTTGGCATAAAATATCTCTATCTTTGAATTTTGAGGAAAAAGCGATAATCAATTGTGCGGTGGGTTTTGTAAATATGTAACGCGCTTTTTGGAACGATGAGAAGCAAAAGCGAGATTGTTGATGATTATTGACGTACCTTTGCAAATTGTTTCATGTCTTCGGCGAAAGTCTCGATGTCTTTTGTCTCGTCGACGCCAGTGAGCTTCTTAGCCAGCTCGGTTCCCGCTCGGAAACCCGTGACCATTTCGTTTGCCTGATTTTAGGGTTGAAAAAATCTAATTATCGAAAAAATTTAAAAATCAAATTTTCCCGCTTTATCGCAGAATTTTGTTTTTCAAAAATTTTCAATTTATTATTTTTTAATTTTCGAACAAAAAACTTTGTTTAAATGAAATTTTCAACCATGAGCTCATCCCTCTCAGAAACGTACAACGTGGCCTTGTGCTGCGGGAAGGGCAGTCCTTTTCTGGGTTCTTGAACTTTAGACTTACTTTGCCGCGAAAAAGGGGAAGATTTCAAAATATTGAACCGAGTGTTCCTTTCACCGTGGAGACGAGCAGAATCGCGTCGGCCTCGACAAAGCCTGTTAAATAGTGGAAATTCGAGTCCTGCACAAAAGGATAATAAGTTCCAGTCGACATGAGCTTGTCGCTCGCACTTGGCAGGATCATGACGAATTCGGAGCGTTCTTGGCCTTGAAAATTGTGTAAATTTCGAGAAAAGAGATGATTTTTATTAAAATTTCATCTATTTTTTCACTGATTTTCTTAACAACGCCATGGAACAGTTGAAAAGATTATGATCAGAGTAATAACCGCTACAACTTTAAGATTTAGATCATCAAAAAAACAGAATTTTTCGGAAGCAACGAAATTGCTGACAGCTGCTAGCAATAAAGGAAACTGGCTATAAAGCGGATAGGTGAAAACTTATTACCATTCAATGTTTGACTCCTGAAATGAAGCTGATAAACAGAAGAAAAAGCAATATTTTGCCATGAGCTTCGAAGTACTGTTTTGTTTTTTGTTTCTACTACTGATAAAATAGAATTAGAGATAATAGGAACGCAAATAAAAAGGGGAAAATCAAAATTGTTGATTAAAATTAAGTCGCAAAAGTTTTCGCATTTTAGCGGCCGTTTTGGATATTCTAACAACGACCTCTGGAATTCGCCCGCCGTCGAAGAAATACCACAAACGTCCACTGCTAGAATCGGTAATTTCTACAATCTCAGCGATCCCCCTTTTTCCCGACAGAAATAAAAGTTACCTTCCATCTCGGCAAGCGGTTTCAACTCGCTGCTTTCTTTTTCAAGCATCCTCGAAATCACGCGTTTTCGACGATTTTTGAAAAAATCTTTTGCCATTCCCGAAAGAACTTCGTTCTCTTTCATGCTCTCGCCATGCGTCCAGGGAGTCATTTGTGGACAAAGAAGAGCCCTTCATTTAGTTCATTTCATAGTAATAGCTGTGCTCGGCGACCTGTGCAGAAACCTGAGTCAGGGTCTGAACAGGGTGGCTATTTTGGATTTGGGGGTTAGTTGGAATTGGATTGGATCCAATCCAATAAGTTTTGGATGGAATTTGGATGGCCAGGGTACCGGATTTTGTTGGGGAAAATTGGGCAATTGGGGGAATTGGGGAAGTGGATCCAATAAAAAATATATCGCTAAACTATGCAAAGAAAGGTCATATTCATGATAAAAATGAACAATTTCAGATAAAAAATCATTGTTTTGGCTATGTTGATCCTCCTTTCGGATAAAAACTTACTGTTTCGCTTCTTTTCAAAGTACTAAAAGCCTTGGAAAAATTGGAAATCCAATTGGATCTAATTGGAATTGGGGATTTTCGGGGAATTGGGTAATAATTGGATTGGGTTGGATTTTCGATGGATAGTTACGACTCAAAATTTATTGGATGGAAATTGGATGGCCAGACCCCAAAATTTTGTCCAAAATAGCCACCCTGGGTCTGAAAGAGCTAAAATGAAAACCTGCGCAGCGGCTTTTAAAAATCGAAGCCGCTGTGCGGCTAAAAATTTGAAAAGCCGCGTAGCTAGACCCTGACTAGATCTTTCAGTCCCTGACTCAGGCTTTCCACACAGTTTGCCGAGCCAAAAGTAAAATACAGTGGGTTGCGCAGGTAGTTGCCCCTTTGCGATTGCCGCTTTGGTTGCCCCTTCGCCCGCGCTTTTCTATTGATCCTTTCTAGACTTGCTCAAAGTGATTGCAGGATTGGTTGACCCTTCGCCCGCTCAAACTACCTGCGCAACCCACTGTAAATGCTTGCGAAAGATATCAAAACAACAAGAAAATGAAAAAAAAAGAACATTGCCTGCGCTGATTTGTCCGAAAGAAAAGCTGCTGCCCGAACTGCCGTAACATTCTTCAATTGACAAAATTGACAATTTTTGAATTTGCGTGATTTTGAATTTCTTTCACTCAAATTTCATTCTTTTTTTTTTGTTCGTACTTGTTTTAATTAGAACTTTTCAAATTGAAAGAAGCACAATCGTGATATTAAATAAAATGAAGACGATGGAAGTGGAGTTGAATTGACAAAAATAACCATATTGCACAAGATGAGACTTTTGAAAAATCACTGTTAGGACCGGTCGGAAAAAAGGTAACATAAATGACAGCTAAAAGAAAACTAAAAGAGAGAAAAGGAGTATCTGTATTTTTGTTCTTTGGACAGAGGGAAGTTGAGCTACTGAGAGAACAGGATGATTTCGGCGCTAGAACTTTTTACACTTCGATTTCGATGCGAGTGTCGTCGTCTTCTTGTTCCACGCTGACGACGGCTCCTCGATAAAGGACCAGATTCTTGGTCTCGACTACATTGCACACGATTTCGTGCATTTCGATGTGGTCGTCGACTAAAGTCGTGTTTTCCGCCGGAATCACTAAAAATATCCTTTATAAAGAGCTCGATATACGAAAATGGAAATGAATACGTTATAAAAAATGGCATAGGGTAAACTTCATTAAAAAACCACTATAGACTAAAGTGCTTTTTCTAAAAGTCAAAAATTCATTCTCTATTCTCCTAGCAGCTGGAACAAAAATTAAGCTAAATTTGAACTATCGACCCCCAGTAACAAATCGGTCGGTCCGCCCTTTTGACCCCAGCTGCGAGATAGAATATAAGAGGGTTCGAATGACTTACAATTATAAAATGAAACGACTATGAAAAAAAGAGAGCAGTAAACTGCTTTGAAAATGCAGTTTACTGTTTTGTATTTTTTATACTAAAAATGTACGACGATCTCGACACCATTTCCCATGTTGTTTGCTAATAAACAAATTTTAACTTTATTATATGCTTTTGCATATAAATAATAATAATATGCCATTATTGAACTTTTTAAAAGTTATTTTAATAAGACAAAATTAAATTTTACATCATAAATTGCCCGTGTTTCAGAGATTCACAAAAAATATCTTACCAAACGTCATTCTGGGCGAAAGCTTATTGTCCATCTGAACAGGAGCGAGAATTGGCAGGGGAGAGTTGGACAAAACGTAATAAGTATCGTTGCGGAAGGCTATTTGAGAAAGAGACTCCATCAGTTCCGCGTGTGTCCAAAATTTGCTTGGCGCGATTCGAACAAGCCCCGTCTCCGTCCTAAAAACAGCGTGATTATTTGGTGACGCGTTAATGCAGAGCCTGTGTTTGGTGTGGACTTACGAGTTGTATTCGCCGATGTTATTTATATCCTCGCTCTCGGTGCGCCACAGCTTGAATGATTTGTGGATTTCGTTCAAGTTCTGGGCCGAGGCCGCGTTCGGGCACATCTGAGAGCTGGATTTTGAACTTTTCTTCAGCGCCGTTCTATTTAAAATATTGCGTCAAAACCGCGCTCTCTAACAAAAACAAAAACCTGGAGTCAATTGCCAGTTTGCCCCTGAATCGACTGGGGCTCATGCGCCGCGGCGAGATGGAAATTTTGAACTCTTCGTACAATTTTCGCTGCACGAGCTTTTTCACGTCCGCCGAGCCAAAGTGCGCGCGGTACATCAGTTCGTTGAACGCTAATTTTATTAAAAAACGAACTTGGAAATTGAGTTACCGTGATTTTCACGCAGGTCACTGACAAGATCATCGAGCCAGAATTGCGACTCATTCGCGACTTCGTTCGTCTCGAAAAGTCTCCTTCCTCGATGAACGTTTTCCATTCCTCCAACTGGAGAGATATTTCCACTACTTTCCGGAGCATACGGCATGGTCATGAAGACCAAGCCAAAAACGATGGACAAACAGGCTGTGGAGGCCATGATTCGCTTTCTTTTAGGCGGACTATTGTTTGTAGTCCCGATTTGAGCTTGAAGAAGTCGAATTTTCTCCATGAGTTCTTTGTTGATTTTCTTCAGCTGTTCATTTTCCTTGATGAGGATTTTGTTTCGCGTTTCTGTCTCTTCCAGATGGCGCTTTTTTCGCTCCCGACTTGAAATAGATATAAATATGACAACATCATAAAATCTGATTTTCGCAATCGCACCTCGCACTGCGAAGTTTAGTGCGGAATCCGCACTGCGAAGGCACATCCCTGGCTACCAGTGTAGAAACCTGGTTTCAGGGTCTTGTAAAAACATAAATAAAAGCAGCGTATCTGCTTTTTTTACTAACGAAGACGCAAAGCGGCTTCGCCTAAAAAAACATTTCGATTGGTTTTTATTTCTTCGTCTTTAAGGACCCTGACTCAGAGATAAACACAGGTTCCAGAGCGCAAATAAAAATGTACCTAACACTGGCAGAATGCCTATTTTTAATTTTTCGTTCTTCAGCTTTCTTTTGCGCTTCGGATCTTCGGTAAAATTGTCCCTTTGAATCCATTCCGATAGAATGACAAGCTTGGGTTAAAATATCAGGGACTAGAAAGGTGATTTAAAATTGACTGAAATCAAGGAAGAGAACGCACTTTTGATCTGGGGCGGCGAGAGGGACTGAGCCGGCTTCGCCACGAACTCAGTTGGCTCTACTTTGAGCAGGACACTGTTGCTCTGAGTGACCATCGGAAGACGCGTTGACTTTTGATCGACGATTTCACAGTCGGGTTCCACCTTGATAATTTGAACCGATTCCGTGGCGTGTATCCGCTGTTCACGAAGCGGCGTTCGCGCCTTTTTCATTGGCAACTCTTCAATTCCATTGTTCTGTTGCGCCACTGGAACTTGTTTGACTGAATATGGCGGCGCTGATCGCCGGGAGACTGGAGGTCTTTCTGCGGATTTTCAGATGTTGAACTTATAGATTGAAACCTGAGTCAGGCCCTGAAAACACTGATTCCGAATCAGTCAAATCCATTCCTAGTTTGTGGCTGACTGTAACTCATTGCCGATTGATGCTGTATTTGCTGAGCACATTCGTTGGCGCTTTGAACAAACTGCGATCCAAGGGATTCATTTGAATAGGCACTGTCAGAGCCTAGCGGGAAGAGATTGTTACTTTGAGAGCCGGAAGGATACACCGAATAGACGGGGTCTCGTGGAGAAGCGCCTTCTGATCCCGTAGAGGCGGTATAAGTCGGAGAAGTTGAGTTGGAACTCGACAGTCCGGGAGAAAGACTGTCCGTGCACCCGAAAATTCCATCATCGGAAGAGCCTAGATTTAGATTATTGATTCAATATTCTAAACCCGCTCAAAAACACCATATTTTCGGGGCTAGAGGCGACGAAACGACTAAAAATTGCGACGAATTTTGCGTGGAAAATTAAGCCAAAAATAGCCGCCTACGCAAAATTTGTCGCAATTTTTCGTCGCTTCTTGCTTCCTGCCCACTCTTTCACCAATTTTTCAACACTTACCGGAGCTTGGAGAGCCCCCGCCGCTGTATTCTGTCAAAAAATCATCAGTCAAAATCTGATCCGCGAAAATCTGATCAATGTCGAGAAATCCGAGATCGTCGCTATCCATTGTCGCGGAATTTTTTCTTTCTCTTTTTAAAAATCGCCAGTTTTAACTCTTAAAAATTCGTAAAACAAAAAATATTCTTTTGTGTTCGCCAAGTTTCTTTTTTTGGCAATAAAATAAATAGAAAGATCCTAGTAAATGTCGTTGTTGAGCCCCACACAGAACAGAAACGTAAGGCTTGGCGCTTGCCCAGGGGGCTTCAGATAGACACTAAGATGAAATTAAAAAACTTCACTTGAGGCAAAATTTGATAAAAATTTTTTCGTGCTCAGAAGAAAGAGCAGAAAATTTTGAGTCGAATGGGCTAGATTTGACCCGAAATTTTTAACTTTATGACCCTAAAAATTGCGTAACAAAGTCCAGATTAGGGCATTCTTGATAAACTTTTGGGGAACTTTTAAGGGGTTTCCGTTGGACTTATTCGACGTTCTATAGCTCAAAAGAATCGCCGTCGAAAATTGAGGGGGTTTTTAAGGGTTTTGAAAAAACTCAAGAAAAAATTTTGACCATTTTCCGACCGGTCGGTTTGAAGGTGTTTCTCTTGGAATTTTTCAAAATACGCAAAAACCCCCCCTCAATTTTCGATGACGATTCTTATGAGCCCAAAAACGCCGAGAAAATCAATCAAAAACCCCTTCAAAATCGGCCCCAAAGTTTTTTGAGGAAAATGACTCATAATGACGTCATTTCAAAAAATTATAGAGCCGGAAGTAGACCAATCGACTCAGAATTTTCTACTCTTTCATATGGGGCCATAAAATTTTTTTGAAAAATTTTGCCTCAAATGAAGTTTTTTAATTTCATCTAAGAGAATTGAACGCCTTCTAGGGCTTACTTTAGAAGGGAATAGTTTTAAAATCAATCATAGCAATTATCAAAGCGAAAATAAATAAATTGGAGATTGAAAATTGGAAGCCTTCCAAAAATTGAACAAATCACTTTTTGAACAAAAAGAACCTTGATAATTGCAAGAAGCGATAATATTTTGAATTCTAATAAATAATTTCAAAATCTTAAATAAATAAATAAATAATTGAACAAAGCTCAAGAGCTGGGGTCCTAACCCTAACCTGTGTAGAAAGCCTGAGTCAGGGTCTGTAAGGACTTTGATGAAAAGCCGCAACATTATCCTTCCAATCGCAGCGCGGCTTTTCATCAAAGATCTTTCAGACCCTGACTCAGGTTTTCTACACAGGTTGTTGACCCCAGCTCAAAAAAGCTCTGAACGGTTGAAGGTAGATAGATCAGTAGTTGAAGTTGTGCGAAAATGTACAATTTTTCCAGTTTGTATTTTTTTAACGTGAGATTGAAAGTTTCAACAAGCTTTATTTTAAATTATTTGTCGCGATTGGTGACCATCTTCGTCAGCTCGAGCAGATTCTCTCTAAGGACGGGATCAGAAGTGAGCAGCTCGATTTCGCGCGCTGCACGTTTGGCGTAATTCTCCGCTAGGAGACGTGTCTTTAGCAGTGCGTCACTGAAATAATCGATGATGAAAAATTAACTCCGCTATTTGGTCCTGCAGGAAGTCAGAAATAAATTTGCTTTTATAATGGATTGAGATATTATGAGAATAAGAAATTACCTTTTTCGCGTAATAATATTATGGGCTTTTTGTACATCGCCAGGTTTACTGAATCTCCTCTTCATAAGCGGCCACATTTCCGCCTCATGCGTTTGACAGGCGTATAAAACAGGGGCTGTACTTAGACCCAGTTTTAAATCGGCACAAGCCGGCTAAAACAGAGTAAGTCTAACAGGTTTTTTTAAGTGTGCCCAAGAATTTTCGTAACTTTTGATTGGGTTTATATAATAACAATCTGTAACTTGCAGAATGTAGCCGGGTATAAGGTTACTCATTTTAGATAGAGTTGGTGTCAATATCTTTTCTGGTGAAAAAAAAACCTTAAAAAAAACCTGTTTCTACCATACTGACAATAAATTTGCAAATTGCAACTATTTTAACTTCTCAAAACACGGGCGCGCTACTATACCCTCAAAACACGTGGTCCAATAATTGGACCACAATGCATTATTCAGCCCCGCGCGGCGCGCCAAATTCATAGTGTGAAAAATAGCGCTCAGAACTTTTGGCTCTAATTGACGTTTCCGTTGAGTAAAAAAGCTCATAAATGTACTGTTAGAGAGCTTGAACCCTCTTTTATAAAAATATACTATTGTAAATTGAAAAATCCTTTCCGATTTTCAACCAGAGAGCGATAGAGAAATGTGGCGCAAATCGCCACCACTTTTGAGTTTTCATTCGAAACTTCACACAGTGGTTCGTTTCGGCCCTATCAGCTCACATTACAAAATTCAGGTCAAACAAATTGCTACAACGGGAATTACAGGGGGTCAAAGTCGCCGTGGTCCAATGATTGGACCACGTGTATTGAGAAGTTAACGAAAATTTTCAACCAATCAAAAGCCTATGTTGAGCTAACTAGCTAATCAGGAACCGGCTCAGAAATTTTACCTTTCCAAGTTGAGCTGAATCCGCTAAGAAATCAAGTCGATCATCTTGAATTTGAAACGCGATTCCGAGATATTTGCCAAAATTAAACGCAGCTTGCTGAACTTGAGCTGATTGATCTGTTAACACTGCCACCGCTTCAGCCGAGTTGGCGATCAAAGAAGCCGTTTTTAAATAAGTTTTCTTTATGTATTGTTTGTAACGATGCTCGTGGTTGGAATTGACAGATTCTAGCTGGCATAATTCGCCGTATATTAAATCTTCGATGATTCTCGAGATGATTTTTGTCACTTCGTCCGACTCTAGCGAGGCAAGAAGTTGGGAGGAGTACGAGATTATGTAGTTTCCAGCCATGACGGCTTTGGTTACTCCCCATTTTGAGTTTGCTGATGCTTTGCCGCGGCTAAATTTGATAATAAATTGAAAACAACGAGGAAAGCAACTAACCGTTCCTCGGATTTGTCAATAACGTCGTCATGAACAAGCGATCCGGTGTGAATCATTTCCGCGATCATCGCCACTTTCTGCAGCTTCTCATTCGTCTCGATGCAACCTCCAAGTGCTTCCGCCACTCTACCAACAATAAGAGGTCTGATGGACTTGCCAGAGCCGTCGAAGTAGTAACAAGCCATTGGGTAGATTTCGTCGTGCGCGTCGTCCGGAACCATAGCAACTTTAATCTTGTCGCTGAGTTTTGAGCCCGTCATATCGTTTTCTCGCTGAAATCAAGGACGCTCATCAATGGAAAATCAAAATTGTACATACCACATGCAATCCAGCGCGCCGCACATTCGGCATGCGCCTTGGAGTTCTTCGAATGGGCCCCTTTCGCAACATCACTGTATTTCCATTATAACGCCATTCTGAAATTGAAAAAAGAATCAAGAGGAGTCAATCACACACGACTGCGCTAAATTTCTGTTGTTTAAAATATATGTTCAGAACAGAATTTGCTGTCGTATATCAAAATAACCGGTTCCTCCTTTGAAAAGCTGTCCGGCAGCGACACTCGCCGCTGGCGACGTCATATCGTCATCCTCTCCATAAACAATCGAGTCGATCAAAAACTGTGTTGTAGTTTCGTATGACATTTTCTAATGAAATATTATTCCAGAATCGAAATCAACAAGGAAAATACCTGAATCGGGGACGCGCAAGTTTTGAGTCCGTGCCGATTAAACGCTCTGTATTGACCTTCCTGAGTTACATAATCCGCGACTAAGGAAGTGTGCCTCTTGTCAACCGCAATACTAGAAAAGAAAAACATTCTAGAGCTGCCCAAACAAGCAGGAAACATACCCGTAAGGCTTGAAAACCTTGTCGATTTCCCGCTGCATGGTCATGACAGCAGCTTCGATTCCATACGCATTCCTGAAGGCATTCACATCGTTGGTTGAAATCCTGTTCAAATCGAGCATTTCTGGGTATTTGTAAAAGCCGGGGAAATTGATTCCCTCTGTCAGGATTTCGAAGTGCGTTCGGTCTTCTGACGGTTTGAATGTCACCTTCGAAATGCTCGGAATTCCTGAAAATTCAAACGCTACGAACGGGTTTTTAAAAGTCCGAAATTACCTTGAATGAGAATTTCTCGAACAGCAGATTCAATGATGTGAACCAGATCAATGTTCTCGGAAGACGGGTCTCTTTTGAAAGTCACCAATATCCACGAGAACTTCTTCGCATCGTGCACAACGCTTGAAACAGACGCATGAGAAGCCAAAACGATCTCCCAGAAGTTCCCAGCGCTCTTGTTCATCTTCAATTTTTCGAGGATTTCCTCCGTCTCATTCTGTTTGAATTCGTCGTTGTCGGAATCGGAGTTGTCAATTTCTTCTGGATCGTCGTCTTCTTCATCTTTTACCTCATCGTCCACATCCTCGTATTCGCATTCATCAACGTCATCTTCTACGAAATTCAATAATCAAGCCTATTCAAAGCTGTACTTACCAATCACTCTAGCCGCTGGTTCATCGTCATCACCTTCGTTATCCTCATTTCCCGCTCTTCTTCCTCGCTTAGATCTAGCCGCTTCTTTATTTTTCGAAACGAACAAGTCCTGCTTTTTCCTCGCCTTTTCTGCATCTTCAAGTTTCTTGATGACAACTTTGAAGAGTTTCTTTCGCATAATTTCGGAAACAACAAATTCTGGATCAAGATCCAAGCGTTTACACAATTTCCTGCCAATTTTAATTTCCACTTCGGTCTGAAGTTGGAAACATCCGTCTTGGACAATAAGCTTGTTCTGCGCTTTGACAGCGGTAATGACATCGGAAAGCCGGATGTTTTTCAAGCTGTTGACGAATTTCTCCACCTCGGGCTCTGTTACATGGCGGTGGAAGGGAATCGTCATCGATGGTGTTTTGACCTCGGTAGGAGCTGTCATCAGCAGTTCTCTCAAACGAGGGATACCCAAGGTAATGTTGACATCGGCCTTTCCAGCCATGTGGAAAGTGTTCAGCGTCATTTGGGTCGATGGCTCACCGATAGATTGAGCAATAACAAGTCCGATTTGATCGCCTGGTGGCATGAGAGACTGTCGATATTTGGAATACAATAATTCTTGAATAGGCTTGTCCGTTCGCTTCATTTTGGAAAGATACGCTTTCACGTGGCCAATGAACGCTTCAGATGCCGAACCAAGATGAATATCCGGGCTGAGAGAAGCTATGTGTGGATCGGGGACGATTCGCTTCTTGATCCACATTTGTCGGATATCTTCCGTCAGTGGCTCTTCTCCCGGGAATACTTCTTCCAACTCCTCAACCGGAGGGTCCAGATTCTTTTTCACTCGACCACTCTTTTTCTTCTTCGTTGTCACTTGATGCCAGACCTTGATGGCCATGTGATTGAACGAATCAACGACTTCACGGCCTTGTTCTTTGATCAACTGTGGAAGAGCGTCATTGAACTCGGAAAGCTTCTCGTGCGACTTGAGGAAGTCATTGAACGCCAAAACTCGTTCGATCCCTGCGACGTTTCGTTCAGCCCACTGATTCTTCGCTTCTCGGTTTCGGAACTTTTCAGTTTGCTTTTGAAGCCGTTTGACTTCATCGGACATTCTGGGCATTTTCCCTGTCGGCCAAAGCTTTCGCGAATAAAGAGTTGAGTTTTCCTTGATAAAGTCGAACTGATGCGGTACCATGTAGGGCGTTTTGGCAACGTCGATACCATCTTCGCCGTATTGAAACTGAACGACGGATTGGTCATGATCACGGACGGTTCGATCGTAAGAGATGGTAATTCCTTCTAAATGTTTGATCAGGCAACGTTGGAGATAGCCAGAGGAAGAAGTTTTGCAAGCGGTATCGATCAGACCATCTCGACCGGCCATTACGTGAAAGAACATTTCCTGCGGGCGGAGTCCACCAGCATAGCGATGAGAAATAAAAGCACCAGATCGAACATCATGCTCGTACGGCTTCCAACAAGGAAAACACCTTCCAGAAGCAAGAATTTTTGGCCGCTTTCCGTCAAACTCTACTTGTCCGAGATTCGAGGCCATGTTGAGCAAGTTCGCTTTTGAACCCTTTGCACCAGTGACAATCAGCGTTTCCAAGTTATTTCGCGGAAATTTTTCTTCCAAATTTGGCTCGCAAAGTCGATGAATCGCTTCGGTCACCGAGTTCGCTGCTTTTTTACAGATCGCGTCGACCTCGTGCATTGTAAATTCAGTGCCAACGAGATGAGCGTGTCTGATCTTCGCACGAACGGCTGCGTCAAGTTCTGCGAGTTCTTCTGGCGATTCTGGAAGATCGTCGGCGAGTTCAAAGTGTTTGGCAAGCTCTTTCAAGCCGGCGAAATCACCGGTTCTTACAATCTTCTTTCGCTTCTTTGCGATCCTGCTGCTGGTAACAACGTCTCGAATTCCAAGAGTGAATCCTTTGTAGCACTTCAAATAGTGCGAAAGACAGTAAGTAACAGCAGTGATGAGTTTTCCAACAGTAGGTCCTCCGAAGATCTCTTCCACCGCCGCGAGAATGGAGTATTTCGCTGAACCGATTTGATCCTTGTCCAAGTATCCGGAGCAAACGTAGCCGTGTCTGACCACGAATTCAGAGTCTTTCATCGAGCAACCTTTGACCTTGCTCGGGTTCGGTATCGAGCGTTCTTTCTCTCCGTCCTTCATGTAGACACTATCCTTCATTTTGCAGTTGCCAACGTAGTTTGGTCCGGAGCCGCCGCAGAGATTTTGAATTATCGTGGTGATGATCTGCTTCCCAGTCCACAAGGCTTTTGGTTTGAAGATGGCTGGCGGGAGGAATTTGATCTTCTTTCCCGGATGATGTCGTTCCAGGCAGTTGATGACAAGGTTCTGATACTCGGATTTGTCGAAGAAAGAGCCTCGTACGCACATCAGTGCTCCAGCAATCACGTGATCCTGCATTAATCCAGCTAATGGGAATCCATCTTTGGCAGATCTGAACATGTGGTTCGTGTTCATCAGCATTTCCGCTTCCGCTCGGGCTTCTTCTGACTGAGGGAAGTGGACGTTCATTTCGTCGCCGTCAAAATCGGCGTTGAAATGTTTGCAGTTGGAGTAGTGCAGACGGAAGGTCTTTTCTCCAGGAATAACTCGAGCGTTGAAAGCCATGATGGAACCCTTGTGTAGCGTTGGCTGTCGATTCGCCAAAATAGCATCGCCGGAGCGAAGATGTCTCAAAACAGTCTTCATTCTTCCGAGTCCTTCGTTGTCTTCCTCGCTTGTTAGCAACTGATTAGCGCAGGCGACTCGCTGCGTTTCATCGTCTGGATCAAGAGTTTCTCTCAATCCATTTGGCCAGAGAATATGAGTGGCACCTGGATGATTTCTTGGACCATTGATGACCGCTTGGCGGAGCTCTTTGTAGTTGTACTGGGTGACGCGTTCGGGATAGGTTAGTTTCTTCGCGACGAAGTCGGAAACACCGAATTCGTTCGTGGCGATGTTTGGGTCAGGAGTAATGACAGTTCGTGCGCAGAAGTTGACTCGTTTGCCCATAATATTTTGCCGGAAGAGACCCTTTTTCTTCTCGAGCTTTTGCTTGATTCCCGGATTTTTCGTGGTAATGCTTTTTTCCATGTTTGAATCGATGTGGATGTTGATAAGTTGCTGAAGGTTCATTTCCAGGTTCTCTTGCTTTTCATCCATCGACGCGCCGGGAAGAGTGGACAGAAAGCTTTTGACTTTGATCCTATCTCCTTGTGATTCGTAGCCTTCGTCAGTTTCGTTCGTCTCCATGTTCATTTCCCGAACTCGATGACCGTAGAGCCAGTTTAATTTCTTGCTCGATTCGAGGATTTTCTGAAGCATGGCTGTCCTATCTGACGCTAAGACCTTCTGCCCGGCTTTGTTCATCCTTCGGAAGCAGTTTGGAGGGACCAGGACGGTCTCGATGAAAAATGCTTCAAATCCAGTTCCGTCAAAGAGCAAATCACATGTCTGCCGCTCCGTGGCGAAGAGTTTTTTCAGTTGCCGGTAAAGTAGGTTCGTCGGAACGCGCTGAAGAGTCGCGTCAGTGTTCGGCGCGCTCTTCGCCTTTCGCTTTTCTTTGTCGATTTCATCCTCTTCCTCGTCGGAGCCTTCTGATTCTGCTTCCAGGTTGATTTCATCCTTTCTTCTTGGAAGTTCCAGGTAAACGCGAGTAACGCCGCCAGCACTTTCGAATTTCATCGTCGGCTTCGCGGTAAGACAGCGTGGACACTTCTTGATCTTTTGCTTGAAGTAGTCCATGAAGACATTGACGACTTCTCGCTTGTGGAATACGGAGGCTCGGTTCATGTCTTTCCCATTTCCAAGTTGGATTGATTCGGTCTTGACTTTGAGGAACTCTTGAAGCTCGTCGAGCGTCTTGCTCTTCGTCCCGTGCGATAAATTCTCATCAGCGGTCGCCCCCTCAGTATCTTTTTCCGCGCCGTAGTGATTTTTTGTCTCCCTCTCGATTTCGGTAAAAATGTCCATTCTTCCGGCGTTCAAGCAGATCAGCTTTGCTTGGAGAGTTAAAAGCGCTTTTTCCGTGCAGAGAAAATGACTGCAGTCGGGGCAAGAAGCAGCGAGGAGCATTTTTAGAGTTGTGAAGAAGACGGGGTTGATAACGGGCGAGGGGAGGTTGATATGGCCACAATGGCCGGGACAGTACTTTTCCGAGGAGTTGCATGTTGAGCAACGATCGCCCCTGAATTGTTAATGAAAAAATTTCATGATTTTTGACCACGGGGCTTGGCAACCTGGGAAGAAAAACTGAGTCAGGGTCCTAGAACAGGTCTAATAAAAGAATCTTCCATGACCCTGCGTCAGGGTCCCTGACACCGGTTTTCACACAGGTTACTGTTTTGATTTCTAACCCTTTTAGTAGAGAAGTACCTGTTCAACGGACCCAAAGCAGGATCATGAAGACCATTCAGCTGTGCGCTCTTTTTCCCTTCAACTCTATCTTCGTAAACCAAGTCGCACTCGGTAATCTCTTTGACGGATAACTTGATGATTTCATCCTTTGAGTAAGTTCTGAAGCTGATGCGATTCGGCCAGGAGCGGACGATGTCACTCTCCACTCCGAGATTCGCCCTTCGACGCATGTCTCTGAAAAATAAGCCATTTTTAGCGCGAGTTACGTAACACTGAGATCATCCCAAAGAGTGATATCCCGAATGTTCCCTCCGCTCGGGGCGTCGCGAAATCGAAATAACGGCTCCTTGTCCTTGGTCAATTTCTCCTAACAGTTGCACAAATTTCAAGTGGTACTTGCTCTTGGCCAAGTTTATCAATTTTTTCGGCATTTTAGAAACATCGTTGGATTCGTGGCTCAGTTAACTAGGTCGATTGTGACGTAATTTGAGAATTCAGCATTACTTTTTAATAATTAGAAAGAGAGGATTTTTTCGTGGTCGGTCATAAATTTCAGTCATATTTGTAGCTGAGGTTATTTTCGTCAAATTTCAGAAATCGGAATTATTGACAGAGCTGGCTTGATTCCAAAAAATTGTCTAAATTTTAGACATTTTTGTTCAATTGTCAATTGACAATTGACAATTGACAATTGCACAAAATTTGACATTTTCACGTAAAGTAGTCTATTTCATATAAGGTTAGAATTTGGCAGTTAGGTTGAAGAAGAACGAGCTATTGAACTTGCAATTATACGGCTAGGAAGATTCAAGAGGCAGTGATAAATTATTTAAAAAATATTGGTCACCAAATGTCTATTTTTCTTTTGATTTACAAATACAAATTTTATAAGCTAGATATCTTATTATTACTAATAAAATATGAAATAGTGCATATAATTAATCGATCTATAGACTATAGTCTATAGTTGATAAGCTCACCCCAGTTTCCGGCCTCATGAAGTTCAAGGCTTCGAATTAGCACAGAAATAATGAAAAAGTATATATATAATATATATTTTTACTAATATCTTATATTAAAATACAAGTATATTATAATATAATTTATATATATAAATAGATCATCATGTTCCATTTTATTCTTTTCAGTAAAACCTTTCTAAGTATAAAGCCTAAATAATACTATATCAAGAAGGCTTTAACGTACAGTCGATCAAACTATTTGATGTTCTCATTCGCTCCTTAGGAGGTCGCATTCTCGATCTTATTCCATTCTTCTTCAGACAAGCTCTTTTTGAAGTCAGGAGTCAAAGAAACGCCAGTTTCTCCAGAGGAAGCAAGAAGTCTTCCGATCGCGGTGAAGATGCTACTTTGGATGTTTTCGTCTTCGGATTTGACGAATCCCATGAAAATTGGCAGCAGCTCCTTGACGAAGCCTTCGGCAGATTTTGCTCCTAGTTTCTGGAACAAGTCCCCAATGATGCGGATTACTGAGGCTTTTGAGCAGGCGTCGGGTTTTTGCAAATATTCAATTGCAGCGGGCAAAATGTCGGCTAAACCGTTATCGATCATGACCTGCGGGTCAACTCCTGCAGCTGCAAGGAGGAGAACACCACTGCCATCAAGTATATCTTGCTCGATTTCCTCGGCGTTGAAGAACTTTCCGTCGAAGAACTGGCCATCAAGCTTGGCGTCATTATCATCTTCTTCATCTTCATTCTTCTCCTCTTCTGAAATAAAAGAGTGAGTTTTAACTTAAATCTAGTTCACCTACCAATCATGCAAGCCAGCTCTCCCTTCAATGCCATTCGAACAGTTTCCAAGATTCCTTTCGTATGAATTGGTTTCTTGAAAGCATCGAGGACCTCGTGAATTTCATTCAAAATTTGAAGGGCGCAATCGTGCTTAGCGTCAGTTCCAATTTTCTTAATACCGATGGAAACAGCATCAAATAGAGGCGTTTCGTTTCCAGACGTTTTCTGGATGACATGGCCCATGTGGATCATGGCGGCGCATGCGAATTTACTTATATCGCCGGTGTAAGAAGCGGTGACGTTCTTGCATTTCTCGAAGAGATCGGTGCTGGCGGCGGCGAGATGATCCGCAATTTTCTTGGCCATAAGGGTGAGAGCGTGGATAACAAACAACTTTTCTTCAAGGAAAAAGAAGTTCAAGTCGTTTTCCATGATGAATGCTGCGATCTCTTCATCGGCATGGGCGCAGGTGTCCTCGTTGTCTTCATCGACGCCCGCCATGTCAACATGTCGCCCCTTGAAGTATAGAGAGGTGGATGTGAGGGTTGTAGCTAGGCACTCGAGAATGCGAGGGACAGCATCAAGAAGGTCACGAGGGGAGTTCTTTAGGCACACAGTCGCGCAAGCCAGTTTCAGAGCCGCACGTCGCATCTCAGACTCATTTTCATGAAAAACAAGTTCTCTGGTTAGAGAAAGCGACTTCGCGGCGAATGGCACAAAAGCTTCTTGTGCTGCTGTAGCGACAGTAGCCATCGTGTCCAAAGCAGAAGCCTGCAGAGCATTCTCATCGGCGTCTTTGGAAACACCAGCAGCAGTCTCGGGCAAGAGCAATTCGAGCATCTGGACGGAATCTTCGAGATGTGGCGCGATAACGTCGTCAGGCATTTCCGCGATGAAAGTTGCAAGACACATGACAGCATGAGTAGCGGCTTGGCATTCCTGAGAGTTGCCCATTTGGATGAACCGTTTCAACGAGCTCATAAGAGATGGAAGAAGCTTCTCGATTTCATCTTCGACTCTTTCGTCTTCCACTGTGGAGAGAAAGCCAATGCAGTAAAACGCCTTCTCCAGTTGGTTGTGCTAGAAAAAGAGAGATCGGTCATTAATCAATCTGATAAAGGGTACCTTCACGAGATCCTCTGGAGATTTTTCCATCATTCCGATTGCCAATTCAAGAACTCCCGGGGCGAAATCAGCCATCTGCTCATGCATTTGCTCGGCAAATTGGCCCAGAGCGTAAAAAGCTGCTTTCTGAAGGGTTGGAGAGTCGGTTCGAAGGGCATCGCAAGCGAACTTTGATATGAATTCGGTGTGATCCCCAAGAGCACCAGCGCATCCTTCACAGACATGAGCAAGAGCAGAAAGAGCTGCAAGTTTCTGACTAGCTTCGCCTATTCAAAAGAAATGTTGAAGATGAAGCAAGTTTTGGGCTTTACCTTCCGATGCACTGGTGGCAAAGTCCATCACAACGCTGGAAACTTCCGTATCCGGAAGCTTGTTCGAAATCGTATCCAGCAGGCGAAGTGAAAGAGATCGAGGAGACTCTTCTTCTTCTTCGTCAGTTTCGTCCGCTTCTGTTAGAATAGAGAAGCAAATATGCATAAGATCCTTGGTGATATTTAACTCCTCGATCACATCAGATTTGTTGAAGACTGCTTGAATCAGGAAATTTCCCGCGCAGCAACGAAGGGTAACATCTATTTATTAAATTTAGATACGGTAGTTCCTTGGCTTGGCAACCTGTGTAGAAAACCCGAGTCATGGCCTGAAAAAGGGTTAGGCGAACCGGGGTAGCGGCGAAGCTTGCTAGGCGGCTTTATATTTAAGCTTTTTCAGGCCCTGACTCAGGTTTTCTACACAGGTTGCCAGTACCAGATATATCCGAATCTTCCAAAAACACTTACCAGTTTCGGTTCTACCGAAAACCTTCGCAGAGAGACACTCGATGATATCCGCATCAAGCAGATTGGCCGGGCAATCAAGAGCCGCTTGGAAGACGTCAAATACCTCAATAGCGTCATCAGTTGCATCGCCAGTTGCAGCGACGGATAAAACTGCAGCAACAGAGTTTTGCAAAATAGACTTGGCAGCGACTTCGTTTCCTTCCAGGACCGCTTTGCACAGCGAACTCGGCGCGTTCTTATCGAAGCTGTTCGAGTTGAGTTCGACTTGCGATGTTTCACCCTTCATCGTAATAAAAGCGTTCTTCAACTTTCTGAAAAATAATAATTTTATCAGGATGATTAAAATCATTCAGAATCTTATCGCAAGATGCAGACTGTAAGCCAGATCATGAACTCCCTAATCTATCTCTTCATAAACCAAGTCGCACTCGGTTATTGTAAAAGTCTCTTATGCGTAGGCGAATTAAAAAACTTTGTGATGAAATTTGAACTCGTTGAATAAATAAACAATTTAAATTTTAAGTTATTATAAGGATTTCTTAGGAATCAAAGACAAAATGATTTTTACATTTAAACACTTATAAATATTCATGAATTAACTCGTTTATCGTATTATTTTAGATTGGATAACGTCACAATTTAATTCTGACCCACAATCGTCAATGATACGTGAAAATCACTTTTGCGGAGCGATATTCTACCCCCATATTTCTTGTGCTCATTAGAAAGAGCAACTCCTAAGGAGTCAAATGGTATACGTTTGAGGGTCTGAGTCATCACATATGACGTCATAAGGACCATCCTTTGAAAAATGGTCATGTCCCCTGTATCTCCGAAAATTTTCAGAGATATATGGAGATTTTGGTATCGTTGGAAAGCCGGGCTCAAACTGCTATGAGCACAAGGTGTGCAAGAAAAATTTTGAGGAAAATTTTTTTCGGAGACAAAAACTTTTCGCCCAAATTTTTTTCGGAATTTTCTATTGCGCATCTGGTGCTCATAACCAGTTTGAGCTGAGCTTTCCAACGATACCAAAATCTCCATATATTTCTGAAAATTTTCGGAGATACAGGGGACATGACCTGACATTTTCAGGTACTTTAGGCACTAGAATTGGCGATTTTCCGTGGCTTCGAGACATAAATATTGTACCATTCGACTCCTCAGAAGCTGCGCTACAAAATGAGCCCAAAATATTGGGGTCCCGATTTTGCTCCGCAAAAGTCATTTTCATCTATCTCAATCGATCATTACAGTTTGCAATTATCACGAAAAAGATGCTTCTTTTATATAAAAATAGAACTTTATTGATTAGTACAAAATATATAATATCGCAAAAATCTTCGCAGGCGTTAAGAAGGCACAGTTTCTTGAGTGATGAAAATACTCGAATCGAGGGGCGGTTCATTGGTTGCGCGCGGCGTCTCGTTTTGGCTTTTCAAAAGTACGATTTCGGACAAAACTGATTTTCCTGATCCACTTCTGATGCTTGCCCCGCTTCTCACTTTTTCTGGCGGCATTCTGGAACGAGTTAGGGGTGATTGAAGAGCGGTTTTACCTGTGAGAGTGGAGAGGAGGCAAAGGCGGCTTGGACAACTTGATTTGCTCATTGTCGACTCCGTTCATTTTTGCAAAGAGAAGACGAATTACTCGCTCCTTCTGCTCCCACGTCAGATCAGAAATGTCTGTGTTTGGAGGCACGTTGTTCCAGTCCGAAGCATAGGCAATGTCTTTTTGAACTGTATTTGTCGAGTTGTAACCGCCCTTCGAGAAAGTTTTCACCGGCGGCGCTGCTCCCTAAACTCAGTTTTTAAATCTGTTTAATAAAAATTTATACGTCTAAATGACGTGACGGAGTATTGAAAATTCCTACAGAAAATTCCAAAATTAAGCTCTTACCCTGCCCGTAGCTGCTGCAGCCATTTGTGCGTGATACTGAGTCTTTGTCGATTTGACATAATTCTGTCTTGAGTCTTTGATCCTTTCCGCCACTTCGTCCAGGGCCTCGATGAAAAACCGCTCCATTTCTGCTCGCTCGTCCACAACTTTCTTAGCGAGCGTTTTAACTCTTCTATATTCTAGCTCTTTTCGCTGTAGCTGAAGACTTAATCTCGCAATATCGGCCTAAATCAATAAAATTAGCGATTTTGAAATCAAGGAAGAGAACGGCACCTGATCTGAAGCTGATTGTTGGACAGATTTGTGGAGCACGAGCGCGCGCTCATTCTTATTCTCGCGCTGCTGCTCCTTCAGCTGATTGTTAAGTGTCTTGATCTCGTGCATCAGATTGCGAATGTGGTCCTTGGCTTTCTGGTATTCGGCCACTTTCTCGCGCGCTGTTAGATCACTAATTTCAAGCTCTTGGTTGATCGTCTTGATTTTTCGCTCGAGTTTCTTGTTCCGCTCGCGCAGTGCCTTGTTCTCGTCGATGTGGTAGTTCATCACCTCGGACATTGAAACATTGTCGCGGAAAACCTAAACGATCGAGCTAGAAGGGCGAAAGACAAGTAGAAACCCAGGAGAGCAACCTCAAGGCGCTATGAAGGGGCTAGGCTCGGCAACCTGAATATACCGCGATTGGCATTTCTGACTGACTGATTCTGATTTTCGAGTGAAACAGCTAATCAACCAATTAAAATTTGACTCTAGTGTCTCTTCTTTGAGAGTTCCGTCAAACCAGTGACGCCTACGCAATCTACGTTACAAATCTCCTATGTTTTTAGCATGGAGAATTGTAACGTCAATGTGCATCTTTCAAAAATCAGTCAGTCAGGACTGCCAATCGCGGTATAACCTGAGTCAGGGTCTGAAAGAGCAAAATGAAAAGCAGCGTAGCGGCTTTCTTTAGAAACGAAGAACCTGACTCAGGTTTTCTTCCCAGGCCCCATCACCATCGGATATTTCGCCATTTGGAGAAAGACTTACTTTTCTAGTGGTTTCATCGAGGCCCGCAATGGCTTCTTTTTGAGCAAGTTCAGCGTACTGTGCAATTTTTTGACTAGCCTGAAATATTATTAAATTTTCTGAAAAGAAATTCGTTTATGACCTCATTTTCCATTTTCATTTTTTCGACAAAGAATTTATGCTCCATTTTTTGCTTATTTTTCGTGTTGAGAGTTCGCTGCTCCTCGAGCTCGTTGCGCATGTCTTTGATTTCCTCCATCAGCTGCGCCTTTTGCTTGCGGAACTCTTTGACTGCATGCAATTCGCGTTGGAGCAGCTCGACTTGCTTCTCCTTTTCGGCAAGTTGGTCTTCCCACGTTTTGGTTTTCGCATTGTATGTCGACTCGATCTTTTCACGCTCCTTTTCTGTCTAAACCGATTTAAGAAAGAAGGCCTTCATTTGGCTGAACTTACGATTTGCTCGAGTTCGGAAATTCGTTTATTCAGTTCTCGAATATTTTTGAACTTGGCGATATCCTCGCGCTTCAGCAGCGAAATGATATCAATCGTGTCCCTTTCGGCCTGATACAGCGAGTTGGAGATCTTTTCGTTCTCTGCGGCTAGTTTTTGACAAGTTTCTCGGTAATCATCGCGCTAAAGGTAAAAATCGTCGTATATGCTCTTCTTGCTAAAAAGAAGTTACCTGGCGCGTGCAGAGCGAAAGATTTTGCTTGCAAAGAAGGGCATTTGTAATGGCATTTTGGAGTTCTTCGTCTCGATTGACCACTTTTTCTCTTTTTTGGCTCCTTTCTTTCCCTTCCCACCTTTTTTGCCTCCTTTTTGCCCTTTTTGCCATTCTAAAATTGATAAGAGGGTCAGATACAGCATTTGATTTGGTAGGAAGATGTTTAGATAGTAATAACTACAATTGTTTACAGAAAAGAGTATTTATACGGAAATTGGCAGGAAGACATTACAGAAGACATAATTTGTAAATAGATTAATATGAATAGGTAAAAACATTCGGATTTTGGGTGATAAAGTTTGGTCAAGTTGATTTGCGCTTGTCGGAATTGCGGAAGTGGATCTTGACCGTAGCATAAATATGAGATAAAATGAACATTCCGTTGGCCGACCAGTGCCGGTTGTCGAACTCGATCGCGCAGCAGAGCATCAGAAGTACGAAGATGAAAAAATTAAAGAGACGGCGGTAGGAGAACCAGAAGATCATCAACCACACCTAGTTTTTAACTCATCTCTCTATCTTCCGGCGCTAGAAATACCTGAATAAGACACAGTACAAGAGTGCCTTTGAAGGTCAAAATGTGGAGATGCTCTTCGGCGTCTGTGTGTCGCTCTAAGTTCCATCTCTTCCACTGATGCGTCGCTATTTGATGTCCACGGGCGAAGCTCAACGCTCCAGCAACAAGGGCTGAAATCATCGCGAAGACATCATGTACTGTTGGCGGCGGTAAACGGACGATACAACTGGAGGCAGTTCTGAATAGGTATTCAAGCTAGAATCAACCCTTTCAGATGATTTTTCCGCTTACCTTGACTGTTGAAATTTTGATTGAAGAAGTTCAGTGCCCCGTTTTTTGCCCATTTCGAGTTTGATTTCTTTCGGCTGAATAATTTGCGGCTTGTTTTGCGAAAGAAACGACTCGGACTGCTTGAGTTCTTCATTGGAAAACTGGAGCACCGCCTTGTTGAATTTTCTTCGTAGACTTTCGACGACTGCATCAAAATCGATGAAGGCAAATGGTCTTTTGGGAACAATAATGAGCTGTTCTAGAGAGAGTCCTACCTCTGGGCGGCGATGACTTTGTTCGGCTCATAATGGGAAGAAAAGCTGTCAATGACGAGCTTGAGAAAACAAAAGGCCTCCGTCTGACTGGTTCTAGAATCGATCAAAACAACCACTGCGATCTCGCCATCGACTTGCCAGCAGAGGTTGTAGCCTCGATTGTGGGCGGTGCAGGTGTTCTTGAATTCTCGCAATCGGGTTGAAACACCCTTTGTCAGTCGCTTACAGTCGATCAAAGCTAGACAAGAATTTTGAAGACATAAAAGAGAACATATTAATTTCTGGGAAATGCTTTACTTTTTCGGGGGAAGGCATCAAAAAAGCGATTTTGAGAAGACTTTTCTATAAGTGCTTGTATATAATTGCCATTGGAAATAATTGCAGATAACGAAACTACATAAATACAGAAGTCCATGATAGTTCCGACTCAATAGCTCTAATCTCAATAAAAAGCTGCAGATAGAAGCGCTTAACAATTTAAAAAGGCTCGTAAAATGAAATACGAGAACTTTGACGTCGAAGAAGAAAATCCATCGTTCTTCTGGCGAAATACAAAGACAAGACCAAAAAGAGCAGCAGCATTTATAAGCTTTTTGATCATTATTTCAGCTTCAGCTGGCATTTATGCTCATTTACTAAATGCTTCGAAGAAAGAAAAGCTTTGTGGAAGTCAACCATGTCAAAATTCTGGACATTGTGTAAGACCGTCAATCCGGTCAACTTCACGGGATACCATGGGAAATATCGCGCGACCAAGAACCGAAAAATATGAGCCACAACCTAGATGTTCCTGTCTTCCCGGCTTTCGTGGAGAATTTTGCGAAAAAACGCCCTGCACCGAAAATCTTTGTCAAAATGGCGGAACATGTACTCTCAGGCTTTCGAAATGGGGAACGAAGTCTTTAACTGTTTCTCATTGCCTATGCACCCCTGACTTTTATGGCACATATTGCGACTATGCTGTTCTAGTAAATACTTCGGCTTCCTGTACAACTGTAATAGCTTGAGATCAAATTATATTGCAGATCTAATAATCCTACCTTTATCCTGACTGTACTCAGTCGAAGCAGCAATCGGCAGCCCATCCGAAGCTCTGTACAACGAAACCGAAATTATCATAACCGGCGCGGAAACATCTGAAATTTTTTTTGCGTTAAAACAGTCAAAACTCAATTTTGATACACATTACATTGTGTCAAAATAAGAAAAAATCAGGCAGAAAATATTTAAAAGGGATTATATATATAATTTTCAAAAACGGCAGATTCATAGTAGGTAAACGTCTGGTAACAAAAAAAAACAGTATAATTTCTTAAAGCGAAAACTTTTTTGGTGAAACTTGTATTTTGTTTGGTGAATTTTTTAAAATATATTTTTTTTTCTAAAATCTCTTTCTAAACCAACACGGATTGAGCTGGGCAACGAGGAATTAATGAAAATAGTAGAAAATTAAAATCGAATAGGCTATAAGTATTTTAATTCATTTTTTGATGATGCGAATAATTTATATTTTTCGAGTTATTGCACCTGTGAATTGGCAGAGTTTTATTTAGTTGTATATTTCGGGCTGGAGGCTCAAAGCGACAAAGGCTTGCGACAAAATTTGCGTAGGCCTTTATTCAGCTGCTTATTGGTTGGTCCAGCGAATACAGACTTCTGATTGGCTACTTAGATTCCACAAAATTTGGTAACCGGTGAAAATAATTCGTTGGAACGAATAAAACAGGTTTTTTTTTATACTGACGCAAATTGGTGGAGCGTTTTTGAATACCTTCAACTCAACAAACCTGTTTAATTCGTTTTCCTAACGAATAATTCGTTACATACCGAATGATTCGTTGTTTCCAACGAATGATTCGTTTTTTAAAACGAATAACTCGTTTGTTTTTGTTTTCAAGCCTGACCCTAACCCTAACCCATAAACCTAACCCTAACCCTAACCTAGCATAATCACTACCTAACTGCTTAAATCAGGGTATATATGCGCTCCGCGCCTGATTTCAGAGATAAGCTCCTTTTTGAGTATGCTGTCTTTCTTTCAGCCGCGCCTGTAGTCAGTTTTTTTTGTAGTCAGAACCTAGCGGGAGGACAGCCTTTCGGTAACCCTAACGAATTATTCGTTAGGGCAACGAATAATTCGTTGCAACGAATTATTTTCACCGGCGACGCAAAATTTGCCATATTTTCTGGAAATTATTAACTAACCAGAAGTCTGTATTTTGCGAACTGGGCAATGGGCAGTCAAATAGACGCCTACGCAAATTTTGTCGCAAGATTTTTGTCGGGTTGTGTCTCAAGTCCGTTTTTTATGATAATAAGGTATCGAGGTTGATTTGGGGCTATGAATTCTAAAAGAACAAGTGTGATGTCACTTTGATATGGAAATTAGCGTGGAAGGCGTGTGTTCCAAAATCGCCGCCCTCAGCGTCTCCAAAAAAGGGATGATGCGGTGGTCTTCGTAGCACAGGTTCAGGAGCGAGCTCGTGTCGCTGCTTCTGGCGAGCGCTAGTTTGTACTGAAAGAGCTTCCCGTCGAAGAAGTTCCAAGGATAAGTGTACTCGGGAGGCAGTGGTTGGCCGCAGATGTCGTTGGCGAACGATGCGTGTTCGCAGCATCGGATAAACATGGAACTCAGGGCGACGCCTCGATCCGTCAAAGCGGGGTCTAGCTTTGATGTCATCGCTACAAATATTGTTAGTTAGCGAATAACAACTGCCAAAAAAGCTTGGATCCCATTTTCAGTTCTACTCACCAACATTACGTAGATTTGGCGACAAGATAACAGACAGGAAGACATTAATGTCCATCAGTCGTAAAAGACTTCCTGGCTGCTGATTCAAGTATCGTAAAACGATCAATGGAATTACTAGGTTTGGCTGGAGCTCGGCGAAAAAGGGAGTATCGCTGAGAAATGTGGAAATGAGCGCTCGGACTCGGCGATTGTAGTCTGTCGGCCGCCGCGAAAGCCACAACACTTTTAAATCCGGCGTTTTCCATGTTTCGATCGGAAGGGCTCGCACCAGTTTCGGTACTCGATTGTTTGGATGCCACTCCCTAGAAAAGGCTAGAATGATAGAAGGAGGCGGTGGCTTACCGAATGAGAATGGGGTCCATCTTTCTCTTCTTTCTGTATTCCTTCTGTATTGAAGAAGATATCGAGAAGAGGATTCCGTAAAGAATCTGTCGTAGAGGCTTTGTTACTTCTAGCGAGCGCACTAGATATTTCCTGTGGACGAGATCCTCCAGTGCGCCGGTAAAGAAGACCTCTCCATTTGACAGTAAAGGCTAGAAAAAGTAGTTAGGAAGGAAAGCAGGCGCTATGATTACATAGATCCAGGGGTGGAGCTGTCCAGAAGTATGAAGCTCTTGAGCAATTTTGAGAATGTTTTTCTTTGGCGGAGGTAGTTTCGCGCTCCACTCGGGCTTCGTTTGGAAAATGTCGGAAACGAGGCGGATTTTCTCCGCTTTTTCGCTTTTCACTTCGACCTTTGGGGCTGCTCCGGCTTTGTGGGCGTCCTTCTTGCTCGCTGGCTTCGTCACTTGGAGATTGGCGCAGCTGAAGAAGTCGAAGGCAGATCGGAATTTCTCCGATTTGGATTTGTGGTCGGAGTGAGTCCAGAACTCGGCTATTTTGGCAATTATGGAATTACAGACGTTCGTTTCGTCGTGCTTCTTTACAAAATTCAACAGGCCGCTTATGTACATCTGGGAGGCCGTCCAGTCTTGGTGCTTCTGCCAATTACAGTCAGTTTAAAATCAGATGAGCGTTCTATTAACCTGTAGATATTCTGGATCAACGATGGTCATGATTTCATGCCTCGGGAGAATATGGTTGCCAGAGAGCGCCAGAAGCGCATATTTCTGCGCTGACGAAAGTTGAAGTTGGGTGCTCAGTTCAGCCAGGTCGATTCTAGAGCACCTGATGCTCGTTGATTCGCAGTCGAGGCGAAAGTTGGATGCTGATAGCAATTTGATTGAGTTAGGTAATTTCGGATTGAATATGTAATACTGAAAAGAAGGTGTTAAAAGCGAGCTTCAGATTCTTGCTCTTACTTTGTCGCTGGTCACAAAAGCAGAATGCGGATGGGTTAATAGATATTCGAGCATTTCATTGCGATGGTTAACACTTGAGGTATAAGTTTGGAAGCCGTAAAGCCTCAGAGCCCCTGAATTTTTGATTAAATTTCAAGAATAACAGCTTGCTTAACCTTTCAAGGACTGTTGCAGAGTAGGAGGATGGATAAACCAAGCTCTGGGGGGCGGAGTTCCCTTCCGTTGAATGTGGTTCCAGATCCGGCTTACGTTGTCATTTACTCGCTTGTTTACTGCATTCCAATCGTAGTAGCGCGAAATCTGAAATGGCAATTTGAAAACTCTTTCGTATCTTGCAGATCTTACATCAGCAGTTCCGTCAAAAAAGAAGACGAATTCGATATTTTTCTGATTGGCGACGGCTCTAATCAGCGACAAATGTACAACCATCTCGTTCCATTGCCCACCACATGACCAGTCCACGAATTTCGAGCCATACAAGCGGCTGAGGCAGCAATCGACATCGATGACAACACTGATTATCAATATATAAACGAGGCGAGAGTCGTTTTATCTTACTGTTTATGGCGGCGATTTGCGAATAATCCTCCTAGCTGGATATCGATAAAGCATTTCGGAAAGAGCTTCTCGAGATTTTCATATAAATCATCCGGAATCATAACCTAGGTTCAACAAAATCGCCCGAAACCAAGATCGGGTTTTATCGGGTTTTTTAGGAGATCGGGTTTTGTTGGATCGGGTTTTGTTGGATTTTATCGGGTTTTTGTCGGGGCCGAAATCGGGTTTTTATCGGGTTTTTTGTCGGATTTTTGTCGGGTTTCCAACGAGCAAAAATTTAAAAAATCAAGTCAAAAGAAGGTCAAAAACTTGTCTTGGGCGGTTTTTCTTTGGTCAACGACAATTTTCGAGTATCATTTCTAATAATATTTAGATTTTTGTACATTTTCCCATTGTACATCTCCTTATACAATAAAAACGCCTGGTCTAATACGGTCAAATATGCCATGGGCTTGAAAATAGTGGGAGTCAACCTAAAAGACTGTTCTACTAAAGCCTTCAAGCTCAGGCGGTCTCTGAAATTCTGTCCTCGAAATGGATCGCCGATTGCCAGGGACATCGCCGAATTTCATTCTCTTGCCAGAAGATTATCTTTGGTAAGATTGATGTGAATGTCCTCTAGAGCTCGTTCTCTACCTTTTACCGGTTTCGGAGGCAGTTCTCATCTATTTCGAGTGCATTTTGAGTAAAAAAGGGCAAGGGAGGCTTTTCAGACCGACTGTGATTGGCTGAAAAGGCAAGAAAAACCCGACGAAATTCCGACAAAATCCGACAAAAACCCGATCCTACGTCGGGTTTTGAAATTTTCAGGATCGGGTTTTGTAGGGTGAAAAACCCCGACAAAACCCGATAAATATCCGATCCGATATCGGGTTTTCCGGGCATCGGATTTCGATTTGTTGAACCTAGATCATAACTCAGCCATATCTGGACAAGAAACAGTTATTCTTCTGGTATTCTATCTTTATTGAAACAGGTTTTATTCTTTTAGAACAAGCGGACACTGTCTTTTGTATAATATCATTAATGATGGTATGGCAAGCGGGTCAATTAAATAGTACATAAATAAGGGTTGAACGAGAGGAACACATGGAGTACATTCGAACGCGTATTTATCGGTACATGTCATTGAAGTGTCGACCGATGATTAATCTTCGAACTTCAGAAGTTCCGGCACCGATCTCGTAAAGTTTAGCGTCTCGGAGGAATCGACCAGTTGGATAATCGTTAATGTAGCCATTTCCTAAATTGGTATAAGGGCGAGTCGATCTGGGCAATGGATACCTCCGAGGATTTGAATAGCGTCGAGGCAGACTTGGGTAGCTTTTTCAGCCGTGTAGAGAATGATGCCGGCACAATCGGCATTGTTGAAGTGGCCTTGATCAGCTGCTCGGGCGACTTGGTACAGGTACGATCTAAAAAGCAGCTGGTGGAAGCTATTTTCCTCAGTTTTTCTTACCGAGAAGCGCTCAAAGTAGTGTACATATCAGCAATCTTTCCCTGAAGAAGCTGGAACTTGGCGATCGGCTGGCCAAACTGCTTTCGCTCGTGAGCATATGGGATGGCAACGTCGCAGGCCGCCTGCATGAGACCAACGGGGCCACCGGAAAGGACCAATCGTTCGAGATTCAAGCCAGACATCAGGACATAAGCACCTTGGCCGATGCCGCCGAGGATGTTGTCTTCGTGAACTGCGACGTTTTCAAAAACGAGTTCGCCAGTAGGGCTGAAAATTGAGTCAAAAGAGACTGAAAAAACGCTTTCTTACCTTCCCCGCATGCCGAGTTTGTCAAGACGCTGGGCGCAGTGGAATCCTTCCGCGTTTCCGTCGACGATGAAAGCGGTGATGCCATGAGCAGGCTTGGCATCCTGGTCGGTTCGGGCGTAGATGATCATGGTATCCGCCATTGGGCCGTTGGTGATCCACATTTTCGTGCCGTTCAAGATCCAGTGATCGCCTTTCTTATCCGCTCGGATCTTCATCGACATGACGTCCGATCCGGAGCCGCTTTCAGACATGGCAAGGGCTCCGATGTGCTCACCAGAGATCAGTTTAGGCAGATACTTCTCTTTCTGCGCTTCGTTTCCATTTCTGACGATTTGGTTGATGCACAAGTTCGAGTGCGCACCGTAGGACAGAGCAATACCTCCAGCGATTCGACTCATTTCCTCCATGACAAGAGTATGCGCAAAGTAGCCCATGTCAGTACCTCCGTACTGCTCGGGAGCGGTGATGCCGTGGAGGCCCATTTCACCGCACTGGAGCCAGAACTTTCGGAAATCCTTAAAAACGTCGGTGCGGTCAGCTTCGTCGGCGTGCGGCTCGAGCTCGGCCTCGAAGAAGTTTCGGCACATGTTTCGCAGCTCGATTTGATCGTCAGTCAGACCGAAGAGGACGTCGTCGACGGGGATGCCGCCCAGTCGACGGGCTGGGACAGCAGCTTTGGTTGCAACTCGGAAAACGTTTCGCAGCATACTGAAAAGGGAGTGGAATGAGTGGTATTGGAATCTACGCGGTTTATTAGTCCATGAAAGAAGATTTCTCTATGGATTGTTAGTTAAATTGAACGGTTTCGAAAGGAAAAGAAGGATAAGAAATAAGGTCAGCTGATGAGATTCAAGCCTAGAATCAAGGTCAAAAATATTGTAATGTCTGGAAGGGGCAAAAATGAAGGGAGGAATAAATTACGACAAGATTTGCGTGGGCGGCTTTTCGCCTGAAAATAAGCTTTTTTACTGGCTCGGGATTGTCGCGCAAATTTTGTCGCTATTTTTCGTCGCTTCGAGAGTTAGGGGAGAAAAGTTGTACGGCTCTTTGTGGGTAGACTGCACCATGTGCATCTGCACAACAATTGGGTATATGAAGAATGAGTGGAAAGAATTCTCTTTGGATGATAAATTATTATAAATGAATAAGGAAAATAAGGTTGAAATAGCACTAACTGAGGGAGTTTTTCTTTACGAATTTGATTTCTTTTTGTAAAATAAAGGCTTGTTTTGGAAGAAGCATTATCCTGATCTTTCTTCATATAAATAAAAGAGAATAAGAAAGGCTTGCGAGAAATAGCATATGAAGAGAAAACGATATTCATACAGATTTATATAGCAGAGTCTGAGACAAGATGTGCATTACAGAAATTAATTTTTTTTCAGGACATATGACTTCTACGGTCATAGAAGGGCTGATAAGGCCAAAGGGTGTGTGTTTTTGGCACTTATCAAAATACAAATAGAGTATTTCGTCATTAAATAAGCAACAGCATTTAATTAAATATTCTGTTGGTCAAGCCATCCACTTTTGGATTCAGTGGCTGCTTAAAGTTGTCTAAATAAGCTGGAACGTAGTTTCGGTAGTCGTGCTCGTTTGTTTTCCAGTCCAAAAACGCTCTGAAGTCGACGTCTTTTTTCAAAATCCATTCCGCAAAATCTAATTTAAAATAAGTTCAACAATCGTCGTTAGTATGAAGAGCTTACTGTCATTAGGGCCGCAGAAATTGGGCAGCTCTTTGCCCTTAATTTTGTCGCTCTTTTTCTGGTCCTTTTCGGGCTTTCGCCAGTCGGGGTACTCGTGCTTCCAGCGTTCAATTTGATCAGCTTCGATCCACCCAGTGATGTCTTATTTACAGTAATAATCTAACCCAATTGAATTCTGGATCTACCTTTAGTCATGAAGTAGCAAGTCTGATTTCTGGCTTTCTCTGGCTTCAGAATCGGCGAAGTGATCCAACCAGTCGACATGTCTGGCTTCAAACATTCTTCCATTATTACTTGAGCTGCGTGAGTAATTCGGTCAACGATGGCATTTACTTTTTCTTCGCCAATTTTTCTCACTGAAAATTCTTTGTTACGTAACAGCATAAAGCGTTCACGCCCACCTTCTCGATCGAGCTTTCTCTGGAAATAATCGTAGAGGCGATAATCTGCCCAGTTGAAAGTTCTCAATCGTTTCTGGGAGTCTAAACTGATGGATCGTCCATCTGGCGTCATTCCGTTTAGCTAGAATTTGGTAAGAACTATTCAATGATGAATCTTACTTTTAGATGCATAACGTCCTCAACAGACCAGCATAACTTCAACATAAGGACCGCCAAGGACCTGTCTAGATCTTCGAGAATGATCATGTGATCGAAATCTTGCTCAATCTCATGAATCCACGCATCGACCAGCTGGAAGCCTCTTTGATAAGGCATGCTGAGCAAGTAAGACGGGTAGCCAAAGAACAAGAACTGCGGATTGACGACGAACAAGTAAGCGGAATGAGCGTAGTGGAACGATTCCAAATACTCCCAAGGCTTTGTCAAGAACTGGTCCATTTCGCCGTAGAAATTGGCGTTTTTGTTGTCATCTGCGCCCCTATCTTCCTCTAAAAGGTGTTTTTTGAATATAATGATAGCTGAGAAACTCACCTTTCATGTCAGCTCGGATTTTGACGCGCATTTCTTTAGTAAGACCGTTGTAGTACTTCCAAGAAGACATGAAGTTTGCTAAAGGATCTCGGAGAATACTGACTTTGAAGACGTCTTTTTCATGACTCGATCTACTGCTGTTCGATTGTACCTGAAAATACATTCAAGATGTGTTTTTTTTTTATCTGGGGTGGCAAAAATGTCAAAGTAGGAGGTTAAATAGGGTTATTGAGGCCCCTTTAGCTAATCAAAGACTGCTTCCCTCCCGGCTGGACTTGGCAGCCTGTGCAGAAAACCTGAGTCAGGGTATGAAAAAGCTTGAATACACTCTGACTCAGGTTTACTGCACTTATTGCCGAGCGAAGCCTCCAGGGAAATAGCCAGTAACTATCTCTACGTTTTGCCGAATCTAGGGATACAAACCTCATATGAACATAAGAAATGTCAAAGAGCGGACGATTTGGAATATCTCGACCCAGGAAGCAAAGATTCTCGTTGAAGGGAAGGTAACCATTTAAGAAAAACTAAACTTCGTTAACACAACTTTTGCGAAAAAACTCACCATAGCACCATTGTTACTCTCTCCCATCAAAAAGTTGTGTCCTTCTCGAGCAAAGCCGAAACGCATCAGAATGTTTGCAAATGTGGTTCCGCCAGTTTTCGACGTTTTTAAAAAGTAAACTGTTTCTTTTTTCGCGCAAGAGTCTTTGCCGAATTCGCCGATTTGCTCTTCAAGAGGGAGCTTTTTCCACCATCGCTGGGGGGAGGTGTCGTTGGAGGAAATGTATTGGTTCACGTATTTGATCTTTTCGACTTCGACGATCCTTTCGACTTCTTTTTGCTCAGAGTCAGGCAGGTTGTTTTGGAACTCTTCTAGCTCAGCGTGGATTGCATCTTTTCAACGGGTCTCGAAATGGTTGGAAAATAGGAATTTAGGGGCGGGAGACTTCTAATTCTGACCCTCTCCTGTAAGATCATCTTTAGTAAGAGCCTCTGGATTCGCCTCCAGAGACTTTTCGCTGAGCTCAAGCAAGTCCGCTTTAATCGCCTGAATTTCTTCAAGCAATTTAGGATAAATAGTGTCGGATAACGCCGAAGACTCTGAATTTTCGACAGCTTCGAACTCGACGAATTGGAAAGCCAACAAGCCGCATATTATCAGGAGGGAGATAAGTCCCGCTACAGTTGTGTTATTCATTTTCGGATGTTTACGATTTCACCAGCTATCTAACTTTTCATTCTAAAGAATAAACGATTAGTCGTTTCCCCGTCTCTTTTGAACATCTGGACAGATAATAAAAAAAAGATAAAATTAACGATTATATTTCCACTACTGACAATAGTTATAATTACCGCTTTGTTTTGACAACCAACTACTCATTCGACTCATCTAAACAACGAAATCCTTCAATAAACAAGCAAAATCTCCTTTATCCCTCAAGAATTAAAAAATATCATTTTAGAAAGTTCGGTCATTGAATTGTCTTTGGACTTAATTTTTTGGTGTTGAAGTTTGAACAGGCTCAACTTCAGATTTTGCTATTTTGGGTAAATGCGAGTCTGCCTCTTCTTTCGACGGTCGCTTGAGGGCTTCTTTGCGCTCAAATTCCTGCTTTTCCCATTGTTTTTCTGCTCTAACGCCGGTAAAGTCATGAACTTCCAGCGTTTTCAGCCACTCCACCATGCTTTCTTCCTCTGAAATTCATTTTTAAGTATTGATAGAAGAGTAGACATACATCTTTTTCCTACTTGAGAAGGCTCAAAATCAAGTCCGGCTAATTGTTTTCCATTCCAATTAAAAGTTCAATCTCACCTGTGTCCATCTTGAAAATGACCGGGAGAATATTTTCCTTTGCAAAATTATCCATGTCACTTTGCTTATCGCTCCATTCTAGCGTCTTGCGGTTGTCCGTCCCGTAATCCTTGTTGTACACATCGTAGTGCACTTGCCGCAGCACTAGTCCATTTCCCGGCGCCTTGGGGACGTCTTCAAAGGGTCTCTTGAACGCTCTCTCCCAATGATCATCCTGGCTAAAAAATCTTGAAAGATTGAATTAGGGAATCGAATGTCTTTGATATTTATTAAAATGCCACGTTTTCGGCGGCCGCATAACCCAACATAAGCGCCGTGCGAGAACTCTTGCCCGGGGCACCATCGCAAAGCCATTCGTACATCCCTCTCTGCTGGTGCTAGAATTTCAACAAGGGACAACGACATAACCGCTTATCTCGGCTTTAAAATTTGATAAAACGGGAAATTTTCTCAAAATAAATTTCAAGAGGTTCTCTTCCTTGATTTCAAAAACGATTGTGGCATTTCCGGAATGCGGCGAATGCTGATAATGAACTTACCAGTGATCCCCGGCTCTGGCAATAACTAATCCAACCATTTTTCTAATCTGGTGGATCATAAAACTCTGTCCAACAACCCTCAGCTCCACATATTCCCAATCATTGCAGATAAAAGGCTCTCCTTGAATCCGGAAGTCGAGAATGTGTCTCTTTGCCGACTCATCTCCTTCGAAAAAAAAAGGTCAGCTCAGAAGTTAATCGATAAAATCAGACCTTGACGCTTTCCTGACGTGAAGTTGTGATAAGATTTCGTGCCGGTGTACTTTTCAAGTAGGCTTTTGACGCATTCAAGTTTCTCGTTTTTTATTCTAAATGAACTTGGTCGATCCCAGTCTTCTTTGCTCCCGAAGCAGATTGTTGGGCAGTAGTAGCTGTAGGTTCTGTGAGTACATCGCTTCTTTGCGCAAAAGCCTGTTTTTTAGTTGGAAAAATTGAAAATGGAGAAAAATGATGATTCTTCTGAAAATTTGCAACTTTCCTTTGGTGACCAGTTCAAAGCCAGTGAGTCGAATATCGTCTGGCAGGTGTTTATTGACCAATTCGCACAGATTTTTCGGAATTTTACACTTCAACGAAGCAACATTCCCGATCGCCGAGACGCCCTAAATAGAGTTGAAATCTGAGATGGAGAAAGAAGTGGAATTTGTGTCTCTGTGATTTTCCCCTGGGCCGGGCTTTGGCGCTTCTTCTTTCTCAGTCACGGTGATTCTGGCGTAATCCGATTTACGAACGCGTCCAGTTAAAATAATACCGCGCATTATTTTGTTTAATTCAGCGGGAAATCAACCTTACTGCAGCTGGGCTTGACAGCCTGTGCAGAAAACCTGGGTAAGGGCCTGAGAGATCTAGAATCACTCCAGCCTATTTGAAAGATCTGGCGAAGCCGCAAAGCAGCTTCGTTCTTAAAGCCGCTACTCAGCTTGTCATTTAAATCGTTTCAAACCCTGAGTCAGACTCTATTTCTTTAGCAAGTCTAAATGATTACCTTATCAGTTCTGCTGCAGGATTGATATGCACATTTCTTCCTATCTGTAATAACATTAGAGTAGACAACCTTTGCAGCGACAAGGGCCTGGAAAACTCGTTTTTCAATCGTATCGACCTTGTCGTCTCCAGGGTTGTGTTGAAGGCCGTGGTAGTTTTTGCCACAGTATGATAGGAGAATCGCGATTTTTTTCTGCAAAGAATGATGATCAGAGTCATTGAATCGCGAAAACTACCTTTGGTCCATCAATAAGAGTCTCCTTATCCTTCAAAGATCCGTTTCCTCCATCCGTCCACTGCCGCGACTTTTTCTGTTTTACCAAATTTTTGTAATCTTTTTTCGAGCAATTTCTTGGAATCGGAATTGGAACGCCGTTAATATCCGTTTCTTCCTTTATTTCTTCCTCTATTTCTTTTTTAACTTCTTCGCTCTTCTCTTCCTTATCTCTATTTTCAGTTTTCTCATCGCTCACATCTGCCATTCTACAAAATTAGCGGGTCAGCGTCTCGCTGAATAAATTCTAACTTTATTATGCGGCAGTAAAAAATTTTGCGCCAAAAGGAACTTGCAAGCGCTCTTTTCTTCTCTTCAAGAATCGCTCAGATATCGCCACAGACCTTTGAAAAGGATCCTTTGTTTACTCCGATTGGATTTACGATTTGGGGATTTATCGGTCCGGGAGTTGTTGTCGGTAAAATTTTTACTGTCACGATGGTGAAATTAAATACGGCAACTTCTCAGGAAAGAAAACGTCCAAAACCAAAACAACATATTGCCAGCTGAGCGGGATCTTTTTGTTTTGATGCTTTTCGCGCATTCTTGAAATTTGAAAATTCTGCCTTAAGGACCCCCCCATCAAGAATCGCGAAAATAGGGCATCTTAGTGAAAGTTTTTCTCCAAAACTATCTTAGCTAGACCCTTAATTTTTATTGGATCCTTTAGATCGAACCCTCTACTGCAACCGTTCCCCTTAAGATGATCTCTCGACGCCAAATTTAAGGGTATACAGGCCGTTAAAGGTAAAGTTGCTTAGTGAACGTTTTTTTCGGGGTTTTCGTTGGGGTATGCCCTTAATTTTTTTTTCATGGTAAAGTTAAGGCCCTAAGCTACGACCGTTTGCTTTTTGAGAGTTTTTTGTCTACAAACTTAAGGAGGACAGCCCCTTTAAAATTTTATAAGTCGAATCTTAGTCGAATTTCAAGATTTACATTTTCAGTAATCATTGCCTAAATTGCCCTGAATTACGTTTTTATACTCGTGTTTATGATAGAAATAGTTTTTATGGTTGGTAAACCCTTAATTACCATTAAAAAATAGCGAACTAAAGATTTTTATGAAATGTAAAAAGTTAATTTTCAATTTTTGAAGTCAATTTCTGCCAAAATTTTCTATAAGATCAAAAAAATTTTCTGAATAAAAGTTGTTCCTCGTGGTCAAAACTACCCAAAAAAGCAAAAAAATTTTGAAAATTTTGACTTTTTTCATCTTGATGGGGGGGTCACAAGTGTGATTCATTTTCTGCTTTTTCATGAAACAACAAGTGAAATATCTTTTTAGTTAAATCGATATTTTCAGTAAAAACTTTTTGAAATCATGTTTTTATTAACAAAAACTTTTTTGCATCGGAAAAAATACACTAGAATAAAAAATAATATTGAATGAGCTGTTTTTTTGTACGAAGACATTGATTGTGTTGCAATTTTTTTCATGTAAACGGATAAAAGATGTTGATAAAAAAACAATTGAACTGTTGGGGATAAGTCTAATAAAGTGACAATAATTAAAGTAATTACTTGTTATATTTGTTATTTAGCAATTTTTTTTTTTGGAAAATAAAAAAATGCGAAATTCTGTTTTTTTATATTTGATAAATATAATTAAATTTAATTTAATTGATACATTGATGAAGGCTGAGGTACATGATAAGAATTTTAGTCTTTTTTCTTTTTTGGATGAATGAATAAGAAAAAAAGAAGAGTTTACTAGCGAAGATGAGATTTGTGTGATCAGTGGTTGATAGCCTCTTGAATTTGGACGAGGGAATGAACTTGAATGAAGCTAGACGGAAGCAGCTGTTTTTAGGTCTCTGAAGCAGGAATTTGCGGATTTGCGGTGGCTTCTTCTGGCTCGCTATTATCTGAAAAACAGGGCTCAAATCAACTCGTCCCATTTCAAATGTAATTAGTACCTGGGGAAACATCATCGTCAGCGCAAATTGGACTCGCGGATCTATCAATCTTCCCTTCCTCCGTTTTGATGACTTCGAGCAGTTGATCGATTTCAGCCTGGAAAGCTTCATTCGAGAGGTCTTCGTTGATTTCCTCTTTATCCTCTTCTGTTCCCTCGATTTCTTCGTTTTCAATCGGATCAAAGCCGTTTTCGACGATCGTGCTTGCATTGGACGACAAACTTATCGTGTCTTCGTCTTTTTGAACCGACTGAAAATGATGATTATCAGTTGAAAATAAAATGAGTCTACCTCAATCTCTAAAAACGATTCTTCATTTTCCGACCGCTTATTCTCCTCTGCTAGCTCTTTTTGTCGAGAATCAATGGCATTTTTGACCATTGCTTCGATGAAATCATGGAACGGGGGTCCGTCGACGACAGGATCGGATTCGTCACTGCATTTCTCAGAGCCATCGTTCGAAAGGACGGTGTCATTGGAAGCTGTGCTGCTAGTTTCTGCCGATTCATCGTCAGATTCATCAGAAACAGCGATTTTGGTGGGCAAAGGGTCGGTTTTTTCAACAGGACTCAGCATATCAAGCTTATGCGATCCATTTCGCTGAGAAAGAGCTAACAAGGAGCTAAAATTTTATTGAAAAAAAAGTTGAAAGAGGTAGTTTTACCGAAGACCCTGATTTTCATCTCTAAGTTGCTTCAACTTCGTTTTAGCTTGAAGATACGAGTCGTTGTCTGTGGGATACTTGCTCGCCGCCATCGTCATAATTGTGATCATGTCTCCAACTCTATCCGCCAGCTTTTGGTTTTCCTTCTAGGAAAAATGATGAGCAAATTAGTCGGTTCAAAGGGAAGTTGACTTACTCTTAGTTCATAAGTTTTATTCGCAGGAGCGAGGTGGGATCGCTCCCGCTCCAGTTTAGCTGCGTGAGTCGAGACTTTGCGGAATTTATCCATGACCATTTCTAGCACTGTTTGATGCTCAGCGAGCGCATGCCGTAGTTCCTTGTTTTCTGCCATGATCTGAAATCATGGAGGAATCTCCAAAAGAAAAAAAAATAAATGAGACTTACCCGTTTGTTTTTCCGCATTTCCCGTTTTCCCTGATTGATTATTCTCGGCCTCGCTGGTCCGTTTAAGTTTTCATTCAGCTCGTCGATCTGTTGTACAGTCAGTTTCAAGGGGGAAAGATGGGAAGTACTGTACCTCATTTTGCGCGGTCATATCGTCGTGAAGACCTTCCGCCATGCTCAAAAGTCTGTCCGCAAAAGAGTCTATTCTCGACATTCGTTCTTCGAGGCAGATATCTCCTCGCAAGTCACGTGACTAATTTGAAGGATTAAAATAAGGTAAAGAGTGAGACTCAAGTAATTACTCTTGATATTTGAATGTTAGTTGCGTGATTAGTAGAATTGCTCGACTCATGCGATTTTGATTTAGCCGAGATCGAGATTGGCGGTGCTGAGATTATTCGCTTGACTTCAATCTGGTGGAAAGTGGGATCATCTGCCCCGCGAAAGTGGCCGAAATCAGCTGTTCCTTCCTTTCGAGGATTTGGCAATTTCCGCGACTAAGTTTTGGCAATCAATGATTTTATAAATACCATAAGCAAATTGTAATAAGCAAATTGGTGGACTACAAAACGAACTACTGAATGGAACTTACAACCGGTTGTTCCGATGCCTCAGGCAGAACCTTGAAACTAGATGTCGTCGACACTGTCACTCGTCGACTCATCTCATCAATCACAAATTCTTAAGAAATAGTGTTAGAACCTTCGGTGCTCATATTTTTTATGAATTACACTGAGAGAAGGCTGTGCACCTGCGTGGCCACCGATATTTTTCAATAGTTCAGTTTTCAGGGGAGAGAGAAAAAGGCAGTAAAGAGGAGGATGGAAGTTTTTCTGGAAAGTGCTGGCAATACATGTTTTTTCGTTTTTTTTTTTCTCGTCTAAGGGAACGCGCTGCGATTGAGCTTGATTGTTGTCCGGTTGTTTTTGCCTAATTTCTAAAAATGGGGTTGAAGAAGGGATGAAAAATTATGAAAGAAGGACTTCTGCTAGGATGATTTTCGAAAAATGTTTTCAGGCCAGAAAATCACTTTTTAACTGTTAGTGCCATCTTCACCGCCGTCTCAAACCGAGTCGAACGGTATATGTATCGCTTGAAAATTCTAGAGTTTCGGGTACTTCCGGTCAGATTTACGAAATTCTAGTATTCCACTGCCGTTTTTGATACAGAAATGGTACTATGGCATATAGCATGTCAAAATGACCGCTAGAACGTGAGGAGTGCAGGGGTCTCAAAAAATAAGTACTTTTGCAAAGAAAAGTACCTAAAAAAAATTATTTTGTGATATTTTAGCACTAAAAATATCAAATTTGACGGAATTTTCGATTTAAATGTAGTTTTCTTTGTAGATTTATTTATAAGAGATAAAACTTGATTATACATCTGCTTTCTGCCCGAAAAAATTAATAATTGATATTTTTAGTGCTAAAAAATCACAAAATAATTATTTTTAGGTACTTTTCTTTGCAAAAGTACTTATTTTTTGAGACCCCTGCACTCCTCACGTTCTAGCGGTCATTTTGACATGCTATATGCCATAGTACCATTTCTGTATCAAAAACGGCAGTGGAATACTAGAATTTCGTAAATCTGACCGGAAGTACCCGAAACTCTAGAATTTTCAAGCGATACATATACCGTTCGACTCGGTTTGAGACGGCGGTGAAGATGGCACTAACAGTTAAAAAGTGATTTTTTGCTCTGAAAACATTTTTCGAAAATCATCTAGGGTGGAAAAATTCTCGAAGGGGTGCTGACTTGGCTCCCCAACCTGCGAAGAAAACCTGAGTCAGGGTCTAAAAGAAAGTTGATTGAAAAGGTAATTTTGCGAGACCGCTTTGAGATCTTCCAGAACCTGACTCGGGCTTTCTTCGCCGGTTGCCGAGCCCAGACTTTTCGAACCATTATTTTTTGCCACCCTAGATATGAAAGAAAGCATATTACATTTTATATAGAATTTTTGAGATTTGAACCTTGAGCGACTTTCGAAGATCAGCATTATTGGCCTCCGTCTCTTTTAACCGCTCCTTGTAAGTGTAAGTTTCGCCGATTTGCGAGGCATTTTCCTTCTCGAGTTCCTGCAAGAGCTAAGTTAGAAAAACAAAGATTGCAAAAAACAAACCAAGATTTTATTCTTTAGCGCGATTTCGTCTTCTTTTATCTTTTTCTCGAGTGATTGTTTCTCTTCTTTTGAAGATGCTTCCAGCGTTTTGAGTTTCTTTTCTGCCTCCTCGAACTTGCTTTTCAACTCTTCCGCTTCTTTGCTTTTCTCGCTGAGCGCAGTTTCCAGGTCTTCGACGTTTTTCATTAATCTGGCGACGGTTTCTTTTTGCTTTTTCAAGTTTTCCTGCTCTTGCTCGGTCTTCCAGGTGTCGCGGAGAACCATCAAATCGTCGATATTGTCTGCAGGGAGCTTTTTCTCGAAACGAACATACTTTGATATCTGAAACCAAAATTAATTATTCACAAACCGGCAAAAATGCATTTCCAAAACCCGCTATACGGCAGATTTTAACGCTCTTTTAGCACCCTGGGTCAGGTTTTCACACAGGTTTCGACCCGAATGAAACTTACCCAAAGTAAGAGATTCGCGTCGAGCATGGAGATTTTGGCGAAATTGTCGTTTTGCTTCAAATCGTCTCGCATCCGATCCAAATTGCTGAAAGCGAGAAGATTTTTCATCGCTCCCAGTTGATCGCAAACTTCTACGACGCTTTCCGAGAGGACTTTTGTCAGATACTCTTTTAGCGCTTCATCCATTTTTTCTGAAATTGACATTTTTAGAGGATAAGAAAAATATATTTTAATGGTAAGAAAAGAAAAGATATCGGAATGTTGAGTTTTTAGAAATCGACGTGCTCGAGCATGGTCTTTTTAGATCTGAGGACGTCGTGGAGCCACTTTTCTCGGAACACATGACGGCCAGGCTGGAAGACGAGACGATTGCCCTCAACTTGATAGACGACTTCAACAGGATAGCTTGAAGGAGTTCGTTAGTGAAAGAAGGGAGGAGAAATTATGCTACAAAAATGCGACAATGTTTTCGTGAGTGGGCATATTAACTTCTGATCTGCTGGAAATAGAGAAATAGGATGAACGGACAATTTTTGAGCGACAAAACGGACCGCCCCTACAAATTTAGTCGCGAAATCTTTTCAAGAGTCTTTTGAGTCTTACTTGTCTGGTTCTGTTTTTGAAACTCTGATGAAAAAGTAAACGGATGCAGATGCTCGTGGAATCGGATTCATTTTCGTTGGAATGGAAAATCGAACTCGGTAAGTGTGCAGTGTTGAAAACTCTTCGTCGGTTTCTCCCAGATAATCTCAAAAATAAAGTCAAATTTGAGTGGATATGCGTTGATTTACCAGTGCAGCGGAGCCATTGCTCGCTAATCTCCCATTGCTTCACGAAGTTGTCGATATTATTAATTGCAGTGACAGTACTGTACTCTCCCTTGCTTCCCCAGTTGCCCGAGGGGCCAGTCGGGCAAGTGCCTTCGATCGAAACATCGGGCAGCAAATCGAAAGTTGCTTCCATTCTGAAAAGAGCTCTTTTTGTCGCGTTTTTTGAAGAATCGTGGAAGAACTTTTAATTTTCAGAATTCCCGTAAACGATACTCTTCATATCTCGATACCAGTCAATTAAAATCCAGTGTTCAGATCTTCTCTCAAACATTTCGGGCTCATAAGTGTCCAGGAAGTTTAAAAGTCCAAAGATCTCTACATCTGCGAAATTGGGCTTTTCTCCGCCGAAATAAACATTTTTCGATTTGATTTTTGCTTGATTCAAGGGATGAGAAATTCAGCTTCACGCTTCAATTATTTGAAGAAAAAGCTTAGCAGAGCACGAAGAGAAAAGCACCCCGGGCCTAGATCGGCGATTTTCGAAGCGATTTCGTTCCAGATGCCTTCAGATTCGAAGCCCATCAGCGTTCCGTGGTCGGCCCCTTTTTCGCCGCTTTCGATTACCTTCCTGCGTCCGGATAAATAGTCTTTGTAGTTGCTTTTGCGGGCGTGGGCATAACTTGCTAGAGTGAGATGTTTTGAGTAAAGCGGGACTTCGACGTTTTCGTAAAATTTTGAAGTGTTGCGGAAACTAAAAATCGATGATAAAGCATATGGTGACTTTGCAGTTAGGAATTTATTTTCAACAAAAATTCTTGACCCATATTATCAGTGTGACATTTATTTGCTCGTATTTGCACATGTAATTCATTTCCAGGATGAGATTTTTTAACCTTGATCGACGGATTTTCTCTACGGCTTATTGATTCATTTTATAAATTGAAACGGAGAATTTCAAAGAAGACTTTCATGTGCGCCTATATTTGCTAGAAACTCTATTTATTCTCAAAAATAGAGCGTCACCATAAAATCTGCAGCTTCCATCTGGACAAAACAAGACAGCTGCATACTTCGCCTTTTTCATGCAATCTACCTTATGCATCTTTGGAAAATTGTAGGGACATGAAATTTACCTTTGAGAATAATCAAGATGCATTGTATGCAACAGCAGAGGCTTTAGTTCTTCATCAGCCAAAGTCCTCGCTTTGTTAGCCCTCTTCGTAATTTTATGAAATCGAAGAGTCTCTTTATCCATATCAACGTCCAATTTATCCTGAACGGGATGAAGCGTCCAGCATCTGTTCATAACTTTTTCTTGGGTGAATAAAAACTTGTTGAGCGCACTTTCCATGGTTTGCCAAGCCACTTTTACTTTTGGAAATCGTTTCTTCAGTTCTTCTAGTGAATAAAATTCGTTGTTTCGCGCGAAGTTTTCTTGGGACTCTAGAATCGATATGGCGAGGCTGGAGCCAGAGATGTAGACCCCGTCTTCTTCCAAAACTGGGATGTCAAAGGGTGTTTTAGCATCTTAAATTCCGATAAAACTGGCTTTGAAATCAACAAAGAGAACTTACCGCAGTCAGTATCGGCAAAAATGCTCTCAATTTTGAGCGGATTGACTTCCACTCTCTCAAATGGAATATTCTTCCACCTCAGAAACGTTTCCAACGAATGGGTGTCAGGAATTCCAATGAAGCCATAAACCTTTGTTGCGCTCGTTTCTTCCTTCGCGCTGACCATGTTTTTGAAGTTTGATAAATTCCGATTCCGATGCCGGCGGATGCGAAAAGTGATCGGCATCCCATGAATCGACTCATTCTTAAATCGCGTTCGCTTATGACTTTGGATTATATACAGTTTATATTCACCGGAAGTATTGCACAATAACAGAATGTAAAGAAACAGTAGATTTAGTAGGCTAAGTCGGCTTTTCATCGTTTATCTCTTCGCGGAGGGCGAAAGGGATTCAGCTTGACGCACTTTGCCATCCACTCGATTCCTTCTGTGACGCCTGCTCCTGTCAGACCTGAGCAGGGGCGAATCATGCAATCTCGCGAGCCGATTCTGTTTGAGCAGTCGTGGAAGGCGTGTTTGATCTCAAGAATAGGCAGGCAACCGGAGATATCTTGCTTGTTTCCGAGAATCAGAAGTGGGGCGCTGTCCAGCGTAGAAAAGCTATGTAACAGTCATATAAATCACCATTTACAATCAAAAAGGTGTACCTAAGAACATGGTCGAAAGCCCTTTTTGATTCCAAAAGTCGATCTGGATCAGCGGAGTCAACGATGAAAATGACCCCGTGACAGTCGCTGAAATACTTGTCCCAAAGACTTTGGAGCTCTTCCTGTCCTCCGAGATCCCAGAACATCAGTTTCACTCCTTGCGTTGTGATTTTTCCGATATTTAGGCCGACCGTCGTGGTTATTTTATTCAACGGCATTCCTCGGTACTCTATGTCTGATGTCATGGAAAGAAATAAAGGAGTAATTTACCTTTACTGAACTTCGTCTTCGTTTGCTCAAGAAACGTCGTTTTTCCCGCATCGTCAAGTCCCAAAATCAAGATGCAATATTCATCTTTTTGAAAATAATGCCGATACGCTCCTGACAAAAGAGTATACATTTCTAAAGATCAAAAATTAACCGCTGTTTTATGAATATTAGAAGAAATAATACGATCGATTTTTTCAGAAATGCTCAAACAGAATAACTTAAAATTTCAAGAAGGCTTAGAATTGGGATTCAAGACAAAGTTGAAGAATAAAAAAATGAACTGGACACAGAGTCGTCTTTTTTCGCTGAGAAAGCTTTTTTTGTGTAATGCAACTCAACAGCTCATTGCTGTTTTTAAATTAAGAAAATGAGTTAGATTAAATAGTTTTTTTTTCAAATTATTTATATAAAAAAGAAGAAACGAGGGTCTCATCGTGTTCGCGTGTAAAAAAGAAGGTAAGCGTCTTTGGACTGGAACGATGAGGTTGAGCTCACATGACTGTCGTTGTAGTCGAACCAGCCGCTCTGAGTCTTGCCATAAGCTGTGTAGTGGCCGCCACCGACTAGGATTCATTTTAAACAATTTGTTTATTAAACAAATTTTAAAAATAAATTGAGACATTTTCAAGCCATAAACGATGGTTGAAATTTGATAAACTTACTGCTTCCAAAATGGTTGCAAACAGACTGAAGCTCGTATTTGTTTCCATCCATGCTCATTATTTCAGGAAAACGAATATCAGTGGTAATCTTCCTTCTTGAGTAGCCAGTAGAGTCGCCGAAGCGCTTCAAATGAATGACTAGCAGTTGAGGATATTTTTCGATGGAGAACTTTTTGGACATTTTTCTTCGTTTCTTGCACTTTTCGCATTTCGGTTGCTCTGATCCGTCCAAGATCTTAAAAATTATTTTTGTAGATTCAAGAGTTAATTTTTTTCAAACCTCTTCGCGTTGAAACTCTTTCAAACAGTCGTCGATGCCTCTTGCCAAGGAAGGAATCGGAAGCGACAAGTCCCAGAAAGGATCCCAAACCTGAAAGCTTTAGGCTTGTTTTCTCGGTAAATTTCTTACCTCAGAGACGTAGGAGCAGACGGAACAGGTCAGAGAGCTCTTTAACTGTCCAACACACATATCAACAATGCTTGAATCCTCCCTCGATTTGTAGAAGCGCCAAGCTTCGGATGCGGTTTTTGCTTCTTGAGTTATTCTAGGCTTGGATACGATTCTGCAGACATCATCATGAAGCGCTTGGAAAATTGTTACGGAAAGTCATTCTTTTAAGTATTTTTACCTTCTAGGAACCAGCGCAAAAACTCTTGCGCGTCTTCCTGAGCTGTGCCTCGAAAGAGGCCACTAGCTTTGCTGACAGCTCCTTTTACCAGCGTCGGATTGCCAGTGCTCCCAGAGAGAAGATCCTCGAATAACTGGGCTGCGTATTTTGCTACTTTTCCCGAAGTCTTTGATCTTGAATTGATTTCGCTTTCGTAGCCGCCTTTTGTTAAGTACGACTAAAGAAGAGGTTGATTTGATGCGTTCTAAGCGTTAGTTTAAACTAACCTGCATAGGAGCACAATGTAAAAGACATTGAAGTACAGAATTTAAATAGCACGAGTTTCCAATGTTCTTCAAGCCGCCGCGCTTTCTCTTTGAAAGAGAATCTCGCTCCGTCAGGTCGCCTTGAACCATATTTTCAGTTCAAAATTTGGGCAATTCGGAAATTTAAAAAAAATGTATAAAAAAGACCAAAGGATTCTAAATTTGAAAAGTTGTCAATTCACTCATTTTCGATAGCAGCAATATCGATAAAAGAGGAATTTTTGGCGCATGCTCTGAAACGCTAACATCCGCAAGTTTCTTATTTGAATCATTCAGAAATCTGTATATTTCTATAGATACCATATATGTGTGTATTTTTTCAGAAAACTCCAAAATGGTTTTGAATCGGATGAAATTGGTTCTTACCGGTAATTGTTCGAATAGATGAGGTAGTATGAGTCCCAGAAGTAGTACGAGACCTCCCGGACGCTTGTCCACTGACTGGAATTAAACTTGTCCGACTAGATCCGACGCCGTAGCGCGAGGAAGAGGAGCTCGAGGATGCTCCATATTTCGAACTGTTGTAGGTGCCGCTGGACGGAGAAAGGCTAGGTAAAGTACTGGTCACGCTGGTGCTACTGGTGTATCGGTTGTGAAGCCCGGACGAAGCTAGGTTCGATGATGCTGTTGAGCCCATTGATGGACGACGCAGATAGTGGGAGCTCGACGTTGATGTGTAGGACGGGGTGGACGAAGATAACTTGAACGATTTCAGCTGACTATCCAAGTCCCTAAGAGCCGCTTTATAAGCTGATAAAAAGTTGTTGATTACCTCAAACCATCAGTATATCTCGTCGCTGGGCGAAAGTCCTCCGATTTCGTCCTCTCCAAATCCGAAGAAAAGCTGTACGACGGTCTACTCCTGTGCGCTGACGGATCGTACGAAGATGTCCTTCCACCGAGGATGTCTTTCACGCCATAGGAACTTGAGCTACTCGAACCATATGAGTCCGACGAATATCGATTGTATGAATATGGCATTATCTTCTACCGTCTCATGCTAAAACGCGTATTTGCCGAAAATGTTTGAACATCACACAATAATCTCGGTGAACATGAGATACAGCTTTTTAAGAATAAATTGTGGTTTTTCAATTTTAAACTTTAAAATGAAGGAGTATAAAAGGAGCGAAGCATCTTTGGTTTTTAGTTTTTTCGGTTTGCGAGGCGGCGCGCAAGCTCTTCGGTCTTATCGATAACGTGGGTTGCTGATCCTGTGCCGCTGATGCGAGAGATTCCAGGGCCAATGTCTGCAATAGAGGATAAAAGAGGAAAGGAGAAGGGCATTACCTGAGGTGGGAATTCTTGACAAGTTCATGCAGTTTTTCTTCAAATCATTCGCCGTAACTGTATACAAGTATCCGTCGTTGATTTCTTTGTGTTTTTCTGGACCCAGACAGACTTTAAAAGCCCCATCTTCCCAGCAGAATACAACATCTTGAAAGTTCATCAAGTTGTAATGCTGCCCTTCTTCCAATGGAGCACCTGAAGTAACGAATGCGTTAGAAAATGAAAATTGATGAAAACTTACGTTTGATATTTCGCGTCAGCTGTGCGTAGCCGCCGTTTTCTTTGAATAGCGAAGTGAACTTTCCTGTGCCGATATCATCGAGCAGCGCGTTGAAGAAGGTTTTATCTTTGTTCTGGGCTTCTTTCCAAAAGTCTTTGACGCTCTCCGGAATTGAATTTGTATACATTGAGGAAGCGAGAGGCTCCGTGATTCTAGAATCTTTTGAGAAAAGGGATCAAAATGGTTGGTTTTTTACCTTGTTCCAGAAGAAGGTGTCGGGACAGGGCTGGAGACTGGAGATGATCGAAGAGTTACTTGGACTCGATCGCCGTTTGAAAATTCAACGGGCGAGTTGGATTTTGTCTTGTCCATGAGTTTCGGAGGATGGCCCGATCGGATTTGGGCGAGGGTGGAGACTGGAACGTCGAACTTTTGCGAAATCAGCGACAGAAAGGTTGAAGTATTTACATCTGAAGAAAACTGCATCACGTCACTGCGCCCGTCGGAGAGACAGATTTTGATTCGCAAGTTGCCGGATTTGCCAGCAACATCTCTTCATTTTTAGTGAGACTCGAAGGAAGAAAGGGTTACTTACGATTTGGTCTGTTCCTCGATGGCTTTTTGCTTCTTGTTGATGCTCTCTGAATTCGGCAGAGTCTTCCCCGCTGGTCTTTGGACATTCGAAGCACTTCTTCGTTTCAAATCGAGGAGACTCATCGTTTTGTGCTTCACACTCGTTGTTGGAGTTCCGCAAAACAGGCACTGAAATAAAAATTTTAAAAAATCTAAGCAAAACATAGAAAAACCTCTGGGTGACTATTTTCGAAGACGAGCTGAAGCTGATCGTGCTCGGCAACGTAGATGCCGGTCATGTTGTTTGGCAACTGATAAGTCTTGTTGTCTTGGAGGTAGCCTTGCTGCTCCTTCACTAATTCATACGAGTCTCCAAGAGGCTTCAAATCTGAAGAATCCACTTCGCCGATCGAGCCGCAATTGTGACAGATGAAAAGCCGCGACTCTCCCATTGCTTTTTTGTAGTTCGCGGTGATATTAGCCGGGGTGCAGTCGGTTTCTCTGTAAACATCGCGGAAGAGTTTCGTGATCATGAACGTCTGAACCTTTTCCTCCGCTGAAAACGCTCTTCTCATGGCGCCGATTAATTTGACTAAATAACCGTCGGAAAACTCGATCCCACCGCCAAGCTGGATTCCCTTTGTTCCACTTGGAGTCGATTTGAAGGTCACGTAGTCTTGCAAGTCGTCCTGCGAAACGAGCCAGACCGGAGGTAGAACTGTCATCGGGAGGATGATGTGTTGGTCGTTGGAATAATGCTTTGGGAGAATGGGGATGAAGTGATTTCGCCCTGGACTTGCCCATGCGATCGCGATCGGCGGGTGAGGCCTGTTGCTTTTGTCTCTGCATTTGGACGGTCCGGCCAGGACGGGAAGGAAAATCGCCGAGTAGTCTCCAACACTGCCCATGCCGTTTTGCGAATCGAGCAGGATGATAGGCCGTCTGAGGACATTTGCAAGAGCGAAGACGTGGATGTTTCTCAATCCAAGAGTCGCCCCGCCGGATAAATAACAAGGATCGGCTTCGTCGATGATCACCGGCCACTCGGAGTCCTCGACGTAATTGACCATTAATCTGCGGTATTGAAGAAGATTTGACTGCAGGTGTTCTTTGATAGACATTCGAAGCGGGTGCCAGAAAAGCTGAGTTCCTGAAATCGCCCTGGAAATCGCATGAACCAGGCAATGACCATCCGGATCCGCATGCGCGGCAATAAGTGCTTCTGGAACGCGATTGGCTTCGGCGACAACTGTGAGGGTATCGTCGAGATATCCGGTCTGGTAAACTGTTTTGTCCTTTCCTGATCCAGGAATGGCTTTCTGCTTGTCTCTGATTCGGAAATGTCGATTCGCCAAAAGTGCGCAGTCGAAAGTGTCGCCCATGTTCATTTCTCGCAAAAGCTTGGGTGCTCCGTCTCTGTCCATCCCGTAGCGGCTGAGGAAAGGCGACAAAAGCTTCGCCTCGAAGTTGTGGACGCCGCGAAACGCCACAAGCTCCAGCGATTTACTCATATCAAGGCTGTGTTGTAGCAGCTTCTCGCAGACGGAACTTTCTCGTGCATTTTTCAGCGAATTGAGAGGATTCGTTGTTCCACAGCCGCTGCAATAAACGAAAGATGCACTTGATAATGCATGAACGATTTGATTACATTCTCCACAACGACCGTAAACACCGATATCGTTGTCTAATCCCCCCATTCTAAAGCAAATAGAATCAGTACAAAATATAATTGGAGCCGCTTTAGGAGTACCCGAATCAGGTGTTCAACGCAGGTTCCTGAGTCGACTGGTGTTTTTTCGAATATGAATAGAATATATATTTGCACCTGTATCAGTACAGAATGGTTTGACAGAAAATGACAGTAACTGTCAAGCATCTTCAAAGTCCCAGTCGTCGTCAACTTCCGCCAGCGCTTTGTTCATTTCTTCCTCCGTAATGTCCAAGTCGAGGTCTTTTTCCCAATCGTCCATGTCGCAGTCTTCATCGCTGTCCGCGATCTTCTTTATTTCGTCTTTATTTACAACGTCTAGGGATTCAGACTCGGCACTATACGGAGAAGATTCCCCTTGCTTTTCGCCTTCGGAAAGAGCAGAAGTGGTCGATAATTCAAGTTCGTCAGGGGCATGCACGTGATCTGTGTCAGGGACTAATCCTTCCAGCTCTAGACGATAGAGATATCTAAAAAACATAAGTTTTTTGCTTATTCTGGAAATTAAAAAAAAGTTTTTCCCCTTTTTTATCACTTACCTAGCCCAAAAATCGTTATGATTCGCTTTCTTCGGGACTAGTTTATTGTACATGAGTCGAACGTTCGTCCTGGCAATCAAGATTTCTGTCAGTTTATTCTTTCTGGCTTCGATAGTTTTGTTGAAATTCGCTTTCCAGCTGTCGAAATTGGGATCCATAGGGTCGCGAAGATAGATCTGCGGATTCGTTTCATAAATGGGCTCTTCTAGGTTCGTTTGCGATTTGTTCTCTGGAAGGGATGGAGTTTCTTTCTGATTTTCTGAAATTTCCTCGTCATCTTCGGATTCGTGGTCGGATTCCAGAAGGACTTTTTCGACTCCATCAACTAGAGTTCTTAAGCCAGTTCCAAGCAAAGACACGCCAGCCTAGATTTTCAACTGTCTCTACCACTCTCTCTTTTTTATAAAAAGTTGTTTCACCTTTGTGTAATTCGCGGTTTCCTTGGCAATCTCTTCTCCTGCATAATGATTAATCGATTGATAGGAAGCTTCCGTCGCTGCGCTCAGAATCGCACTTGAATCCTCTTTCACTACTTTTGCGAATTCTTCCAGATCGCGCTGCATGAACTCGGAGGCTTCGGAAATTGCGTTGATGGATTCTTCCGCCACATTGTTTACTTTTTCAACAGCACTTGTGACAGCGTTTGTCGCCCAAGACGCCTTTTTAAGCGCTCTCATTAATTTGATAAGGGGGGGGGGTACCCTATTTAACGGGGTCTGGGGCGGACCCGATTTATCGGATTTTATATTCCGTAATCGGGTCCCCCTGAGCTGGGAATCGGGACAAAAGTCCAGCACCAACTCCTGGCCGAGCTACTACACCGCGATACAGGCCCTCGCTGAGTAGCGCTCGCGAGCAACACTCTCGCTGCAAGAGCCTTGATGAGTCTCCCCTCTACTAAATGAATTAACTAATAAATATTATGAATGGCTTTAATTAATGATTGGCTTAATTTAAAGGTTAGGGTTAGGGGGCACCGCGCAAAATGACAGAACAGTCTCACCCGAGGGGGATAGGCTAGGGTTAGTTAGGGTTACCGAAGGTAACCCTAAGTAACCCTAGACTAGACCCCGGCATTTTAGGACCTAAGGGGCGAAGCCCCGTGGTAAGGGGCAATTAGATTAAATATTTTCTGCTCATATCATCATTGGAGGGTCAAGTGAGAACGTAGAATTAATGATGAAGGTAAAAACTCCCAAAAAATCTGAAACCCGTTAATTTATGAGCCCAAGCGAGAATATTGAACCCGTTATTATTGTGCCCCCCCTAATAATAGTAATTATAGTAATAATAGTTATTATTTATAATTTAAATCACTTCTTCTTGTTCAAAATCTAAAGATGGTAAGCTTTCATTTTCCATCAAATGCTTTTGATTTCAGCGGGCGCGCTCCGTTGCGCCCCCATATCTTGGCTAGTAGCGCAGTGTGGTAGCTCGCCCAGAAGTTGGTGCTGGACTTTTGTCCCCCCAGCCCCCTGAGCTTGACATCCTGTGTCAGGGTCCTTAGAGAAATTTTATAAAAACCTGCGTAAACTTCTTCTCCGGACCTTGTTTCAGGTTTTCTACGCAGGCTGCCCAGCCCAGTTCTTATTCTGATAAATAGGGTCAGAATTGAAAGTTGAAAAAATAACAATTGAGAGCACTACCCATCCACCCCAGCTCTGGCTGGCATCACCACCCTCCTTCTGCTATTCAAATAATCAAATTCAACACTATTCATTAATAGTTTCCCAAACCTTTTCGCCTTCCGAAGACATCTCTGCTCTGAATTGATAGGTCTGATTTGAAGTGATCGGTTGAATATCCGATCCTTTGATAGTTTTTCTTGTTGGTATAAAAGAAGTCTTGTCTTTTGTCTACCCAAGGGTGGCCCAAGCCTTCATGAGTCACGAGAACGACCCGCGGGCAAACACCGCTTTCCTCCGTCCGAAGTCGGTAATTCTCAACTTTATAGAATGTAAATACACCGGTTACTTATCAGCCTAAACTTTTAACTATCAGAATGAAAAACGATGATAAGCCAAAAGCATGTTTTCTCAAAAACGACGATTTCACCATTTGAGGAATTTGTCATTTCACTAAAAACCCCGGTTTTAGGGACTTCTTTAAGATTCTATAAAAAATTATTCATGCCTTCTTTCAACTCTTTGAGGTTTCGTAAATCTTAAAATTGCCAAAATCGGGGTTAACCGTCAAACAACGAATTTCTCGCTGGTGAAATCGTCGCTTTTGAGAAAATTACGTTTTCTTGAAAATCGTCGTTGATCTTTTGTCCTGCAATTTTTTCAAAAAATGTTAATGACATAAATGAGTTTTATTTGTTTGTGAAAGATTTTCCTAATACATGAATTGAAAATTGGGCAGTACAAAACTGGTGCTTCTTTTTCATGACTTTCAAGGATCGTAGTTAGGTCTCGACTCGCCGCGATCATCATGTCCTGAACAAATCATTGACGAATGGTTAATTGCATATTTTTTCGCATTGATCTCAAAGAGTGAAATCAACACGCACCATAATGGGATGAGCCACCGTAACTACCGAATCCGCGATCATCATGATGGCCTCCATGACCTCCGTAGCCGCGATCATCGTTTCTGCCGCCTTGGTTGTATTGGCCAGAGTACCCGTCAATGTGTCTTTCGTCTTTCACTTAGGAAATCCGCGTAAATGAAATATCAGAGAGCTTCTGGTCACCTCGCATGTCACGATCGCCACGATCTCGTCTTGGAGAGCGCGATCTATCTCGAAAACCTCCTCTATCGCCGCGACCGAAATCGCGCTCGTCACGGGATCCTCCTCTCCCTCGTCGGTCGTCACGATCTCGTCTGGAGCTAAAATATCTACTTACGCCGAAATCTCAAGACAAGGCTCACCCTCCACGATCTCTAGATCGATCTCTCGAGCGTTCTTCTTCTCTTCCGCCTCGTCGATCATCTCGATCGCCTCGATCACGGTCTCCTCTTCGACCGTCTCGGTCACGATCACCTCTTCGGTCATCCCGATCACGTGATCGTCGTCGATCTCGATCCCTGCTTCGTCGATCTCGGCCTCGATCACGATCGCGTCTGTCCCGGTCACGATCACGGTCGTCTCTTTTCGTGTATCGCCTGTCACTGTAGGCATCCCTGTCCGACTTGGAGATCGGAATTCCCTCCCTTCTCATTTCATCCTCTCGTGCTTTTCGCATCTGTTCTTGCTGCATTCGTTTGATTTCTTCAATTTGAAGTCGAAGGGCCGTCGCTTCCTTTTGCGTCTTCATTTGACCCGGAGCTAGTAAGAGTAAAAATGCGTCTTGAACTTTTGGTCTTTACTTTTTCTATCGCCCTGCGCAAAATCCACGTGGAGCATTTTGTCATTCAAGCGGGTCCTGTTTAGTTTCTTCTGAGCATACTCGGCGTCCTCGATGGTTTCAAACCTGTAAAACGAATTACAAACTAAAAGAAAGACGATTCTGCCACTCGTTCATGCGTATCTACTGTACTTTTTTAATCTTATTTTTCTAGTGACATTTTTTATGAATAATTTCGCATCCTAAGACCTGAGATTTTTTGGGAGATCGAAAGAAAGTCCTGTTTTTTGTCCTGTTTTTAAATGGTCCTGGTCTTCTGGGTCCTTATGGGGTTTTCCTGATATTTGGCTGCTTACTCAATATAGGCGAAACCGCGAGGCTGGCGGGTATTGAAGTCGATCGGAATGTGTACATCTCGGACATTTCCGTATTCCTGGAAAAGCAGCTTGATTTCGTCAGGTCTAAAAATAACAATTACCATATTTCTCATATGATGAAATTTTACTTTTGGAAAATAACAATTTCCTTTTAATTATTTATTCGAGATTTTACCTGGTAGAAGCATCAATTGGCCGGACATACAGCGAAGTATTCGGTCCTCGTCGGGACATGTGATGCCGATCGCCCATCTTCTATTTTTTTCTTCTTTTTTTCTCTCTCTGAGTTTTTGTGAAAATCGGAGTTCTCTGGCTGATCTGGGAAAAAAAGGCGAATTTCTCGGTGAGGAGCTGCTCTTTTTTTGCTTGGGCGCGGCGATTGGTCGATTTAATGACTCACGCTAAAGTTGAATAAAGGAAAAAGCATGTTTCCGCCCGGGCTCGAACCGGGGACCTTTCGCGTGTTAGGCGAACGTGATAACCACTACACTACGGAAACTTGAAGGGTGACCTGAAGAGATACTTCATGTTCTAACTTATTTCGGCTTTCGAGTCGAGCGTCTCGACGATTTTACTGACCGTTGTCTTTTTGACAAGAACTTTTTCGAAGCAGTGATTTTATTTTGTTCTTTTTTGATATCAAGTGTCGAAATCATCATTGATCGAGAATCTCCACGAGCTGACTTTTTCGACTCTCACCTATTAGGGCGTTTTCTTCAGCTCACTTTGATTCGCACCAGCTATTGAACTGCCGAAAAAAGAGATTTTTTGAGAATTTCCTGTTAGAACTCTCCGATGAAGAAAAAGAAGAGCAACCTCGCTAATTCGTAAGTGCCAAATAAAACAGATAATTCCTCAAATAATTCTTTTAGGCAAAAATCAAAGAAGTCCCAAGAAAAAATCAAAGTCAAGTTGAGTTCGCGGATGAAAAGGGTGGAGAAAGTCCTCGGGGACAGCATGAAGAGCTATGCGAAGATTTTTCAGAGCTTAGCGGACTTCACCATCAAATTCAACAGAAGTCTCGACGTACAAACATGTGATGATTTCAAAAAAAATTTCGCGGGCCTGGAACTCGTCAAAAAACTTCTTGTCTAGTTTTGTAGAGCTCGTCGAGACGAGTCGAATGATATATAAAACTCCAGATAGTTCTAAGATTTTCCGCCAAAAAAGTGATAAGAAGGTGTGTTATCAAAAATTTTCTGACCAGCGCCGTTTTTGTTCTAGAAAAGCTGAGGTCATGCTTGACCCCGGAAAATGATCCTCATGGTCTGTGATGAAATCATTAATGTTCTTGAAGGTAATAATCACGAGAAAATAAATTTTTATCATAAAATTTAGAAATGCGCAAAATCGTCGAAGCTGACGACCAATTTCCTTCTCCGCGGCCAGAACCGCCAAGCAAAGTCAACACTGGGAAACAAAAGCAAGCTTCAGATGGAAGCGATATTTTGGCGATGTCGCAGAAGTTCATGTGCCTTTTCCAACGAAAATAAATTTCCTACACTTTTTATTTTTTAAGTTACTACCTTTACCGACGGTTAAGGCTTTACCTTGATAATTTTTATGCATTTTGAGTAAACAAAGATAATGAAAAATGACCGTATATTCTCTTAAAACAGAATTAAAAACGTCCTGTAAGGACGAAAGAAATCTTAGAGTCATGTGTTTTGACTAATCAGACTGATTTGAATCGCGAGTGAGAGATGGATTACTTGGTTTGCTCCACCAGTAGCTACCGCCATTGGGAACGCAGTAAGTGTAGTTCTCTCCGAAGTTCATTGCGGATTTCATTACTCCAACATTGAACGACTAAAAGAAATCATAAGACTGTTTCAATTGCGGATCTTACTGTGAGGCAATATTCCTCTCCATAGGCGAATTCGATGCTGGAATCGACATTGATGTTCAAGTAGAATTGATCCTTTTTGCCGTCAACCATCAGATTGCCTCCGATAATATTTCCTTGTGCATCTCTGTTGTGTTGAACCCTAGAAGAGAAAATTCAACGAAAAGAAAGGATAAAACAATGATAGCGCACTTGAATTGGAGAACAGTTTGAGTTTGAGACTTGTCTTGACTGAGATAAGCCTGTTGAAGCTTGTAGATGTCGGATTGATCCCACATACTGATCGTTACGCCTCCTTGTATGATCTCTTCGATGAACGCGTAGCCGCAGTGTCGCTTGCTCCAGACAAGGAAACCGATGTAATCTAGGAGAAAATAAAACGAGAAAAATTAAAAAAATAAGAAGTGATTTTTAAAATTACCGTCTTTAGTCACATCAACGTTGTTTTGGTTGTCTCTCACGTTGGTCAGGATCTGGTACGAGTTGACATTGTCGTTTGAGCTCCTCAAGGTGACCCGACTGCTCTTGATTCCTTTCCAGCCAACTTCGAAGCCAGGGCAAGTATCGTCAATCTGTGTGAGAGGATTCGGCGTCGGGTTGGCCGTGTAAGCCGCCTCAAACTCCTCCTTTGTCATGCATTTGTCTTCTCCAGTAGAAGGATCTTCCCCGAAGAAATAGCAGTCTTCTCTGCATCCAAATGTCTCCGGATCGTACGCCATTCCGATTGGACACTGGCAAGTTCCATCGGCCCCGAAAACCTGGTACGCAAACACTTTTTCTTTGCAAGTGCAAGTGTTGAAGAACATCGAGTAGTGAGGATGGTCGCAGCTGCATCCGCCGTTGTCGGTGATTGTCTGCCAGTGGTAAGGACACACGCACTCGTTGAAATTGGAAACGTCTTCTGAGCGAATCATACCGACGGGGCATTCTTCTGGTTCACACCAGCCATCCGTGACGTAATTCGTCATCGGAACATCGGTTGACAAAGTGTATTTGAATTCGCCCTTGCATTTGCAAGAAACACTCGTGACATTAGCTGCTGTTTCACTGTCAACAAACCAGACCATCGCTGGATCTGGGCAGGCAGGGAGGCATTCCGTTAGAATTTGTCCGTACTCGTGAGTTTTGCCAGAAAAGTACCATCCTGGAGGACATTCTTCTACCTCTTCGCAAACTCCATTTGCATTTGGAAGCATGTTGCCTTCGATGCAAATACACATGAGCAATATATTCGACCACTTTTGCCCTGCTGGGCAGCATTCAATTTCTCCTGACATGTCATTTTCAAATGGATACTTGTCCGCTGGGCACTCACAGAGGGCCGTAATAGGGCTGAAAATCTGTGATGGCGAGCAAATTGATGGTTCGCAAGTAAAAGCTCCGTCAGTAATGACCTGTTTCATTCCTGGGCAAGAGCATTTTCCGTCGACAGGATCTGCGAATTTCTTCGATCCAAAAGAACCCATGCACATGCATTTTTGCTCACGAACATTGAAAACTTGGTCTGACGCGCAGCAGTGGAGCTTTCCGAAGACATCGAGGAACTGGTTCGGAAGAGAATCTGGGCAGACTTGATTGCAGCTGTCTCCTCCGTCGCAAACACAGAGGCTCTTTTCAGCGCTCCAATGTTGGCCGAGCTCGCAACAAGGCTTCGTTAAAGACGCGAGGGAGCCATCAGCACAGTAGCACTCTTCATCTTTGTAAATTTGCTCTTCGGGACATTTGCTCACGCAAGAACCTGCTTCCATTTCAGATCCCTCGGGACATGGAGAATCGCATGATCCATCAATTACCACTTGACCTTCTGGACATTCACAAAGGCCAAGCTCATCGTTGTAAAGGGGTTTGTCTAATTTTGGAAAAATGAAGAATGTAACGTAACAAAAAGGTTTTCGTTAGTATGGAACGTAACAAAAAGGTTTTCGCTAGTATGGAACGTAACAAAAAGGTTTTCGCTAGTATGGAACGTAACAAAAGGTTTTCGCTACAATGTAACCGAAAAAAAGGATAGATGAAAATCTTGATTTTTCTCATTTCTTTGCATAATTCCTAATTTGCAAAAATAGATTTTTGGAAAAAAAGAGAAAAATTCCAATTTTGTATATAAAATTCCAAAAAAAGAAAAATTAAATTATGGAAAAAAAAACTGGGTTTTCGTAGGCCGGTAGGCCTTCTGCGCCTGCTATGTTTTTTTGCCCTAGGGAACCTGTTTATCATAGCTTAATATCTGTGTCTAATAATTCACTATTATTCTGACACTTATTTTCCGCGTCATTTTATTACAGATAGTTGTTGACAGGCTCAGTTTTCCGCATTGTTTATCATTGTCGTATTGTCTCCGCATGTGTTCAATCTCTATTGCTTGTTGTTATTTTGTGTTTATTTTTTGTTAATGTTACCTTAGTTCTCCATTAGTGGCATGATAACTTCGATTTCACCTGCCCATAGGGCATCCATCAATTTCAATTTTTTTTTGAACTCATGTAGAAGTCCAACTTGCGTCTTTCGTTCTTCAAGTATTCGTGCGAGATCGTCGTCGTTTATTCCGATACGTGCAACCTAGAACTTATTTTTGTCGTGTTACAGGTGTATCATACCGTAAGGAGTGTCATCCACGAAGAATATGCCTCATTTAGTCTTGACATCAGACCTTGTAAACATATTACAACGCTGGCTGGCGTCACAGTTTCTTCACCGTTCACGTATCTATTCAGCTGCACAATCGTTGCATCTGCATATTCATGGAATCGAACAAGTACATCGAAAGCTTTTTCAGAGTTCGAAATTTACGCGGCTGCCGTTCGCATCAGAGAGTATATACGGCTGCAAGTGTTAGGATTAAACGAATTGACGTTTATGTTTAGCCGCGGAAATATTCTCATGGTGCCGGTGCCTGTTTCGTTTTGTGCAAATGGTGCATTTCGAACTATTACTGGCAGTGAGTTGTGAACTTCTGTTTTCCATGTTTCCATTTCTCAGTCTTAAAGTTTTTCTATCTGTTTGTTGGTCTATTAATATCCTGTTGCAAGTATGTTCCATGTAGTATTTCTACTGAAACGAAAGGATACAGTTGTACTTTTACTACAGTAAGTGGCGACTTTATAATGACTTGAATTTGAACTTTTTCAATTTTAGCCGCTTCTCCGGTGTAGGTTGAATTTGTCGCATTCTTTTTATTCCTTTTTCTTCACGACCAAAGTTACCTTGGGTGGTATTGTCCGAGCCATCTTGTGTCTCGTCGTTTTGTGGTGCGCCTTAAGTTTCTTTCGCTTGTTTTGTCTATATATTTACCTAAGTCCGCGTGGTTTTCAACAGGCGTTTCTTGGACAACATTTGGCGTCGCTGATTTTATTTTATCCAATTATTTCTAAGTACGTCTGTTACCTGAGCCTTCTGGATCTCGGACTTCGTTTTCACCCGTTGGAGCCGATTCTACAGTATCCATGCGTGTGATGAAAGTGATATCACTCTGATGGAACTTCGTCAGCTGATTACAATCTGGCTCTGGACACCGAAAAACTGGCGGATGTTCTCCTCTTGGGTTGTAACCTTCTTGATGGTGGCCTTTTATGGTTCTTATTGTACCGTTTAGTGTATCTATGATTCTCCTATTATTTTGCGGAAAATCCGCAGATTTTTTCACTGAAAATCCGCGGGAATTTTGGCTCAATGACGAGTGATTGGCCTGCTTGATTGAAAAAAGAGGCGGAGAATCACGGAAAATAACTTCAATACTGATTGCGTTTAATTTCTAAGGTTTAGATGAACCTTGCCTGTGATACAGGTTAAGCAGCAAATATGCTTGCAGTGGAGATTAAGAACTTCTCGTCGAAATTCCTTGTCCAGTTCCTTTTTGCAAACGTTGCATATATTCAAATCCGTGTAAAATCGATTCATATTGTTCTGAATTTTATTTGTATCAACGACTTATATGTTTCGCCGCGGCAGTTAGCTACAGTTTAAATATTCGCGTTTAACAGTTATTACGCTTAATTACAGTCACCGCATGAGTTTTCAGATTATTAATTTCAGTTACTCCTCCGCATTTGATTGTTTCTTTGGTGACTTTTCCTCCAAAGCTTTGATTAAAGTCCGTCCCTCTTCCGCCATCTTTTTCATCTTATCCCATGCAACCATTACTTCGTTCACTGGGTGTCCGCTTTCATAAACCATTTCTTTGATTTCGCTTAAGCCTTTCGGTTAAGCCGTAGTTAAATGATTGTTCGCTTACCTCATAGTATTGCGAGCCATCCCTTTTACATACGCGTCCATGAGTTCTCCATTGAAATAGACTTGCTTTTTCTGCCTTTTAAGCCCGAATTTCAATTGCTCCATCATTTTTTCCTGTTCTTTTGTCATGCAATGTTTATTACATTTCATTTCCTCCAACTTTACGATGATGAGCTTGAGCTCATCTTCATCTTTTTTGATCAATCCTTCTTCGACTCCTTTTTTCGCGAGTTTAATTCGTTCCATTGGGAATCGGTCAATCTAAACTATTTTTCTTATGTTTCACTATTTTTTATTAAAGGATAAAGGTTTATTTTATAAAAATATAAAAAGAGAATGTTTCGTCTAATCTGAAAAGTATTTAAGATGATTTCAGTTTTTTTAAGAATTGGGGTACAGGATCTCCATTTTTCTCGCAAGTTTTTATTAATTCTGCCGCGTGTTTCTTGTCTTCTGATGATATGAGACTGATGGCTCTACAGTTTTTCGTTTCGTTGACTATTCGTTCGATTCTATACAATATTTGTAATACCTAAATACTGTGGACTTTTACTTACTGATGATTGTAGTCTTTTACTTTAATTGGCAATTCGATATTGAAAATAATGTGCACATTTATGATTGGAAGACCTCTCGCGATTCCTTGTGTTCCGACGATCATGCACTTTTGTTTTGTCTAATGATATTTTTACGCTACGTCTTATGAAAGGACGAATGTTATACATACCATGAGTTCTTGGATTGTTTGATTTCGGTCGTGTTGATTTTTACCTCCGTGGATTGTCATGACTCTGTGTCCGTGTGTGTTGAGAATTCCTGCGATAATTTCTGCATATTCTCGTGTGTCTGTCAGAATGAGCACTTTTTTGTCTCTTATTTGATCGCAAATTTGTATTGCTCGACTGGCTCTGTATATTTGTTCTATATGTTCGAAGCTTTGTATTGTTCGAATTAGGGCTGGCAAAGTTGTTAACCTGGTCAAATGGCCTTGACAGCTTTTGGGGTCGGCAAGCCACCAAGCGATTGTAGGTGGTGATGGGTGGGTTGAGGAGAGAATCAGAAATTTAATTGAAAAAGCTCATCATTTTCACTATTATTTTCGAACCAGCTGGTCATCGTTTTTATACTCTTTATTTCTCAACTTTATTACTGAGTTACACCTGTTGCCAGTCCTAATTCTGACCAGAGGTGGCCATTCGGGCAAAAAATCGTCTCCTAGCCGTTCTGAGCCGAGAAATTCAAACTGTCCGGAAAAGCTGCATGACAGTTGGGCAATAATTTTCGATTTGAAGTGAACAGAATCGTGGATAAAAATTTCGATAGATAGGAGCATGAGGGTAAATATAGTTCAAACTTAGGAATTTTCTTTGGCTGCAGCTTGACTTTCTGTCCGAAATTGCTTAAATTCCCGAAATGCCCCTTTCTGCCAAATTTTAGCCGTCAGTTTACATGCCGAACACATTTTGCCTTTAAATTACCCGGTGTCGCTGCTCGAATGGTCAACTCTAGTTCGGACGCTTGTCTGTTTAACGACACCTATCGACAAAAAGACATAGTTTTCTTTAAGGAATCTTGTCGCTTGTTTTTGCAACAATTCATCGAATGTAGATGAAAAGATTGCTGTTGTTCTGTCATGACCTTTCCTCTGTCGTAGATACCAGTTGATATCGTTTAGATCTTTATCGAGTCCTTCATCTATCATACAATCCGCGTTATCCAGAATGAAAAATCGACAAGCTTCGCCGTCAATAACCGCTTCTGATAGCAGGAATTTTATTCGACCCGGAGTACCGATCACGATGTTGCATCCTTCATTGATTTTTTTGACTTGTTTTTGAATACTTAATTGAATAAAAATTAAATAAAAATGTCGTTTATACTCTGTTCCACCGCAGACAAGGATCGGAACAATTCCAGTGTTTTCACAAAACTTGCAGCTTTCACCATATAATTGTGCCGCGACTTCTCTTGTTGGTGAAATAATGATGCAGTCGACTCTTCCGTTTGTGTTAATGATCCGTTCTTTAGTATTATTTTTCATTAAATAATTAATAATTGGAATCATCATTGCAGCAGTTTTTCCTGATCCGGTTTGTGCGGTTGCCATCATATCTGTTCTTTCTGCCAAGATTTTGAATGCGTATTGTTGTATTGGGAAGGGCTGGGCGTATTTCATTCCCCGCAAATTCTCTTGAATTTCTCGGCAAAGATGCATGTCTTCGAATTTTTCCGCATAGTATTGTTCCGCGACACTTTTAATCTTTCTTTCACTCAGGTCGTATTTCGTGATATTAATTGGGATAGTGTTGAGCTGTGTCATGGTTCTCCTTTCTATTTCGGCATCTGGTGTCTTAATTTGTTAACTCATGTGTGTCCAACCGAACTTACATGTTTTTGCTTTGAGGTCATTGACATCGTGCTGGAATTGTTTTTCGCGGATCTATTTAGTAGTCTGTTCATCTTAACATCGTAATAATTAGTTAATCAATTATTACAAAAGGTGGCAGTAAGAAATTCCTTCGATTGGCAGGCAAAACAATTACATTCGCTTTTTGATCGTGAATAGATTGGTCGGGTTACTACAGTCGCGGGCCTTAAGGAAACATTCTATTGCTTCTCCCTTTGCTTCCTGCATTTCGATTCGGCCTTTTTAGGGTTTTCAAATTGGATACTTTATTTTTCTTTTCAATTTCAAGTCCCTTGCCTATTAACAAATCGTAACGTTTTTTAAGAGAATCATTGTTTTCCGCACTTTTGACTTTATCTAGCAATTCTTTTACTTCTTCCGCTTTTTTTTTCCATAATTCTGTCGCTAGACGTAAGTTCTTTATTTTTTCTTTCTTGATTTTGTTAACGTCATTTTTTAATTCTTTTCCATCGCTCTTCATTCTAAAGTTCTATTGTTGATTCTTTCGCACACTTAGGTTGATAGAATAAAGTTGATCAAACACCATAATTTGTCGCACAAATATTCAATATTGGTTTTTATTTTAAATTTTTGACGTTTTATTTGCCGCGTATTTTTTTTTCAGAGACATACGAGCCGTTTAAGTGGATTTGAAGTGGTCATCATCGATCGTGCTGTAGATATGCCCTGTAATTTATTTATGAATCGTTTCTGTTTTATTTTACCATTGTTTGAAAGTTCATTGAGAATCTGGCGCAACTCCGCTTCTTCGAGGCTAAGGTGGCCAAAATCATGGATGACATTTGCTCCTTGTTCACTTTCGTTGCTAGTTGAGTGTTTTTATCTAGTGAATTTGAAAATTTCATACTTGATCACCACAGCTAGAACATTTCCGGTTCGTTGGGAGAATTCGTTTGAGGCGAATGGTTTTGGTGGCGACTTAGAATCTTTATGTCTTGTTACATTTTATACTTACCTTTTTTGGTTCTTCCTTCACAACTGTGTCATTCGCTGCTTGTAATACAGTGAAAATAGCTTCTAGCATGAAGCAGCTCATCACTGATTGGTAATCCTCCTTTATTAACCGGATAACATTTACTACGACGATTGTGTTGCCTATAAATTTTTATTTTTGTTATTTTCTTTTAAGCATACCGTTTTTATTCAGTCGTATTTTCCCAAAAACTTTCACCGCATCGTCTCTTTTTACTTCCGTTAGTCTATTTACGTCGACGAATTCATAGGTGCCTGTTCCGTCGTCAACAGTAATTAACCGCACTGGTATAGTGTTTCGCTCGGCCTCCTGAATGGCATAAAGCTTTGTACAACATTAAGTTTGAACCTTGACAAGTAATACGCGGCCGCAAAAACAGCTACTCCTATCTTCAATTGTGTTTTTGCAATTTGATGTTGACCCTCTTTGTCGACAATATTCGGTTGTTTGAGAGCCGCGATTGTCACGTGAACAATTGTTTCTGGTATTCCCTTGTTCATTCTTAAATTTATTTCAGAATGTTTGTTATGGAAATCTCTCCCGCCGATGCTAGTGAATTAATTTCTCATGTCCGTGAGAAGATCGCAGCCGATAATAAGAAATTTCTGGCTAACGTGGAATCTTCCAACTTACTGGATGTTCTATCAGATGAGTCCCGACAAGTTTATCTCAAATTGATGACTACGGAGACACACTCTACTTCAGACAGCTTCGAATCCGCGCCTGATAATGTTGGTACCGAGAATGGTAATATTTCTTTCGATAAAATGAATTGTTATGTGTATGTTTAGATCTGTCTTCGTCTAAAGATGGCACCGTTTTGTCTTTTGCCGCTTCGGAACGTATGATATTTTTCTTTTTTAAACAATCATCATTATTTAGATTCTACCCAATCTTCCCCGCGTAAATCACCATGCTGCCGCGAATATGAATTGGCTATGATAAATGATGGTTTTGAGGGTCCATGGACCGATGGAGTAGGACCGTGTCAATTTCATTTTCATATGTATAAAAGCTGGCATGAGTCCATTAAGAAGGCGGAAGCCGCGAAGGCATCGAAGAAGACTTTCCCAAAGAAAACTTTTGAGTCTCGCTACGAAGATTTCTACGATGACTATGATGATTATTTAAGTCAATTTGGGGCTGTTTATTCTCAGGGTTCTTCTGATCAATAAATTACTTACTTGAAAAATTGCTGTGCTCAACTTTCAGTTATAACCAGCTGCTAATTTCCGCGGCAATTTTAACAGCTGGATACGATTGGCGATAACAGTCTGAATAAAATAAGGTCAAAATAGAGTCAAAAAATTAAGTATTATTTTTGAACTCATTGTTTCAATCAAGTTCAAGAATTGCTTTTTCAATTGTCTGGTTCGATATTTTCTTTCTCGATCGCATAGATTTCTCCTAACACTTGAGTGTGCATCGCTGCATAATGTCTACGGATCTCATCTCGTCGATTTGAAATCTTCGTACATTCTTTGTCGGGGCATTTGTACTTTCTAGTTGATTTTTATAATCGATCTGTTTAATGTGTTACCTTTCGGTTGAGTGGAGGGCAATATGTGAATCAAGGTCCTTCTTCGTATTTGTTTTAAATTCACATCTGCTTTGATCTTCTTTTGTATAATCGCATCCATAAGGTTTCCATGACAAATGAATTCTCGCATGGGTAGTCACAACGGAAAGTCTTTTGTTGTTGATTTTGTTTTCACACTTATCATAGAGGCAGTGCCAATTTGGTTTACAGATCGGATCACATCGTCTTTCGAAGTGAATTTTCTTTTTCTCCTTAACTTACTCTTAGAAATTTGACGGATGTTTCCTTGTACCCATTCAATATATGCTTTGGTTCCACTGTCGTTTTTCTTTGTGACTATTTTGTGTTCTTCCGCGATGTGTTTATCGAGAATTTTTGTACACTGAAATGTCATCCCGCAGCATCCGCATTTACAGCTAATTACCACGGAAGTACTCTGAATTTACTGCGATACGAAATTGAAAAGAGTTTATGTCTTACCTTTCTTGTCTGTTCGATCTCGATCACATCCCTTTCCTTGATTTGTTTGTTTTTTCTAGTTCCATTCACTTCTTTAAGTTTGTTTTCCACTTTCTTATTATTCCCGAGGAGAGGCTGATTTGGTGATATGGTTACAAGTGGGTGGTTTTCAATGCAATCATAAGTTCCGACAAACATCTGAGGCGCGTCTTTTTTCCATTCTTAATAGTTATGATGATTTTCAGCCTATATTTCTGCATATATTATTGAGTTGCAGGCTTCCCAGTCATCTATTTGACACAGCATCAACGACTTTAGTTGCGTTTGTTCCCAATTTATCGTGAAACTAATGATATTTGTTATAATCTGTTTGTGTTAAGGTGATTGCCTTCGAAACGTATCGGGTGAGGCCCATTAGGTGTAAATCCCATTAGGTGTAAATACCCATTTAGTGTAATTTTCTAGAAGGTGTAACACACCTAATAGATATTTACACCTAATGGGTATTTACACCTAATTGTTCAATATTTTTCAAAATTATTTTGTAAAAAAGGGATCGACACAAGCTGTCACACATTCTCGACGACCCCCCAACGAGCATTTTTTTTTGGAAAAATATTTTTTTTTAATTCTTTCTAAATTGCACTCAAGAAACAAAAAACATCTTTTCGAGCAATTTTCGAAGTCAAAATTTGAAAATCGCGCGCTATCGATGAGTAATCGTGACAAGCTGAAGCGTTTCGTCATTTGCGCTCAATGAATTATCATTTTTCTTTCCTTTTTCAAACGAGAAATCTTTCTGCGAAATATGTTTTCTTGCCGACGTTTATTTAGCTGAAGTTTAATCTATTTCCTGCAATTTTTTCTGATAAATTTTTATATTTAAAACTAACCCGTAGGACCTTTAATGGTACCTTTTTTGATTACAGATAGATGATCAAATGTATATTCACAAAAGAGAAGAAGAATTGAAGCTTAATGAAAACAGCCCGGCTGAAAAATGATGAGTCCAGGAGCAGAAGAGAGATGCTACTCCGAATCAAGAGGAAAGTTAATATTCGCAGAAAAAGGAAGACCAGTTCATCAAATCGTTGAGAATCTCCCTCGACCGCTGACTCATGAACTTGAGGTAATCTTTTAGAAGGGATTTTTGAAAATAAATTGTAAAATTCTAGCGTCGAACGCGAAATCCAGGCGGCGCTGATGACCAATTCCTCGAGAGCACGAACGTCTGTCACGAAGAACTTTCCTTCGCGGAAAATGTCGACCATTTTTGGCAAAGTTTTGAAGCCGATCCACTCGCTTTCTTGGGACCCGTTCAGCTCGCTTCTGGCGCTGAGTTCGAAGAACGCGACTTTTGTCTAAATCTGGGACTCGGATCGAGAAGAACTTGTTCAGCGACAAGTTGGAGCTTCTTGTGTTGCCTTCGTCGGATTTAGTAACTTGGGAGAGAAACTGGTCGTTTCTGAAAGCGATTCTATCGCCATTTTTAGGTAAAACTGCGCTCAATTTATGACCAATAAACTGTTCTTTAAGCTGCGTAACCTGGACAAATGAAGGAACCTGGTGCAATTTGGAAGGCCCTGCTTTGAACGTCTGTTGGTCACATGACGATCAAAAGATCATTTTCGCCATCAAAAACAAGGCAAGTGCTCCGTCCATGTTTACGATTTCTCACCCTCATTTTAGATCTTCATCGCGTCTTTCGAAGGAATCATGGGCCCGGACGAAGAAGCTCGCGAAATCGAAGGCTTCGAACGCGACGTCCTCCAAATGTCCTGGCATAATCAACGCCTCGCAGTTGCGGTTGAGGGGCTCAGCGATACGCTTTTGTACTCGAAAGTAAATAACTGAATAAATCTCTGTTTCTGATTATGTTTATTTAAGAAAAAGAAGTACTGGAAAGTAAAATCTTACAGCTGGTTCGCCAAACATCAGGTACCAATCATTAATTCGCCAGTGGATATGCACGCTGCCAAATTTAGTCGTAAATTTTTGGAGCTCTCCTTGAGTTTTGTTGAATAGTTCTCCAGATTTAGGCACACGATGAAAAATAATCCATACGCCACATTAATGCCGCAGTCCATGTATTTTTGTTTTGGGCATTTTTGATATATAGGAGCCCAGTCCTTTTCGTCTTCTTCGAATACTTCAAGAAACACTTAATTAAATTTCCAATTGCGCTTATGATACGGTTAATTAATCTAATATTTTTTGAAATTTGCCTTGATAGACATCTCCATAATCTTCGAAATTCAAAGAGTCGTAAATTGTAAATATTTTTTCCTCTCTATCCGCCTTGACAATTATCCAGTGTCCAACTCGACCAGGGATAAAGACAGGGCAAACAAATCGTTTTATTTCTGATGGATGATAACCAGTACCAGCAAAATTTTTTCCTTGAAAGACCATTTGTGAGAATTTCGTGTCTTCAAGAATAATATCATTAGTTTGGTGTTGCTGTTGGTAATGTCTCATAATGATGATAAACAAGTCCAGAATTTTGTCTTTTGTTTCTGTTCGAAGTTTGTAAAGTGGCAACAGATCTCGGACGCGAACTTCCTCCTTTTCTATTAAATTGACCAGCTGTCCTTCAGGCCATTTTTGTATATTTTTAGCGATATTTTCTGCTTCAAATGACATCTTGTAGCCATTAAACTTTTCAAACTTGAAAGTTGGAGTTTTGAACATTTTTCTATCAAGCTCGTTTTCGTAACTCATTGCATTTTCAGATTCCTCAAGAAGAATGGAATTGGACGATTCATCGTTGTTTGTTGCTGACTTAACTTCTGTGTATTCCGCGGCTTCTTCAAGGACATCAATACGACGCTTTTCTTCCTTGATTTCATCTGTTTTCCTCACAAAGGCGCCGCTATGCTCGCCCATTGCTGGAAGGTTCTCTTCGTTGATTTCATGACCAGGTGAGCCCTTTTTCTTTTTTGCGTTTTCTTCTTTCTTTTCGACCAAATTGAAATTCATTCCAGCGAGAAAAGTCTCAAACACTGGATTTCTGCGATCCAGGTCACAAAGGAACTTGTCAAGTGCGTCTTTTGAAGAGAGTAATCTTTTTGCCTCGGTCGACGCCCCTTTTAGATCTTTTGAAGTCGATATTACAAGCTTTTTCAGCTCAGCATGGCTTATTTTTAGAGGCATGGAAGAAGACTGTCGATCCAACTTTCGATAGAATCGTTGCATAGCGTTAAATTTAACCATCCATGTTGTACCAGTTTTTTGCGTTGTTTTTATTGGCCATTTTCCATCTTCAAGATAGCTCAACTCATCGTTAAACGTCGTTTTCTTGCGATTTGTGATCACTTTGCAAAGCTCTTGAACATCAGGCTTAGACTGCAGACCGCGCAAGAGTCGTGCATTTACACTCTCGCTTAATCTTGGTTCATCGTTGATTTCAAAAGTTAATTGATATTTTAGAAACGAGTCAAGCTGTTGTTGTCGCTGGTCATGAAGCTGATGAGAAGCGCTGCTCAATTCGAATAAAAATAGAGAGACCGTGGTCGAAATCATGGAGAAAAATTTAGGTAAAAAATGATCAAACCAAGCCTGGCGTTATTAGTGCTATCGATTTCCCCAGTTTTGATCATATTGGATGATTTATCGGCCCATTCACTAGGCTTGAATGTGGCGTCTTCGTTGAAATAGTTCTTGAGGAGGTAGTCGCGATAAGCAATCCATCCATTCTTCTTTTTCTTCTTTTCGCCGTCATCAACATCCACCTTTTCTTTCGCGTTTTCGTCATCATCAACATCCACCTCTTTTTTCGCGTTTTCGTCATCAACATCCATCGACTCAACAGCATTACCGTCGATTTCAAGATTTTTTTGGCACTCTTCTGTGATGATTTCGATGAAAACAGCCCGAAATTCATCTTGTCCAACAGGGAAATAAGGCGCAGAATACAGACAATTCCTTATTGATTTTATAAAATGAAATTAACTGACTTTCACAATACTAATCCCCCTTTTAGAAACCCTCAACGATGATCAATAGATCAGAACAAAAAGCTCAATCAAAAGGAAATGTTGAACATGATCCGTCACGGAGCGAGAAAGATCTTCGCTGGCGAATGCACAGGAGCTCTCGATGTCAATCTGAACATCGAGGAAGTCCTCAAAGCCGGAGAAAAGAAAACGGAGGAACTTGCGGCCGAATTTGACAGTATGGGCTTGTTTGAATCTTCAATTTGCTAGATTTCTTTTAGAAATTGGTAAGAACGCGGCGCAAAAGTTCACCTTAGACGAAAACACCGATCACACTTGTCATGTTTGGAACGGCGTCGACTTCCGAGACGAGAAGAAAAAAGAGAGCAAGTTGATCGATGTCTGGATCGAGCCTCCAAAGCGAGAGCGAAAGGCAAACTATGCTGTTGATTAGTATTACAAGGAAGCTCCCCGTGTCAAGTAAGCCCTCTTCATGCTTCTTTAGTCCTTACAACATGTTTTAGCGATCCCAAAGCGCCAAAAGCACCTCTTCCGCCAAAACAACTGGACATCAAAGACTTTCAGTTCTATCCCCACGAACTGATTCCTTTTTTTGCGACAAGAAGTCCTGGCCTATCGAAAGCAAGTCAACTACAAAGTCTCTATCGATCCAGACGCCGAGCATCCTAAGAAAAAACAGAAAGCGGAGCAGGAGAAAATCGACGAATCCCTCGGGAAAATCCCTCGAGCATCTCGCAAATCGCTTCGTTACCAAGGCCAGAAACCGTCCAGAAACTATCTGCATCCTTGGAAATCTGTTCTCGTACAATGAGCGGCGCGACAAAGCAACGACATATTTCTCGCGCGCTGTGCAAATCTGCGATTCCGATTTCACTATGCTTTCCACTTGTTGGGACACGAGTATGTTCTGAAGGAAGAAAACGACAGCGCAATCAAGTGCTTCAAGAACGCAATAAAGCACAAGGCGAGATTTGTCAATGCGTTGACGAGCATTGGTGATGTTTTCATCAATGCAGAGAAGTACGACCTTGCAGAGAGTTATTTATTAACAGGTTGAGAAATTTACAACTGAATCTTAATAAGAACTGTTTTCTAGCGCTGAGATACTATCCAAAGAACGCTACTGTTTGGTTATACATGGGGCAGATTCGCCACAAGAAAGGAGAACTGAATAAAGCTCTCCAATGCTTCAATAAAGTACCAAAGCTGACAAATTCTAGCCTCATGTAATACCTTTGTTTCTAGGCGCTGCAGTTCGATCCAACACAAGCGAACGCGCTCTTCATGAAAGCAAACATGTATTATAATCTCGGCGACTATCGGAAATCGCTCAACGAGTTGATACATCTCGACAAGATTCACCCCAAACTGGGGCGAAACCATCATTTGAGGCATACCATCATTTGGGGCAGAAATATCTCGGCAACAAGCATATGCAAATTGCTAATCAGCTCGATCCAAAAGGAAATCACTAGCAAAAAGGTAAAGCTCTTGATGTTTTCCATGTTTCAATTGAAAATTTCAGCTCACGATTCATTAGAACTGGCAGACATTGCCAATTATGAGCGGGATCAATCGATGGAATCTTCAATTTCTGTAACTCCGACGGCGAATGATAAAATGATAAGAACTTACGACGACAATTCCGCGCTAGCAACTACTAGTCCACGACTCGAGTTAACACCTTTATCTGCACGATGCCGATGCGCTTGGAGGAATCAGATCCAGCTCAACCTTTCCGACTTTACTCAACGAGCGTATGGCACTAACTACATCGAAACTCTCCGAGTTCAGGTAAAATTTAAACAGTCAGTCAGGGACACTGAGTCAGGGCCTGAAAGCCTGGAATTTCCCACCTATTCTTAAGTCATCACAATAAATCTCTTTTTCAGATCCACGCTAATTGCCGAATCCGTCGCGTTTACTTCTTCGACCAGCTTTATTCCGAAGACGAGCTTCCCGCCGAATTCAAGCTCTACCACCTGGAATCTCTTGAAAACATAACCGCACGAGCTGAGCAAAACTACAAGTCCTTTATTAAGTCAACCAAGAGCGCAAACTAGCAACAAAAAAAAATCAAGTTCATCGATACTATTTGCCAAGGTACGAAAATACGTCAGAATTTGATTTTGTGGACGATTTTTAATTGATTTCAAATAATACCCATTCTAAGCGCACAGTTATCAATACACACCTCCAATGAAGACCAAAAGCGCCTGTGTATTCTTCATTTTGAAGCTCAGTCAGAAAAAATTCATCTTCCGCAGAAGATTTGCCCGAATGGCAACCGAAACCTCAAGCGAGTCGGACAGCGGAAACTTATCTACAAATCAGCTGATGCTAAAAGATCAAAGGTAAAATAGCAAATGTTAGCAATCTCATTTTATAAAACCTTCCTGATGACTTGTGTCCGTTCTTCCTCCCAAGCCTTCAAGAGGCCTTCCTGTCCTGCCCGGCGTTTCCAGGATTGATACAAGTGGAAGGAACACTTTATATGAATAACGCCGGGCAGGACAGTTTTGTGAGCAGAGATAAAGGATTTCTCCCAGTCACTGCACACATAGCGAAGATTAGGGAGCCCATTCGTTTGGCTTTTGAAGAATGCCCATAACGCTTCATATGTTTCCGCTTTGTGATCTTTGAGGAGACAAGTCATTCGGTCAACGCAATAACCCTTGACAGGTTTTTTTAACGCACCGTCGATTTTTGATGATTACCCCGAAAACAAAAGCCCGAATAAGCGACACCAAGCGACTTAAATAAAAAAAACCCGACCTTGAATTTGTTCGATTGATCGCGGCAAGGTTCGGTTACCATCACAAGTTGTGGCCACTGTTTTTTGACGGCACTCACGACACTCATTATTCCATCTTTTCGAGTTTCATATTTTTTTTTCAGATCACGAGCGAACTCACAAACAACCTGTCTCATCTACAACAACAACAACTCAACTGTACTCAATAAAGGTAAAAAACTCTTCCTATATTGAGACTTGATGCATATTCACTTCGGCGAGCGTCATGGTCCAAAAAAAACACTATATTGTGGCGCGTGAAATCGTTGCTAAGGGAAGGGAGTCGTGAATCCGCCCACCATCGTTGAAACATATATAAGAAGTGGCATTTTGTCGGCACAATTTGTTTTTCCTTGGCAGCGACATTTGAGTTTTTAAATCGAAGCGCCGCTTTTTTGGCATTCTTTTTGGCATTTCCACCGAAAATTCGATTTGAAATTTCACTGTCAACGACTTCATCTTGCAACAATTCAAGCATTTTTCTCGAAGTCCGGGGCTGTGATTCAAGCTCGTTTCGACGGAATCTGTAAACCACATATCTTTTCCAACAATCAATCAGTGCATTCAAATGACCACCAAAGCCACAAACTTCAAACGCCACATGAGATTTTCTTGGATCGTAGATTATAAAGTTTTCAACATCGTAAAATTCTTTCGATTTGTAATCAGAATTTCGTACAAGCACCGATATTTTCGCTTTACAGTTAGATGTTTCCAGATTCTTTCGAACGTGGTGGTTTTGACAGTTGAGATTCATTCTTTTCCATCCTTTTTAACAGATCTCAAAATGATAATTTTTGATTTCAGCGCACGAAAAAACCGTCACAATTCCAGCATTTTGGCAAGCAACAGTGCCAAAGCGATGTCCACAACATGATTTACTCGATTGAGAAGCGTTTTAGGTAAGTTAATGCCCTAAAGATGCATGCCGTATATATTAAAGGGTAAATCATTCTATTTGACCTGCTCCTGGATATTTTGCTGCTAGTTCTTTTGGAAGATCTTGAAAATCGTCTTTATTGCGCGGAGTATATGAGAACAATTCATTAGGTCCAAAGCAAATAAAGAAAATGAAATTGACCATGCTTGTTGCCAATTGAACTGATATCAACTATTTAGTGCTCTCAAGATTTCAATTTGATGATGAAGAGTTCTCCGCGAAAGGGTTGCTCATTTCTGACCGAGGCTACTTGGAAGTTTATCCTTACGACAAATTGCAAGGTAATTCAATTATTAATAAAGAGCACTTTTCCTTTGGATCGGTACTGGTAGAATCATCGATGATTTCTTGAGTTTCAATCATCGTTGGGGGACGTTCAGGCGTAAGCAAGTCTTTGAGCTCAAGTTTAGCTTTTGGCGCTTTCTTAACCATGTCGCTGACTTCTTTTGTTAATTCCAAATCCTCATTCTTTTCATCATCCTTTTTACGCTTCATTTTTATCTCTAATAATAAGTAGACTCCTGCTGAAAATCGAGAAGTAAATGTTCAATTTTTATGAAAATATCTGTAGACTTAAGTTCTAGAAGCACTAGAATTCAAATTCATATAGTCAATATAATTGTATAACAGTGTTTTAAGCAAAACGACAACGCAGCTGCAAATGGATGAAGATCTCAATGAATACGAAAGTACCAGCTCCGAAAGCAGACCTCAACCTCAAAGATTCGATGGCATATCTTGAGAAATACTACAAGTCCTCCTCAGCAGCTACAGCGATTTCTTTTTTCACAAAGAGCGAGAAACTGACACAGAACTCCCGACCACTTCTGCTCACCATGCTTAGTCACAAAGAAAACGACGCGATCGTGATTTAGTGCCTGAAATTGCTCCAATTTGGCTGCGTCACTTCAGAACTACTACGACCTTTGTACAGTATTGTGCGCACGTCAAAATGTAAAGATGTCGTTAACGAGTCGATGATTATCCTGTCGCAGCTTAACTCGGAAAAGTCGATTGCAACTATTGGCTCGTTAGGATTCATTCATGAGATTTGTCTCTTCATCGAAAAGTACAAATCAGGTACTGTCCTACTTCGTGACGAATTTCCTTCTATTGTCAATTATTTAGAGAGGGAAGTATTCAAAAACTGTGTAAAGGCATTATGATCGGCTTGTATAAACGAATCAAACGCAGAGCTCGCTTCCAAAGAAAAAGTTCGATGAAAAAGGTTTTGATGGAGCAAGTAAATTCAAGTCTGATGCTTTGGTTCCTGCAGAAGTCGTTTCTTTTTATAAAAATAAAGAGGCTTCAAGGACTATATTATCAAAGAGCTTCCTTCTTGACCGGTTTTATTGAGAATCTCTTTTATTCGTATTATTTATATTCAGGCAGATCAAGGTTTTTTTTCTTGTTTTTCTTTGTATTTTCTCGTCAGCAGTCGGATTTCGCAGTGTTTTTTCGATCGAAAGAAATGAATTCGGCAACAATTTACACCAAATGTCCCAAAACAAAGAATTTTCACCCAATAGGTGTAAGTTCCCATTAGGTGTAAATATCCATTAGGTGTGTTACACCTTCTAGAAAATTACACCTAATGGAATTTACACCTAATGGGTATTTACACCTAATGGGCCCTACTCAAACGTATCTGGTATTCCTTCGCAATTTTCGCTTGATATTGCTGCCGTTCCACCAATCCATGCAAATATTTCTCGTAGTTCTGTCTTACTCACAGCTTTTCTCAGATGAGGTAGCCCTTCTTTCGCATTTGACTTGTCCAATTTGTTGCATAAATTGTATGTGATTACGTGCAGAACTTCTGAATTTTCATTATGTATAGTTCCAAATTTCACTTTTTACCTTTCACGTAAAAAGAGCAAAGATCTAAACGACCAAATGTGCTGTGACGAAAAACTCTACACTTCCTACAATGTTGAAGGTGGCTGTCTACGCTGCATTTTCGGGTCGGTGTATCAAAATGACCCTAAATTGATTTCTTGTATGGTCGAATTCGAGCTGTACCTGGAGGTTCAGAGTTAATTCTTCGATTATAGCTTCTTTTGCCGTTGTCAAGTGCCATTCCGATATCATATCTGTTTCTTCTTTTAATGTTTTTCTCATTGATTCCGTCATTCGAAATCCAAAGGTTCGTCGGTAATTTTCGCATTTTGCTGCTCTGAAATTTTTTATATTTATTGGTTCGTTAAACCTACTTTGACAAAACAGCATTCATCGGCCATTTTGCAATTGGGAGGTTATGGCTCTTGTAGTTGTAACTGTGTTTACTTATAAGCGTCGCATACTTGTCACTGCTTTGATTTTGAAGTAAAAGACTGAATTTTTGATTAACGGATCGCCCGCAGAGGGTGACAGTAGAGGACGAAGGGAGGACTGTGCCACCACCGTACCTCATAAATATTTTGCCATTCACGTCGGTGTCCACATCCATCAACTCCCATATGTTTTTTTTTACAGTGTATGGCAAGCTTGGCAACAATGATGGACCCGTTTGGTTTGCCGCGGCAGTATACTGATAAGTTTCATATTTTCCGAAGAGCTCACGAAAATTTGCTAGTGCCCTTTTAATTGCCGCGGAAGAAGTAAATTGCTAAAAATATTATTATCCCTAAATAACTTTTCATTAACTTACCTTGAATTCTAATGTCGGCGGCAAAACGTTATGAAGAAGCTCACAAAGTACAATGTCATGACTTTTTACACGGCTTGCTTAAATTTTTCACATTTTCAATTAACTGTTACTCTTACTGTAAACTGCCCATTTCGCGTATTTTTTTGCGAGTTTTTCACTATTCTCCACTCTGAGAAAATAACCCCACGGCCGCATGTTATTAACGCTCCAAAATGCTACATTGTCTGCTTCCTTTGATAACCAATTTGCGACGGTTTTTTTAAACCGGATGGACTCATCCATACTAAAAATAAATTATCTGTTATTTAACGTTATCTCTAACTAATTAAGCACGCTGAAAAAAAAGAACGAGAGCGAGCACGGGCAATTTAGCAGTTGTTTTGCAGTTTAAGGCTTGCTATTTCTCTCTTGAGAGATTGGTTCTCTGTCTTTTCTTCTTCCAAAAGCTCTCGGAGATTCCCATTTTCAGTAGTCACAACTTCGCCTTCACTATATTATTCGTTAATTATGTTTCTTGTTACTTATCGTTACCTCATCAATTTTTGAATCTTACGTTCAAGGCTTTTTGTTTTGCTCGTTAGTTCTTTCTCGATCAATTTTTGTTTTTTAACTTCATTTTCCGCGTCTTGGATAGCTGCCTGAAGTTTCTTTGTTTCAGTATCCGCATTTTGGAGCTTAGCCTTCAATTCTTCCGTGTCATCGTTCTGCTTTTATAATTTTTTATTTAAATTAAAGTAAATTAATTACCTTGTTTGACTCTTCGACAGGGGTATTTTTTTTGGCATCAAAAAGTGCCTGCATCAGCGCATAATTGTCCCTTTCAAGATCTGCGTTTCTGTACAGCGTCTGCAAGATGAGTTGTTCCACGTTGTTAAAAGTGGTTATTCGATCGAGGATTGTTTTGATATTCTTTAAAAAAAAACTCAATGGACTTCTGGTGAATGATGAAACCTTTACTATCCCGATGCTTAGCAATGGGATCTTTACAACCGCATCATTTGTACAGCGTTTGCATTTCGTATTGCTTTCATTAAGGGTAGTTAATTGTAAATGCAGTATGTTGACACGTTACTTAATAACCCCTCTCTTGATTGCAAACATCCTTTGCAGTGTACTTCTACACAGCATGTTGTAAGTTGCAAGTTATCAATGTCATCATTCTTGCATTGGATACAGTATCCGCCGAATTTCCTATTATCCATTCTTAAATCAGTTTGTTTACAATATGGGCAATGTTTTACGCTAGTAATTCATTGAGAAAGACCCAGATGGACCGCAGAATTGATATTTTCTTCGCGATCTCATCCGCAAGATCGTCATCTTTGCTTTTCCAGAATCGACGTTCTTCCTCCATACGATCAACAACCTCTTCCTGGCCGGAATCTTTTCAAGTTACAAAATATCTTTTAATTTTTTCTTATCAATCTATTTGAAGCTTTCCTGGATAAGCCATAAGTAGGTCAATAATTTTTTCTTTCCAATCCTCCAATTTCTGTGGTAAGTATTGTAATCAAATAAATTAACATTGTACTTATTCCTTATTCACCCTAATTGTTGGAGAGGTTTCGCAATCAATGCATGTGCGAATAAATCGCCTTCGCTTTTAAGATTCGGATTTTTTTCGCAACACGAAGTTTTTTTATCAAAATCTTTCCTTGGTTCAGAAATTTGACCCAGTCTAGAATTGGTTTTGTGCTGTCTGGCATCAAGCAACGAGTCATTGATGAAACTTCACTGGTCACAGTTGTCTATTTTATCACTTTAATTTTTAGTTTCCTGCACCTTCCTGAATCTCGCGTGCAATCTGATTTTTTGGTTCATTTTACTTGCCAATTTTTCTTCGAATGTTCTATCCATCTTTCTATTAAATTTCCGTGTGAACAATGAGTACGAGTTAAGGTGAGTTTGAAATGCCGCGGTAATATGTGGGAGCAGATAAGGTCATTGCCGCGTTAAAATGTGGAAGCAGGGGTAAGTGACAATATAAAATGCCGCGGAACATGAGAGAAGCTGTAATAAGTATCAATGAAAAAAACATGGTTCTGATATGAGGGTTTTCTTCGGCCGGGAGGCCTATGCTTTATCGCGTATTTCTTATCACATTTTTGGGAATCTTCTGCGCAAGGTAACGTGCATATTCGAGTATATTTCTGTGGTTTGTATTTTTCTATATTTTTTAATTCATGTTGGATATTGTTATTCGGCATACCTCGTCGTGGGGATAAAGTGGTGGGTGTTTATATGTTGTTACGTGTCTCAATGCCCGCATGCCCCTGTTGTTTGCAAGTGTTATTCGTCCTATGTAGATTTCGCAGAATCCTTTTAACATTTGTGGATATGCAACTAGATTTTATTGTTAATGTTCGAATTTGGGCATTTACCATCGTTGTCGGAGCTCACTGCTGGGAGTCTTGTTATTGGTTTTTGGCATGTGTCCATGTCTATTTCGACTCCAATATATGAAGCTGCGGGTACTGCGATCTGGATTTTTGTGTAATTATTATTGATTTGTGTTTTTACCTGGTAGAATTGGAAGTTAAAAAAACCAACTCGAAGCAAATTCTGAAGGCCGTAGAGTTCAATTGTGTTCAGGCAGTCATATGTCTGGAACATAGCGTACTCCAATGCATTGCCCAATAACTTCTCGTATCGAAAGCAACACAAAAAGAGGATTCTCGCGATGAGAGACTGGCATTGTTTCGGCCCGAGTTCCTTACTTTTCTTCGTTCTTATCCACTCTATAAAATAATTACTTTGTTTGTTTTTTTATTGTTTCTTACTTCCTTTATTCGAGTAACGTTTATTATTTACTTTAACAGTTTCCGTTAACTCGAAGTAGTCTTCTAGATTCATGCTGGTGACGACATGCCAAAAAAAAGAATTGGTTGTCTTCGTTGTCTCCCGCTCCGGATCTAACGCTCCCACGCTCATGTAGACTGTCTGATTGTTATTCGCGATTTGGTTCTATTTTTATTTATTAATTTGTTTCAGTGGTGTTTTTACCTTTGTTACTGACATCACATAAAAAAGGCTACACAAACCTGGTTTGTGTAGCTTGTGACTATCGATTCCGCGCTCTGAATGAACTCCTGCAAGTGTATGAAGATCGGTATCGCTTAGTTCAAACCACCAGTTGTACACTGACAGTATTGGCATCTTATGGTAGAGGAAGAGCATTGCGAATTTTTCCGCCGTGTATGAAAACGCTGATGCTCGTTCTTGTTTATTTGCCCAGTAGGACGTTGCGTCTGGTGGCAGTTCTTCCCATCCGTATTTGTCAAGGTGTTGTGTCAGTCCCTCTTTCGTTGCAATCCATAACTCCGATAGTGATGCATTTGCTGGTATATTTACTTCCACGTACTCGCGTTTTAAATTATCTTGTCCCGGCTCTGGTTTTCTGTGTATCTATTAACGGTTATTTTACTTCTTTTTATTTTTTTTTAACTTTTATAAATGTGCCAACGTTGATCTTTCCACCATTTCTGAATTTTCCTTCCGACGCAGTCTTTCCGATTCCCATATCTTTGCAGATCTTTATGTTTGCTTTCGTATTTTCTAGCGTCATCGTGTCTGGATCTCGAAAATCTCTGTCGTGGCCAGTGTACTCGATGTTGAGTGAGTTCAACAGATTATCATGTTCTTCTGTGAAGCGTGAAGTCTCGTAGATTTCGTTAACTTCTTTTTTGAACTTATTGTAATCGAACCGATGGAATGAGATGGGAAATCTTAATGTGTTTATTCTTTCTTTGCTTTGTTTCTTTATTGCCGCGACAAATAATTAGGTTTAACTCGATGCGAATTTATTATAAGCACAAGGAATAGTGGATTAATGGACTAATCTCACTTTACTGTTATGCCGCGACAATATTATACTGTACAGTGTCGTGTCTTGCCCTTAAGCAAATCTTGTATACGTCCGCCTATTGGTTTTGCATGGAGTAGCGCATTTCTCTTTTTTAAATTAGAGAGAACAACTTTTTAAATTGTTGTTATTGCTACTCCAGTCAGGATTTATCGGTAAACGTGTCTAAATTTTGATTTAGAATTCGTATGAGTGCTGCCTCGGGTGAAAATTTAACAGTTACTTCCGGAGGTTGAATAAAAATTCATGGGCGCAATTATATTTTTCTTTAGCTAAGGCTGATGCGCATCCTGTCGGTGACGCTGATCCCTATAAAAGAGCAGTGATGACTGGTTGCCCGCCCAAGAAATTTGTGGATTCTATTATGCGTGTCAAATTTATTTCTGAAGAGTGCGAAAAGTCAAAAGTCAATCGGGATTATATAAAACGCATAATTGCTATTGTTTCGAATCTTGTCTCATGCAATGAGTATCTTGCTGAGGAATTTGATCCGGTATGACTTACATTGACATCAACTTGCCGTAGATAATTTCATCGTTGTCGTTATCGCTTGCCATTCTAAATACAATTGTTTATAGGAACGTCGAATAAACTACTCTTTCGTCAGTGAAATTATCTTGGCGAAGGCGACCGAAGAGTTGGTGTATGAAATGGCAAATTTTTCCGGTGAATCTCCCGCTACAAAATGGCGATTCGAAGTCAAACTTGAACGCGGAATGGTCTCGAAGGTATTTCTCTTTTATTTTAATACTATTAAAGAATTTTAATCCAATCATTATCAAACTTTGGATGACCTCTGACTCTTTCGATGGAAGTGCCAAAGTTTTTTACGAAAAAAAACTCTCAGCCTTGTCTGTTGATTCGTTAGTGCAGAGGGCTACACGCGATCTCGACAACTTATTTCGTGAATTTGGAGTTGAGCCCGTATCTCGAGATGCGGTTCCACAAGTATTAATGGACAACAACGAGTGTCGCCCCCTTCTGGAGAATTTACTGTCTTCAAATGAGAAAATTTGCAATTTGGTAAATTTTTTTTTTATCAATAATCCTAATTTTAGTAGTTTAAATCATCACGGTCTCATTTGCACGAAGTGGCTAACTCAACTACTTCAACTATTGCGTCTGTTCTTGAAAAACATAAGATCTCCTATCAATTGATGTCATTGGTTGATCAGCCTCATGCTAAACAGTCAAGCGTTGTTGTGTTATCTGCTGATGGGACTGTTCGCTGTTACAAATTGTCTCAAAATGGCCAGGCTCATCAAACAAAGCTATGGTCCAAAGCCTTTGGAGACATATTTTCTACTATGAATTAAAATGAATATTGGCACCATTTTTAAGCTTCCGTTGTGGGCTGCTAGAGCGTCCATAAAATTGGAGAAGAAACGACCAAAAAGGCGACATGATCAGACAGGGGTGGATGTTGTGATTCAATAATTTTCAAAAACTTGTAATGGATGTTGACAAATCAATATCCATCTCTGTATCCGGGGTTCGCAACTAGCCACGAAATGCCGCGACTAGGTTAGTTCAGTTAATAAGCCATGGTTAGTTGGTTAATGGGTTTTTGGCTTGTTTTCGCTAGTAGCCGACGGTTAGTACAATGGCCTATATAACGCTGGCTAGGCTAGACTTGACTAGTCATCGGCTATCGGTAGGCGGCTTGTTGCCGACCCCAGCTCTGTGTAAAGACTCGTGATGAAATCCGTGACGATAAAGACGATCCCAATTCTGCAAAAAAAGTAAAAACTGACCGCTGAATGACATTGAAATAAATCAACACTTTTAAATAAAACAACACTTTTGTCGCCGCGTGTGAATTATATTAAAGTGAACAGTTAATAAAGTTTCGCATAGGGAGTAATAAATTGCAGTTAATGTTCAGGTCTATTCATCTAGTAGAAGGTATTTTTTGCTGCATTTCGTTGGAAAGTCGACGGATAGGGATACCGTGTACTCTTTGTTGTTTTGTTTGAGCCGAAACGTTCTGAAAAGTGGGACTTCCGCGACTTTATGCTTCGTTACTGCTTGTTCAACCGGATTGCGGAACATTCCGAATACTCTAACCGCAAACGTTCGAAGGATGCATTCCGCGTCATGAGCATTCCATCCTTTATACCCGAGGTATGTAGTGAATTTGTTCGGAGTATTGTGGAGGAAAGTACAGTTTTCGATCTTCATAATCTCTGAAATGAAATTGTTTTAAGTTCAAAATCAAAAAGGTAAAAATGTCACCTTTTTCGTATTTATGCATTTCTGCCGTTTCGAATTTGCTTCTTGCCTCTTCTAAAAATTGGTCTCCGCGGTTGGGGTTGCGATCGCTTGTCGCGTATTCTTCGACGAGTTTGAATAATTCGTCTTTCACGTCTTTGTTTGCTCTGCAGTCCGACCGCGTACAGAAAGGTATTTTACATCCTAAAATTACATTTATACATAGCTAAATTATGAGTTAAGTGAGCGTTAATGCTTGGTTTTTTGTTACCTTTTGTTGATCTTTTAATGAGGGTCACGGGAAATATTTCTCCGAGATACTCTTCAAAGGTCGAATTTTCGTGGTGGAGATCGAGCACGAGCGCTTTAAGATGTCTTATCATGGTTATGATTTTTGATAATTCTGTTCATATTTTGATTAAAAGATAACCGATCCTGTAAAATTCTTTCTTTCCGAGTGTCTCTTCGTGAAAGCATTTGATGTTGTTATTCAGAAGTTTCTTTCTATAAAAGATATTTAAACTTTAGTTCTACTGTTAAAGTGATGAATCCTTCGATGTAATTACCTAAGATCGTGTGCTCGCGACATTATTTCGTTTTCCGGCTGATACAACCCGATAGTTGGGTTACCGTCTCTCATCCAATCCATGAATCTATTGTAAACCGCACGTGCTCCTTCTTCAGTTATGTTGTTGAGAAGAAAGGGATCTTCGCTCGGCGCAAGTTCTGCTGGAAGTGGCAGTTGTACGTCTTCAACTAAAGGAAGGTTTGCGTAGTCGTAGCCGCCTCTGTTGTACAACGGGTCCATTGCCGCGATAATCATTGTGTAATGATAAAACAACTTATTAAGGTTCGCTTATAACCATGTTATGATTGGTTAATTTGTTAAATTTATCTGTATTGATTAGTTTGATGAACCTTTCCGTTATTTCATCCATGGAGATCGACGAAATATCAACGCTCACATCGCCTGAAGCCGGTATGTAATAAGCTCGGATATTGAATTTTTCCAAGAGCGCGATGCATACTCCGACTTCGTCTGCGTAGTCTTTGAATTCTTGTGAGTTCTTGTCCGCATACTTTACGAGAGGTGACCACCACACTCGTGTGAATTTGCCCACAGTTGGGAAAATAGGGTGAAGTGATGCCTGCATTGTTTCCGCCAAATGATGTTTTCTAAATGAGCATGAATGTTTCCAAAAAGTTGTTCTGTTGTCCAGCATTCCGATTCCAAGTTTTTCTAATCTGTTGTGATCTGATTTGTGTTTAAATAAATAATGATTATTACCCGCAAAATAAATCTCTTGTTAATTAGCCGCGGCAAACTTAACATATTATTTAAACATTTCCTTGTCTTCGCCAGCATCGCGTTGAGGCATGTTCGAAAGCATATCGATGATTTCCGTGAAGTGCATTTCTGTACAATCGTTCGGCCATCGCTTTGAATGCTCCGATTCTATTTATTTTAAATAACTTGTTTTTATTTTTTGCATACCTTCCAATTATGCCGAAACTGATTGCATTATTTGCGAAGTGGCATTTTCCCGATGTTTGACATTTGGCAGACATACAATGAGTGTTTTGGTAAGAAGCTCGTCCTAACATTGCGTTCGACTCGCAGTATAAAACCGGGACGAATCTATTCCATAAGAATTGAGCAATTTCCGCGTCGTATCTTGTGTGTTTGTTTAGGTAATAGACAAACATCACAATCTAAAATTTGTAAGCTAAAAAGTAGTTGATTGTAAAGCTTACATTTTTCGCATTTTGATAATCCTTTTTAGGATCTTCGTCTTCGCTTTCGATATTGGAGATTATAACTGCGAAGTCCAGCTGCTCTCTCTCCCATGCCGAGTCGATTTCGTGGTGAAGTGCATTTTTTTCCCATAGTGCTGGAGCAACTCCTTTCACCGTCATTGGTTGTTTAAGCGCGTCAGCTTCTCTTGGATTTGCTCGAAGATATGTTTCAAGGGCTTGGGCGAAATGTTCAAACGTGACATCTTCTTGTTTCAGTAGATTCTTAATTCCGTCCGAGATTTCTCTTATTGAAGAGTAGAACACGCGGATGGCCGATTCGATATCTTGCGTAAGTGGTCCGCGAACACCGTTGATCGTATGCTTGTCTGCCGCTTCAACTAGCTGTCCAATGTCGTAAAATATTCCGTGGAGGTATTTCGTAGCTACTGTTGTAGCTGTAGGTACCATATGATCCTTCTCGTAGAGACTAAAAAAAAAATTGATAATACACTTTTCTTCGGCCGGAGGCCTATAGCTTACCGTTGACAGGCTTTTATAACAGTTCCAAGTCGCCCGTTTTTGAAAGGAACGTTCAAACTTGTAATTGGGTTGTCCGAAATATTCATGATCGATGCTGGTCCTGGTTCAATAACGCGTTGAAACCCTTATTATGTTATTGTTGTAATTTTTCTTATGTTTACCTCTGTATTTATCGGTCGTCGGTCGGTCTCTTGTTCTTTCAGGCAATCTTCTTCCTGAGTTTATCGTGGTTCCATAGCGAATCGCATCGTTTTCTGAGCTATTCATGCTCGATCCACTTGAGTCGCTTGGTCCGCTTGAATCGCTTGATGCTATCATTGCAGCATTTAAGTCTACTCCGTCTTCTTGTAGATTAACACCCTCGGCTATACCGTCAAACGGGGGATTTTCTTGCTCGTCGTTGGGTGGTTGCTGCTCATTTTGGTTTTCGCTTGGTGGCAGGTTTTCGTTGTCTGCTGCTGGTTGGTCGATGTTCGCTGGTGGTTGTTCAATGTCAGCTGGTGGTTGTTCAACGTTAGCTGGTGGTTGTTCAACGTCAGCTGGTGGTTGGTCAATGTTCGCTGGTGGTTGTTCGTCGTTCGCTGGTGGTTGTTCGTCGTTCGGTGCCGATTGTCCTTCTTGGTTCTGGTGGTGATCCGATAAATTGTTTCCTATGTCGTTGGTGTTCGCATTTTCGTTGGCTTGTTCGGTATTTCTAGTTGTTCCGGTGGCGTTGTTTTGATTTTCGACTTGGGTATTGCCACTGTTTTGGCCGTTTCCGTCGTCTTGAGTATTCGCCTGAAGGGGGTACGTGACCGATTCGTCGATAATAAGTGCGTCGTCGTCGCTATCCACTTGAGGTACTTGACTTTCACCGTCACTATCGTATTCCGCGTTATTGGCGAAGCCGATGTACGCTTCGATCGGCAAATCGTCAAGGTCTTCTTGTTGCCTTGTTTGATTAAAATCGTTTCGCGTCTCTGTGCTGGATCTTTTCGGCATTTTTGATGGATTAGCCGATTGTGATGCCGTTGATGCCACTATAAATGCTTTTTATTTTTTTTATAAATTTATACTTTGATTACCTCTTTCCCTTTTTTTTGACCTTATTGTCAAATCAAGAGGTTGAAGTGACGGTACTCTGGAATTCGTTGGCATCTGGAAATCAAACTGAGCCATTTGGTGCAAATGAACTGCAGGGTGACTTGTAGTCAGGCTCGTTGTTGGCTGTTGAGTTTGGGTGGTATTATCTTCCGTTAGATCAACAACTGGTATAGCCGCACGTTTGTTTCGTCTTATGTCGGCTGGGCTTGGTTTGTCTTCGGCCGGAGTTACCGTGGAGGAGACTGCGCTTATTGTCGCTGCTGCTCCAATGTCGACAATTTGTTTCGTTTTACCGGAGTACGTTTTCCGCATAGTTGTAAGGAATGCTCCCAAACTTTTGCTGTAATCAGGGCCGTGTCTTTTCTTGACTTTCTCAATCAGATTTCTGAATGTCGAATAGCTTCTCGTGTTGAATTTTCTTCCATGGACGATAATTCCCGCTTTTCCGAGAGCATCCGCGACAGAATCTTTTGTGGATTAATAACAAGTGACAACCATTTATATGTATCATAATATTTAATAATCATTCCTGATGCCGTGTTAAGGTGCGTAATTAAGCACTCCCGCATTGGTGAATTTTGTCGACCATAAAAGGCGCCGAACGCAGTACCAAGGCAGGCTATATCTAGATCGCTTGGCTTCGTTTTCAATTGCGCGTGTACCAATCGCAACCCGTTGATGAGTTTCTTTGTTGCGCCGATTTTTTTGCTTTGGATCGCCGCATCAGCTCCGCGAATCGTGTCTCGAAGTCTTAAATTTTGTCATTTTATTTTTATTGGTATTTAATTGCTAATTTTTCAACACTTACATTTTTTCAAGATTTGTTGATCGCAGAATTTCATTGATTTTAGCCGTCTCATTCGGCTTAATGCAGCACATTGCGAGCATGAAGTCGAGAAATGCATTAATCGCCAAGTACTGGTTGTCCCGGATCACTTTGACTTTTTCCGCGGACAGTTTGCTCGGTGTCATTGCAAGCAAATTCCGCGTGTACATCGACGTCGAATAAGTCACGGCCTCCGTTGTGTAAGAGTTAAGCAGAGCGATGAGTACTCGACTTCCTTCATTTACTTTTTGATGTTACCAAATATTTTTTACACACCCGAGTGATTAGTGCCTCGTTTTCCTTTTGGGATAAGTGGTTTGATTTTGATTATTCTAGATTCAATTCTAACAATTCCTTGGATGCTTTTCATCTCCTCGCTGTCAGTGTTGATGATTGCCGCCTCTTTTGTAACCGTTACAAAAAACTGAATAAAACTTTTATTTGATTTATATATTAATGTTGTCCTGACCTTTTTAATAATGAGAATGAACTCATATGTTCCCGCGTATTGGACATGTGGTTTAGCTGTTTTACGAGCTGCTGAGTAGACCGGCAATTGATCAAGTTCATCAAGGCGCCGTTGGTTTTCAGCTTCATTTACAGAAAAAACCGTTCTGAGAATCTCTTCACTTTCCTTCGACCGCGTTACTCGTTGATCAGCTGCCGAGAATCGTTGAAATCCTGTTGCCGAAACTAATGGCAGGCTTCTTTATATTAAACAAATCGTTCTTGTATCACTATTATTTTAAAACATAATTTTGTTTATTTGAAATTGTTTAATTTTCCTTCTTTTTTCATTAGCCTTGTTGATTCCATTGTTTGATGGTTCAGGGTTGCTTTGTGCCGCGTCCTAATTGTAATTTTGTGCTCTAATTTAATAAATTTTGTTTTACCTTTCCGTGTCCGGCCAGAATTTCTGCGTAGGTTCTTGCCATGGTAAAGAATTCGCAAACGTGTGTCTGCGTCGTGTCCAGAAGTTGAACTGATTTCACTTTCATTAAATTCCCAATATCGAAAACACATTCTAGAAACTTTTCTATTACTGTCGAGTTCTCACAATTTGGCTTCTTTGTTAATTTTTCTGCTTTTTTTTCTTGTTACCTTACACTATGTTAATTTCTTCTTATGTAATATACGAACTAGAGCTGTAGTTTCAATTTTGTGTCGCTATTTTTAATATTATTTTTTTCAATTGCTATTTACACCCCTTTTACATGTAAAAATGCCTTTTTTTCTCGTTTAAACTTTATTTTTTAATTTTTTTTTTATTATTTCCAATAAATCGCCTAGTTCTCAAATAATTGGCAATTGAATTTTTTTTATTTATCTAATTAATTTAGTTTAATATGAAATTTATTGAATTTTTTTTAAAAATTTTTTTACGATTAGCTTAAATCAGTTTTCTAGAATTCATTTGAATATATTGTTTTTCTTTTTATTACAATCTCGATTTACTTCGCTGTCCGTACAGGCAGCGAACAAATCCCGAAATAATAAGTAACTGCGTTTCATTGTAATTCCACTTCTTCATTCTCGCAATGAATCGCAAATTGGACATATTCGCAGGGAAGTTTTTGCTCGCGTCTTTCAAGTTTTGCGCGATCTCCGTTATTTTTTCTGCTTTATGTCACAACTAAGTCTTTGTTGTTATTCGAATTATTGCTGATTACATTATTAATTCTGACATTCCTGCTGTCAAATCGCCGAGACCAAAATCTTCCAGCTGTATGGGTTTACCACATGCTATGACTTCCGACATGATGCCGGCGATTCGGTCGTGCGTGGCGTGTTCTTTCAGCGCGATTTGCTCGATGGTTTCTCCATCAAGGTAGCGTTTGTAAATCATCCAGCTGCGCAATCGCAGTTCTTCGTGAGCTTTATTCAGATTTTAACTAGTCGGCTGGTTTTTACTTACGTTTTTTTTGCGCCCAGGTTTTTGGTGGGTTTTTCATCATTTCATAGGTAGCGTCTTCTTCCTCGTAGATTTGTCTATCTACCTCAAGCTCTGGGCAAAGATTCTTGTATTTTGCTGTGTTCAGATAGAAACTCTGGTACATTTTGGCCGCCGCTGCTGTCATTCTTGGAATTTTACACACTAAATAAGTTTTATTTTTTTTTCTTCTAGGGACGCTACTTGATTCTTCCGTTGTGGGCCGCCATAATATAACTCGTTCCAATAGCTCTCTGCTGAAAGGAAGTTGCGGCTTTTTACGATCTTTGTATTGCTGCGTCACATCCTCCATAATTGCGTACATCATCTTTCGATATGATCTTTCATACGCGTCCTCCTTTTTTTTCTGTGGCTCTTCAGCTCTGAAGATTTCTATCTTGCCGAACACTGCGTTCTCTTCTTCCTTCTGTGCCTTCAGTTCGCCTTCTGTTTCCATGATACAGTCGCGGCTTCCTTTAGAAATTATTCTTGGCGTTTTCATCTCAGTTGTCAGCACTTTTTGTATTTGTTATAAGCAGTTTCAAGATTGACTTACCCGTGATGAATTTTTTTTTGGGCGACTGCATAAAATCGTACCCCTTTAGCGACACAACCATTCGAATCGCTCCTTCTCCATCATAATGCCGAAGATTGAGGTAGTCATTAATGATGAGCGCCCTTGTAACCGCATAAAAGTGTTTTTTCTATAAAGTCGGTTTATCAAGTTAACTTTTTTTAGACATACCGGTTTCATTTTCTTTAGGACATTAGCCATTGTTGCTTTTTCCTTGCAATCAATAACCGCCTCCATTATGATTATTGCGTCGTTTCTGAGAGAAACATAGTGTTTCAACTCAGCTTTATATTCTTATCAAGGATAAAATAGCTCGATTCTTTATTTTGGTATTTTATGTTAATTCTTCATTATCTATATTCCCTTTACTTTGTTCCGCGACAATTCTTCATTCTCCCGACGGCAATGATCGCAGCAGTTTGGAAGGCCCGTTGTTTCAGACTCTTCTCCTCTATTGAATGTCGCCAGTAGGGTTTCTCGGAGACAACCTCGCTGTTTCAATGCGTATTCGCAATGAAATAATTCCAAGTATTTTTGTATCTTCTCTTCCGTTCTAGGTTGTCTACTCGCGGTTGACTTGTGAAAAGAAGTAAGCTCATCATTCATAAATATGATCGTTTGAGATTGTTCTCCGTTTCGTCCGCATCGTCCGCTCATTTGACTGAGCGATGAGAGTGATAAAGGTGTTCCCCAAAGAACTGAATTTTAAATTTGGTTTTAGGTGAATATGTTTACCCGTCTTTCGCAATGTCCGATCATCATGACCCATGCCGAACGCAACGGTTGCGATTATCGCGTCAAGTTTGCCTTGCGTGAAATCTTTGACCGTTTGCCTTCTTTGTGCATCATTTACCCGCGGCGCATTCTTTGCAGAATCATTCTTCGACGATCTTAAAGAAAAATAAAACAAAATTAATAATTTATATAGTACCCGAAGTATTTTCCGAATCTTTGCATGTCGAAAAATCGGCTAAGATTATCGTATAGAAATTCGCCTTCATTTCTCACATTGATGTATATGAGAACTCGTTCCTTTAGCCGATAGAGCTGTCGGTTGCTGAATTACCGTTTTGTAAGAATTTATCGTTATATTATACTTGATTATTTTGTCGGGTTTAACAAGTCCAGCTCTCTTCAAATCATTAAACAAGGCCTCTGCCGATGCTTGTTTTGAGTTGTTTCTTGCCGCATTTGTCTTCGTTAGAATTCTGTAGTAGATATTCTTTCGGTCAGTTGCGCCTTTTATTATCTTGGGCTAAATTATTTTATTTATTTGCTTCAACTCAAGTTTATCTTACTTGTGTCATCCGCAATGTCTTCTTGATCCCTCTTTCGACGTGTTTTGTAGCTGTGGCAGTACACGCTAGAAATGGTGCACTCGCTATTTCTCTAGCAAAACCGAGAAATTTCATCTCAGTTCTGAACGAGCTCCACTCAATGCATGTATGCACTAAATAAAGTTAATGTTAATTACTGTCCCGAAGAGTAGATTTACCCTCGTCAAAGATAGCCGCTTTCATGGGGTGATGTTCGTTGAGAAGCTGGAGCACAAGATGGTTTTTGTTCAAGCTTTCAGGAGATGCAAAGATGACGCGATAGTTTCGTAGCCTCTTCCACTCTTTTATGGCCGCCCATTCAAGAAAATTTGTGTCTCTCAATTTAGTTTGGCTGATTCCAGAGTGATCCAGAAACGTCATCATGTCTTCGCGAATGTTGTTAACCGGAAGAACAATCAACGTATATCCTGTTTGTTGCAGAGCCGCGTAGGTGAGAAATACTGCAGATTTTCCGCTTCCTGTGCACTGTACTATCAAAGTATCTTTTCCCGCACCCAATGCTTCGATCGCTTCATACTGCCAGCTCCGCATATTTTGGTGGCCCATCACTTCTTTAAATGTTTTCTTGACGATTTTGTATTGTTCTTCTGCGGTTAATAATGGATCCCCGAAAAAAACTTCTGGAGCTTCGTTCGACTCATTCGACCGATTTTCGTTCATTCTTAATGTGAAAATGATTTTATAATTTGTTTCCAATCAATCAGTCATTCTGTCAATGTTCTCTCCAATTCCATCAATTTCTTTCTCGATTTTTCCTGAAAAGAACAAATAAACTTTTGTTGACTTCAATTTTACTACCTTTACACTCTTGAATTGTTTTTTTCAAATCAATCAGTTCGCGGGACCTTCTATTTTTTTCCTTCTCTAATAATTCGACGTTTTTTCTTGTTTCCCGCAACTTCAGTGCATCTACTTGATGTTGAAATTTTCTTTTTACATTTGAACTTTCAAACCTCTTTTCATTTGTGCTCTTACCCCTTCGAACCAGCCTGGCGCGTTCACGTAATTGTTCGCCGCGACTTTTTTGCACGATGGACACTCTCCAGTTGTCTTGGAAAAATCATCCGAGCATTCTTATATTCTTTGATTTTTTATTTATACTTCCTTTTACCTTTGCATAAAATCGTGAAGCATTTTTTGCAAGTTTTTGAGCCCTTGTTAGGGTAGATCTCACAAATACCGCATAGGAAGAAAGAATTTTTCTTGCATGTTTTTGTTGACCGAGACATTTTAGAACGCCAAGATGAAAACCGAGACAATCTTAATTATTTTCTGAATAGCATAGTTTTTAAATAAATTGGTTTTGATTAATAAAATCAGAGATTTCACAATTCAACGCGTCTAATTCACTTTTTCGGCTCGATTTCGGGTTGGTTGGTCTTCCATCAAGCCTTTTTGATTGCTGAAAGAAATCGGTTGGATGCCGCACAACAATTTTCCTGGATTTTCTCTCATTCTCCGTAAGTCCTCGTCGTTTTGCAAGATAATATGCACAGACGCGTTGAGGACCGCCATTCTGCTGAAAGAAATCCACTGTTCCCCAATCTACCAAATGAATGTCTTCAATATCTAGTCAAGAGGTAATATAATGTTTTTTTTTTGTTTCAATAACCTTTTATTGTCGTGTTGTTAGCAAATGGACATTGAAGTCTGCTGTCGTGCTCCTTCATTTTCGATACGCATCCATAAGCATTCTACTTTTTTGTTTGAGCTTGTATATTATTAATTATTACCATTGAATGCTCGTTACTGGAAATCCAATTTAATAGATGTTTATCACGTTTTTTTTCATTTTTTGTTGCTCTCTCAAAGATTTGGTTGTAAAGAGCGTTTACTTTTTCCCCTGGTAAACTTATTAAGTATCATGAACTGTTCTTTTATAATGCATGTTGAACACATTTAATACTTTCCCAATGTTCTTCGCGAAGGAAAACAGATGTAATTTCATTAAATTTGTGGATAATGAAGGATCGCTTATGATTGAGTCGATTAGCCGTACTGCGCTATGAATTGGTTAAATATGAGACTTTTTGTCTATTTACCATGGAGGGAAGTTTTTTTTAAGAATAAAGAAATTATTTTCGTTGATGTTTTGATTAAATTCCTCCTCTGTAAAGAAGACAGTCATTAACATTTCAGCAGCTTCGTATATTTCTTTTGAAAAGTAACCTTCCGCAACAGTTATTTCTTGAGGGGCAATCTTCCGTTCAAACAAAACTTTTGCATAAACCGTAAGCTCTTTCTCGGTGACGACAAATTTTTCTTTTTTAATTCTTACTGCGAAAAGGTTAAATCGGAAGGTAAATCAAAACTTATGAATTTTAACCTATCCTGCGGGAACGTTCCAATCTGAAATTTCACTTTTCTTGATACTGATCTCGTAGAGACTGTTCATATGTCTTGTTTGGGTTAGCCCTTGCGGATTTATCTTATTTTGGAAATCTAATTTATTTAAGAAAATAGCTGAGGTTTCCCGCGGATCTCAATAGCAAACGTTAACCCGAATGACCATGGATTTTTTGAATTTCTGATATAGCTTTCTTGTTGGCGTTGATATCATGCTTCTTGATTTCTCCGTCGAGATAATGAATAATTTTAATTTTTTCTTCTTTCTTTAGATTAGTTATGCGAAAACCGAAGAGGCAGACTTCCGCGGCGATATATTTCTTAATATGAGTTATTTAGCAGAAGAATTGATTCTATGATTTTGACCTTTTTGATTTCTTCTTTTAATATCTTTTTTGTTCCTCGAAGTAGCCAATGGACATATCCGTCTACCATTAACGCATGATTATCTTTCTTGTTGGATGTTTTAAATAATTGGTTAAATTATTTTCACAAATTAATCGAAACACCTTCCGATAGACACCATAAATCTTGTTTATTTATCTCCAGAATTGATCGGGTATATTCATATTTTTCTTCATCTGGGGATGTTGACAGATGGTCGCACGACTCTTTGATTCTTTTAATTTTTTTTTCAATTTTCTTTTTACCGCATATAATTTTCATAATTTCCAGACGATCCGATGAGTATTTCAGAAGATCTTTTTCTTTTATATAAATTTCAAATTTATGATAATTAAAATCAGCGATAGATAGAGTAAACACTTGTTTGATGAAAATGATGCGGTCAGTATTTGAAAACACTGTACCAAACGCCCTCCCCCCCCCCGAGCTCGCAAGAAATCTCGGAGTCGGCCATCGCGCCCGCACGCGGAAAATGTCGCTTGAATATGGACTAAAATGTTTACTCTGTATCTGGCTCGCATAATTTACTTTTGGCTTAAGGAATTAAGGAATTTAAAATGGAAATAATTGAGCCTTCCCTACGTAAAGATGATTTTCTTGATAGACATTTTCAAAGTCAATTTTTTGCCGCGATAAGTGTTGGTTCAAGTATGGATACGCTGAGCAAAGATCATAATCGGACATTCTAAATTGCAAATTTCTATTAAGCTTTATATTTAAGACACATCTGTCTTCAGTGTAGGTAGTGTCTCCATGGGAAACTGAAAGTCCGGATAGTCTTCCCTGAATTTAAGAATCTTGACAAGTCTTGCGCTTGCCAACGTGGGCGCCTCCGATCCGATGAATTGAATGTCACTCCCAAAACAAGCTAGATATACTTTGATAAAATGAAATATGAATAAGCAACTTGCCTAGAAAGTTCCCGAAAATCAAGTCCCCATAATGATTCCCAGGTTTGATTGCCCACTCTTCGATGTTTGCTTTTGATAATGGATGTTTGTTCACCTTCCATCCTAAATAAAAAAGTAAATAACCATATATATAAAAAAAAACAACAAGGTAGGGTTTTCGTCGGCCGGCAGGCCTTACCGTATCCTAGTATGTTTCTTTTGTTGTCTTTTTCGTTTGTGCTGACCACTGCTGCAAATTTGATTTTTTCCGCGAGATCGTTTTTGTTCGCATCTGATTTCATTGCAAGTGTGTTTTTTTGTTGTTCTACCTGTAAAATTATTCCACACAAAAAGAACTAGTTTACAATTATCCTTTTTTATGAGGATTTTTTTTTCAATGCTATATGTTTCGATAATTTTTGTTTTCATCTGTTCGAACCTATTGTAATTCATAAGTGCATTCTTAATTTATTTTTATAAATTTATGGCAGTAAATAATGCACAATTTGCAGGCGAGCAATGGGGAGGGGTACGTTATTGATTGAATTGACGTCAGTTCTCTTCGTTGATGTCGTCGATGTCACTGTCCTATTGAGAGTTTTATTTTTAATTCTTTTTTTTTTACCGATTCGTTGTCGTTCTTGAAGAAGTCATCCCTCTCTTGATTGATTTCATGCAATCTTTCCTGTCGTTTTTTAAGTGCTTCTTTTGCTGTCATCTGATTTGGGAAATACGGACCGAAAAGTTCTGGGTTTTTGCTTTCCTCTATGATTGCTGTGCGCGCATCGTCATATTCATAGACTACATAGTGTATTTAATTTGATTTGATTTTATGAAACCTGTTTTGTCATCTCGATGCGTTGCCATCCTTTTGGCTAGTATTCTGATGAAGTGTGTACTTGCTTTTGATTGTTTTATCATTTTTATTGTAGTGTATTATTGTAATTATATGATTTAACTTTCCTATTGCCATGGCCTCCTTTGAATCTTGTCCGTAATTCATCACGTGATTCGCCATTTTCATTATCTTCTCCGTGCTCGTTACTGAGATTCTCGTTTGAGATTTTTCCATCGTTTTTCTGCGTTTATATCTTTTCTAAAGATTTATGATAAGTTTAAGAGCATTTATCTTTGAAAAAAATTATTGTCCTTTATTTTGAATTTGTTCAAAATGTTAGCATGTTAGTATTCATACGATGGATTGCAATTAGGGGATGTGTTAAAATGTGTTTTGTACAGGTCTGTGTTATAAAAAGCTGATTTGCACATGTCGCAAAATAACCAGTTGTGGTTTTGGTGGTCGTTTTGCTTTTCAACTTGCTCCGCGACCATGATGAGAAAGTTGTAGTCTGGCATATCTGTCTGTTGATTGTCTGACACCGTCAATTTTGGCTCTTTCTTCTGCATCTTTGGGGCAAAGGAATTCAAACAAGGCTTTTTCTGCACTACTTCATTGAATTCACTCTCCTGATCTGTCTTTCTTTTGACGTTCCCTTAAAATTCTTAATATTTATACTAAATTGTAGTTTTACCTTTCCAGATAATTTCCAGCCCATCTGATGCCATTGTTTTGTTTTCGGGTGTCATGTTATTCGTCGTCTCTTTTGAAATCGGCACTTTTTTCGTGTTCGTCGGGCTTGTCGACAGTGTAAAAGATTGAGGCGTTTGTTGGGAGCTGATGGGCGGGATTGTTATGGGGGCGTAATAAGGAAATCCATTTGCCATGTAGTAACATGAATTTGCCGCGCTCGTGCTGTAAATGGGATTTCTCATCCAAGCCGGTCCCGTTGCAAATTCGCTGTTTATTGGCATACATTGATCGTATTGCTGTTGTGGTGTGAAGCAATCTATTTTGTCTTTCTGTTCTGTGCGTTGGCTGTGGTCCAATGGTCGCATTTTATTCTTGGTATGATGACTCTGGGTCACGGCCGGATTAGAGAATTCTTGGTGATTCTTGTATTTTTTCAAGTAGATTGACTTTTCATGGCCGCTTCCGATCATATGTATCTCAGCAGTCTTTCGGCTGACGCTGGCAAAACCACAAATGGTGCATCTATACGGATGATCGCCGTAGTGCTGCCGTGTATGTGCAATGACATCTTCATAATTTCTGAATGTGTACTTGCAGCAATCGCACGCGTATGTTACTTCGCTCTCGGTCACTGGCAGAATTTTGAATGGTTTCAAATATTCTGGAATCATTCCTGTTGCCTGTTCAACAACATAAACCGTCTGGTATGCAGGAGCTCGCTATAAAAAATTCATATATTGTTATGAACCTATTATTTACCGGTACTGAGGGAGGTAAGTCAATTGGTTTGAAACTGTTCTGACCGTTGTAATACGGTTCGGGTGATTTTCTTTTAAGATGTTCTCCCGGTTGGATGATTTTGGACTCCTTTTCGCGTGGAAGTTGATTATGCTTATCTGCCTTGCGATTTTCTGTGGCAGAAGGGTCCGGCTCTTGTTTATTTACATCCATTGTCGATTCAGTCGGAGGCTCTTCGCGTTTTGGTCCTTCAATTTTTTTCATACCGCTGTGCCCCGTGCGAATGTGGTGGTTTTTGAGGCCCGATGATGATACCTAATTATTTAAACTTAAATTTTTATACTGCATATTACCTCAAAATAGTCGCAATCTGGTTCGGTACATTTAAATGGATAATCGCCGATATGTCGTCGAGCATGTGAAATGATCGAAAAATGCCCTATATATTAAATAAGTGTTCGTAGATCTTTTTGAGTAAAACCTTTTAGATGATTTTGACAAAAGTTGCATTCATAGACTGGTCTTTCAGGATTGACTGACTTCCCGATCAATTTGTAGGGTCTGTAATACTTTGGCACTAGCCCTGTATTTTCCCATGCTGCGAAGCTTACTGAATATTTGTGATCGAGCTTCGGTCTCACAAAATCCATATTCGGCGTAGTTTTGTACTGAGTTTTCTCAGGAGCGACGTTTTCGCATGCATTGGTGACGATTCCTGAGTCCTCACTGTCCAGGCGGGATTTTTTCCTGTTTCCAACGGTGGGACATTTATCTTTCGGCTTCTCTTTTTTCTCGAGTTCTTCGGGGCGTTCGAAAGTATCGTTGTTGGTACTTTCCTCCATTCTAAATTAAGTTAATTTATGCAATTTGTCTTTGAATTCGAAAAACTGTTCCCGAGTGATTAGAAGAAACTTGACATTTTCGTAGTATCTTCTTCTTGTGTGTGAGGTAACTTAAAAATAACGTCAGAAAAGATAAAAATTGAATGGCCCGAGCCATTGCTGAAGATATTTTCAGCGGCTCCGTGCCTGAATTAAAGGAGCCATGTACCAGTCATTAGTCAGGGACAGGTGTCCAACTTTCGTGCGTACATGGTCCCCTTGGTATTTAATTTTTTCTTTGCATGATACATACTCCCTGAGTTGGAACTTCGGGGTGTCCCGTTATTTGCCGCGTCTTTGCGTTCTTTTGGAAGCACTGCTGATCGTTTCGCGCTTCGAGAGCCGGTGAGAAGTTCTCTGAAAATGACGTTAGACTTTGATAACGCTAAAATGGCCTGAACCATTGCTGAAGATGTTTTCAGCGGCTCCGTGCCTGAATTAAAGGAGCCATGTACCAGTCATTAGTCAGGGACAGGTGTCCAACTTTCGTGCGTACATGGTCCCCTTGGTATTTAATTTTTCTTTGCATGATACATACTCCCTGAGTTGGAACTTCGGGGTGTCCCGTTATTTGCCGCGTCTTTGCGTTTTCTTGGAAGCACTGCTGATCGTTTCGCGCTTCGCGAGCCGGTGAGAAGTTCCCTGAAAATGACGTTAGACTTTGATAACGCTAAAATGGCCTGAACCATTGCTGAAGATGTTTTCAGCGGCTCCGTGCCTGAATTAAAGGAGCCATGTACCAGTCATTAGTCAGGGACAGGTGTCCAACTTTCGTGCGTACATGGTCCCCTTGGTATTTAATTTTTCTTTGCATGATACATACTCCCTGAGTTGGAACTTCGGGGTGTCCCGTTATTTGCCGCGTCTTTGCGTTTTCTTGGAAGCACTGCTGATCGTTTCGCGCTTCGCGAGCCGGTGAGAAGTTCTCTGAAAATGACGTTAGACTTTGATAACGCTAAAATGGCCTGAACCATTGCTGAAGATGTTTTCAGCGGCTCCGTGCCTGAATTAAAGGAGCCATGTACCAGTCATTAGTCAGGGACAGGTGTCCAACTTTCGTGCGTACATGGTCCCCTTGGTATTTAATTTTTCTTTGCATGATACATACTCCCTGAGTTGGAACTTCGGGGTGTCCCGTTATTTGCCGCGTCTTTGCGTTCTCTTGGAAGCACTGCTGATCGTTTCGCGCTTCGCGAGCCGGTGAGAAGTTCTCTGAAAATGACGTTAGACTTTGATAACGCTAAAATGGCCTGAACCATTGCTGAAGATATTTTCAGCGGCTCCGTGCCTGAATTAAAGGGGTCATGTACCAGTCATTAGTCAGGGACAGGTGTCCAACTTTCGTGCGTACATGATCCCCTTGGTATTTAATTTTTTTTTTTTGCTTGATACATACTCCCTGACTCGGAACTTCGGGGTGTCCCGTTATTTGCCGCGTCTTTTCGTTTTCTTTCCGGTGAGAATTTCTCTGAAAATGACGTTAGATTTTGATAATGTTTCAATGGCCTAAGCCATTGCTGAAGATATTTTCAGCGGCTCCGTGCCTGAATAAAAGGGGCCATGTAGCAGTCATACATACTCCCTGAGTTAAAAATTCGGGTCGGATGTTATTTGCCGCGTATTGTTGTTTTTAATTTTTTTGCATTGATTATTCTCGTTTTGCTCTGGTACGAGAGCGCCTAAAAAACATAGTTTTATTCGTTATTCAATGAAAAGGCTTACGATCGTGAGTTGGATCGAGAAAGATCTCGTTTTTGCTGGTCAACATGTGTGTTCAATTGACAAGAACCGCGTTTTTTTGGTCGCCCTTCCCGGCTTTTTGGTTGGTCAGTGATATCCTCTCCATCAAGACGTCGAATTGACAAGGAGATTTTCCAATCTTTATTGCCGCGCTCATATGTGAACTCAAAGTCCTCCACGTGTCTGAGTTGACGGAATTCGAGTCGATCTGTGTAGATTGTTAATTCCGGTAGATCTTCTCGAGATTTTTTTTTGGTTTGGGAGTGATTGTCAGGAGTAATAGTTTTCACCGTATCTTTAAGGGTTGTCGTAATTTACATATCCTCGTGGCAGTTTGGTTAAAAAGAAGATGTTTTACTGGTTTAATATCGCGAAGATATGTAAAGTTCAAATTCGACAGCCCTGGCTTGGCGAGTAATTGCACTAGACTTAGACTCCGACATCACTGCGCGTTTCTTCGTTCTTTGATTTCTCCGAGGACAAATCGTCTAAAATGTTCTTGTTATAAGTACAGGTCGATTATATTGCTTTTAATCAATCATGAATGTTTACACGATTTGATAATAATGATTGAGATACGCACAAGAAAGTCGCGGGACTTATATTCGAGTAGGGGAGGAGGGGGGATTTCACTTAGACGGGTTATTGGCATCAGAGCCGGGGGTTTCGACAGAAGCAAGAATGGCGTCAGTGTTGGTAGAGTCGCCAGCAGGGGTAGTGGTGTCCGGACCAGTATTTACGTTGGTTTCAGTATTGACGTTAGGAGCAGTAGCGACATACAGTCCAGTTGTTGTGTCAGAGCTGTAAGGGTTGTCGGAGTTTGGTTCCGCATCTAAGCCGGGAGTTTCCTCAGAGCTGGTGTCGATATCTGAGTGGGTACTTTCGTCTGTGCTGGAAGAGACGCTAGAGCGGCGCGGGGCGCCAAGGTTACGAGTGTCCGACATGTAAGTGGCTCTAGTGCTGAAGGTACCGTCGCAGATTAGAACAACTCGTTCGTCGGCGTAATTTTCCAATATATTCTCCATTTTTTCGACTGGTTTCTTCGCTTTATTGGTTTTTCCGAAAGCAGAATGTCTTGAATATCGTATCATAAATACAGATGAATTATAAATATTAAAATATTTTTTGGCAGTATTGAAAACAGGCAGTATTATGTATTTTTTTTATAAAAGGTGAGGGAATTTTGAAGAGTGATATCGAGAGCTAGCCATCATCTAAGAATAATGTCAAATCCTTATTTATAGTTTTCGATTAATTACTAACCTCCCTAAAAGTAGTTAGAGTTTTACTGGCTTTTTCGTCTTTCTTATCGCGTTTGGTGTTTTCCCTTTGTTAGGGTTCTTGTCATTTTGCGTTTTTTTCGGCTTAAGTTTTTCTTTGCCGTCGCTTGATTCATTCTGACCAAAAAGTTCAAGAAGTTCCGCATCCGATAGGATATTGCTACCCGCATTAGCTTCCGTCTGGAGAGCTTGTTTTGCTTTCGCTGGGAGGCGCCGTTCTTTCCGAAAGTCTGCTTCTTTGATTGGCTTGGCAGACATATTACGAAAATTGGGCATCCAGACACCATCCCAAATAATACTAATGATTCTGTCTGTGCCCAATTTTTTGCAGTTATGATATAATTCCGTTGATTCAAACTGAGCTCGAAACAGTCCGATTGCATCAATGACTTCCTCTGCCGCGAACGTGAGTAAACAGTACATTTTCTCAGCAAAGAATTCATCTTCAGGACAAAATTGATGTTCTGTCTTTTTAAAATTCGGGTCTTTCCAAAGTGACAATCGCCGCCGAGTAAAGCGCCATGTCTTTAAGAATGTTTTCTACTCATTTTCTGTACTTGAAAAAGATTATTGTCAATAAGATCAAACATTCCCTGAAAGTACTTCTTAAGAGCGGTTCTGTAAGAAATCAAAAAGCTTTCGCGTGCAACAGGGTGTTCTTCGTCCACTGGATAAACTTCTGATTCTGCTTTGAAGCAGCAGCCGCATGAAAATTCGATGAAGGTTGTGGATGGATCATCGAATGTTGTCCATTTCATTTGGAAAGGCTCCGCCATTTGATGAAGATCATCTTTTAACCTTATATAGTCGGTTTGAACCATTTCAATCTTAAATCAGAATTTTGAAAAAAAATAAAGCTTTCCTATCTCAAGAACGTTCATACGCGGAAATGATCAGAGAAGGCAATTAAAACAAGGTCGATTTGCAATAGAGAAGGGGTTAACTACTTTTAAGCTTATTGGTATCAGAACCGGGGGTTAGCTGGTAGAGCTGTTCACAGTACTTGCTGTCGAAAGGCACTTAAAATTTCAAACCATGGTTTTTTAAATAAGGATTTGGGTGTAAAAAAGAATAATCATGAACGGCATAATTGAGTTAGGCAATTCTAATATAACTACTATACTCGCAGTGTACAATTATTGTCGATTGCGTAGAAATGAGAGCTTATCAAACCCCGCGGATCTCTATTCAAACTAATCAGGGATAAGCGGGGGCGCAGGCGAAGGGCCACTTCGAGTATAGGGGTTAAGGGGAGTTGATTACTTTTCAGAAACGTTATTGGTATCAGAGCCAGGGGTTTCTACAGGGGCGGGAGCGGCATCTGGGCTGGAAGACGCATCAGCAGCGGTAGTGGTATTAGGACCAGCATTGACGTCTGGACCAGCAGGGGCGCCAGGACCAGCATTAATGTCAGTTGCAGTAGTCACTTCCAGTTGTGTAGGGGTGTCAGAGCAGGATGAGCTTTGGTCAGCATCTGAGCAAGAACTGTCACCAGAGCTGGAGCTAACACTCCCACGCCAAAGAATTTCATCTTTGCCGGAAGCGTTGTCAGGGCTCGACATGGCGCTAGAGCTACGGGTGGAGCTCGAGCTACGGGTGGCGCTCGAGCTGCGGGTAGCGCTTGAGCTTCGGGTGGCGCTAGAGGTGTGGGTGTCACCACTGCGGAAAGTACCGTCGGAAGGAGGCGAACCCGCAGTATCCCTTGAAATCACTTAATTAAGTAAAAAGTCACTAATCAGTAAAATTACCGTTCTTTCTTCTGTCCCGATTCTTTTCCCTCCTGCAAAGCTCTGTAAGTTCGAACTTGAATTTTGTCCAGTTCTTCTTCTGACAAAATGTCAAGTGGGTACTTTAATAGTTGGTATCAAATTATCTTCTTGATCAAAATTTTTACCTTATCATTGACATTCTTATATTCGCATAGTTTTGGTTCGAGAGAGACGAGAACGTTCAGTGCATTTTCGTCCTTTTTGTGAGCCGCATGGTGCAGAACATTCTCGTTGTCAGAATCGCGCCGCATGAGAACACTTGGATATTTCTCTGCCACGAGCCTGATGGTGTTGAACAAGCCCAAGTCGACAAGCATGTTCGCTGGCTGAAAATCGGATGGCCAAAATTTGAACAGCTTGAAAACATTCTTAGGGACAATGTATTCAAGCTTCTCTTCGATCTTGCCAACACGGAAGTCCGCATCATCCTTGAGATCATTGAGGGCATTGAAGCTCCAATTGTGTCCGTCAAGTGTTCGCTCGGGGAGAAGGTCAGTTGGAAAGAAATCCACGACGCGCTTGAAGATGCAGTAGGGCGCGTATTTCAAGCATGCGCCGAGAAGATTGCCCTCAGGTTCGCCTCTGTAATTCCATGCAGAATTTTTGTCCAAGATTTTCTCGAACATGATTGTAAGCCGTTCAACTTTATAATCGCTAGCCCTGAGACAGATTGTTCAAAATGATTTAATTAACGTTTTACCCTCGAAAGTTAATAACGATTTTGTAAAGGAGGTCCGCAATTTCCGAGCCACTAATCCACTGAAGGCAGTGCTTCCTGTCAACCAAGTAGAGGAATGTTTCAGTGTCCCCAATCTCAATTGCAACATTCATCACATAGAAAACGTTGCTGCCGCTTTGTTCTGAGTCCAACAAGAAGACGCGGAATTGTCTCTGTGCCGGAGTCTCGCTCATGTGTCCGATTCTATCATAGTGTTAGATGAATTAAAACATTATAAATACCGTTCGAACTGCTCCTTCTTTTTGTCCATAATCTCCTTGATAGGCCATTTTTCCGCACCAACAGAGATAGTTACTTCAGGAAGCATTCCCTCCAACAGTCGTCTGATCATCGTAAGTCGATCGTCATCACCCCAGAATTCTTATTTTTAATTTTATTGTAAAGAACACTCATTTTCTTATTACCGATGGCCATTTCAAGAACCCGCGGCATTTCATCCTGCTTGAGCTTAAGGTGGTATTCTTTGAAAATGTCAAACATTTTCGCAATCAAGAATGGATGGAGGTTCTTGCCGATGTATTCACCGCGACGAACTACACGTTCCATATATTCCTTCAAGCACCGGTACAAAATCGACTCGCCATGAAAATCGACGGAAGAATCTCGTGCAACAGAGCTCTTCATCAGCTCTTTTGTGACATTATTAAAATAAACACGGGTTAATTTATTTACCCTTTAGACAAATTTTCTGGCCCATGAAGCACATTCGCATAGGAACTGACCAAGCGTCTCTGTTAAATGTCAAACTGTTCATTGTTCCGATCTGTACCAGATAAATGGTTATGTCCTTAGCATTTGCCTCTATGAAAGGCTACATATTTTGTTTAAATTTATTAATTGACTAGAACTATGAAAACAATAAGTATATGAAGCCGTATCAATAGACAAGTCGAGGAGGGAATATCCCCGTTGCTTAGGAAAACCAAGGCCGCGAACGAGTGGCTCCTGGAATACAAGATTACACCAGTGGTTCTTGTAAATCTTTTTGAAATCCGCAAGCGAGTCACTTAGCAAAATGTCGGGAAGCCGCCGATCAAGGCAAGCGAGAGAGAGAGCCATTCTAAATAAAACCAGACTTCAACGATTAATTATAAATATGACAGTAATTGAAGATCGACAAGCCTTCAAATTCAGGTAAAATTCAAAGTATCAGACACACTTATTTTGACTTTGAGTCGCACTAATTTGAACATCTTTTCATGCTCGCTTTTTGCAATTAAAAGCGCTTGCTCTAGCTGACAGCGGTTAATTTTGTAAATAACCTCGTCATGTACATTTAAAGCTTAAAATGGCTGTAACTAGTTAAAAGAATAATAGCGTAAAGACCTAAAGATACAGCACACCCTTAACATAATCGACCGCAATGTTATTTTTCTTCATCAGCTCCAAAACACGAAGAACGGTGAGTTTTAGTTGCTCCATCGAATTGCTTTGAACCAGAGCATGAAAAGCTAAAATTGAATAAAAACCTGTATTTCGACAAAACAAACCATGAAATCGGCGATGTTTATTAATTGACATAGACGGAAGTGGCTTTCGAATTTCTCTTCCTCCTTCTGTTCGAATAACTTTTTGCCGAGCGAAAATTCGAAGAACTTCTCGTTTGAAATTGACCAGATCTGCTAAGAACGTAAAGAAAACTTCTAAAAAACAGGCAACCTTTAAATTTTGATAGAAGGGATTCGCGTAGAGTATTCGCGTGTAAAATACTCATGCTTAGATCGTCAGCCATTGAAGTTAAACTTTGATCATACATCCATTTGTACATCATTTCTTTAACGAGTTTTCTTCCGTTTTCATGATACAATCCGTGTTCTTCAATAAGTCCCGAATATTTTTCAAATACGTCGTTATGATCATTGAATACGTCAGCAAGAGTACAACTCTAGGAAAAATTTATTGAATAGTCAAAATAAATATATACCCCCGATAATCCAATCGCTATCGAAAACTCATACATCTTGTAATCAACAGTTATGAAACAGCAGTTGTGGCCCGCGGAAATACATTGTCGTAGTCTAACAAGGAAGGTGATCGTTAGTTTGTCCGGAACGCATTAAACATTCCCCATACCCATATATCTTTCCGTTAAAAGAGCAGCACTAAAAGTCGTCAGTAAAGATAACAATTGAATTTTACCTTCGAAAGACCCTGCATGTTAAAGTTAGACATGTAGACGCGACCAGTCGAGCTCATTGAATTGATATGCTTGGAATATACTTTGCCATCAGTTATTCTTCGCCTGAAACGCTCCAGCCTCTTCAGTATTTTACTTTTAATGTTGAGCAATTTAATATAAATATAAATCGGTAGAGATTTACATTGTCAACAATCCTCAGATTATTGTACTCAGAAACAGCTGCATCGAATTTCACGCGGTCAATTTCAATGTTGATTTTCGCCAGGTTTACAACAGCGAAAGTTTCGAGTCGCTGAATCAAATCAGAAGGAATTCTCCGAGAAGACGTAAAAAGCCCAAGAATGAGTTTTTTATACTCGTCAACTTTGTTGTATATTGCATAGATCTGACTATCAAGTTCCGCGGTAGATACTATGTAACCCTTCCCAACTCCCATGAGAAAAAATACAGTATGTCTATATTCAATCTGATACAACATCAGAAAAACCGCATCATTCAAGCATTCATTAAAAGCGAAATACAGTGTTTCTAGTTTAGATAGAATTGTTATTGGGGACGATGGATTATTGACCGAAATACTGCTAAAACCAAATGAATTTGCAGCAATATCGAGAGTCAATTTGGGAAAACAAAAGGCATTACAGTCCTTAATCCAAAGCAATATTTTAAAGACAAAGATACTTTCGAATTGCTCAAAGATTTTTAGATAACTTGAGTTGATTTCCCAAGTAAAAATATACTTAAATTTTAAAAAAAGAGCTTGGATGATGACAAAATTTTCAGCATTAAATAAGTAAATTTCGCTTCTATCTAATGTTTTTAAATAAAGTTTGCCCGCGGAAATATAGACAAAAGCACAAACAGTCTCGGTGGAAAAAATGACTGTATCTAAATCAGTGATATCGTATAAATTAGAAATTAGAAGACGTTGAGCCTCATCGCGTCGTTGAGCAACAATCGCATCCTCGCGAGAAGTTCGCAGTTTTTTCATTCTTTCTTTTAACTTTAAAAAATGCACATAATTCAATATATTGTAATTAAAGAGTAGGTAAAATGTGCAACTTCTTAACGAAAGGGGTAGTCGTGATATCAAAACGATAAACTCTTCTTTCGACAAAACCATTCCTTAAAAAGAAAAAAAAAAGAAAAAGAATCGAGAGCGGAGTTGAAAAAGCTTCAAGAAGATAAGGTTTACACAGGAATCTTAAAATCAAAATTTGCAGGAAGGCATTCTTCAGCGTGATGTGTGTTCTGATTGCAAACTTCCGCATGATGTGGAGAATCGTCAACACTTATAACACGGTACAGGGATGTATCGTAAAACTAAATAAATTTCCAACATTAATAGTATGCAGAAATTAACGCAAATACCTCGTCCAGCCAGACATTCGCAGTCCCATTCAAGAGTAATAATTTTCCGCGCCAGTGGCACTGCTCTCTACTCCAACGACAAGTTTCACACCGAAGTAAAATTTCATTCTTGATACTGCGAGAGGCACACCTTTATAATTATTTAAAATTAATATAATACAAGAAATAACTTAACGCCGATATAGAGACGACCATTGATTCGAAGAATATACTTGACAGTATCGCCATCCCGACCACCAGTAATCAAAATCAGCCTTGGTGATCCACTTGATCCATGTTCAGAGACAGAATAGTTCGAGGGAAGAAGGCCGGCATTTGTACCGTATCTAGGCGAAAGATCCCGCGCATATTTCCCCCAGTTTTGAGAACTAAATAAGATGAAGGTTAACATTCAAACAACAACGCATCAAAGTACCAGACAACGGTGCGTTTTTCTTCATCGTGCATTTCACGCGCCAGAACAGCACGAGTTTCATCGGCAGACCATTTAATACCGGGACAAATGTGTATCATACCCGAGTCAACAACAATGTACTTGGACGGGTCAGTGCACTAATAACTTTTTAATAACAGTCAAAAGAAAATACATCACCATTTTCCAAGCGGATGTAATACAATCACGATCATTAAACTGATATGCAGGTTTCAATTGGACCGACGCATGCCATTTACACTTAATGCCGTTTTCCTGGTAATCGCAGCTAACACGAAATTTCCCATTAGACAGCAATTGTGATTTCCACCTACATTAAATAAAATTCGCACAAAACTCGCAAGAGAGAATAATTACCGGCGAGCACGATAATATAAATCACCGTGCTGAAAAATGTATAGGTAGCTCATCGTGAAGGAGGAAGAAAAATATGTTTTTATAGCGACCAACTTCGGAGGAAACTAAATCATTCATGACAAAGAAATTAAAAAAGACATACAGCAGAACATGACCATGGGAGAACATAGTTTTCAGGACGGTCGAGGAAGGTGCCAGCTTTGAACAAGTGTACCGCGTCAGATTTAACGAGCGCCCGATTGTCACGGAAGATTGTATGACAGACATTGACTGGCTCGGTAGGTTGCACAGCAGACCCCATTAAATGAGCGTCAGGAATGTAACATGTTCCAATAGTACCGCGTGCTATCTGCTCAAGCAAAGAAATCTCAAAAAAATTTTTAAAAGACGACAGAAGTATGTTGGTTTACCTGGCCATTATTGTCGGAGGCTTTAAATCTACGCACATTACTAGCGCCCACGTAGATTTTTTCTTCTTTGTATAAAACGCGGGAATTAGACTGATTTTCGCACTCCATGTTATCTTCGTAACTCTGCAATGAGATAATATCGTTAACATCAGGCGTTGGCTTCATCGCGTTTGAGCGGCTCATTGAAACAAGCTAGATTAGTGAAATATCACAATAATTGGTAAAAATCTACCATAGGAAGAGTGACGACAGAAACAGAAGCCTTTCCATTAAAAGATGACTTTCGACTGCAACTAATATCATCATGTACACGCTTCATCTCTGTCACATCTAAAAACATAAAGAAACAGTTATCAGTAAACACATAAACAATCAATGGGAGATTTAATCTTGCGATGGAAGCAGACAATTATTTCTTCCGAGGAGAGCGTGTTCTTCCAGCCGCGTAATCATAGTGATATTCCTCAAACTCACTATCGCTGTTCCCAGTCGCAAAAGATCTCGCATAGTTGTAAGATTCCTCGTCGGACAAATCGCTCGGCTGAACCTCTAATTGACGACGAGGGGGGTAATCCTCAGCTTCCGACTCAGCAGAATCACCAAGATTATCATCACACTCATCTACCTCGCTAGACGAATCATATTCCTCAGAATCGCGATAATAAACAGATCCCTCAGCCTCAGAATTCTTTGACGCGTTAATCATTAGATCGGTATGATCTTCGCCTGCGCCGCTCTCCCCGCTGTTGGACGCAAGATCCTCTTGACATCCATCGGGTTCCGCAACTTCGGCATTCATCTCGTCATAATCACTTGAAGATTCATCTTCTTCGTGACTGCCATTTTCGCGCTCGACATCATCGCATGGACGCAGCTGATGAGGATCTTCACAATCCTCATCCTCTTCGTCAAGAAAATCGCTATCGTCGAAATCCTCGCTTCCGCCACCATGATAGCTGTCATCACACCCACTCTTTTCATCGTGAATTAAGAAATCCCGTAGAGATCCTTCAGAACCAGAATCATCAGACACAGAACTCTCCATGGCAGTAAGATCGTCCGGACGAGAATGAGAGATTTGACGATCGTGGGAGTCATCAATCACGAGAGAAGTAGCTACTAAAAATATTGCAAGAGAGAAAAAATAAGGTAAAACCTGGCGATTGATTCGCGGAGGAGGCAGTTTCATCATCAGATTTTCTAGATCCAGGGATAATAATCGGCGAATAGCCCAACGATGCGTAAGGGTCAGTCTCCGTGATTGACACATCACTCATTTGCCGGGAAAGGGAAGAATCTTTAGCCGAAGTCACATTATTCGCCGCGGCGGAAGTCTTGGAAGAGACTTGGGAGACTAATCTTGAATTAATGGGAGATGATTTCTTCTTGACATGCGAGGCACTCGAAACGGAACGACTTTTTTCAAGTAAATCATTAATACGGCTTGAGCTTGAAGGAACATTGGGGTCAAAATTATCGGTGATAACCTCCTCCTCAATATCGTTGTCGAGAGAAGAAGTAAGTTTTTCGTTGAACCCAGGCCCAAGATCTATTCCAGATCCATCATCAGAGTCAAGTATATCATCGTCTAAGACATCGGCAAACTGGCTTGTGTCGACAGAATTTTCCGCGTCAAAACATTCGAAATCCTCGGCGGGGATGGGTGTAACAACAGCATCAGGCTTGTAAAGGTGTGCAACACTGGCAGGAGGTAATACGTAATCAGACACCTTATCACCGACTTTCTTTACAACAGTGAGATTGCGTAGAATGAAGGCAAACTTGTCGAAATCCGCAGGAGTGATAGTTTTGTTGTCCCGCATTGCGATTTTTCTGGACCAGTCGCACAATGAATATATGGTATTCACTGAATTCAACTCTTCATTCGTGACATTTCGATAGGTGAAGTTTCCGCATGATGTATCGGAAAAATGCTCCTTCAACCAACGATTGTTCGTCTCAATATGAGCATCGACTTTCTTCGCATGCTTGACATTGTACCGCTTGTGCATCAGATTGATAGAACTAGACACAAGTTATTGACAAGTATAAATTATATTTTTACCAATGTCTGGATTCATTGACGTTCGTTGTCAAGTCAAATCCTACCGCAAACCGACGATCAGTCATGATCTCATTATACCAGGAAAAGCTAAAAATAATATAGAAGAGCAAATAATTATAGCATTACCTTTCCATGTGGTGTGTAAATTTATCGGACCAATAAGTGTAGACATCGTCCACATGCTTCTCGATGGACTCTGACTTAGTGTCAGGAAAATAGACCGATCCATCAGTGTCGCGCACCTTCTTTCCGGACGAAGCAAGTTTATTCTGCCAGGTGAATTTCGCGTTATCGCATATTTTCTTGATGAGTTCAAAAACTATAGAAGGATGCACGAATTTCTAAATCCGTATAAATTGAGTATAAATATTGTAGGACGTACACAAGCCATCAAATGTTGAATTGTTGTTTCATGAGCAGGACTAAGACGAGCTCGTCCGTTATTCCCAGATACATAACGCCGAAGCCCCACCAGATTGTGGAAATTGCAGAACAAAGCAGTTACTCCCGTGTCAACGCCGTGCTTTGCCGCGGCTAACAAAAAGCCTTTCTTTGCACCAAGCTCCCTATTAGAAAGTAAGAAATATAATCAAAAAAGATATACTCACATATCGATCTTACACTTCACTACTCCTATTTTTTTGCCGCATTCTTTGACATCGGTAAACATTTTGTCGAAGAGCCGCTCATAGAAGATTTCATCAAAATTGTTTGAATATCCGTGCCAAGCTATAAAATAATGAAGAAAACATATAATAACAGACGCTTACCAAGAACAGAAGCGCACTTTTCGTCAGAAATCCAAAAATCGAGAGAAATGAGGTAATACTGCGAATAAGGTTTAGCAGATTTAAAAGTACCATCCGCAGAAACAACTATGAACATGTAATAATGGGTATAACATTTGAATTACCTTGATATTCCTCATTCCAGTAGATTTCAATGTGATGACGAAATGCACCCATCAAGTACTCTTTCTGAACTTCTTCGTCGAAAATTTGAACTTGTTTCATTTCCTTCAAAATTGACGAACGAAACGAAATGTTCATATGCTAGAAACTATAAGACAGACATAATAAAATAAGGACTTACATTGACATCAACCGAAGGACAAATCAATGATTTTTGACCCCAATTCCTCTTACGACGATACTCAATAAGATGGCGAATCTCACTTGCTAATGCGCGAATTCCATTAGGAGGGTCATATTGAAAGATATCGCAGACTGTTTCAACTTCGTGATAGATGTCCACGGTAAAGTGATTCTTTGCATAGACCGATATTGACGAAATGATGGCATCTCTCATATTATTGTCCTGATCTAATGGCCTAAATCATAATAAAATAAAATAACAAGTAGCGTCACTTACTTGCAACAATGAGGTTTGGTTGAGCGCTTTCGAGGCAATGGGTAGAGAAGGCAACCGAGTTCTTTTGGAGCATCTTGATGCAGGATTAAATTTCCATTTTTGGGGTTTTTATACAGGATACTGTCACATTGTACCGCGAATTTGATATTTTTATCACAAATAGGTGTCTTCGAGCATGGTGGCAATTCCTCGCGGACGAATTCTGAAATCTTCCTCTCATCTTTATAAATGTAGTGAGTATTCTCGGACCAGGATTGAACAGGAGTGTAGCTCTCTTCCGGGGAAAAATCACGAGTTATCCGAGTCACATCCCATAATTTCTCTTGTTTGCAGCGAAAGTCAGCGTAATATATATCATCTGATTGATCGTAATAAACCCTCTTCAATGCGTAACATCGAAAACCATCTACTTCTTTGACAATAATTTTCATCATTTTGTGAGTATCACAACTGTATCTCACAATCGTCGGACAATTGACAGAATAGTACATCAAATCGGAGAACTTAGGGGCCACAAATTTTCTCCATTTTTGCGCCCGTAATTCATAACAATCAACGTCGAATTTGACTAATTCGTTGTTCTTCTGGGAAGTAGAAGGGAGCATTGACTCAACTTCACGACGTGACTCGAAATAATCCGCGCGCTGAGTTCGATGGCGTTCAAGGACATCAATATTAGCAATCTCGCTAGCAACTTCTTGCTCAGGAGTAGTCGAACGTTTTTTCTTTCTGGAAGGAGCTGGAGTTGTACTGCTATTCATTCGACTGTGGCCGGAAGAATTTACTCGATTACTGACAGATGAAGTAACGCGTGATCTCTTTGAGCCAGTCGAATAAGAAGACAGGGAATTCGTAGAGCCCTGATTCAACTTTCGTGATGGAGCAGGAGTCTTCGTTCTCTCTTTTTTATTACGGACACGTCGGCTTGAATTAGAAGACTCGTGACGACGACGCTTTTTTTTATTATCGTCATGAAAAATGTCAGAATCGTTAGCCACAGCAAGATCCTCACGATCGCATGGATGACATTCAACTGAAGATAAAAGCACCGATGTCTTGCCCTTCGATTTGAAAGCATTACTCATCTTAGAACCGATTGACGTCCCGATCTTTTTCATTTTTGACAAAGAACCTTTAATAATTGACTTCTTAGGTGGCGATGAAACGAGTTCAGGTGATCTCCGCTGAACCTCATCATCAATTTTCTCTTGAAGCCTAACCGAAAGATCAACCCTCTTCATCGTGCCTTCCATAGAATAATCAATTTCATTCTTCTTTTTCTTTGACTTGACAACGCGCCCCGATTCACCAGTTTGAACCGAATCCACTTTCTTCGAAGAAGAACTGCCAGGAACTTTAGCAGACTTCTTCGCAATTACTTTGGCAGGCTTCTTAACGGTGATTTCCGCGTGCTTCTTAACAGAGACAGGGACGGACTTCTTGACGGAGATTTCCGCGTGGTTCTTACCGGAAACAGGGGCTCGCTTCTTGGCGGAAACTTCCGCGTTCTTCATACCAGAAACAGGGGCGGGCTTCTTGACAGAGACATCCGCGTGCTTCATACCGGATACAGGGGCGGGCTTCTTGACAGGAACATCCGCGTGCTTCTTACCGCGAATTTTAGCAGGCTTCTTGTGAGAATTGTCCGCATTGACATTAGATTTTCTCTCGCCAAGGACAAGAGTAGAGGTTCTCGAAGAACCAGCACCAGAGATCATCTCCATATTGGAAGAACCTTTAATTAAAATAACAAACAATGCGAAATTTTATTTTACCTTTTTGTTCCTTAGGCGCATTAAGAACAGGAAACTGGCTCTCAAAGTCAGGAGAAGACGAATCAAAACGCATTTCCTTGTTCGGATTAGCAAACTGCCATTCACCGCGGTTTTCCTTTCCAGCCATGATTTCTAAACAAGAGTAAAGGCAGCAAAAAAATTATGTCCAAGTGTAAAAACCAAGAAGTCCATTCAAAAATGAAATATCACCAGCTGTAAAAAGAGTGTCACAACAAGGACACCTACCCGAAGTTAATTCAATTAAACAGCATAGGCATAACACATGAGAACAAGGACGAAGACGCATAGGAAAATTAAAATGATAATCAAAAACAGCCGCACAAATTGAGCATGATAACCGATATCGAAAAGACATTCTACATGTGATCATAATTTAAAAAGGATAATAACAACCACAGGTGTACAGCCAATTAACAGATATCAATTATTGATAAAGCGAAAAAGGTTGACCTTCAGTTCATCATCATCAAGCTGGGAGTCGTTGCGAATCCATTCCGCGATGAAAAGTGAGTTCTAACAAGGATTTTAAACTTAACAACGGGCGAAGCAAAGAAAAAGAATAAAAATACGCGGCACTGAACTCACCGCGAAATAATATAATAAAAATTTTAGAACGAACTTAACAACGCAAACAATTTTTTTTTTAATAATACATTCAAGCAAGCTATAACCCATATAATGCAACGCCCAATATTTAAACAAAAATTATAAATCCTGACCAGGCGGTGTTGTCTAAAAAAATTTCGCGTACATCTTCACGAACGGATCGACTATAAAACATGTGAAATTGTCAAAATGAACAAATACCTAAATCCAGGAACACTGTCAATGAATGGGATAATGTCCTCATGGCAAATAATGAAGGTGAGGGGATCAGTTGCAAGACACTGGAACAAAGCAGCCAAAAAACTTTGCGCTAAAAATAAATCAGCACAGAAAAAAGGTATAAAAATACCTGAATTAGGATTCGTATACGCAGCGTTAGAGGGGACAGGTGGAAGCGAAATTCTCGACAAACCATCACCGTCGACACCGAAACTGACCATAATATAAACATATAGAAAATACATACTCCATCCGCTGAGAAGCAAAGCCACGGCATAATGCGTTCATGATAGATTTGAAAATCCCCACTAATTGTTCACTGCCGCGTCCCACAAGAGAAGCCTAAATATAGATAAAAAGATAATAAAGGATATTACCTTGTAATCTTCAAATGTTTCAACCGAAGGATAAAAATATGAAAAGACAACAAGATTTAACCGGAGCAACATATCGTGAAAGTCGCTTTAAAGATATCATAAAAGAAAAATGGAACCCGTGCGAAACACAAATAATATCATTCCTAGCATCGGCCGCGTTCTCAGACAGCCTTCCGGTAAAATGCTTCACGGAAATATGATGAAATGTCATCAAACCGCATCGAAGAGAATCGTCAAGCATCACAAACATACTAAATATAAAAAGTAAGGTCTATCCGGCCTGCCGGCCTAAGAAAACCCCCCATCAATTATCTTAATATGTATTTTTTTCTTTTTTAAAATTAAAGACTATTTTCTAATTTCCAAATATACAGGGGTGAATTCTCGATTGGGAAGAAAAATAACAGAATAGAAACAAGTTGATCCAACTAGCTGCGTCAAAAATCGTTTGAAATATGTCAATGACTCGAAGGAAAAATTTCCTCTATGTTGATAAAAACACCGATAAGCAGAGCCCGCGCCAACGCTGAATAATCAAAAGAATTTTATACCGAGTGAATGTGAAACAATCGTTTAATGTTCTTTAATTATAAAAGGTAAAAGAAATGAAGAAAATAGGTGAAACGGCAGATAACAATATCAAATTCAAGTTGCGATCTTTAATAAAATAACTTTTTGCCGCGGAAAATGCTGCAAAAGAGTGCTTTTTTTAATGAACTCAACTAGATTTAAAGTGAAAAAATAGTTAGGAACTTTGATAAAAATATGGCAGGTTAAAGTTGTTCTACAGAAAAAGAAATAAGTATTCAAAATACTTGAGATAGAAAATAATTGTTGAGAGCATTTTCGTAAGAAAAAATGCGAGAATTGATCGTAGTAACGTTCGAAAGTCGACAAACAGAAGTTTGATGAACAGTTGAACAAGGTTTCGCCGCGTCAGTATCGAAGGGAGAAGAAGACTCATAGAGGTTATAAATATGATATATTTTTATTAAAAAAAGAAGTATTTATTAACCCTTTCGAAGTTACAATTAAACGCGTCAACTGAACCCGAATGACATCCGCTCTCAAGTGAAGCCCTTCAAGCCTCGAAAATAAAATGCCGAGTTGAAACGCAGAAAAGAGCCTAGAAAACTATACAAAATAAAGGGTCTTTTTGGTAAACCTGTAGTCAGTGAGTTCGATTTTCTTCAGATCTTCTTCAAGTTTTCGTAAATTTTTCTCTTGATTGAACAGTTGAATTTCAATCGGATTACTGCAATCCCGATTCATTCAGGCTACAAACAGAAATTTTTTTATTTCATTTCTAGAAAAAGAGAAGAGAAAATTATGAAATAAACAAATAATATTGATAAAATTGAGCTAAGGTTCACTCCAACCCACTAAATAAGTCGCAGATCAAAACACACCAGCTTCGACAGAAATTCAAAAAGGCAATAATTTTCAGCAGGAATTTGCAGTTCTGCTGAAAAGAAAAGCGGCCGTTAAGCACGTGCCTCGGACACCAATGACCATCACGGATTTGGGCTGGGGTTAACCCCAGCCCTTAAGTTTGATTCAAATGTTACTAGACATCATGGTGTGGTACATTCACGCTTTGTCGACGCTCACTTGTCGAAATCATCCCTTTACATTTATCAGAGTGATAAATCACGGATAATAAATGACTCAACAATTATTTAGAAATTTGAAAACTTTTTTTCGTCTATATGAAGAGTAACTCATTATATTAGGAAATTACGATAATAATAATGTGTAGTACTTTCGAGCGGGGGTTAAGCACTACAAGAAAAGATGAGTTTATCGAATAGTTGCATTCAAAATGTCCGAGGATAATAGAGACCATCACAAATTTATAGTTTTGTTGTCAAAAGACCCGAAAAAACTTAAAGGGTTAAATGCGGCAAAATTAAATGAAGGTAAATTTGTCAAAACATTATAATCATTAATATTCGCATAGTTATCTTCGAAAAAGAGATTGAAATCATCCGGCATGAAACGGGCTTGCGACAAGCTGCGAATTCTTTGAGGAGCCTTTCTCTCATATCCTCTAAAAAAGGAATAATACTACTAAGCGATTGCGAGCAATTAAAAACGCAGATAGAAATGGTTACAAAACCATTTTTACCGGATTTCTCTTTCAAAGAACTGAGCGAATACACAATAAACGACGATTGCGCAGACACAAAAAGTACGCGATCAAGAAATACTCAGAAACGGTTAACAACGAGCCTGTCAAAAATTACTCTTATCGAAAGCGATACTATAGATAAGGAAGACAATTTGGACGAAAAGATTGAAATTATTGACGAAAACGCCATGGCAGGTTAGAATTATTAACGGATAATCAATAACAAATCTTTCAAGAAATGCTTATAACTGAATGTGGTTTTGATGCGGATTTTGTAAGAACCATTCTTAACTGGAGACGCCCGGAATATTATGAAGAAACTGATACGAAGTCAGTTAAGGTCTACCTTCAACCAATAAGAGTTGACGAATTTCAATTAGATGCCATGGATATTATAAGGCAACAAACTCAGATAGACGAAGAAAAAGAACCATCGGACAATGATGAAGATATAGAGCAAAGAGATCGATTGAATGAGAGAGGTGAAAAAAAACATATAACATAAAAAAACAATATTCTAGTAAATAAACACGCGGATAATATAAATAACGAAGAATATGTCCCAGCCAGACAGATTACCAAATCGACAAAGGAAAATGACAGCAACTCAGAAGAAAATCAAAAATACTATGCATTGGTTGTAACTGTGGCCTCAGAGGAAGCTTACAAACGAGATATTGACTGTCAAGAAAACAATCAAAAAAGGGGCCAAGCAGAAGAACTCGAACAAAGAATAGATAAGAGAGAGAATAAGGATGGACATGAGAAGAAAGCTAGAGAATTCCAGCTTGAGAACAGTTTTGAGGAAATTAATAATGATGAAAGTCACCTGCAGAACAGGGACAAGAGAGACGTAATCGATGAAGAAAAAACCGGAGCAGAAATATATGAACAAGAAAATTACAACGCGGAAATATATGGTGATGAGAGTCCCGAGGCGGAAGATATTTACGAATACGAACAAGAATTATACAATGCGGGAGAAGGAGATCAGGAATATAACTCTGCCGAAAAAAGCAAACTCGGTATAAACAAGAGAAACGAACACGTAAAAAAAAGCTGCCGTGTTGATAAATACGATCCAGAAGATTGCTATGCGGAAGAATACATAGAAGAAATTTACCAAGAGGCAAACACGGAAGAGGAGCGAAATAACAATAAACTCATAATAGGTATTCCAATCATGTTAAGGGGTAGAACCCACCACTCAAAAGGGGCAATAATGTTCTCAAACCTCAAAAATAAATTATAGACCGAATAACAAGGAAGTCAGAAAGAGAACATCCTGCACTTGAATGCTTGAATTCTCCTCATGATATACACTGCAGAAATTCTAAGGAAAAAATGGAGGATCTCACGATAAATTTCCAACTCGAATCACCAGAAGAATTATTCACAATGAGATGCACGAGGTCAACGACAAACAAGATTGACAGGTTCACATGCGCCCCCCCCAAAAAGAAGGCCCAACGCCGCAAAAAAGAGAAAAAAGAAAAGGACATGAAAAAGAAGAAAATATCAAATATTTTCGAAGAGAGTCACAGACATATAGAACCAGAAATTGAAATCAGGCATGGGTCAAATATTAGTCATAGGTAGACCTATCGCGGAAGATCGGACTGGAAGCGCGCGATCACGTCATCGCCCCCCAACCAATCGCATCACCCGGATAACCGAATTTTTTTTTCATAAAAAATTTATTTAGCTGATTCAAGAAATTAGTATGAAACTTTTCAGACCCTAGAGTGATCACGTGACTGTTCCAGATATACCAAAAACAGAAGAAAAAAAAGAAAGAACATCCTGCGAGAGAAAAGACGAAATCATCAGTTGGCTCAAAGAAACAGAGGAAACAAAATCAAGCTTACAGAAAAATTATGAAATATAAACAAACATTGAAAGATACACATATGTTCATAATATAACAGAAATTCATAGAAAAAAAATGCACCAAAAACAGATTGTCAGCTGCACGAGCATTTCACGACTGCCTTGTATTATCGAAAGAAGGCAAAATCAGTTGCGAACAACAAGATAGAGAAGAAGGAGAAATTTATATGAAACTGAACTAAAAACCTTGTTATTATTTCTGAATATCCACAGTCTGCCTATCGAAAAACTCCAAAAAAAAGTTTAATGATCATAACATTTTATTTTCTAGATTGCTTGCGAATTTTGAAAAGCAAAGCAATGCACTACGCGGTTTGTCGGGGATGGGAGGTTGCTAACATGGGGGTCAAATAACAAAAGATACTAATTAGAAAAATTGACCCTCATCAAAGGAATTTTTACAGAAGAAACTCGCTTTCAAAAGTCAATCAAATACTACAACGGCTCGGATAATTTCTTTATATCGGAAACAAGAGAAGCTGCGGAGAATTGGATGATTCAGAATTGCAGATCTGTAAAAGACATTCTTAACAAAGAAAACAAAGATGTAAATAATGGTTTTGTAGGCTCAGGAACACGTTCGAATATAAGTTTAAAAAAATGGACAATAACCACCGAGCGCAAGTTATAGAGACAATAACACAACTGGACATACATGACGGAAAACTAAAATGGATCATAGAAGTAGGCGACGAGACCGGAACGATTCAGGTTAACTATGTTCATAGAAAAATAATAAACCTTGAAAAAGGGAGAAGTAACACACGAGGTGATCGAGTTCGTTTTCGGGATCAATATATTCAACAAAAAGATTAATCCCTCAATTTTTCAAAAACTTTCAAAGACAACTTGTGAAGAAGCAGAGCAAAAGTTAGAAGACTTCTATGGCCTCGTAGAAATAGTAAAGCTTTCCAACAAGACGATTATAAAATCCTTAAAAAAATTCAGTGACCGTAAATTGTCATAGTCCAACTGCAATAAAAAACACTTAAACATGAGCCCCGTGTTTATTTCATTATTTTATACTTTTTTTTGTAATTAACCGAAACGCGGGAGTCATCACCAGAACATCTTTAGACTGCTCACACTCGTCCTTGCCACCTTTACGACTAGCACGCCAAATCACCCGCCATGGAGAAGATGTGTTGCCGGATCTGCACTTACATAATGGACTCGAATACTAACCCTGAAATGTGCATTATCCCATGCGGGCATGCGAGCCTATGCGAAACCTGTCTGAAGAAACTAGACAAATGCCCGATCTGCCGCGGAACAATCAAAGCCAGGGGTGCATTTCAACTCCTCATTTCGACCCCGATTCGGCCATATTGATTTGCCGAGCGCGGGAATGTCGGAGTTTGAATTAAGATTTAAAATATAAGAACCACCCCTGTCCAAGAAACAATCAAACTAGAGAAAGATTTTGGAATACGCGTAGAATACGGAAAAACACTGGAACGTATCGAAATGGATATCCTTCTCGACGGGATTAAAGACAAGATCGGAGGAAAATACGGCCCTGGTTACTAATATCAAACAGCAAAATACATACACTGTACCTTATTTGGCGCTAAAAATCCCCCCCTCCCCCGGCACAAACTGTCTCGATAATGCTCCTTTGCTTTCAAACGAATAAACTCTCGACCAAATCATTATTTTCAGAAATGAGAGGTGAGTTCAACATGAAAATACGAATCTAACTCAGCCAACAAAACGCCGCGACGCAGCAGAGAGAAGCGACAGAAAGATGCGGCCTGAAATCGAACTCTTCATTTATAACTCGACAAAAAAAGGGAAGCTGCGGCGCAAAGAGAATACGGAGAACGCGGCACCCCAAAATGCCACGACGAATCAAAAAGTGACCAAAAGGCGAAGCAGGGAGTACGTATCAAATATTAATATAAAGGGAGAAAAGTATCCACGATAGTTAGGACATCAGTCCCATGACTTAAAACTGGTACTTGAATCCTTTTAGTAAGGCAAAGAATCGCTGAAACGCATTCAGCAATGATTCAGGCCATTTAGCCCCAAACACCGCTAACAATATAATTTAGAGATCGACAAAAAGCAGCACCTAAATCGACGCAGCTGACGAACAAACATTCGGCAGAAGAAATAGCAGGTTCATTCTCTTAACGATCCGCGCGAGCTTATTCATCTTTAAGGCTCGAAATTGCCCCAACTAGCCGCGGCAAAGTGAAACAGAGACACAATCGACGCAGGGAGTACGTATCAAATATAAAGAAATAGGAAGAAAAGTATCCACGATAGTTGGGACATCAGTCCCATGACTTAAAACTGGTACTTGAATCCTTTTAGTAAGGCAAAGAATCGCTGAAACGCATTCAGCAATGATTCAGGCCATTTAGCCCCAAACACCGCTAACAATATAATTTAGAGATCGACAAAGAAGCAGCACCTGAAGCGACGCAGATGACGAACAAAATCCGACAAAAAATTAGCAGGTACTTACTCTTAACGATCCGCGCAGAGCTTATTCATCTTTAAAGGCTCGAAATTGCCCCAAATAACCGCAGAAAAGTGAAACAGAAAGACAAAATCGAAGCAGGGAGTACGTATCAAATATAAAGAAATAGGAAGAAAAGTATCCACGATAGTTAGGACATCAGTCCCATGACTTAAAACTGGAACTTGAATCCTTTTAGTAAGGCAAAGAATCGCTGAAACGCATTCAGCAATGATTCAGGCCATTTAGCCCCAAACACCGCTAACAATATAATTAAGAGATCGACAAAGAAACAGCACCTGAAGCGACGCAGCTGACGAACAAAATCCGAGAAATATTAGCAGGTACTTACTCCTAACGATCCGCGCAGAGCTTATTCATCTTTAAAGGCTCGAAATTGCCCCAACTAGCCGCGGCAAAGTGAAACAAAGACACAATCGACGCAGGGAGTACGTATCGAATATAAAGAAATAGGAAGAAAAGTATCCACGATAGTTGGGACATCAGTCCCATGACTTAAAACTGGTACTTGAATCCTTTTAGTAAGGCAAAGAATCGCTGAAACGCATTCAGCAATGATTCAGGCCATTTAGCCCCAAACACCGCTAACAATATAATTTAGAGATCGACAAAGAAACAGCACCTGAAGCGACGCAGCTGACGAACAAAATCCGAGAAAAATTAGCAGGTACTTACTCCTAACGATCCGCGCAGAGCTTATTCATCTTTAAAGGCTCGAAATTGCCCCAACTAGCCGCGGCAAAGTGAAACAAAGACACAATCGACGCAGGGAGTACGTATCAAATATAAAGAAATAGGAAGAAAAGTATCCACGATAGTTGGGACATCAGTCCCATGACTTAAAACTGGTACTTGAATCCTTTTAGTAAGGCAAAGAATCGCTGAAACGCATTCAGCAATGATTCAGGCCATTTAGCCCCAAACACCGCTAACAATATAATTTAGAGATCGACAAAAAGCAGCACCTGAATCGACGCAGCTAGACGAACAAACATTCGGCAAAGAAATAGCAGGTTCATTCTCTTAACGATCCGCGCGAGCTTATTCATCTTTAAAGGCTCGAAATTGCCCCAACTAGCCGCGGCAAAGTGAAACAGAGAGACAGAATCGACGCAGGGAGTACGTATCAAATATAAAGATAGAGGAAGAAAAGTATCCACGATAGTTGGGACATCAGTCCCATGACTTAAAACTGGTACTTGAATCCTTTAAGTAAGGCAAAGAATCGCTGAAACGCATTCAGCAATGATTCAGGCCATTTTGCCCCAAACACCGCTAATTTAATAGTTTAGAGAACAACAAAAACAACAGCAGCTAAAGCAACGCAGGAAAACGAACCAAACTGCGACGAATAAGGAACTTGCAAAACTCAATTAACTTTAACAGCACAATATTCGCGAACAAATATACAAAACTATCAAATAAGCTATCCTGATGTACCTTCCAATAATTGAAAATTAAAATACTCCGAATTTACTCTAGAATGGGGGCGAATAATCGCGCTGTTAACTCAGAAGACTTGGAAAAAGAAAATATGAGGCAGCTGCAAGAAGATCTACAAATAATCCAACATACAACCAATATGGCAGGATACTTCGTCGGCATGATAAATGATCTGCTCAGAACTCTAGAAGATCCCATATTTACGCAGAACAAAGATAAAGACTGGATAAAACCGATCGTTGAAAGTTTGGTGAATGACTGGGAAGGAGTGAAAGAAAACACAGAGCACTTACCAGATTACTTCGAACAGTGCGATATAATAGTTGAGGAAGCACTCTGGAACAACTGGCCGCCAGCGCGAGAAATTGGAGAAGAGAAAGTAGCAGAATATCATCAAATCAAAGCATAGGCTCATATAATATTAGAAAAAATTGGATTATCAAACACAATAAAAGAGCCCACAAAAAGCCACAGTTGAAGAAAAGAAACACAAGATTGAAACAATTCTCGAAGAATTGAAAGAATAAAATAGCAAGGTAATAATAAACACAACGCCATTAACGAATACTTATCCAGCGACCGCTGCCTTCCCTCGACCGCTGCCTTGCCTCAACTCCTGGTCTGCCAGCAATAGAAAACCCAATGTTACTGCACTGTACAAACATTATTCTTATAATTATTACTTCACACTACAAGCATTTTTTGATCTTTTGATTGTTAATACTTTCGGCAAACGTTTCGACACCGTACAGATGAATTGAAAATAAAACCTTAACAAGCGAATTAAATTCACATAATCTAAGATTGATATCTGTCAAATAAACGACAATGGTAGGATAATGTCAAAAAATTACCAAACACTTACCCTTATCAATTCGCGCGTAGCTTATTCTTCATATATGTACCAACGAATGCCTCAAAATGCCGCGGCATGTAAAAGAAAAATAGGGAAAAAATTTCCACAATAGTTTGCTCCAATTACCGCTACAATAAAATTTAGAAATCGACTATTAAAGCAGCACCTGAAACGACGCAACAAGACAACAAGAAACAAAAAACGCGACAGAAGAAATACCAGGTACTCTCCCTCAACGATCCGCGCGGAGCTAAATCATCTTTTAGGTCTCAACGATGCCTCAAAAAGCCGCGGCAAAAAGAAAGACAGAATAAATCTCCACATAGTTCTGACATCCGCCAAACTTCGCTATAGATCAAAAAAACAACATAAACGCAACGCAGCGAACCAACAAAACAAACAACAAGAATAGCCAGGTACAAACGTCTTACGGCCAGCAGGGAGGAAGGAGCTCGACGCATGGGACAAACAGCCGCATTAATAAGACCGAAAAACAAAAAAAATAATACAGTTAAATACGTTCCACATATCTGAGCGTCATCACTGTCCTTCTGGCCTACCGGCCAAAGTAAACCCGTTGTACTTCGTTCTGTTATTTTTTTTCTGTGCATATACACTCTTATTCAATAATTCGGAAACCAGCTCTCGTCGGATAAAACTTAATATGTTTAGAATGAAAGCTCAAAAGAAGAGACTTTATCCTGATAAATATTCGAATCGGATAGAACAAATGGTCCATACATTCAGACTCCAAGAAAAAATAAAATTTATCTCGGAAGTCTACATCAGCGACAAGGATTATATGCGGTGGTCCCCAAAAGCAAAACCAGAAAAGCTTGAAGAATTAACGGAGAAAGATTTTAACCGATTCAAAGAGAAATTACTCAAACCAGGCATTATAGGAAGGGCAAAAAGAATGTTAAATTTCAATAACAGAATCTTAAGCTTCTAGCCCTTAAATAAGAAACAAAGGACGGCTCACATACAATTGGAAAAATCATGCGTTTCTTCAGCAAAAAAGAACTGCAAACGATCAGAAGAAATTGTGATGAGGACGCAATGTATGAAGATGCGTACGATCTCCTTAATCCAAACAAGTACCCCCCACTCAATCATCCGATAGATGTAGACGAGGAATCGGTTCAAACATCGTATGAGACATTTACACAGCGCGAGATAAAGAAGACCGACAAAAAACAGAATCATCAACTCGGTCGTGCATTAACTCTAGGTAAAACAAGATAGCAAAACATCTAAAAAGCGTACTTAAGGATTACCACGGGTCGATCAGAGAATGAGAGACCCAAAAGAAGCAGATGCAAGATGGGTTGTTCTATCAGAGTGTCACTCATGGGACAAGAGAAAGAAGAAATCAAAGAGAGCGGGCTGCCAGTACCTCATGATCCAGACATTCCCTTCGCTTATCGAGCAAAATAGTCATCTACCAGAACTTTCAAACAACATCAAAAACCTTCAAACAAATGAAGAACTGCGATACAAATTCCACTCGAACACCAAACTTCGCCAACTACTGGGAGGAAGGGTGGCCCCAATTGTCAAAAAAGAAGTCATAAAAATCTTCGATGCGTTGACCATGGTGACAATGAAAATATTCAGAGAAGGCATGGCTGTCGATTTCTTGACCTTTAAAGTAGCCATTTTTTCCGTTTAACCTTCAAACGAAGTTCCTAAAATTGACCATGTAAATCATCAGATTAAACGCCGGAAAAAAGGGCGAGACACTTTATCAACAGCCATTACAGAAGGAGTAATTCTCCAAGACGCGGTTAACATACCGCGGTTGGCATTTCTGACTGACTGATTTTTCAGTCAGTCAAATTCACGTTACAAATCTCCATGCTGTAGACATAGCAAATTTGTAACGTGCGCTTATTGGTCGACTGGTTTGACGGGGTTCCCACGGAGGGGTCCTCCAGCCTTGATATCTAGCCTTTAGGAATAGGATACTTTTTGGGCAGTTTTTTGTCATGTGACATTCTATTTTAAAAATTTTTCAATCACGTGATCTCTCGGAGGACCCCTGGAGGACTTTTTCTACTGGAAGACATCATTTACTGGAAGACCGATGATTAAAATCATCCCTTAAATTAATATTCATATTCGGTCTCTTCGATCACGTGGTCTCTCGGAGGACCTTCGGAGGACTTTTTCTACTGGAAGACCAATTTTACTGGAAGACCAATTAAAAAAATAAAATAATCGGGAAAATTGAAGGAATCTGATGAGCATATCAAGATGACGTCGAATGCGTCCTGTGGCGATAAATATGACAGTGATGATGGATTTTCTTATTTTTTTCATCCACCATTCCAACCGTCAATATCCAACGCCCACAGAAAGCGGTGTGGTCAACCGATATGATCGACCAGATGTACAGAAATACTCTATGATAATCAGCTCTCATCGACTGAAAGCTCTGTGGTAATTATCATAGAGGAAGAGGCAGTTGAAGACCAAGGGAGTTCCTAAATACATTTTATTTCATTTTTCAGTAAAAAAAACATACCGAGAAGACTGACTTGTCTCGCATCAACAGAGACTAGCATCTCTTCCATCCTTCTTATTTTCTTGACCTTCGAACTTATCTTCGTGGTTGTTTCTTTGGTTTCTGAGCTGGAGAACGCGGAATCGACGAGGTGGCCGTTCCTAAAATTTAAAAAGTTATTTTTGGGAAGAAATGTCGAAATCATACCTGCCAGGACTTATCTCTCCGCCATTATGCAGCCACAACCACAGCCCGCATACGCTTCTGATATGAGCCTCGCGCGTAGATCTCCAGCAGCAGAAAAGGGATACAGATAAAGAGAAACAGATGTTTGGGCAGTAGAAGAGCTGAAAAAGACGATCTGTCACAAGCATACTAGGAAGAGAAATCATTGGGTTAGCAGGGCCAAACTCTCGATCTTGTTGCCATGTGTTTCTTAAATCATAATTATGTAAAATGACAGCAGATTGGCCCGAAACCGGGCAGCTCGAAGGCGGGACGAAGCTTCACAATTAAGTTATCAATTTTCGTACCGAAGCGCAGAAGTATGAAAAGCAAAAAGGGCCGCGAGTGAGATCCATGAGAACCATCGATCTACCCCTTTTTGCTTCAACAGACGACCTTGCTTTTTCAAATTGAGAACTTAACTGCGACGCCAAGTACCGCTTAGTCCCATCGAGAGCCGCTCCCTTCTGGGCAAACCGGCTCTCATCTTACTTATTATGATAAAAGAAACACATCGGAACAAAAGCAAGAGTTAGGCCCCGCCAATTCAATAATTTCTCCACCAAAAAATGCGAGTTATAATTTCAAATTTGAACTTATGGAATTTGGCAGTGGGACAAATAAGTGACAAAATAATAAATGGGCAGTGAAATTTAAATGATAAATAATTTAAAAAGACAATTTTGTAATGAAATTATAAATGGGCAGTGAAATTTTTATTATACAGAAATAAAAATAAATTTTCAGAAATAAATTAATTCGAGTAATTGACAAATAACTGAATAGTCGAAATCTTCTTTTTCTTCTTTGAGGAATAAGGGAAAATGCTTTGAGAAAAAGAGCCAGAGGGAGGTTGACTCAGGCTTGAGGATCCCGAACCGACAAAGAGCCACGGTTCGCCTTGTAGCCTTCTGTTGTTCCACCCTCTAAATGAACCACCTGTTTAGCCTTGTCAAGAAGTTTTTGACACATGTTATTGATTTTGGACTGGTCAATCTGACTCCACACGAGATTTATGACTTCTCGCGCGTGCTCTAACGAGTCAAAATACAACTTCTTATTTCTCCCAAGCTCTTCACGAACTTTTGATTTCAAATGTGCCCAAAGGCTGAAATCGAGGGGATTAAGGTCGGGGCTATGGGGTGGCCACTCATGCATTCTCTTCTCCCGATGTGCCTGTCCCTGTATTTCTCCGCACGCGACGCCGGTGATGCACCGATCTAACGAGAAATGGGCATCGAGGAACTCCAGACTACTTGCGGAAGTATGCGAGCGAGCTCCGTCTTGTACGTAGACGCGACCGACGAGCTCGCTGGTTCCATCCTCACGGATATGTATGTGTCCATGGGCCGCGAGGTCCTCGTACCAAGGCTCGAGACAGATCTTCTGGTACCCAAGACTATTCTCTTTAATAGACTTGAGTTTCCCATTTGCTTGCTCCTCAACAAAAACGCGTAATGAAAGCTTTATATTGTGTCCGATACAACAAGCGATCATTATTTTTGCGTTAAACTTTTTGCTGAAGCTCAGCAAATGTTGAGGAGGAGCCTCGTTGTCTTTTACCCACCAGCCGAGATTTCGGCCAAATTTCTCTTCACGCATCGAAATTGAGCATTCATCCGTATGCAACAACTGTTGCAGGAAATCGGGTGTTCTCTCTACCTCTTCCAGCAGCCATTTGCAGAAGGCCAGCCGCTTCTGCTTCGCTTCTTTCGAGAGTTCGGGCTTGGCTTTTCCAAAACGCTCAAATGAGTAGCCATCTTTCGCAAGAAGCCTGAATACTCGCGAATAGTTGCTCCAGCCTGGCATTCCGAGTTCGGCTAGTGCTTTCCTCAGATTATTACTCTGAGCGTAATGGGTTGGAGCCTGTTCGCGCATTTTGTCAACAACAAGCTGAACTTGCTGTTTCTCCTCATCGGTCAGTGGCTTATCATCTGGAATAGGTTCTTTTGGTCGAATAAAATTTGAAATAGCAAAAGGATTTTTTCTTATCCATTGCTTTTCCTGATTTTTGTCAAGGGAAAATGCTTTATAGCCGTTGTTCATTGCATCGACCAAGAGAGTGTACCTTTCGATGAATAAGCCTAATATAGCCGCGTTGAACTTTTTCTCGAATGTCACCGGTCCCAGAACAAAGTACTGGCTGAGATTTGTGCATAAGATTTGGAGATAGATGTACCCAAGATCACTGGATGCAAACTGTTTCCATGTTCGTGGAGATCTGATTACTGGAAGCTCCTCGATTCGATCTACATTGATCAGCTTCACCTTATCCCGTACTGATTTTGTTATGTGTATAGGGAATCGGAAATTGAAGCTTTCCATGATTAAATCGAGGAGCCCTGCGAATTCTTCATCGTCGAGAAGATTCTCGTGGCCTACTACTACCGTTCCTCGCGGAATGAGTGGCCGATCGAGCTGATCGATCGCTTCATTCTGAGTGGCTTGTGGTTGTGATTGTAAGGCACTTTTTGCAAGCCGAACCATGCTATCTGGAGGTGTCTGTGGCGAGAGGCCGGGAACTAATTCAAGATCATAATGATCTTGATTCAGTTGGATTGTTGAGGTGGCTGGTGTGGGGGTCGAGGTTGGGACTTTTGCTGGAGCAGTGCTCGTCTTCTGCTTTTTAGGGGGAGAATGATCTTCGTCATAGCATGTCTCCTGTGAGTGCTTTTCGACAGCTTTCCCATTAGGGAAATCTTTTGAAAAAGATTTCTGAATGAATCGGGTTTGTTTGGCCTTAGGGGAGAAAATACTGTATGTTATTTTATAACCCATGTCCTGCTGTAGGTCGATAATCTTCTTGAATGCTGTCTCTGCTTCTTTTAAGAGTTGAGCGATCATTCGGTGCTTTTGGACTCGATTGAAAGAACTGCACATTCGTGACATTGTACCTCGACTTCTCTCTATTCGTCTTTATGTGGATTATATAAATTTATTACTATAACTCATTTTTTAGTCACGTGAGCTACCCAAAAATCGAAAAAAAAATTAAAATTTTTATCAAAGTTCTTCCAGTAAAATATGTTCTTCCACCAGAAAAAGTCCTCCAGGGGTCCTCCGAGGGTCACATGAAATAATGAAAACCGAAAACCTCCCCCTTAAATTTTTATCATCGGTCTTCCAGTTTTGGTTCTTCTTCCACCTAAAGAGTCCTCCAGTTGGGTCCTCCATGAAGTCACGTGGAAAATAAAATTTTAAAAATTATTCTAATATAACCTAACTATTGTTATTTCTAATGATAATAATAATAATAAAATAAAATAAGGGTGTCACTTTGCTAACTTATCTAATCCGCTCCTGAATTTCTCTGAAAAGTGAAATTTCAGGGCGGACTTAGGTAGACGTGCTCAAAAATCTAGAAGAGAAGTTAACTTTTGTAAGTTAACTTTCGAAAGTTAACTTTCGAGAACATAAGAATTGGTTTTTCTAGACATTCTCGCTCTTCCTGGTTGCGCGATTCTTCCACCAGGAGGAGGTCCTCCACTAGAGAGGTGTTATATAATTTTTACTGGCAAAAGCAAATCAGTCAGTCAGATATGCCAATCGCGGTAGATTGGGCAACAGAGGAGGAGTTTCAGCAAGAAGTACGATGGGCGATCCTCGACTGGCTTGATATTATTCGGCGAAATAGTGGCGGCACCATCAAGGAGGAAAAGGAAGAAAATCTTCTTCAGATCGATTTCGCAGCTCGATCAGACCAATCTGCTATTCTCAAAAGAATATTACGACGACATAAAGAGGAGCGTCAGAAACAAATGGAGAACATCAAAAGAGGAAAAGCCATTGTGAACGCGTAAGTTAATAAGAAAATTCATGAAAAAATAACATACATACCTAGAGAATCCTCAGGTTCAGAAGACAATGAAAAAAACGCGGAAAGCTATGAGGGCTATGAAGACGCGGATTATCATGAAGAAGATGACGCGGCCAGCGATGCAGGAACTACAACCCTAGTAAATAGTGAACTTCCGCAGCTTAGTGACATCGAAGCTGAGAGCACCCAAAGAACAATTAACTGGCTTCAAAGCTGCCCAGAACCACCAAGTCTGGATAACCTCCATACAAAGCATCAGGAAGAACAACAGAATGAACAGGAACAAGAAGGACGCAAAGCAGTTGAAATGATGGAAGGAAAAAACCGAGAACTGGAAAAAGAGAGAGATGAGCTAAAAGCCGCAACCGAAGAACTCGCAGCCAAAATTGAACAAAGTGAGGCTAGAAACAGGGCTTCCGAGGCAAAGAAAGAAATGCTTACTGAACTGCTAGAACAAAAACAGAAAGAAAAAGACCGTCTAATAAAGATGAACGCTGAAGAAGAGGCACTTGAAACAGAAAAAGAACTTCTAGCAGACATAGAAAAAGAGCATCAGAGCAAGGCAGAACTACTCGCAATAAAGAAGAAAGAGTGTCAAGAATCGGAAGATAAACGACTTAGAGAAGAAGAAGATAAGCCACAGGCAGATGAAAAGTCCCAACAGGCAAAGAAATTTGTGAATACTGGAAGAGAAACAGAACAAGAAAAGGAAGATAAACAGCTAGAAACAGAAGAAGGCAACAAACGCGCAAATGATGAGCTACAACAGGCGGAGCAATTTCAGAAAACTGTCAATGAAGCGGAACAAAGACGTCTCCAAGATGAAATCAAGGCAACAGAGGCTAATTATGAAAGGCTTACAAAACTTGCCGAACAAAGACAAGAAGAAAAAGACCGTCCAATAGAGATGGAACAGATGAAAGAACTAAAATACGCTGAAGAGAAGAAACAAAGTCAAGAATCGGAAGATAAACAACTTAAAAAAAAAGAAGATAAGCCACAGGAAGATGAAATAACGAAAGAAAAAACGAAAAATGCGGACGCAGAACAATGCCAAGTCGCGGACAATACGAAGACAGGACAAGAAAGAAAAGATAAACAGCTGGAAACGGAAGAACGCGCTAATGATGAGCTACAACAGGCGGAGGAATTTCAGGAAACTGACAATGAAACGGTTCAAAAAAATCTCCAGGACGAAGATAAAAATCATCGGCCAAATACAGATTATCAACAAGTCAAGAACAACCAAGTAGAAGAAAAGAATGAAGATCGTGTTCAGCAAGATGTTCTCGATGCGAGGGAGAAAAAAAAGAAACAGCGGAAGGCAGCAAAACAGAAAAAAAAAGATATGAACCGTCAAGAAATCGAAAAGAAAAGGAAAGAAGAACAGCAAAAGGCAAAAGAAGAAAAAGAAAAAAGACAAAAAGAAGCAAGGGAAGCTCAGGAAAAAGAACAACAGAAGGCAAAAATGAGAAAGGAGAAGAATTTGCGCGATGAAGTAAAGAAAGAAGAAAAAAGGCGACGAAAAGCCGAGGAAAAAAACCAACAGCACAATCCAAGTATAAGTGAGAGGAATCAAGAAAAGCGAGCAATTGAATCGCATATCAGAGAGAGCGTCAATAAAATAAAAAGTCTTAAGATGTCACTTGGTGAAATTAATGAGCAAGACAAGGCGAAAGAAGAACATAAAAATGATGACCTATTACCTCTTCTTTCTCAAGGTAAGATAGAAGAAATTCTATGGAATTATAATTTTTCAGATGGACCTGAACTCGTCGGTCCCGGAGATTCGATGGAAATACAATCAAACGTCAGAAAATGGGTGAAAGGCATCATGAATCCAGACATGAAGCAACAAACCATCGACAAATATGGATATCGCCGCGAGGAATCTAAACAATCAACGAAGAGCGATCCCTCTGTCAATTTAAAAGGCAAACCTCGATCTGAAGAGCCACAGTCAGGCAAAAAAATGGATCCACCTATTCCCGCATCCCTTCTTAGTAGCAAGCAGACCGACGACACCGAAGAAAACCGGCCAAGAGCACCCAAAGCCATCAGACTTCTCAACTCAGAAGAAGACAATACTGAATCACTGAGCGTAGCTGCCGAAAACAACACGTACCAAGAAAGCATGTACGAAAGACTCAGGCTCAAAAAATCGGTAAAACCAAAGGACACGTCCGTCAAACGAAAACCGTCCAACAAAGATGCAGCACAAAATGCCACCAAAAAAACAAAAACAGCTAGCAATGCGAAAGAAGATAAAGATAATCTCGACGCACAAGGGAATGAAGACAAAACCGAGCGATCAGCGAAACAAAATAAAGCTCCCTCGGCAAAAACTAAAAGGTAACAAATAATTTCCGCGGTACAGAACATAATCATGATCAATAGGAAAAATTTACATGATCGATGCGAGGCATTGGCTAAAAAAAAGCGAGAAGAATGGAACAAGAATAAACGAGCAGCTAAAGATCAATGTGGAGATGACGCTTACGATAGCCGAACAGTCAATCCAATAAAAACAAGCGTTAAGAAGATTGAAAATTTTAGACTCCCAAACCCAAATAATAGGATGACCACACGAGACAAATTAGCAAAAATTAGGAAAAGAGAAATGGAGAAAGAAAGTCAAAGACATGACACAAAACAACAGAGCAAAAAGCAAAGAGTCGAAACTCAGAAAGAAAACAAGCCAACAAACGGAAGCAAGTCAGTGCCTAACGAATCCCCAGGAAAGATTTATATATAAATAGGGCCGACGACATCTAATTAAAACAAGATATATAAATCAACAAAACAGACGAACCGGGAAAATCAAAATCCACAGAAAAGGACGAGCAAAGAACACAGTCAGTAGAGCCAAGCGATTCTTTTATGACCGAATATATGAAGAGTATTCGCAAAAAAAAATAAATTCTCCATACACCTTGTACATATACAACTCATAAGTTCTTCAAGATCTTGAGTCAGATTGACCGAATAAATCATAATACACATGCGATATCAAAACGTCTGTAAAAATGGGATAATTCACATCTTGGATTATCGCCATCGACTTATTTCTTGTAAGGAAGCGTTAATTGTACCCAGAGTAATCACGGAGCCTCGCCACTATCAGTCTCATGCCACGATAATAGTGCAGCAAGTCAAGAAGTTTTATTTTGCAGTAATTGGAGGTAACCACAGCTTGTAGCAGGACAAAACGATCAACGCATAAATAGAAATAAACTCACCGAGAGTGAGTGTTCAGAGAAAAACCGCGGAGTGATAAAGAAAGCCGCAAAAATAAATTAAGGATGAAAAAGGATGTGGAATGAAAAAATTTTTGGTTGACATAAAATGTCAACCAATTAATAAAAAAGAATTAAATTGCTGTGAAATTTCTAGATTATCGAAAATCATGTCATAATCGACGAAATTCTAAAAACCATAAAGGTAAATAAACCTGCGTCTTTATAATTAAATAAAACAAAAATTAATCGTTACAAAAAAATAATCTAAGGTGTTTAGCATCTTGTTGTCACACAGGTTAATAATTAGATTATTTACTTCATCAATTAAAATGGTCGGCATTAAAAATGCTTCATAAGTGCCAGTCATACCAACCAGCTGGCTATTTGTCGCGTCATTATGAATACTTAAGCGCCGCGGATAAACTAGTCACTGGGAAGACAATTCCAGGTGGTTCCACAAAGTTTGCAGCATTAATTTCCGCGGCAATCATTTACACCAGGACAGCTGTTAGAGTTTTGCTGATGCAAGCAAAGTTAAACGTCGGAAATTCGATCTAAAAAAGATCAAATTTAAAAGTGAGAGCTTTTCCAAAGCTGGATAAAAGTTATAATAGGGCGCTAACTAGAGAATTGGTATTGGAAACAGTATAACAGAAACTTTTATTACTTTATCATAAGCTTTTAATTAAAATATTATATAAAATACAATTTCTTTCTTTTTTTTATGGTTTCCTTTATTTTGATCAATATGTTTACGCTTCTTATTTCCGCGACCGTAGCAGGCCAGCATAATTTAAAAACACAGCAATCAATCACTTTTACTGCAGTCTGGACTATTTGACAAAGACAGCATTTACAAGTGCGGATTTACGTTTTCTTATCGATAACCGATTATCTACCGCCGCATCTGTATGAAACAAGTGTCGGAACAGTCCGCTTCCAGCACTTAAAAATCCATTAATTCGTCCGTTAACTTGGTGCTTCAAATACTTGATTTCATATCCAGCGTTGAGTTCTAGCTGCCGGCAAGAGTCCAGATCGCATTTGTGCACGATTCACGGGTAAAGCCTTTGATGGCGAAGTTGTTGGACTCGGTCGCGCCGCTCATAAAGATGATTTCTCGGGGATTCATTTGATAAAACGCAAATTTACACCGCACGCTCCTTTCTTCTAAGATTTCTTGACCTACTCCCAAAAACAGTTTAATCCTTCAAATTTTGTAATAAATAAATAAAAAACTTAACAATCAGAAACCATAATTAATAAGAAAATTAATTATGTTTTAAATTATGTTTTAATTGTCTTTTAGGATTGAAAACATAACTGAATTTCCTTCTTTTGATTATCAATTCCCTTTTTAAAGAGAATACAAACGCAAACACGTAGCGACCAAAGTGACCAAGTGACAGTCACGGAAAGTCACAACGCGTAACAAGACAGACATCAGCTAGTAAAACAGCACCCCGGTTCTAGTGCACAAGAATCCACTATCCGATAAATACACCAATCTGCGTGGGCAAAAAGCGTAGGCAAACATATGACCCGTTAAAAAACATAACCTGTTAATAAGTAAAAATGCAATTCGTTGAAACCATCAATATATGTGGCGTCGACGTGCGATTTCCATACAAACCTTATCCACAACAAATAGAGATGATGAGAAAGAGTATCGACTCACTCAAAAATAGGTAAATAAAAAAAAAATAATAGAAAATAAAAAAATCAATGAGGTCAAACGCGGCACTCGAATCACCAACTGGATCAGGAAAAACGATAACCTTACTGGCGTCGGTGCTTGCATTCAGAGAATATGCGGAGAAACAAAGTGACCTCAATGAAGAAGAAATCCCAGATATAATATATGCCTCAAGGAATGAATCAAATTAAATATGACAATTTATATAGACGAATAATATAATCACTTCTAAAAAAGAACACATACACAGTTGTCGCAAGTTGTCGATGAACTGAAGAAGCTCCGAGATGTTTGCAATTATAAATTCAGTATGACAGTTATAGGAGGAAGAAAGAATTTATGTGTAAAAAATGATGTCAAAAATATAACAAACAATACGGAACAGCAGATGAGCTGCAGAAGAATGCGCCGGAACAATCTATGCCCATATAAAAGAGAAGCAGATAAACTAATCTCAATCGCAAAAGGAGAGAAAAAAACGGATCACATGAATAATACATCAACTGACGCGGAAAAGGCTAAGAAGCACGATAAAGAAGAGTTAATAAACTCCATGGACCAAATTATGGACATAGAAGAGCTAGGATCTTGGTGTGGCAACCCACCAGAGCCCGTTAAAAAGTTTTTAGGAAAGGTTGACAGAAACTTAAAAAGCACAATTATATAAAGCGTCAACCACAAAAGCACACCAATCAATCGAAGGAGAGAAAGTATGCGGTTATTATCTAACACGAGGAAAAGCAGATTCGGTCAATATATCCTTGATGCCATACAACTACATACTCGACAAAAAAATAAAAAACAACACGAAGATTAACACAACTCAGAAAATAGTCATTATTGACGAAGCTCACAATCTAGAAGCAGTCTGTGAGGAGAGCTCTTCGCACTACCTGACAAGAAAAAACATAGCTTTAGCGCGGGAAGAGCTGAGAGAAGCAAAGATCAAATACGAGAAAGAAGAGAGTACAGTAGACTTATCATTGACTCCTGGGATAATGAACAAAGTCATTGAAGGTATCCAACTTCGGATAATTAACTGAATAAAACTCGTTTCTAGGAATAAAAAAACTTGAATATATCTACGCGCAAAACTTTGACAACATAGACAAAGAGAATGGAGAAACCTTTAATATATCGATGCTATTAAAAGACGCGGAAAAAACAGGATTGATGGGGATAACGACTGAAAACTGGATAAATCTTTCAAAAAACGTCATTCTATACTTTTCGAAAACAAAGCAAAAAACACCTCTGTCAGGTAAAAATCAAAAACATCACAAAAAAATTATAATTAAGGAACAAATTTTGAAATATTCGCCTATATGATGGAGGAATTACATGCCATTCGCGACAACTACACGCAAAACGAGTAAGTATTAGATAATCAGTCTATACCACTTGATCAGCGGAACGATTATAGTTAACATGCTAAATTGACAGTAGAATAATAATTTCAGTTACAAAAGTCGATTATGCAGAGACGAAACCGACAGAAAAGGTTACAAACTGATGATATGGTGCTTCAACGCTAAATATGCGATAGAAGCTCTAACAAAAGTAATTTGTTGAATTAAAATGATTAAAATTAAATTTAATTAAGGAAGGAGAAGTCTACAATCTTATACTTACATCTGGGACACTTTCACCGCTTAAAACATACATCAAAACACTTGGACTCGACATAAAAACAACTATCCAACTTCAAAACGATCACATCATCAATGCGGAACAACTTCTAGCGATTACAATAACCGGCTACGAAAACACAGAATTCAGAAATATTTATAAACAAAGAGACAATCAAGACATGTTTATGAATTACGCGAAAATAATACGTAATAAAAAAAAATCAATTTAATCAATTTAACATATTTTAAGAAAAAATAAAAGAAGTTGCGCCCGGAGGATGCCTCGTTTTTCATCCAACATACAAATGCATGGAAAAATCGATGAAAATTTGGAAAATAAATACAACAAATGAAACATTTAATAATATGTTCAATCTCCCGGTATTTGCGGAACCAGTTAACAAAGAAGAAACCGAAAGAATCATTGAGAGCTACGAGCGCGAAATAGAACACAACGAAAAAAAGGGTGCGATAATGAATGGAGTATGCAGAGGAAAACTATCTGAAGGGATAGATTTTAAAGATGCACGCGCGAGAGTGGTAGTAGTGACAGGTAAATCTAAGCACAACACACATGAAAACACATGTAGGAATACCATATCCTCCAATGCAAGACCCCAAGATAAAAGAAAAGATGGCTTATTTGGACAAGAGACAACGAGAAGAAGATGATAACATAACCGGAAAAGAGTGGTATAAACAAGGAAAGTCTACATATTATAAGATGCAAGCGCAAGCTTTTTGCCAATGAGCATTTCAAATATATAGACAAAACAGAAGCAAACAAAGCCATCAACCAAGCAGTAGGCAGAATTATACGACACAGAGATGACTTCGGAGCAATAATTTACCTAGACGCTAGGTTTACTAAGAAGGAGTCGGATAATTTCAAATATATGCCGGCATGGGTTAAAAGAAGCCACTACGTAACAGTAAGTATTAAAAAAATGCATTTTAAACTCAAAGTTTGCAGACAAGCAAAAGGTCGATTGGAGAAGTACGAAAATTCTTCAATAAAATGGAAGCAAAACAAAGATGCGGCAAATTGGCAATGCCAAAATCATTAAAAGAAGAACGAGAAAACAAAAAAAGAAAAAAAATTGTGATAAGGAAAGAAACAACAAAACAAAAAAACAGACGACTTGATCTAGAATGGGAAACACTATACAAACCAATCTCCAATCCACCATCAGCATTACCCATCTTTACACAACCAGAAGCAACAACATTCATCAAGCACACGCCAAAAAAATCATCACGAAAATATGCCATAGAATTTGGACCGACAATAACAATGACGTGTGACCAAACTGCCATTGAATAAAATATCCAATTTAATCCTCAAGAATATTTGCCACTTCATATACATAAGCAGCTAAATGATGTAAACAGCAATCAAGATGTAATCGCGGTTTTGGTTGCAGGCTGGAGCACCAAAAGTGAGAGGCAGGAAGCCAAAAGGCATAAGTACACTCATTTCTCCGCAGGTAAATCTCTGCCCTACTATCAGTGATAAAATGCAACAAAGGGCCGGGTTAACTTACATAGCACTAAATAAGCACATTGCTGGAACTCACCCTAATCGCGGAGTTTCTTTAGGCTCTGCCCAGAGCGCAGAAAACGATAATTTTCTTTTTATTTATTTATTGAAATGATTGCATGGTCTCATAAACGATCGATGAGCTTTTTCCTCGTAAGTCGAATTTGATTTTCTCCTTGTTGTTTATGGCGATAAATTCCTGAAGCTGCCCAAGGAAAAAGAAAAACCAATCCACCTCTCTCTTTTCAAATTCTTGGGTTACCTAAAGTATAAGATCGTATTTCGTACCTGCTATCCGTGCTGTAGTGCCCCTTCATATCAGAACCATCGCAAAAAGTATGTCCAAAGGGTCCAGCAACAACTAATCCGTAAATTTCCATGGCAATTTACCCCACCACCATCAGAGCTCATCATATAAACAACGAGATCAGACGAATTGTGTCCCCAAGTCATTCGCCAGCGCGCAATACTATCCTTTTTCCACCAAATAAAGCATTGACGATTCTGTATGCAGCCATCAAAGCAGTTAATGTTTCTAACACTCGTTAGAGAGCCAAAAAAGCCGCCTTTACAAAAACCATAATATTCTAAAAAAATGCTAGTTTAATACAATTAAAAAGTTGAAAAATGTTGACAAAAACATAGTATAACTTTAATAAATAGTTGAAATCAGTGAAGCCGCATAATAATTAATAATCCGCGCCCCATGCCACACAGACTTCAAAATTTTCGGCTCCCAGGCAGGCGGGCACCTAAGCGATTTTTAGAAAACACGATCTCTCGGCAACTTAATTATGTGAGAACACAGCGTGAAAAAGGAGAACGGCGTGAAACGCATGTTTGAGAAGCCGTATGAACTCACCGCAAATAATTCAAGAACATATAAATAAACCGCACCATAGTCCCAACAATATTTAATAGCCGTAGATCTTAAATTGCTGCGTGTCCATCATAATTCAAACACCATAAAAATATTAACTTTAGTAGTTGTTTAGTCTAAAACTTAAAATTTTAATAGAACATTACTATCAACAAATTCAAATATATATACGGGATATTTGACAAAATATACATTCAATAACTAACCATACTTAATCTAAAGTTCCCTGGTTCCCTAAGCACGAAATGAATCTCAAAATAACTTATGTGACAAACACTCCTCACGCTGGTTGGTGCGCGCAGCGAAACGTTCGAGCTTTATAATGACGCGGCACAACATGAATAAACACACCCAATAAGTTACCAATAAAACTAATCAAGCGTTTTGAATAGATTAAAACGGCCTACAAGGCAATAATCGACAGGGCACAAAACTATCATTTTCCACCAAATAATGCATTTCCATTCTGTATACGAACCATCAAAGCAGTTTATATTTCTTACACTCGTTAAGTCGAAAATGCCGCCTTTACAAACACCATAATATTCTAAAAAATGCTAGTTTTATACAATAATAAATTGAAATATGTTGATAAAAACTTAGTAAAACTGAAATAAATAGTTTAGATCCGTAAAGCGCATCATGATTAAAAATCCGCGCAACTTGCCACAATATGAGGCCTTATATATTTAGCCACAGCGAATCATTGTCAAATATGCTAATCCGACAAACAGTCTTCACGCTGGTTGGTCCGCGCATCATACGTTTTCAAGATTTCGACAAATCACATAACGATATGTTCTAAGACCAGATATAAATCGAGAGAACAACATACAATAATTTTAAATTACTATTTTGATTGTAAAAAACAATAAGATCAAAGGAATGTCGGATTGGCCGAAAAAAGAAGAGATTTTACAAATAAAACAGCATTAATTATGAGTAACTTATGGAGCATTAACCGCGAGGAAACATAATTCTCTACAAAAATCCCATACACGCGTAAATCAATATGATAAACAAGATAAAATCATATCATAACCACCTAAAGACAAATTATGGTTTTTGAATAATTCCGAAAAAGGGGATTCTTCAAACTAGAACACAGCAAAAGCGTAGAAAGCGATAAAAACAAACAAACCTGTCCACCAACATAATGACGCGGCAATAAATTAATGATAAACACACCCAATTATACAGATACTAAGCAAGAAGCGGTAAAGTAGCGGCCTGCCGGCCTAAGAAAACCCGTCTTTACGATTTTTTTTTCCAAATTATGATTTTGTTAATTTGGAATTATATTATTTTTTCCAATTTTTGTTATTTTTTTTTATGGAATTCTGTAAAGAACTGAAAAATAAAAATTTCCATAATGAGAAAATTCACTTACCAGAAAAAAAGTTCCATCCTAAGTAAAAAATTTATTTTTCGATCCATCCTTGATCAATCCTTTTAGTTACGTTCCATACTAACGATAAACTTTTTATTATGATCCATAGTAAAGAAAACCTTTTTGTTACGTTACATTCTTTATTTTTCCAAAATTAGATAATCGCCGTTGTAAACTTCTCCTTGAGGGCAGCAGTTTCCGGCGAGATCTTGAATCTCCCCTGGTTGACAGGGAGAAACGAATTGACATTCCGTTTCCGCATTAAAGTCGTTGTAAACAGATATTTGTCCATCTGGGCATTTCTCGCCGCATTGTCCGAGTGTTCCTTGATGGATGCAAATACACATGTTCCATTTTGAGCTCCATGTAGATCCGACAGGGCAGCACGCGAACGAACCGTCCTCGAAATTGATGACAACGTCGTTCGTCCTGCAAATCGAGGAAAGACAAATACCATCGACGTTCGGATACTGGAAAGTGTCAGGGCAGAGACATGCCATTTTGCTAGATTGAGCGTACATGGCGTAGACAAGGCCATCCGGACACGATGAGGAACAAACTTGGTTGGCGTTTGGCTCGGAGCCATCGTTACAGATGCATCGTTCGTGAGCAGGGCTGTAATGAGCATCTTTGTGGCAGCACACCTGTCCATTTTCGGTTTCAATTGGATGGAAATCGAAATTGCAATTAGATGGAGTTCCGGGACATTGCTCGTTTTTGCCGACGATATGTCCCTCTGGACAAAGGCACGTATTTGAATCGGAGTTGTAAATCTGGCCTTGCTGGCAGAAGTCCTCACAGTTACCCCAACCACCGTCTTTGAAAAAAATTTGATGGGGCGGGCAAGCTGGCGAACAACCTGTATTTTCTTCAACAATCGTACTATCAAAGAAGCATTTGCATTGAAGCATACCCTGGTCAAAGTAAGAATTCTCGGGGCAGCAGCCAGCAGCATCATTGTAAACGTATGGAGTTTCTTGAGGAGCACACACTGGACAATCGCCATTAGGTGTTGGCAGTAAATCGCCCGTGCACACACACATGTCTCGATCCTTTTTGAAATATGTGTTTTTCGGACAGCACATGATATCGCCGAAGCGATTGTTGTAAGCTGTTTCGCCATCTTGGCACGTGTTCGAATTGCATTCCCCGTCGACTGGAGCTTGTCCGTCCCAGCATTCGCATTCGCCCTTGTTGAAGTTGTATTGAAGATCTCCAGGACAGAGTGATTGTTCCGGCTGTATCAGCGGCGGGCAAGGAAGAGTTGTTGATCCTCCAGGACAAGCGCATTTGTTCATGGTTGGCAAGCTGTCAATCCAAATGAATCCTTCATCGCAACATTGAATCATGAAAGAGCTATCCAAATGTGGATTTTGCCCTGTCGGACAGACGGGACATTTACCATCGACCATAGGCTCATCAAACTTGCATTTGCATGTTTTTGTTTGATTATCGTATTCTGCTCCGAGTGGACAGCAAATTGTTTTCGGGTCGGGACGCACGAAATATTCACCCTCTCCGCAATCATTCGGGCATTCTCCATACATCGAGTTGGTGAGATACAATGGCTGAGAACGATCTGCACAGAAACAACCAGGAGGTCCCGACATATCTTGCTCAAAATAAAACAAGTTTCGCTGACAGCATTGGATATTTCCAAGAGAGTCGAAGATTGCTCGGTCCGGTTGTGCACAGTTTCCGCAAGCTCTGTCATCTGGCTCATCGCCATTGTCACACACGCATTTATTTAAATTGTAATTCCATTCGGAATTAAATGGACAGCATTGGACGTAAGGTTCGACAAATTGAATGACATGGTTCTCTTCGCAATCGATTTCACATTGTTGGTAAGTCGACCAATTCGACGCGTAAAAGGGTTCTGTTCGATTATCACAGAAGCACCCGCCTGGCCCAGTATCATCACCATCGTACCAGAATAAGTTTCTTTTACAGCATTTGACGTTTCCGAATTCGTCCATATGAGCTCTTTGGTCTGTACTGCATTGACCACATGCAGTATCGTCGACTTCATTATTGTTAGGGCACTCGCACTCATCCGTAATCGAGTTGTACTGAGTTCCGTAGGGGCAACATCCTAGAGTCGGATGATTAGGCCCGACGAAATACGTTCCTTCTTCACATTCGTCGCCACATTGCGGGAAATATGATGGAGGTAAATTGATAGCTTCCGAGCCATCTTTACAGCGACAGTGACCACCAGCAGGATTATTCTCATCAGCAATCCAGATTTGGTTTCTCTCGCAACAACGAATAGCATCATTTTGATCCAATAAGGCTCTCATTCCTGGATCGCTGCATAAGCCACAGGCAGTATCATCAACAACCTCTCCGTTCGGGCACATGCATTCATCACCGATCGGATCATAAACGCTTCCGATTTCACAACAAATCGTCCTTGGGAAAGCTTGAATGAAAACTTTATCCTCGGGACAATCGCCTGGACATTCTCCATTTGGCTCTGAATTGGATCCGTCTTTGCAGTAACATCCAGCAACCGTGTAGTCATCTTCGTCGAACCAGACCTTATTTTTCTCACAGCATTGCACGACGCCATATTGATCAAGATGAGTTCGTTGGCTGATTGAACAGTAGCCACAGCCAGTTTCATCAGGAATCTCAGCAGGGTCATTTGGACAATAACATTTGCCATCTGTGTCACTCCAGTAAGAATTAAGCGGACAGCATTCAATTGTTGGATAGACACTTTGAAGCCAGTAACCATCTCCGTAGTCAATGCATTCGTTGCCACAAGAGCCCATCGGCCCATCAGGATAACTTCCATCTTCGCACATACAAGCGCCATAGGTTGTTACTACTTGGTTGATTTGACAGCACTGTGTTTGATTATTACTATCTGTCTGCAAGACGGTCGGTGGTGGACAAGGCGGACAGCCAGTATCTGGATCGTAAATTCCACCATTATTGCAGATACAGGAATTCATCCACGAATCGTAGCTTGAGTCATTAGGACAGCAAAGGACTTCGTCAATATTTGAGGCAAAAAAGAAGCCAGGTTCACAATCACCTGGGCATTCACCATTCTGCCATGGCGGAGAATTGTTCTCAGGACAGAGACACTCGTAAGGAGAATTGGAGAAGATTTGATTTGATTTACAGCAAATTATTGCACCGTTGTCTTTATTAAATCCAACGATTTCGTTGTCCGAGCATTCGCCACAGCCAGTGCCATTAAGAGGCGCTCCGTTTGTGCAGTGACAGCCAAGATCGGAAGTCCACTTAGCTCCGATTTCGCAACACTCGAGAGGCTCAAACGATCCAAGCCATTCACCTTCATCACAATCATTTGGACAGTTCATGCTGTAGCCTGGAATGCTTCCGTCAGACTTGCAAATACACTGTTCAACTCCTTGGTCGAACATTTGATTCTTATGACAGCACCGGGGGTTCTGTGACGCGTCGAAATAAACATCTTTGTGTTCAGGGCAATATGGGCAAGTATCATTTACTATAGCGAAACCACTGTTGCATTTGCAGAGTTTGTCGGCCATGTCATACCAGGAGTTCTCCGGGCAGCATTTGATGGGATCTAACGTGTCTGTTGGATCGACATATCCAAGAATCTGTCCAGGGTCGCAATCGCCGGGACAGCCTCCATATTGATCAAAAGGGTCGCCATTCGGGCATCTGCAGTCATCAATCTCCAGCGAGTATTGATGATTAATTTGGGGTTTCCTTACTTGGTAAAATTCCTTACTTGGTAAAATTCCTTACATGGTAAAATTCCTTACTTGGTAAAATTTTTTTTCTTTACCAAGTAAGGATTTTTACCAAGTAAGGAATTTTACCAAGTAAGGAAATTTCTATCGAGCAAATGTCAAAAACAAATAATGAACATATTCACTTTAGAAGATATCTAGTCGACCCCCCTCTGAACATAATTTTTTCAAGGATTATTTTTTTTTGAATTATTTTTTTTTGAAAAAATTGAATAATCTTGATTCGAGCGCGTTCGAATTCGGGTTCATTTTCAAATTCGTGTTTGGAATCGTATTTGAATTTCGGATCCATGACCCATGTCAAAGTGGACAATTTGACCGATGGCCCATCGGCGATGGGGGTTAATTGATAAATATATTATCTAAATGAGTTTTTAAATTCAAACTAAGTTCAAAACAATTATTTTAACAAGTGAAACTTATAAAAGAAACGTCATTTGAAAAATAAATGTCTCTTCTTAGGACCCTCCACTCACGGTTGGGTTCGCAAAATCGCTTGTTCTAAAAAAAAATTTTTAAGGCTATAACGTCTCTTTTGGCCTCTCTGGAAAACGCACTTCCCTTGGTCGATTTCAAAAATTAAAAAGACTCATATACTTAAAATCTATCGTAGATTTCAGAAATGCGATCAAAAATTTATTTTTCTTTTGAAATTTCGACTTTACAATCATTTAAAAAACGCCGATCGGTTTTCCGAATAATTTTACCATTACAGAGGTAGATTTTTTACGATCAATTTATAGACTAAAGCCTTCTCTACAATCCCCACGGAAAAAAACTTCGATATCTCTTCAAATTTTCATTCTAGGGCAGGGCTGGCAAATTAGGGTCCTAACAGCCGCACTACCGAAAAATTGTTAGGGTTCTAACTCAAAATTAGTGCAAATTAGTGCGGCATCCCCGTCCTACCCGTCCTATTTTTTTTCCTTGATATTTTTTCGTCCATTAGGACCGAATCGCCGCCCTAACCGCACTAATTTGGAGGCTCTTTTTCATCATCCAATCGGCGCGCGCTTCCCACCAGGCGCGGAGGACAAATTGGTGGAAGATTGAAAAAAGAATGCAGCTGAATGGATGAGAAAAACGAATGACCCGCCATGATTGGCGGACCAATAAGCGCGCGCCTATTTTAGGACGATTTTAGTGCGGCTTTTCCAACTCTCGTACTACTCGCACTAAAAAGTTATAAAATGAGAGTTAGGGCCCTAACAATAGGGTTCTAACTCAAATTAGTGCGGCTGGCGGGACCCTAATTTGCCAGCCCTGTTCTAGGGCCATGTTAGTGCTGGCACCTGAGGAGAAAAAGGCGCGTGGACGCGCTGCGCGGAGTGCTATCCTCCAGCCCGAAAAGAGAGCGCTGTTGGCGAGCGTGTGAGTCAAGCGATTCATCGCGCTTTGATTGGCTGCGCGGAGCTCAAGCGTCAGTCTATAAACAAAAGAGACTTAAAAGAAGAGAGAACTAGAATCATAATTTTCACAATTTCTTGAAATTTTTTCCGTAGGGATCATAGAATATGCTTTTTTAAATAATATTGTCGGATTTATTTGACCTTAGAGCTTCCAGTTTTCTCGGAAAACCGATCGGCGATTTTTGAATGATTCTAGAGCAAAAAATTACCAGAGAAAATTATTTCTTGATGGCATTTTTGAATTTTTAAGGAGAAAACAAATATGTTTGCCCTTTAAATTTTTGAAATCGACCAAGGGAAGTCCGTTTTCCAGAGAGGCCAAAAGAGACGTTATAGCCTTAATTACTTGGCCAAATTATTTCTCTGTACTAGAGATTGAAGATTAGGCCTCGGTCTATCTAAATCTAGTCGGAGATGATGTCTATCTAAGCCCGAATCGGCTGAATTTCGACTCAAAAATAGCCTAAAATGGCCTTTTTCGAAATTCTCGAACTTTGGCCCCTCCTTGTAGTAGGTTTGCTTTGAACAAAAAACTTCTCTGTACTAGAGAATAGCGGATAGCACCTGAGCTTTACGTAGAGCTATTGTTTGCCCAAATACATAAGCGCAAATCGGCTGAATTTCCAGTCGAAGATGGCCAAAACGAGGGGGATCCCTTAAATCTGATCAACAAAATCAAAATTTTCTTAACAAAATTTTCAAAAGTTTGGATAGATCTCTCCATATTTGAATCCAAATTTGAACGCAACGGCTAGAATAATTTTAAGAATGAAGATTATTCAATTTTTTCAAAAAAAAAATAATTCAAAAAAAAAATAATCATTGAAAAAATTATGTTCAGAGGGGGGTCGACTAGATATCTTCTAAAGTGAATATGTTCATTATTTGTTTTTGACATTTGCTCGATAGAAATTTCCTTACTTGGTAAAATTCCTTACTTGGTAAAAATCCTTACTTGGTAAAGAAAAAAAATTTTACCAAGTAAGGAATTTTACCATGTAAGGAATTTTACCAAGTAAGGAATTTTACCAAGTAAGGAAACCCCGATTAATTTTGCAGCATAAAATATCACCATTACTGTTTATAGCGGGATTAAATACGCCATCATCGCCCACATTGATATCACAGTATCCACAAGCGTTGTTGTTTTGGTATGATTGTCCGTTCGGACATTTGCATTCCTGATCTACTTGATCGTAGTACTCTCCAGCTTTGCAGCATTTTAGCTCGGGATCCTGTTGGACGACAAACAGGTCAGCAGACACACAATCACCAGGGCATGCACTCATGTAGCCGGGGAGACTATCATCCTTGCAAATACATTTGCCGGTGTCTTCTATGTACTTTTGGCTATTAAGACAGCATTCCAATAAATTCCCGGCAGTGTCGTAGAAGGGCGATCTATTTGGAGAGCAGGGAGGACAGGTATTATTAATGACAGGGCTGCCACTATTGCAAAGACATTCACCCGAGTCAAGATAAGCCCCATCAGGGCAACAAATAAGTGTGTTGTTCAGATCGATTCCAGCAGGATACATACCAGCATTGCAATCGCCAGGGCATGAGCCGAATGCCAATGGCATCGATTCATCTTCGCAAACGCATCCCGTAGTACCGTTTACCCATTTTTGATTTCCAGGGCAGCACTTTGTCATTCCATTATCAAAGTCCAAGAATGCGTTTGAATTCTCGGGACATTGTCCGCAATAAGTCGAATCAAGAGGTCCTCCATCGCTGCATTTGCATTCGCCTTCCTCAAAGACTGATCCAAGTGGGCAGCACTGGAACGGATGTGGCTGAACAAGATATTCGCCTTGAGCGCAGGTATCCTCGCACATCATAAACGGACCCAAAAAGATCCATCGGAACATGCACAATCGTCGAGATCTTCCGACCACTCAGTATGGGCAAAGCAGCACTTTTCTTCTCCATTTGATGTCCAATGACTTGACATGTGTGTCGGACAAAGAGGGCAAGGACTATCACCAGCTTCACTTCCATCTGGGCATTGACACTGCTCAAGAGCGGAATTGTAAGCACTTCCTAACGGGCAGCAAATAACCTCGGAGTATTCTCCAACGAAGAAAAATCCTGCTGCACAATCACCTGGGCAACTTCCATCCCCGTTTGGTGGTAACCCATTGCTACAGGTACAATCATTGGCATTTGGACTGTAGATCAAATTGCTTGCACAACATTTGTGAGCGCTCCATTGCCCACCGGTCTGGAATGCGATTTGGTTTGAATTGCAAAGATTGCAGCCTGTCTCTACATCCGGCTCATTGCCCGTCTGATCACAGATGCATGTGGCAGTTTGCACTCCGTTCATCATTTGCAATGATGATCCGACTGGACAGCAAATTAGCTCGCCGCCCAGAATATCCGAAAGATATTCTTCTTGAGGGCAATCGCCTGGGCATTGCATATTTTGATCAGGATTACTTCCGTCTTCACAAGTGCAAGAGTAATCTGTCAGGACCTGATTTAATGTGCAGCACATTTTATTTCCATTAGGATCGGTCCATTCTTTCTCTCTGTTATTGTTACAGTATGGACATTTGTTATTTTCGTAATCATATGTTCCACCGTTTGGACAAGTACAAGTATCAGTAATTGCGGAATATCCAGTTTCTCCAGGACAGCAAACAATATCACCTTTATTGTCAAGAAAGAACCTCTGGCCGTATGGGCAATCTCCTGGGCATTCTTGTGGATGGGGATTGTAATCACCATTTCCACCTTGAGTGTTGTAGCTTGATCCAGGATTGGTTTTGTCTGGGCATCTACAATTTCCCTCGTGCCAGATTTGATTTTTTGGACAGCATCGGACTCCGTCAGCAGTAATCAAAGCAATATCCATCTGTGCGCAATCATTAACTTCGCAACGGTTGTCGACCAGTGCGCCATTGAAACAGATGCATTCTTCTGCATTTGCATTCCAGTATGCTCCAATAGGGCAGCAAATTTTCTCGGGATAGAATTGCTCCATAACTTCTCCGAGCTCACAGTCTCCTGGACATTGCGAGTTATATGGGCGTGTACCATCCATACAGCGACACTCGTCCCAGGAGAGATCAAAGTATTGATTTGTACGGCAACATCGGGTATTTCCACTGTTGTCGAAATATATTTGCTCGTCAACAGCACACATAGAGCAACCAGTGTCTGGATCGGCTTCATTTTGATCGGGGCACATGCACTTTTGAAAACTTACATCCCACCAAGAACCAATTGCGCAGCAAATCATCTCTCCGCTATCTTTGAACTGGATCCATTTCCCGACTGGACAATCGCCTTTGCAAGTCGCTGGCGAGAATGTCGGGGTGAGTGGTTGACCCTCGCATTCGCACTGATCCGACTGGTAGTTGAACTTCATATTCTTTTGGCAGCAGATTTCGCTACCATCCCTTTTTCTGTATGCAATTTCTTTGTTTGAACAGAAACCACAGCCGGTCTCACTGTTTGGAGACGTTCCGCCGGGACATTTGCAAACATCTGCTGAGCCGTCCCACATCATACTTCCACCAACAGCGCAACACAGATCCTCGCTCCATTTGTACCAGCCTGGGCTACAGTCGCCTTCGCAGGCATTGTTGTAGCCGAGATATTCTCCATTGCACATGAACTCATTTCGCCAAGGATACCAGATTTTTCCTGGAGGACAGCAAGCAATCTGTTGATTGCCGTTGTAAGAATCATCCCAAGGTACTAGGCCGGGACCACATGGTGTTGGACAGCCATTGACAGGGTCTGGTGGGTTATTATCAAAACAGGTGCAAGTTACATCATCATATCCATTGATAGTCGGGGTTGAGCCAACTGGGCAACAAAATTTTTCGTCCAGCGTCCTGTGAGCAAGGTATTCTCCTGCCGGACAATCACCTGGACATTGAGGAGGCCCATAATTGGTCGGCCATGACTGTGATCCGTCTGGACAGGTGCATCCGTCGTTAATTTCATCATAAACCATATTATTTGGGCAGCACATGGGACCATTTTTTCCTTCGTACATTGTATCGAAAGATCCACAATATGGACACAAATGTGTGTCTGGGTCTGGCGAAATTCCTGCATCCAAGAACATTCCTGGCGGGTTGCAAATGCATTTCTCGCGATCTTGGTCGTAAAATGAGTTAGCTGGGCAGCAAAGAAGCTCTGGCGTATTTTTGGCGAAATTGAAGAGCCATGGACAGTCCCCGTTGCATTGGCCGTCTCCGAATGGGTATTGTCCATCAGAGCAGACGCAACCCATTTGATTGTCACTCCAGTGCTGATTCGCTGGACAACATTGGATATTATCATACATATCGGTGAAGGAAGTTAAGCCATCGGGACATGGCGGACAGACGTAGTTTTCCATGTCAGCTTCGATTCCGTTTTCGCACATGCAGATACCGTTCATGTTGTTGAAGCCGGTGAAACCATCGTTTGGACAGCAAATGACTCCGAATTCATTCGACTGGTACGTAGTTCCCGGTGGACAATCACCATTGCATTCGCCATTAGCGCCGGGAGGGTCTCCGTTCTTACAAACGCAAGATTGTCCGTCGAATTGATGATTCTGACCGCAGCAGTGGATGTTCTTTCCGTTGTCGTAGTGGACAGTCATAGATTGAGGACAAATCCCACAAGTCGATTCACCGTTAACTATTTGTGGCTCCATATTAATGTAGTTCCCATTTTGGCAAATACATTTTTTCAGGTCATTGTCATAATCGGATCCGATAGGACAGCACTCTCTCTCTGGAGCTGGGCCGGCAAGATACCAACCAGCAGGACAGTCGCCATCACATCCCGTCCATCCGTGCGGCATCGATCCATCTGAACACTGACATCCGGCAAAATTGAAATATCTTCTGTTTTCTGGGCAGCAAGTTGTGTCGTCGTGATTCATCCAAAAGGGAACTTCATTTTGAGCGCAGCCGGTGCAAGAGTTCATTGATGTGGCTTCGTTACCACTGTTTGTGCAGAAGCAAACCAACGCAGGACTATTATACTGAAGCTCAGATCCAACAGGACAGCATGATTTAACGTTTTTGTAAATCGGGATTCCAGGTTTCCGATAGATAGAAGCCAGGATCGCATTCACCGTAGCACTCTCCCCGAGGACCAGGCGGTTGTCCGTCTTGGCACAAGCAAACACTTCCTCCGAAGCTGTACTGACCTTCAGGACAGCAGATTGGTTCCGAACTACCAGGACTAACGAAAGGAACCAACTCTGACGAGCAGTAGTAACAGCCGCGTTCAGGATGAGGTGTATCTCCTGCATTCGGTTCCGGGCCAGTTCCACCATTCCATCCATAGTCGCATCTGCATCGTTGTTCACAAGGGCTGTTGTCAAACCACGAGCCAACGGGACAGCAAAGACTGTCACCGTCAAGACTGTAGCCATAAAGATATTCTCCAGTAGGGCAATCTCCTGGGCAACCGTAGCCTTGGTCTTCCGCTCCATTTGGACAGGCACACTTTTGCATGATGTCACTCCACACGTGATTTTTTGGGCAACAAACTTCTACGCCGTTGTCTTTCTTTTGTTTGTGATGATTTGTTGCGCAAAATGGGCAGTTGCCGTCAACATCTGGTGCGGTCGGGGGAGAGAGGTTATCGCAAGCGCAGCCGACAAAGCCGTTGTTGTCAACGAAAGATGTTCCAGGAGGGCAGCAAGTGATTTCAGGATACAATGAGCCGAGAGTTGTTCCAGCTGGACAGTCTCCAGGACATTCGTTAGTGAACATGTCTGGCTTGTTGACCCCATCCTGGCAGAAACAAGTCCCAAGAGTCTCGTTGTACGTTGATTGCCCAGGGCAGCACTCGATTCCGTTGAAGACTTCGAATTCTCGGAAACCAGGGGGACAAACAGAACATTTTCCGATGCTTTTATAGGGTTGAAAATCTAAAGACGACTAGCGAAGAATGAAAAAAGAAATGTTAATTGATCATGTTATCATTTTTTTAAATAAAGACAACCGTAGCTTGAATCGACTGTTTGCCAGTTTCCGAACTGATCCGGGCATTGAACTTGATCTCGGCAGGTGTTGGGGTCCCAATGGTATGACGCACCCTGGGGAAGACAGAACCAGCCTTCATCTTCTGACCAGTAGAGCTTTGTCCAATATGGACTCTTTGGGCAGTCCCCGGGACATTCGTTTGGCTCAAGACCATTCGCACCAGGAATTGTTAAATCTTGACAAATGCACATTGAGAGTTTAGTGCTCCAAACTGTGTTGTGTGGGCAGCATTCTGTTCCGCTATTTTCCGTGTTCCAGAGACTACTCCCTTATTTATGGTTTTCAGAATTCACGGTGTGCATTTACAATGTATCAAGCTATGATTCGTGAAAAACCATGCCTTTAGGACATTCCTTGCAAAATCCATCTTCATCAACTTCTTGCCCGCCGCACATGCATGAGTGTGACTTTGAGTCGTAATACGCATTTTGGTGACAGCAAGTGATCGGATCGCTCAGAACTTGAACGAAATCAATTGGGCAGTTGTTTCGAGGAGTTGCATCAGCCTCGGCAACTTCTGGCTCTGATTCGGGCTTGGTTAGACATCCTTTTTGATTTCCAATAGCTTGGCGAGTTCAAATAAATAAGATTGATTTTTAGAAAATGATTAAGGAAAACTGGCTTTTGATAAATTTATAAGACGTTTTTTTTTCTTCAAAATTCAAATTAAAATATTCTCAAACGTTTGTGTTTGATTTGAACCTTTCATGAGATGCTGCTAGGATCACATTCACAGCATCCATTCGAGCCACATCTCAGTCCAGGTTGAAACGACTCGCAGGATGCATCATCGCTGCAAGTTCCGAAGTAGCAGCTCTTAATTTACTCGTCTATATTTTTTCGCGATCATTTATTTAGCTATCTACCTCTCCGTCGCTCCCAGCTCCAGCTTTTTCCTCGCAACCGTCCATAGGATCGTTGTTTTTATCGACGAAGCCATCGGCACAGACACACTTATTTATCGAGAGATCACAAGTGAGTCGGGCTGCTCTACTGTCCTCAAAGCCCGGCTTCTGAGCAATCTTCCATATGGAACAGGCCTTGTCTGACTCGCAAGCAAGAACTGGCCAATAGTCGCCGTCGTCGGTGAAGAATCCTACGCCAGGTGACCCGGCAAGGGCAGCAGGGAGGAAAAGCGCAGACAGCTAAATTAATCGTTACATGATTTTTGAAAAATCTCTGGCGATTCTCTTTATCTTGAATATAAATAAAATAAACTCAGAAAATACCTTCATCTCTTCGCCTACAAAAGATGAACCAAGCGGTCGGTTTTAAAGGCAGCCTGTCAGGATTTATTCGATATTTGTCAGAAGGCCGCATTTAGTCAAAAACAAAGTCATGAAGAAGGTGGGGCCGTCTGGCCTGTTGAGAAAATCTGGGAATATCAAATTCAGCGCTGCCAAGTTATGACAAGTCAAAATAACTCGGGCAAGAAAATTCATCAACGAAAGTTTAGAGGTTGAATCGGAATGATTTTCTTCCATACGATTTGTTTATTATGCGAGCTAGAATAATATATTTTTATAACATTCGATTGAAGGATTTATATTTATGAAAATAAACAGGAAGATTTCTGAAAATGCACTTCAGCAGAATTTATTAATTGATAATCGAAATCAGCTGTCGAACACCCTCGATTGATTCAGCGATTCCAACAGCGCTTTGAAGAGTTACGCTGGAAATCTTCAGTATGGATTCAATCGTTTCAATTACTTAAAATAATTCAATTTAGTGAATTTCTTTTAAAATCTTACCTGCGTTTGCTTGTTCTTCAAGAATTCTCACAAGAATTTTACCAATCGAGGCCAAAAAGCCAGCGCTTTTGTCCATCGCCCACTTTTTAAAATCTTCTTTCGTTTTTAGAGACTTTTAAAATTTCATTTTTAATAAAATTTTTCCTTCCTACTTTTGGAGAATAATCAATCAAATCAGGGATGAACTCAGCGATATTTCTGGAAGTAGTTTCGTTGAAGAAAATTCCCGTTAATTCCATTAGCTTGTAATCAAACTTGTAATTTGGTGGCAGAGACGCTTAAAAACTCGCTTTCTTTATAAATTATGAATTATTACCTTCCGAAAGAACGCCGTAAAAATGAATTTCAAACCCAAAGACGATATTTGCTACTTTCGCCCATTTAGCAATTAACTCTGCTTCTCCCCTCGCAGATTCTGGAAGCAGTTTTGCAAGACTTTCAAGAGTTCCAACGACGCTGTCTGTTAGGTACTCCTTGACTTCTATCTGCCGCATGAGTATTTGATATGTTTCGGAGAAGATTTGAAGATTACCAGAAGAATTGCTAGAAATTTAAGTTTGATGCGAAAATAAGAAAATATTTACGAAGAAACATGAACAAAGTACTCGAGCATCTTCGTGAGAGGCTCGATCAAAGCGTCGACTGCATCAGTAACTGAGTTGGCCGGGATTTGAAGCAGTTCGAAAAATGCAGGTCTAAACATTTGTATTCTTTGATTTCCAGCATTTCTACTTGCCCAATAATAAGATTGACTCTTTCCAAGAGACTGTCAACTTCTAGGGATGCTCGATAATCTTCAAAAATAAACTCTTTGAGCGATTTGCAGAAGTCATTTTTGCATTCATCGCCTGAAAGCTCAACAAATCAATCTCTTTTTTTAGCGACAAGTTTTACCTTCGAAGAGTTTCAGCAGCTCATCTAAATGTTCAAAAATCTTTTCAACCGATCTTTTGTTTGCTTTAGCAGCTTCAGCTACCGCGAAAAAAAAAAAAAAAAAAAAAAAAAAATAGCGCTTTTCTTGTTGCTTCACCGATAGCTGTCAAAAATTTTGCTTCCTCGAGATTTTCGGTCGACAGCGAAGCCGCAGATTCAGCGATCCATTGAACTGTGCTCATGTAGATTTCCGCAGCTTTTTTACTTATTTTTCCGGCAAGTTCAGTTGATTTTTCTTGATGAAAAAGCCCGATTTCAGCCAGTTCTTTTGCGTCATCAAAAAGCTCAAATGCTGGGTCGACAACAGTACTTTTGATTTTTTTCAGATTCAAATTTAATCCGATCAGCTCGGCCATGTTATTGTTCAAGAAGAGGTCCAAAACGGCCTGCAGAGCGGATTTCACAACGAAATCTTTCGCTTTGTCCCAATTATGAATACACTTTAATTCAGTTTCACTTCCGTCTTAAGGATTCTTCCTACAAATGTATTCACTTTTCCTTGTTCTTGGAGCTCCCGTAGGAATGGAACGATTTCGTATTGAACGAAGTCTTCTATGTTTTCATCATTAATGAATGATGCTAGAAATTTCAAGTTTTAATTAATTTTTTCAATAAATAATCACCTCCGAAATCAACGATAGCGATGGCGATAGTGATCAAGTCCTCAGTCTGAAGTTGGTCAGCCGATTCGATCGACGCAAAAACTTGCCAAATCGAAATTATTGAGTCTGATTGAGAAATAAACTTGATCGGCGACTGAGCGATTTCATCAAGAGCAGGGCTCTAAATAGACTAGTCCGGGCTCGGACTTAGTCCGAAGTCCGTCCGGTCTAGTCCGGCCGGACGGACCAGACTTCTGATTTTTGGCTGAGAAAATTTTCGGACTAGACCAGACCAGACTTGCCTTTTTCGCCGGACTTAGTCCGAAAAAGTCCGAAAAGTCCGAAAAGCTGGACCACTTTCAGACTTATGTTTTAGTCCGAAAAGTCCGAGAAGTCCGAGAAAGTCCGAGAAGACTTGACCACTTCCAGACTACTTACAGACTTATTTTCAGACCAATTAAGTCCGAAAAAGTCCGAAAAGTCTTCATTTTTCTAAGTGAAACCCTTAAGATAACATCATACACTTGATGCGGTCCCCTTGAAAAGGGTCTTAGCTTAATTTTCATCATAAAAATATTGATCAGTTAAGGTGATCATAATGATATAAATGATTGAAAAATATTTTCACTTTAACTTATCGTTGTGACACCCTTAAGAGGGAGGGGGTCGAAATTATTCTGCATGCAGAACTATTCTGCAAAAAATAGAACTATTCTGCAAAAAGTAGAACTATTCCGCGTTTCGCAGAACTATTCTGCAATTGTAGAACTATTCTGCAAAATACAGAACTATTCTGCACAAGTGCAGAACTATTCTGCATTGTGTTGAAAAGAAGATCTTCATTTAGAGACAAAATTTCACTGTTTGGAAGCACGCTGCGGGCCTACGGCCCTTGCGCGCAAATTCTGGTAGGGAACTCATTTCTGAAGGTGGCCAACTTTCTCTACTCTCGCGCCTCCTTTGATAAAAGTCGTTTTTCTTATATGCAGAACTATTCTGCATGCAGAATAGTTTCGAAGGTTTCCCCTTAAGAGGCCTGTGAGTTTGTTTTCCTTCTAGTGCCCTAGCAACTGTCGAGCTACGAAAGAATCAAAAATATCTCAAAAATCTTAAGGGGATCAACCCGATATCCGTTTTTGAAAAAGTCATTATCAATTGACGGAGGGGTCCTTAACCTTATCGACAATATTTCGAAATTTATTCAAATTTTTTATCGAAAATTTTTCGAAAAATTTTCGGATTTTTCGGACTAGACCGGACTAGACCGGATTTTTGGCTTTTTCTCGGACCAGACTTTTTCGGACTTTTTCGGACTTTTCCCGGACTAGACCAGACTTAAAGTCCGAGTTTTCCAATTCGGACCAGACCAGACCAGACTTGTAAATTTCGCCCAAGTGCCCGGACCTGGACAGACCGGACTTTTGATTTTCGCCTCAGATTTAGAGCCCTGATCAAGAGCTGGGTTGTCCTCCATTTTCTCCAAGAAATTCGCAAGAGTTTCAACCGCAAAAAGAGCCAAAGCCCCACCATCATCTTGTAGGTTTACATTCTGATAGGACCCGAAATCTTCTTTGAATCCAGTTAAAGTTTCTTAACCCAAAATCAAACCAGCAATTCATTTCAAAAATGGACCTTGTACCCATTCAACAGTAGGTAAAATCCAGAGGTCAGAAAAATCATCCAAGTCAAAATCAATGTCCTTCAAAAACGCTTCCTGAAAGGACAGTAAGACAAAAGCCAGTTTCGCACGAAAAAGATGCTCAATCGAGACAGTATTTCAAATACCTGTAACAAAGGGTCAGTCACTAAATCGTCAACAAGTTTTGTGACGTCTATCTTTTCCGATTCTTGTTCCACTGCTTCAGTTATCAGCGGAAACGCGACGTCCATCACATAGTCCAGTACTTTCTTTTTATCCAGTTTTTCTAACAGTAAATTTTTACACGAAATATTTTTCAGATAAACCTAGATATTCATTGACCGCCGAGTTATTTCCGTTTTTAAGACTGTTGAGCAGCGTGTCATAAATCAAGCAGGGAATAGAAACGATCGTGCAAGTGTACGCAGAACTCGAATTTGCCAAAAGGCGAAGAAAATTAATCGCAGAATCCATTTCTCTCGCATGTTCGAATCTGATTCTCGTGAAATGCGAATCCAAAGTACGAGGAGTTGTTAAGACAATTGTAGGATTTCAATATGGAGCTTAACAATGACTGGAGTGATTACAGAACCATCACTCCGGATGCTCGTCAGGAGTATTGTCCGACTTTGGGAGTCTGACGTTTGAGAGAAGTTTCGAAACGGAGAATATATTCTTCTCTCAACGATGCGCCTTGATAATGTTCTTAAGGGGTGGTGGTCAAGAAATTTTTTCGACTTTTTAAAATTTTGATACTATTTTTAGATTCCTTGATAAAAAGGAGCATTTTTGGTCCCTAGCTTTTTGATTGGACCAACTTTCTTTAAGAAAATTTTCGATTTTATGCTATAAAATCGCCATTTTCGGCGATTTTGAAACGCGTTTTTCGCACTAAAACCAACTCAAAATTTATATTTTATTGCTAAATAATGTTAATTAATCATATTTTAATTATTATAATTTAAAAAATTACGATTATTGTGATGTTTTCCAAAATTTCATTAAAAAATGAGTGAAAATGAAGATTTTTCAGAAAACAAGATGTTTTCATTCAATTACTAGTTTCTTTTCTAACAAGGTGAACTTTGTTAAACTAAGCCGCCCACACGCTTAAGGGTTCAAACTTTCCCCGGTTAATTTTATTTTGAAAAAATGATAAGGGGATAGAGTTTTTAGGTCAAGAGATGGGTCTACTCTGAAGGAATTTTTCACCATTTTTTCGAAAAAATTTTTTCAAACATAGCCGCCCACATAAATTGGACTTATTTTTGACTTATTTTCAATTAGAGAAAAAAATTTTTTGAAAAATTGGAGTTTTTAGGTTGAAAAAGTCTTAGTCTCGACCACCACCCCTTAAAGCCCGACTTATGAAAATTTTAAAAGTGTAGATGAAAGAGCATAAAAAGATTAGTTAGTGCACAAAAATCACGATAATCGAAATAATTAAACCAGCTGAATAGTGAGAGTGAAAAAGAGCGAGAAGCGCGTGCGGACCTCGGTCGGCGGGGTAGAGTAGGATCCTTGCGCGCGCCCCTTTGACGCTATTTCTCATCCTCAGAGAATCTGATGGGATGATTATGCACCAAAATTTCTTCTTGAAAGGTATACTCAAATTTTACAGGCTTTCTTCTCGTACAATTCATTTTCTCACTTATCTGGTTGAGCTGCAATTTACTCTCAATATTTTTCTTTCTTTTGCTATCTCCTCCTAGATTATGATAAACAGGTCATTGTCACTGGTACTGTTGGAAAGGATTTTCATAGGACTTTAATAAATGGCTAAAAGATTTTCAAATTTCCGCCTCAGTCACTAATTAGGTCCATAAATGACCTATTTATAGGGCGCGCGGCGCACTCCGGGATTAAAAATCGATCATGATTCGCGAGCGAGGTGGAAATTTGAAAATCTTTTAGCCATTTATTAAAGTCCTATGAAAATCCTTTCCAACAGTACCAGTGACAATGACCTGTTTATCATAATCTAGGAGGAGATAGCAAAAGAAAGAAAAATATTGAGAGTAAATTGCAGCTCAACCAGATAAGTGAGAAAAATGAATTGTACGAGAAGAAAGCCTGTAAAATTTGAGTATACCTTTCAAGAAGAAATTTTGGTGCATAATCATTATTATAATTTATCGAGATTTTTGGGCCGTACTAAACGGCCGGTGGACATTTTCCAGGTGAGTGATTGAATTTAGCTGAAATTTATTTTCTGGGTTGATTTGAATTTCAAATTTTGTGTTTCACAAACGCGCGAAGCAAACAAATACAGACAGCTGTTTTTGGAGGCTCCATTAGGTTTTGAAGAGAAGAAATTTTCACACAATTTCGCGGCCTCGCAAATTTTATAGAGCTTTGACGATCGGTTTTGGGCGTACTCAAACAGCTTGAACCCGTAAAAGGGATTTCCTCTTGATTTCCGGAACACGATGAATCGTTTATCAAGGAAAAAATCTACAATTACAGTAATTTAACGAAGAAAGCCACACCTGCATCTTTGAAAAATATTCACGTTTCGGCGGACAAGCCAATTTTGCTCGGCTCATTGAATCAGAATTACATTCAAGGAAAAGGGGATTTTTCTTTGAACCTATTTATCTCGCCTTTGTTTTGGCTCTTTGACGGATGAGGCGACTGAATAGCCGCGGCTTAGCCCCAATTTTCATCCCTCTTTTTGTCGAAAATTGACGTCAAATGAAACAATTGGTTTCGAGCTGCGCGCGGAAATTAAACTCGTGGCGCACGCACGTGCCTTGCTCAGAGGAGAAGGCTGACTTGTTTTCAAATTTGAAAGATTCAGAGGAGTTCTAGAGCCTCTCTGGGCGATATTTGAGCACGTGGGGGATGATAAGCTTCCGTAAAATAATATTCTGAAGAAGGGCAACTCTAAAAAGGCAATCCGCAGAATTTTCTCGTGATATTCAGCCAATTTTTAAATTGATTTTTAAACTGATTGTCAATTAGGATAAAAGACAACATTTAATGATATTTGTTGCTATTTCAAAACATTTCTGGAAATTAAGGACATTCAGACATCCAAATACATTGGGGAACATTAAGGGGTGGCGGGCGCTGAGGTTATGCCATAACCAGGTTATGCATTTTCATGGATTTTGCATAACCTGGTTATGCATTCTCGATTTAAATTGGAGCAATTTGAGGCTAAATTGGTTCCAAAAGACTTAAAAACGATGTTTTCTCTAAGATCAGGCGCGAAGCGCACTTGAACTATCTGTTACATATCAATTAATATGATTTTTATTAAGAGTGCATAACCTGGTTATGCATTTGCATAACCTGGTTATGCATGCATAACCTCAGCGCCATACACCCACATTAAGGAACATGAAAGGACATCTCATGTCACATTTAAGAGCTTTCAGAAACATTCAGCGACATCGGGACATTTTTGTACAATTCACAACCGTTCCAAAATTATGCAAACGAATCTTGACCTCTGAAGCTCTTTAGAGCTCCCTTTGTTTTCACTAATTGAGCCTCTTACTTTCGAATCTTGGAATTTCATTCCCACTCACCCACTCGAAACAAACCCTCCATTAGAGGATAATTCGCGCTTCTTTCCGCGTCGGCCCCGTGTTTGATCCTTTTAACCGTATCGATTTGTTTACACTAAGACATGGGATGCAAAACATCGCCTTATACATTTTCCAACAAATATCCGAAAATCTACGCTGGTCGGTCGCCGTTTTTGATCAGTTTGGTTGGAAGAAGCGGCGACTGCTCGAGTTAATCCCTTTGAGCGCAGCCAACTGGATCAAGTGTATACTCCAGTTATCGGCGAAATGTAAGATTTCCGAAGAAACTCCTGCTTTCTTTGCTCGGTTACTTGTGTAGAAAACCTGAGTCCGGGTCTGAAAGATCTTTGATGAAAAGTCGCGTGAAAAAAATCTTTTAGACCCTGACTCAGGTTTTCTACAGAGGTTTCTCAGAAAGAGAAATGTTTTTGGCGTCTTGCCGCATGAATTCCAGTACTTTTGATAATTTCTTTATCTCGGTCAAAAGCCGTAGCTCTTATTTTTGATTTCCACTCAAAGTCGTCGCTGTAAAACCGTCAGATCTGATGCCACGGTGAATTATCTGTATATGCGTTTGTTTACAAGTACTCTTTTCTATTTTTCGCGTTGCTCTGATGCGCGCCAACTGAGCATAAAATTGGCCTCTGATTCTATTTTTCGAGAAGAGAACAAGGCAAACTCCGGTTCACGCATCATAAACCGTCTACTAAATGAGCATGCTTTGATGTTCAAAGAAGGGCTGACGATTTGTCTATTCTCAGACAAATTAAGATGCCAAAAGGCTCGCAATTTGCATAAAATTAAACAACATGATGATTAATTGTTTTTGGTATATTTGGTTGTATAAATAAGAATCTGCTGTTGAAGTTTCTTTCGGACAGGTTGGTGGGGCTACAGTAGTTTACATAAATACAGGAAATTTACATAAGATCAGTGTTTGTGTTGGAAAGAAAAAATGTGGGCTGTATCTGCTCCTTGTGTTTTTACATGTTGAATTTGCATACATCGGAAGGACTTTCCTGGGCAGATGAATTGGGAACTAAATGAAGCTATTTTTCTGGCTGAAGTACTCATTTCTTCAGGCAGAGGTTGGATTCCGGCCAGCCTTGATCTCACGCAACTCCCTAAAAAGATAGTAAGAAATTTTGAATTTTGAAAAGTTGTTTAGAAATCCGGAAAATTCGATTTCCGGGCACGGCGCCGAGGATCTGACCGCAGCCGGGCGGCTCAGCGGTCAAACTTGGCCCAGCGTAAAACAAGGTCAAAATACTTACATTAATAACTTTTCGTTTTTGAGCATCTCTTCTTTTAGAAGCTGCTGGAGTTGGGCGTTGATGTCGACTGGAGATTGAGGAGCAGCGAAGTGGGCGCAGATTTCTTTGGCGCTCGGTCGGGATTGGTAGACCGGACTCAACATTTTCAGGAGGAGGTTGTTGAGTGAATCGTCCACGCTCAAAATGCTCGGGATGCTGCCACTTCGGAGCTCGTGCCAGACCGGGCCGTTTTGAGGAAGTTCGATGAGGGAGATCGCCTCGTAGACGGACAATCCAAGTGCGAAAATATCGGCCTTGAACAAATCGGTCTTCTCGGAGTCGATCATTTCCTTGGACATGTAGCGGCAGTCGCCCTCGTTGACCGATTTTACTGTAGATTGGGTGACGTGGCCCAGGTCGCCGATTTTGTACGTCACTGGGCCCGAGTGTTTGGTTTCTGGCATCTCGAGGGTGACGACGTCGGAGAAGGAGCGGAAGATGTTTGCTGGCTTGATGTCCAGGTGGGCGAGGTCTTGCTCGTGGATGAACTCGAGCCCGGAGGAGACCTGCTTGAGGAGGTCGTTGGCCATTTCGGTAGAGAAGCCGCCAAGTCGGTGCACTCGGTGATCCTGGATCACGTCCGCCACTGAGCCGCCGTTGCAGTATTCTGACTGGATGAACATTTGGCTTTGCTCGCACCATGCTGAGAAGTACCTAACCACGTTGACGTGACCCTTGCCCAGAACGGCGAGGGCGCAGACTTCGCGGATTGCAGATGCGTCGCCATATGCGCCGCCCTTGGCTGGTTTCTTGATCTTCTTGACGGCGTAGACGCAACCGTCGAATCGGTTGACCGCTTTGTAGACAGCGCCGAATTGGCCTTGGCCGAGGAGACCTGCTTCGTGGAACTCGACTCGGTAGCGGTAAGTGGCGGCGGCGCGGAGAGAGACGCGCGTTTTCGAGGTGTTGTTTCTGTTTCCGGGAGTGAAGGGGTTCACGGTCACGCCAGGGTCGATTTTGGGAGTTCCAGAGCGAGAGGCCGAAGGAGATTGGCGCCAGCGAGGGGATTCCGTCAAACGACGAGGGGCGATTCGAGGTGTTCTTGGAGTCAGGGGAGAAGCTCCAACGCTGGTGCTTGAGCAATCCATTCCGGATTTGTCGAAAAGCGCGAGTTGTCGAAGTCGTCTGGTGCCGATTGGAGAGCAGGGCGGGCTGGACTCTGAGTCTGGGTCTTGCCCGCAGGCGCGTTTGCTGAGCGGAGAATTGGCGAAAACTCGACGACGGCGGCGGGCCATCTTCAGCGGACTGGGAGATGTTTTCAGCGGCAATGGAAGTGGCTTGTCGTCGGAGCCCGAGCCGGAACCGGATAATCCTGAATTTAATGGGTTAATTTTCGGGGAAAAAGCGAGAAATGTGACGGTGACCTTTTGCTAGCGAAAATTCACGGCCATTTTTCTTGCAACCTTTACGAGTTAATTTGCCCACTAGCGAGGGGAATTACGAGCCACTTTGTTACGGCAAGTTCTTAGCTTTCGAGCAAAAATTTTTAAGAGCCCTTTTTAGGAAATAAAAATTTTTTACGGCTCACTTGCAATGAAAAAAAAATGTTCCCGCGCCCAGAGTTCGAAATCTATGGGAGTAAAATTGGGAGCTCCCAAAGGGAGCTCCCTTTTTTGGGAGCACGGAGGGAGCAGGAGCACGGAGGGAGCAGGAGCACAGGTTTTCAGGGCTGGGAGTAAATTGGGAGCTCCCAATTTGCTCCCAATTTCAAAAATTTTTTGAAAATCAACAATTTTTAGTCTAGAATCTAATCTGCGCACCGAAAAATGAGAAACGCTAACTTTATAGTATTTTTCTTAGAAGAGACGTTTTTTTGACGTTTATTTGAATTTTTATGTTTACCCACCTTTGAAGACTTCTTTTCAAAGTAAGAAAGCCCTCAAAAGTAAATTTGGAAGAGAAAAATAGATTGAAAATTTATGACGAGTCCGTTACTTTGGCCCGCCAAAATTGAGAAAAAAATTTTAGCTTTACGAATTCAAGAGCTGTGAAGATGCGCGGATTATCCGCATTAAATTCTGGCAGCTCGCGCGAGTTTTTATATCCAGCGTTTTTATGTTTCTAAGAAAGTGAGATCATCCGTTGGGTTTTAGACTTTTTCAAAAGCGAAATTCGAAAAGGTGTTGAATATAAGCGGTCGCTTACCGGAATCTGGTGTGGAATCGACGTCAGAGTCGTCTGAATCCATGATTTTCATCAATCCATCGAGGCATTTCGCGGCGGGTTGATTCAGAAGCGGCGAAGAGCATCTTCTTTTCAGCTGACGCATCGGAGGAAGATTTATCTAGTATTTGCTGTTAGTCAAACTGAATGAAAGAATATCAGAAAAAAACAAAGATCAGCTGATGTTCTAGAGACAGAGGTCTTTTTTGAATAATCGTCGATTTGAATGTTTTTTCGTTTTGAAAAAATAGTGGTTTTGATTTGTCAGAAGACTTCATAAGCGAGTTTTTATTGGTTGAAACAATCGAACATTTTTTATTTAGTTTTACCCGTATTTGGAGTTTTTTTGTCTTTGAAAAGTTGCCAAGTTCAGGAAAGAGCTTGAAACTGTATCCGATGTTCACACTTGAGCCCTTTGTGGGATTTGATTCGGGATTATGGGCCGCGCTAATATGGACTATTGTTTGGACAAAGTGAGCTGTAAGCGGGCGAACCCAAGAAGAGAGAGCTGGAGCGGCGCCAATCCCTTCTTCAATCAAAAAACGGCGCCGATGCCATTGTGAGCGGGGCAGAGATTAGCGGCCCCAGCACTTCCGTTCTGCGCGAAAAAAGTGATTTCCGCCAATTTTAAAGAACCCCGCTACCGGATTTAGAGCAAAGTACTATTTTGTTGCAAAATTTAAATCCGCTTTCAACTTCCGAAATTCGAGAAAACGGAACATTCTCTCCTGTGCTTTCGAAATTGAGGACCAGAATCATTCGAAAAATAAAGTCTCGATTCCCCTCAATAAAAAATGCTTTTTCAGAGCACTGATAGCCCCCATTAGCCGGCTAGGATAAGGGGCCATAAAAACACACTGGGGCCACGTGATGAGGTTGAACTGATGACCGAGATTCGTACCCGCCCGCCACAATGGCGGAGAAAATCACCCTCGGTCAGCTAAATATTTGTACAAGAGGTTGATTTTGAAAGTCAATCAATCCCAAAATCGAGGATTTAAAAAATTTCTGTTTTGAGCGGACAGGGTCAATAAAACAAGGAGGAAAATGAACCCTAGCAACGAAAAACGAGGGTTTGTTTTTGCAAACAAAGGTAATAACAATATCGCACCCAGCTGAAGAAAATAAAACTGAAACATGTTCGGGAACACGTGATGCGTGAAAAAGCACAGTTCTCCGGATGTTCATCCAAATTTCCTAAAAACTTCGCTTTGGGAAAGAATTATCAATTGTGTGTCTAGCCCGGAAATTCCTCACCAAAACGGGTTGACCTAAAATTGATGTGTTTAGTACAGAAATTTGGAGTTGACCCAAATCGCTGCCACTTAGAGATTGTAACTTGTCCTACTTAGTGCCGTAGCTCCTCCAATAAATATGAACATCTATTTGATTTACGATGTGGCGATGCCACCTACTTAGTACACGGAAGTTCTATGGGTTTTTATGGGCGATAAAAATTGTTACGATTGGTGACTGAAGGGACCATGAACATCAACATTTTCTCATGGCATTTTTCAAGGAAGAAACTGGCAAAAAGAACATAATTTTTAATAGTTTCATTAAATATGACTCAATCAAGAGCATTTTAATGATAGATTTTCGGATTTTTGATTCGCCAAATATCGAGAACGAAAGCTTCTAAGTCGGCATCCACCGACAACACAAACTTGGACCTTGGCGCGAAAGTAGCAATTTATTGCATTAGTATACAAAATCTATGATAACAATTTTCACTGGCGCGGGATCAAAGAGACCGTTTTCGCCATAATCCATCGCTCAGTAGTTTTTTTCTCATTACCAAAAATGAAACTGGCGTTGGTTCAATATTTTGCCAAATAGATCATAATTTAGACTCTCTTTTTTACTAAATTTGCGTGAAAAAGTACTCGATCTGGCGGCCTCGCTAATTGACTGTTTTCTGAACTTGCGCCAAATTTTCGAATGTTTTTTGAGAGCAGAAAAAATAATGAAAAACTCGCTCTATATAATATTTAGACAGGAGTGTGACGGCTTTTTAAGGACCTGGCGATTATTCTTGTGATAAGGGTCAATTTGAAGCAAGAGGCGGCTCGTTTGAACTCGCCGATCAAATTTACAAAGTGCGTCTAAGACCGGGAGGGACAAGATAATCCGATAATTTCGCCTCCTCCCTGCATGAACAAATCTGAGCATTTTGGAAGAAAATCACATTCGCGTGAAGGATTTTCTTTGATCCCAAGCTGCAATCGATTTCAAAATTGCCACTTTCTCAGAGTTAAAGATTTTTCTATCGAATTACGTTGATAGATACTGTGGTTTTTACTTAACTATTTTACACATTTTGACATGAAAATAAGCAAAAATGATCGAAATTTCTGACAAAATTCCACTGTTTTTAAGCTTCGGAATTAATAATTATTAAGAAAAATTGATTACTCTCGTCAAAATAATAAAGAAAAAAACTATTTTTATTTAACCAAATGCTTTTTAAACTAAAAAATAAAAAATTTACCTTTTCGGGAATTGTTTTGATGAAGTTTTCCGGCTTGAAAATCTCTGTTTTGTTGCTATCAAGCATCATTATTTTCTTTTGCGTTTTTCTGTTTCTGATTTTTTTTCTTTTCAAGAAAATCTCTGTTTTTCGTATTTTTGTAAAAATATTTCTTACTGACTCAATTTGTGAAAGAATGAGAGAGGATGGTGTGTCATTTTTTAGAGATGCGCGGTCCACGTCGATGGGGGCGCGCGCGAGCCCGACGAGCAGCTTTTTTTGGCGCCAAACTCGAACTCCTGCGCCGCGCGCCATATGACTTGCGGTGGGCCGCTTGCGCAGGATTGCAGGAGACCGGATGTAGGCGAATCAAAAGGATTGCTGACGCTGGCTTCCGAACCGGATCAGAACTACGCGGTTAACTCATTCTCAAATAGTTTTCACACACTATAAAGCTCGAAAAATGAATCATTTGAGAGCGAGCAAGTTCAAATTGAACTAAGGATTATCCTGTTCCCAAAAGAAAATAATCAATTTACAAGATTCGGATTTAAAACCTAAGAATTTCAGTCTAAAGCTTTTTTCGACAAATTTAAGACCAATCAGATGCCTCCACTCGATCAAAAGACTAATCAAAAATAGTCCCAGAAATGCGAATTATTTGTCACTTTGGAAAAACTGCTAAAAAGGGCCAAACTTTTGGTCGCAACTGAGATTTTTTCTTAAAAAAACGAAACAAACAACCGCATTTTGGTTTATCATATCTCAAATTTCAGGAAAGTCAAATTTAGCTGATAAGAATCTCCAAATAGTCTGCCCCTAATTTAAACCAACTCTCAGGTTCATAGGAATCTCCCCAGGTGGCTCCAATAGAACACAGCGGGCTCCTCAATTCCAAGGTCATTTCTCAAAAGTCTCCCGCAACGAGTGTAAGCTTCCAAGAGTTAATTGAAGCTCGTTTAGCCGCTAACAAAGGGGGATGAAGAAGCAATCCCGAATCCCCGACCGGCGAAAATTTCAATTTCAAAGGCAGCTCCGGAAACAGATCCATCTCCGCGGCGAACTTGGAGTGAAATATCAAAAACGCGGGCGAATTCGGGCAGCGCCGTGTTAAAGACTCTGGATTTTCGGAAATTTTCGCCACCGACTTTGATTCTTTCAAATTTCTCAAGACGATCGATCAAAATTTAGCCCGAAAATCAACGAGATGGTGCTAAATCCACTTCAAAAACAGCTTTCGCGAGGAGGAATTCCGAACAAGTGCAAATCCCTGCGCGAACTGAGCTGGAAAACGAAGATTTCGTCGGAAAAAGAAAGATGCTGTCAGCCAGGGCTTAGCCGAAGTTTGGCCATTGATAATCTGTCTTGGCGGCTGAAAGTCAAATAGATTCACTTCCTCTGGGGAGGATCGTTTCGATGCCAAGATGAGATTTTAGCTGGAATTTTTGTGTTACCGTAGAATGTCGAGGGCGATCGGAAATAGCGTTATGGGATAATGTGGTGATTCGAAACTGCTCCCGTAAATTATGAATTCGAGGAGTATTTTTGGCAAATAGAGAGCTAGAAAATTGCTTAATTGTTAATTTACCATTGAATTTATTCAGTTCGAGGGCCTTACCAGCAGTATTTGGAGCTGGGCTCGGTCACACGTGCAGAAAACCTGAGTCAGGGTTATAGAAAAATGAAATTTTTGCGGCTTCCTTTATAGAAAACCCGCAGGTCCTTTTCGTTTCACTCTTTTGAACCCTGACTCAGGTTTTCTGCACAGGTTGCCAAGCCCAAAGTTTGAGTCTTTATTTAAATTTGTCCAGGGACAAAACAGGAAATTCTAGCGCTAGTTGAAATCACCCCTTCACTTTGGAATGAAGATAGTTTTTCGCACAGTGATTCGTTCTCGTCGGGCTGGATGCCAGGAATTCCATTGTCGTGCGCGTCTGTCAGGTGGAAGTCGAAACAAGGAGAGAAGTTAACCCAAATCGTTATAGAACGCTGGCCAAATCCTAAACGCGCCTTTGAGAAGGCTCACCTTTGTCAAGGTTGCTCGTGATATTCATTCAACCCCTTTCTTATGGCGCAGGTGTGCCGTCCTTGCCTGGCAATTTTGAACTTGCAAGAAAGTGCACCTGACCGAGAGGAGCCGATTCCGGGAGCGATGAGACTGCTGCTAATTAGAAAATGCCATTCAGTTTCTGGGAAAAGTTAATTTGGATTTTCCGTCTCGAACAGAAACATCTGTAAAAATCCGATCACACTAGGATGCGAAAAAATTCCATCCGGAAGCAAACTCTTGTGAAAATTTCCCGGGAAGAGGGCACAAAAAAAATCAGGAAATGTTGAAAAAAGGTTGATTGAACGGCAACTCGAGTAAAAAAGCGTTAATCGAATTTGTTTTCAGCGATTTTTCTTTACAAAGCACAAATTACAAACACGAAGAGGTACAAGTATACATTACACATTGGAGAAGTGAAGTGTATCCAGCTGATGGGACAGGGGATGAGTGTAAACATCCCGCTGAGTCCATCAATGGATACAGCAGGAGACCAAACAGCCACCTTGCCAGCAGTGGACTCAGCAAACAAAGCTGACCCCCGTGATGTCAAAAAGTTACCTAATTTTGAAAGCACAAATCTCCCATGAAAATCGCTCGATTCATTAGCCCCAGAAGTCAACTTCAACAGTTGAAATTCAACCTGGAGGTATACAAGGGCCTCCTGTATTCTGAAGCACGGCAAAGGTCACTCTCCATTGATTTCGATTGAAGTAATCAACAAGGTAGTCCAGGTCGGCATTTGCCCCCTTGATTTGAACAGTTGTAAACGCGGTCTGACCTAAATGGGCGCTTGAAATTCGGAGAAAAAGGAACATACCCGTTGAAAGTTCACTGAAGGAACGGAAGCGGAAATAGGCGGCCCGACTCCAATCAAGAGTGCTCACTCCGGCACTCCAGTAGCGTCTTGTAACATCGATTTCCGATGTGATTTCGCACTCTTTACAAGAACACGGGCAAAAAAGAGTGGCTAAGGATCAGTGCACCAAGTCAGGAACAGTTTTTCATAATCAGGAAGGAATTTTCATCAATTTCTCCCACAATCAATATCTTCAGTACCTCAATTTATGGGCCGTAAATTTACTTCGATTAATTCTGTTCAAAATCGTAAAAGGGTAAAATTTGGCACTGAGCAACCGATAATCGTATTTTTCACTGAAACGAGATGAAATTTCACTGCTGACTCTTTTACGAGCTTCTTATCATACTTAGCGATATCCGCTGTCATTCCCGCTCAGCGTGGAAAATCGAGATTTTCGGAAATGGCGGCTGATCCCATTTTTATCCGGATTTAAGCCCAACTTGGCGAGAAAACTTTTTGCTCAAAATTGAAGACTTCTTCTACTCGTTTATCAATAAACATAGCATCTTTGAAGAGTCAGTTATTTTTAATTCTTTCGGACACATTTCGCGCTTTGTCGGACCCATGTTCTCCAAATTTGAACTTGGCACGATTCCTCGACGCACTTGGGCCCGGATAAGTACCAAAAACGTAGACTTGGGTTAGAGTACTTATCAAAAGGCTCAATTTCTAGCGTCGAGTTGCGTCAGACGCACTCTTCAAGATTCAACAACCGAAAAAATGAAGCAAACTGTCTCTGCCAAATACGAGAGAGCCCTTCCCAAGATTATGGCTCCTGGGTCAGGGTCTGAGAGATCTTCAATAAAAAGCCGCTTCGTAAGGGGATCAAAATTGATAAAGAAGGTTTTATAAAAAGCTGGCTACGCGGCTTTTCATCAGAGTGATCTTTCAGACCCTGACTCAGGCTTTCAAGAGGGCCATGCCTGGCAGGGTTTGTAGAAATCTTTATTTGGAAGCTAAGCGTCAGATAAGAATTCTAGGGACAGAAATCAAAAGATAACGTCTCACGTTTATAAATAAATTTGCATTAATCTGGACAAATGCTGTTGCAGATAACATTTTCCTAAATAAATAATCGCCTCCTTTGATCTTTCGAAGATAATCCAGATAAGCTTCTTAGCAAAATTAAAATTGAGTGATTTTTCGCCATGGCTATTATAAGAATAACAATATTTTTTGATATTCGCCGCGCGAACTTGAAGTCCCACTTGTGGTTATTCAAGAAAATAAGGATCCTCCTCAGCAATTACTTGAGCATCGAAAACCGTCATTTCAGCCGCGATAAGGTCCGATTTAGGCGCTAATTAGGCGGAACTATCGCTATCTACCTGTCAGTACCTCCATCCGTCAAAATTGCTTTTTGCTTCTTCAGACGAAAAATTTGCGAGAATTTTCTCAACCCGCAAGGTGCACAAAAATGATTGTCAAAGATCAAATAGGCTCTCCATCTGCTTCAATTTGTCGAACTAGCCGCGGCGAGTGGTCATTACTTCGCCGAGCTGGTCGTGAAATTTCGCTACCTTTTTGCGTTTAGGGTCTCCTGTAAATAAACCTGCGGTGAAAACGAGTACTTACTAACTGATTAATTCACACATCGGCCCTGCTGTACAAACACTGCTTATCATCATCGGATAGCACCATTATCAGCATCGATATGCAAACGATCGTCCAGGTGACTTTGGCGCCGATTTTCACGGGATTTGGGTGTCAACCCTTCCGGCCGCCCGTGTTTTACACTTGACTCGCTTCTTGGAAACGCTCCAATTTCCATCTTCTCGATCCATGTTTCCAAGAAATTACGAGATTATCGGAGATGATTATATGCTTCAAATATATTTAACCAACTAAGGAACGCAACACAAAAGGTATTGACTTTCTCAAAGCCGCGAGGGTCCTTTGCGCCTGGATTGAGGTTCAAGTTTCCCATAAGCCCTTGAACCCCTTTAATCCTTTGTATAAGGACCGATCTCGCCATGGCCGACTTTCGCGAATGCTTTATTCGCTCGGCTGAGCGCGAAAAGGCCACCGAAAATGTCTCTCAGGAAGCCACCGATGTCGATAAAAAATGTTCTCGGAAAAATACACATCGGCTTATCCCAACATCTTGGAGCATTAAGCCTCACAAGGGTTTTGGAATGGCCAATTCCGGCCGTTGGGAAGCACTTAGAGCGCTCGAGTGTGATTTTTGGAAAATCCGGCTGTCGAGAAATTTCAGAGAATGAAATATTTGCATCGCTGCCAAAATTGAGGACCTTCCCAGAGACAGGGGATCGAGGGGGCTTTTGTCTGAAGTACATTGCAGAAAAATAATGGGGAATTATTGGATATTGAATTCGCTGGATGTTCTCCAGGCGACTGATCCCTCAAGGGCTCATATTTTCAAGCGCAAGCGCCAAAATATCTTATTCAAACAATCTTTTAATCATTTTGGCGGGCGATCATAAGAAAAGCAACGGTCCAAGTTTCTCCCCTAGAGAGTCACCTACAGGACTTACAAAAGATATCATTGGCGATTTGCCTAATCGACCTGAAATCGCGCGTTTTCCATCATGATCTGCGCTTCATAAACATGTCAGCAGGTTCAACTTTTCCCTATTTTTTGACAGGGACTTTCTTCGACGCCAAAAAAGATATTGGCAGGAGAGTTGACAGTCCGATTAGGAAACACTAAATATTTTCAAAGAATCCTGTCATGTCCTGGCCTGGCCAACCTTTGAAGAAAACCTAAGTCAGGGTACGGAAAGAGTAAAGCATAGCGGCTCTTGAAGAGCCTCTTCTGAAAAAAGCCACACAGCGGCTTCGCTTGTTGAAACAATTCATTGAGTTGGTAACTGTGGCTTCGCTTTTTTTAACTTCTCAATACACGGGGTCCAATCATTGGACCACGGCGACTTTGAACCCCTGTAATTCCCGTTGTACTAATCTGTTTTACCTGAGTTTTGTAATGTGAGCTGACAGGACCAAAACGAACCACTGTGTGAAATTTCGGATGAAAACTCGAAAGTGGTGGCGTTTTGCGCCACATTTCTCTATCGCTCTCTGGTTGAAATTCGGAACAGATTTTTCGATAAACAATAGTAAATCTTTAAAGAAGAAGGTTTAAGCTCTCTAACAATACATTAACGAGCTTTTTTACACAACGGAAACGTCAATTAGAGGCAAAAGTTCTGAGCGCCATTTTTCACACTATGAATTTGGCGCGCCGCGAGGGGCTGAATAAACCCTGACTCAGGTTTTCTTCCCAGGTTGTTGAGCCCTGGAAATGTCTCAAGCTCTAATGAAAAAACGAGGATTCAAGTTTATCAATTTCCAACTATTCTATCGTAATAACGAGACTATGTCGATAGGGAACCGGTGGCCACTCTTGGCCGCGATTATCAACCCTTGACCGATATTTAACGCACACCTTGGGCAACAAATCGGCGCAGAGGCGATAAGCAGGTTAAAAATCACCCCTGAAAGTGACCGAAATCGACGTTGACCGCGCACGAATAACGAGATTACAAGTCGCAGTTGTTCCGAACTTATCAATTTCCGAAACTAGTCATTTCTTGCGTTGATAATGTTTCTTGTTGATTTCGAATAATTTTAGGGGTTTGACAAAAAGAGCTAAAACGTCAGTGTATATTTCTTTATTTTCTACTGAAAAAATAAGGGTATCCAAATAATAACCTTATGAAAGTAGCCTTGTAAACAATGTTCACCCCCTTAATTGATCGATTCTCAACCTTGTTTGGCCTATTCTTCACTTTCTTCTGTCAATAGTCGCCAATTATGCAAATGATATCATATTTGTTGTCTGTCATTATACGCCGAGCGCGCACACTTACACTGTGTATCGATTTAAAAATGCCCCTGTCAACGAGATTTCGCGCGTGACCTCACTTCAAAAATTGTGTAAGGTCTTGTTTTGTGGCTAATTGGGGACGAGTTATTGTTGTTTTGGAGAGCATCCGCTGGAGCTCTTAGTTCCACAGGAATCAACATCAAGAGCGAATAACGAGCACTTCAAATTGGGGCGAGATCCACATGGATACCAAGGCCGGAAGCACACTCCGGAAAGGTGAAGATCGAGTGCCAGTTTCAAGGCCAATTCATGACAATTGCTTCATCCGTTGTTCGACTAATTGAGTCAACTTGAGCTTGAAGTTGCAGTAGAAAGACATCATAAAACGCATTCAAAGAGGTACGCACTAGAAATTTTATATTTGGAGATGAATTACAATTTTTGCATCAAAGATCGAATTTTTTTTACAGTCAAACAAATGAATAAGTTTATAAGTACAAGAGGCTACATCTGGTCTTAAATAGCAAAGATGAAAAGACCTGACTCAGGTTTTCTACGCGGGTTGCCGAGCCAAGGATGAGAATAAATTCAAGAAGAATATTAGTTAAATACTTTTTATCAAGAATATCTAAGATATTATATCTTCTTCAAGTTTTCTCCAACGAGAGAAACTCTATCAGCTGGCAGATGTTTATGGGTGAAAAGGGTGCACATAGTTGCCGTCTTATTTAGGTACACAATTATTTGTTTGGACATAAGTTGTCTCTTCACCCCTCCAGCTGGGCTGTCTATTATCGAGCCCCTTGAGTGTTAAAATTGTTCCTCGCAAAAAGGTGCTCGAAAAAATGCACCAGGTTCAAAGCGCTTCGATAACCTTGGAATTTGTTTTCTAATTATACTTTATAAACGGCTAAAATAAAGACGCAGGATCGGAGGGAGCTTTTGATCGGCGTTCTTTCCAAAATACAAAACGCTTTTCCTCCGTTCCAGGTCACGTGATCGGAAGAAAAAGGATGATAAGTTACTCGCGGCGGCTTTTGCAGTCTTTCCTCTATTGTAGTTGCTGGAATGCACACCTGTTCGGGTTTAATTAAAAGCTGAAATTCCTGAGATAATTCACGAGCCATGGCGAATACACAAAGAATTCAAGAGTGCGAGCAAATCAACGGGAGATTTTATGTTATATATTTCAGGTGTCATTTCACGATTTGGATCTCTCTCGGTTCTTTTTGGAAATCAACTACTCAGAAAATGTTAAAGAAGTTTCAAGAATTTATAACGGCTATCTTTGTTACCGCACTGCGGTAACCGCAGAACAAGTGTTTCTAAAATCAACAATACAGTATTGTCAATACTGTAAATTTGAGGGCCTACGTGATACTACCGCGAAGCCAAGGATAAGTTAGAGTCTGCATAAGACTATTAGGCTCGTCAATTGGATAACCCTAACCTGAGGCAGGGTCTTGAAAGAGCTTGAATAAGAAACCACATTTCTGAACCCTGACTGAGGTTTTTAACACGAATTGACAAGCCTAAGTCTGTTTTAGACAAAAAATTTAGAACAAACGGTAAAACCTTATTCAAGGGATTGAGTGTATATAGTGAGTCATTATTAAATCGAGATTCTTTATATATAAGCCGGGCTTATTAAGCCCAGATAAAAAAATACGCAAGAAATGAAAATGAAAATTTCTGCCCCGAAGAGATTGATTTTCGCGTCTTAAGTTGTTGTCAAAAATAAATGTCCGAAGACGACAAGTACTTAAATATTTGATGTCGCGTGGACATGACCGTAGCCCGTGGCTTTGAACTTCCGGCGGAGGACATAAGACAAGCACGCCGGAGAAGATGAAGCTGTGGTTGATCGCACATCGAGTACTCCGGCGCCGACCAAAGGCGCAACTTGTTTGCGCGGAGATGCTCAAAACTCCTGCCAAAATTTACTTTTGCCGAAATGCCTAATTTGCGCAGAATTAGGCGAAAATAAACTTGAAAGAGGAGACTCAATTTCAAAACAAGTCTCTTCTTTTTTAAACAATTCTTTATTATAATCTCGAATTCCCTTTTCAAAAAGGTTAAATTTCGATGTGCGCAGAGATTCTCTAGTTCAAGGTCTTTGGTTTACAACTTGAGGGTGTGAAAACAAGCTTTTGGAAATCTGGATTGTGGATTTTTGATCTGACGGGCAGAGACTCAATCTGTGGTTTATTAGACTTGCGGTCAGCTCAGGATAAACCCAACCAAAAAATCTGAAACTTGGATTCAGAGAAGGTCGAAGTACCGCCGTCATACATTTATTATTGAAAGTTTCATTTCTAAATTTAAATGAACTTGCGTTTTCATTTTCACCTCAAATTCTTTAACGGCCATCAAAACTTATGATTCATAAGACTTATTCTGTTAAAAAGATGTATTTCTAACGTGAGACAGGAGTGAGAAGATCTCACTGAGAACGAGAAAGATGCAGTTTATGGAGGTAATTGATTGTCGAAAACAAAATAGCAGCGAGCCTGTTCTCAGAAAAGCTTATTAGAGACTACGATTTTACGGAAATTATTTTTATGCATATTGAACTTTGGCACAGTTACGAGCCCATCTTTCTGAAATCTAACAAAAATGATAATCATTCTTGAAACCTTCTTCTCTTTCATTATTAGTCCGCGAAAGTACTTTCAGAACTCAAAAGTTTACGAAAGTACTGATTTTTTTTAATTTTCTTGAGCGCGGTGGGGGCGCTGTTCAGTTCATATCAGCAGAATGAGGATCCCACCTCGGTACCACCGCCTCGCCCAGCATGAATTTAACCCTGCCCAAGTCTGTTTTTCTAGCCCTGTCGATATGCTTTCTTCTTATCCTGCTGAAAGAAAAAGAGTACATTTTGAACTTGAAAAAAGAGAGCCACCACGAACGGGTGGAACGCCAAGAGATAAAATTTGAAACGAAGAAAGTTTTTACCACCGCCAAGAGTTCGGTTCTAGAGAACGCCACAGAAGATGATACCCTTCAAATGAAGTGGACGCCGAGTACTGACGAGTGCAAACCAGTAGGAGCGGGCGTCTTTTTTCGTTACGATGTAAAAAATTGTAAAATTGCTAAAGCAAAAGATTGTTGTTGAAAAAGCTTGTATTGCGACCTTCAGTAACACTTAGAGCTTGTTTTTGCGATTTGAGCATCAACAACTCTCATATATTTACAAAACTTTTTCGCAGCTTCTTTAAGACAAGTTCTAATCTTTAGAATCTAAAGAAGTCAATTTTTATTCTCTCAAATAAATATAGGGAATTTAAATTTTCTGAAAAGGAGAAGAATGTGCCTGAAAAAAGTGATGTTAAAGATCCCGCAAAAGACAATTTTGTATTTCTGAAAAAGCACAAAGTCGCGAGCACCACTTTCAAGGCGATTTTCCATAAATTCGCAAAATACAGACAGATTCCGATTGAACCAAGATTAATTGGACCGCAAGGTTAGGAAAAGAAAGATTAAAAAGTGCGATGTTCTGGCTTGTATTTCATAAATCCGCTGGATGTTCCGAAAATTAAATTTGAGAATTAGGGTAGCTAGAGCCGTTTGCAAATCTCTTTTGGTTATCCGAAAATTACTCATAATTTGTGGCCGACGAAGAAATTAAGTCGTTTTCAGGTGGATGTTATCCGGCGCGCATAAACGAGCACTGCTGGCCAAGACGTCACTATCATCCGGCGAATGGATTGACTTATCACTTTCGCTGGAACATAGAACAAGCTCACAAGATCTTTGATTTGAAAAACACGGCGATTTTCACGACAATCAGGAATCCAATGACGTGCTTCGAATCCGTCTACAACTATTTTTACTTCAAGCGATACGTAAGCACTCGGCATTTTAGCATCCCAGAACATTCTTCTAGTCCGAATTTTGTTGAGATTTTTTTTGTAATCCAATTTGTTTTTGACTCGGCGTAATTCTGAGAGCATTTTTTTTCGGAAAAGCTTTTTCTAACAGCTAATCTTGACCAGATTAGAGGTTTCTCGGCATAATTTTACGCTGAAAAAAGCCAAAATCTCTCACCTTAGCCACTTTTAAGGTCATGCATGGGTCCGCCTTTAATCCTCTTACCATAACGTTCTATGCACTGAATTTTCTCCAACGTTACTGTAGATCGAAATTTGTCGAATTTACATTGGCAATGCATAAATCGATCAATAGAGCATAATTTTAGCATAACATTGTTCTCACTTCAAGCTCACTTTCAGAAAAACTTGGATCACCCGTGCGATTCGCCTTGCTGGAACCGCCCGTTTTATCAATTCAACGGAAACAGACTGGGAATCTCGACCGGGGAGTTCTTGGATAATCTTCCCGAGAATTTCGACCCGAGGGCTTCGCAAAATTTTCGGGCAAAGAACTTTCAATCCTTCGAGCTCGGGCTGGACCACCTAAACGACAACCCCGCCTACATCGAATCGCAGTTAGAGCGACTGGAGACACAATTTGATCTCGTCATAATTCTCGAGCACTACATGGAGTCCATCGTGCTTCTAAAACATCGCCTCTGCGTCTCTTACGAGATTTTATACATCAAGGCGAAAAACAAGGCGAGTTATACGCCAGAGCCGCTGAGCGAAAAACAAAAGGCCAACTTCGCCGAGTTCTTCAAGCAAGATCTCGAAATGTACAGATTCTTCAACGAGACTCTTCACAAGAAAATCGACGCCTTTGGACGGGATCGAATGAGAGAGGAGATCAAAGTCGCCAAGAAAATATTCGAACGTTGCGCAGAGCTTTCCGACGGGCATAAAGACGGATGCAAAATTAAAAGGCCCGAAAGTGAACCACCGGTATGTTAGCTTCCGCAATTTTAAGTTGATAAGATCATCAGCTTCTTTTAATAAGCCGAAAAAACAGTTCGGAAAAAGCAATTCTCAATACTATATTTTTTCAATAATAAATATTTGATCTTCTTTTTTTAAAAATATTTTTCAAAAGCCCGGATACACAATTAGCTCGTTATTTTCATGAACATATACCTGCCTTCTTTATGCTCTTAAATGAAATGTCCTACGTTTTTAATAGAAATAATTAATACTTTGACGCATTTCAGAACCAGAATTAAAAACATTTTAATATTTGATGATTTTTGCAGTTTTTCAAAATGAAAACATGAAATCAACTTCTCGCCTCTTCTGGACCTTGGCGGTCTTGGTGTCGCGCACAGAAACCGCAAATTGAGGGTTCTTCGTATTTTAGAAGCGAGATAAGCTCGTCAAAAAAACTGAAATAAGGGCGGCACTTGAAATCAAACGTGCAAGCAAAAAGTCTAGCCCGTGAACCAGATTTTCCGCCGGTAAATGTAACTTTCAGGCAAATATTACGAGCGAAATCGTGAGATATCCGTCCCTGGATCCGAAAATCTACCTCAAATACATGGACGAAAACTTTGGTCACTGCTCTAATCCGTCTAGTTCTTATGGAAAAGTGAAATCGATTCACGAAACTGGAGTGCTAAACAGTACCTGTCCATTTGTAGACAAGCCAATTAAATCAAACTTTGCCGATCATATTGAAATTACGCTAGAATCGGATGTTAAATTCGACAATTCTACGGAAGAAGACTCGTAGTATTTATCAAAAATTCTAACTTGTTAAATGTGCGTTTTTGGCAGAAATTCTGATCAAGAGAAGTTTAACAATTAGAATCTAATATTATATAATATTAGTAATATTTTTAACAAAATCGATTCAATTTCACTGTAAATAAATACCGAATGATGCTGAAAAAATTCGTTGTCGACAGTTAGTAACTGCTTGCCATCAAAATTAAGCATGTGTATACAAAAAAAGAAGATTCCGAAGATTGAGATGAGAGAGCCAAACTCGATAGAAAATAAATGAGAATTTTTAGCATTCATATTTTGGTCGAGATAGCTTTTTCTAAAAACAAAAGTGATCTTGATACAGAATGATGTAATAAAAATAACCCGCTGTGCAAGAGAAAGGATTCCAAACACAGAAACACAGAAATGGTTCCAGACACAATCCCAAATAAATGCAGGTCAATATTCTGTTGATTCTCCTTTCTGAATACGTATTCAATACCTGTTGAGCACGAGTTCAACCTGCATTAACTTCTAATAACAGTTCAACCCCCATTTCGCTTTATTCGCAGGTGTCGCCCTCAAGTCAAAAAAACGCATCTACTATCTTTCTCCTTTTTCGAATTAAGAATTCTATGAGAGCAATAAATCCACAAAGTTACTTTTTCCCGCAATGTCAGGTTCTTCGAAGGTAAAAAAAAAGAAAGCCAGAATTTCTTATTTTCTTGAAATTTCTAGCTGCCAATAGATTCGTCGATAATCGGCGCAGCAGTGTTGTCATTTGCCATTCCAGTCACTTTCTACATCCAAGGGTTTCAAAAACAAGTTCCGTGAAGAATTTTTAAGCAGTGTCCAGATAGGACCGTTTCAGGTTGCATAAGAACATCGTGGTTGTTTAAATACCGGATTTGTGGTGTTTTTGGAACCCGAGAAAAGAGTCTACTGCATTTTTGAGTACCGTGATTACAGATTGTTAAGGTCAGGATTAAACCTGTATTTATGAGCTTGAACGGGGCGTAATTGAACATAACAAAAAATTAAAATATCTAAAAAGAAAAAAATTGTTCTTCCGAAGTGAAGATTCCGAATAAAACATAATCCAAAAACAGTCTCATGCGGAGACATAGCGAAATAAAGGTCAGCCTCCTCAAACAGGTAAAAAACCACTCAGCTAGTCACATAAAACATCCTTATTTTTAGCAAACTCACTCGCCATCAAAAGTTATAGCGGCCTAATCAGCTCAATGGCGAATTCGAACGTTTTCTTCATTTAGGGAGATAAAAATTGAACGCATCATGTATTTTTCTTCTTCGATGATATGTTTTAGTTTCTGTCGTTGTACTGTATATATATTTTTATCAAAGAATCCAAGAAGTTTTCCCGAAGTCCATTCTGATCCGTTCTTCATTCAATCTTCTGTATAAACATTCCGATATACTGTTTTTCAAATAAATCATTATCCAAAAATATAAGAATATACGGTATATATTATATACCTCGCATTTCAAAAAAAAAAAAATTCGCAAAATCGTCTAAAATATTGACAGAAACAAAAATGCTTTGATAACTAACTAATGAATCATTAGAAGTGATCAATCTCTGTCAGAAAAAAAACGAAAAAATGGAGCTAGAGAATGTAAATGAAAATTCTTGAAGCAAAATTGTTGGAGGAAGGAGTTCGAAGCGCTGAGGGGCAAACCGCTGCCCGGTTATTTCAAAAATTACTTGAAAGATTTCCAGCTCGAAGAGACAGTAGAGGAGTCTTCAACTCGGAAAATGGTGGTCATCAGGTCATGCGTTCAAATTTCAAAATTTAAATTTCTTTTATTTCAATTTCAGCGTTAAAATGAGAATTCTAGCGTTTTCGGAATTTTTTTTAAAATAACTAAAATTGTGTCTTCTCCGAAATTGTGAACCCGTGATCAGGCCAGGTGATCACGTGTGGCTGACCAGCCATGGCGATCAAAAACTGCCCGTTGCAATCGGCGCTCAGGACTGGCTCAGACAAGGGATCAATCAAAAATTAATTGAGCTGCTGCGAATCTCCATTATATACACGCGGCTTTATTAATTAGAAAATGTGCTCTCAGCCTCGCTAGATCAAAAAGTCAGAAGGTGGAAAGCTACTGCTCATCGACGATCAAGAAAATGGTTTTCGAAATGAATAATTCAAGTTTTTATTTAATTATTGACGAAAGTTGAACATTTTGAATTTGATAAATATTGAATCAAAAAATAGAGGGCTCTTGAAGTCAAAATTGGCATCTACTTGAAAAAATATTCAGCAGGAAGGGCATGTCCATACTATGGACAGACCTAGATATTTATAGGCAATTTCGACCTTCGAAAACCAAGGCTAAGAACATGAAGTCTGGATCGAAATCGCCAAAGCGGGCAAACAAATCAAGGAAAGAGTTTAAAAGATGAACTTTGCCTAAGAGGCAATCACAGATCCGCCCCTTCGAGGGTTTAAAAGCGGATTTAAGGATAAACCAAAGCTGTTGACTTCGTCGACACAAGGTTTATTGTTTGAACTCGGGAAAGGCGATGCATCCGACTTCGCAAAGTGGCGTGGACGATATGATCCGACTTGGAGACCTCAACGAAGCGGGCATTTTGAGGAATCTTCATCTCAGATACAAGAACAACAAAATATACACTTTCACTGGCGCGATCTTAGTCGCAGTGAACCCTTATCAAATTATAAAGGAACAAGGTCGACATTGAACAGTTTCTCCTAAGAATTACGGTAATGGAGGGGTTATAACTTGTAAGTCCCGAAGCCTAACCTAGGTGGCTACGCCCCTCGAGACCCCAAGCAAGTACTTTCAGTCCACCAACCCTAATCTTTTTTTTCGATCTTTGAAAGGGTATCTACGATCCGTCAGAAATCAAGCGATACACAAACAAGAAGATCGGAGAACTTCCCCCGCATATCTTCTCCATTGCCGACAATGGTTAGATTCAATCGACTCAATTTTAATTTTCAATCGCTCCGTTTTAGCCTACTACAATATGCAGAGGAACAATCGGGATCAATGTGTTGTGATTTCTGGAGAGTCTGGCGCAGGAACGTGTTAAAAGCAAAATAATCGTCTAAAGTAAGGGAACCTTAGTAACAAAACTATCCAAAAACGGTCAGCGGCAAGCAAGAATAGTTAACTGACAAGTGAGACATTTGGGTCAGCTTTGGGAGCACTTACTGTCAACACGCGAAACAGGAAAGACTGAATCTGCCAAATTACTGTTACAATTCTTGGCCGAAGCGTCTGGCCAGCAGAATATGGAACAAAGAATCGAAAAGCAAATCCTAGACTCGAACCCAGTTCTCGAAGCCTTTGGAAACGCGAAAACTGTTAGAAATGATAATTCATCGCGTTTTGGAAAATTTATTGAGCTGCAATTCAACAGAAGAGGGGCGATTGATTCGGCAAGGTAAAGTCAAGAAAACCTAACCTATTTTGGAGTACGGTATAAATACCGTGGATACGTCTTTTCTTCCAAATTTAAAGCCTTAGATTTACTTGTAGTAAAAAAAAATTCAGAATCGAGCAGTATCTTCTGGAAAAATCGCGTCTCGTCCGCCAGAGCGAGCAAGAACGAAACTACCACATTTTCTACTACATGTTGGCTGGAATGAGCGGCGAGGAGAAGACGCGTCTGGGCCTGACCAAACCCTCAGACTATCAATACCTCTCCCAGGACAACGTGAACAAGGCACTGTCGAACAAGTGCTACGGAAAAGGGCACGGTTCGTGTCTCTTCGTTCAGGGCCACAACGACGCTGACGAGTACCACAAGCTGATGGATGCGATGAAAACGCTGGGCTTCAAAGACGTCGAGTTGCGAGAAACGTTCAAATTGCTCGCAGCGCTTCTGCAAATTGGAAACTTCGAGTTCGAAGAAGCGATGATTGACAACCTCGATGCTTGCCATTTGATTTACAATTCCGGCGTGAAGCAAGTCTGCGCGCTGCTGGAAGTCATCGATGATGTCCTAATCAAGTCGATCACGCACCGAACTTTGAACATGAGAGGCGAAGCTGTTACCTCGCCGATGAATATGAACATGGCTAGGGACGTAAAAGATGCTCTTGTCAAGGGAATCTATGGAAGGCTTTTCGTCTGGATTGTGGAAAAGGTCAACTCTACCGTCAACAAAACTAAAGGTCTGTATTGAGGCCTATCCCAAGATTGTCCACTAGAATTCTGAAGAGCTCGTGTTCTGTATGTGTTATGTATTGTAATTACGAGACCGTAAGCCATCCGTGTTAGTATAGTGGTGAGTATTCCCGCCTGTCACGCGGGCGACCGGGGTTCGATTCCCCGACACGGAGACCTTTTTCTCTATCTCACCTTTTACCAACCCTTTAATTTAGATGGCGTCAAGCGAAAAAGAAAAGATGATCCCAACCGTGGTCACTCAATCGGTCTTCTCGATATTTTCGGCTTCGAGAACTTCGGCAAAAACTCTTTCGAGCAACTGTGCATCAACTTCGCAAATGAAAACTTGCAGCAGTTTTTCGTCCGACACGTTTTCAAAATGGAACAAGAAGAGTACGAGCGAGAAGGGATCCACTGGCGGAGCATCGAGTTCACTGATAACCAGGACATTCTGGACATGATCGCCGCCAGACCTATGAACATTTTGAGCTTGATCGATGAAGAATCTATGTTTCCGCGATCTACTGATAGAACAATGTTGATCAAGCTGTCGCGAACGCATGGAAAGAACAGGTTGTTTGAAGCTCCACGAAATCAATCAGTCTCCAGCTTCTCTATCCGGCACTTTGCTGGTACTGTTTCTTACGACACGGCTGGTTTCCTCGAGCGAAACAGAGACACATTCCACGGCGATTTGATTCAGCTCATCCGAAGCTCGAAGAACAAATTCTTGCATTTCATTTTCCACAAAGATTTGAAGAACTCTTCGATTCATCAAAAAGAGCGCCCACTCTCTGCGAACAGTTCCGAAAATCACTGGATTCGCTGATGAGAACATTGATCAAATGCCAGCCTTTCTTCGTTCGATGCGTCAAACCAAACGACATCAAGCAGCCGGGACTGTTCGATCGGGAACTGGTCTGCCAGCAGCTTCGATATTCTGGAATGATGGAGACGATCCGAATTCGGCGTCAAGGCTATCCGATGCGATACGAATTCGCTGCCTTTATTGATAGGTACCGGGTTTGTATCGGCGCGATGCCTCGCTCAGCTGTCAACCAGAACTTGAAGGAATCTGCCTCGAAGATTTGTCGGCTTATCCTCAAGGACGATGAATGGCGAGTTGGATTGACAAAGGTTTTCCTCAAGGACGAACACGATGTTGAAATGGAAGTTGGTCGAGAAAAAGCTCTCCTCAAATACGTCCTCGTTCTCCAACGAGCTATCCGGGGATGGTACGCGAAAAGAACCTTCCAGCGTCTCAAAAGATCCGTTGTCAAGATTCAAGCGCTTTGGCGAGCATACAGAGCGAGGAAAGCTTACAGAGAGATGATTCAAGGTTATGGTCGACTGCAAGCTCTCTGGAGGGCCAGAAGACTCGCTTTTAGATACAACTTTGCAAGAAAGCGTATTATCGGCTTACAGGAACGGATTGAGCTGTTTTGAGGTCAACCGACCAAAAATCCAATTGATTTTTGGATCGTAATTATGACCTTTCCTCTCATCCGTGTTAGTATAGTGGTGAGTATTCCCGCCTGTCACGCGGGCGACCGGGGTTCGATTCCCCGACACGGAGAGTTTTTCCTTATCGTTACTCAGGGTGTGATCACTTTTTGCTCAATCCCCTGAAAGGCCTACATCAGAGGACATATGATGAGAAACCACATCGTCGCCAAGCGAGATGCCATTGTCACAATTCAAGCGTACACAAGAGGAATGATCGACAGAAAGAACTATAGGAAGCTTCTGTTCCTCAGAGCTTGTGAAGAACTTCCAGCGAAGGAGAAGAAGAAAAGACTTGAGGAGTTTGAAACAGCAGAAAAGGCTACCTTACAGTCTCTGATTGAGAAAAGAAAGAGATCGCAAGTCAAGACTTCGAAGAAGAAAGACAAGGAGAGAGAAAGAGAGCAGTATCAGGGACGGTCAGAAATGAAAAATGGCATCTTATTGTGTGTCTTCCATGCTATTTTTTGACCAAAGAAAGGATTATCATTTCGAAAAAGCCGCAGCGATGATGTCTGAATCAGAATCGGAAGAAGAAGATGCAGGAAGAGCTGCAATTGTAGAGGAAGTGGAAGAAGACTTGGCTGAATACTCGTTCCATAAATTCTCCTCGACCTACTTCGTGAGCGCTTCAACGTGTAACTTTTCGAAGCGCCAAATCAGAGAACCGCTGCTTCATATTGATGATGAACACTCACGCAAAGTGGCTCTCTGCATTTGGACAACGATTCTTAGGTCAGTTAACAGATTATTTAAAGGCTCTAATTGCCCTATAAAGATTCATGGGAGAGTTACCCGAGTCCAAGTACAACAAGGCCGACATTGAGGAAATCGAAATTGTACCAGTCATGACGAAAATTTACGAAACGATGGGACTGTCCTACGCTCGAGGAAGAGGAGTGCTCGATGAGAAAGACAAGGAAAAGGAAGATAACAAGAACAAAATGATAAAAATCAAGCTTGGAAAAACAGCGACCACAGATCATGATCCTCGACGATTTGTTGACAAACCCTCGACAAATCTTGAAAAACTCCATTTTATAATAGGATCTGGTAAGAACTCGTCATTTTCTAGTCTCAAGCGGAATTTTAGGAATTCTCCGACCACATCTACGTGATGAAATCTACTGCCAAATAATGAAGCAACTCACCAATAACAGCTCGCGACCCTCTCACGCTCGAGGATGGCTTCTCATGTCTCTCTGTCTCGGTTGTTTTGCCCCGACTGAGCGGCTCACAAAAACTCTCAAGAACTTCCTTCGAAATGGCCCTGCCAGTTACGGGCCTTACTGCGAAGACAAACTTCGCCGAACACTTTTGAACGGGACCCGGCAGCAGCCCCCTAGCTGGATGGAACTTACAGCAGCAAAATCAAAGAAGCCGATCATGATTACTGTGACTTTCATGGATGGTACAACGAAGTCGCTTCTTTGTGACAGTGCAACTACTACACGAGAACTGACAAAGAGTTTATCTGACACGATTAATTTAACAGACACGTTCGGATTTTCCTTGTTCATCGCGCTTTTCGATCACGTCGAGTCTATCGGATCTGGCAACGACCACGTGATGGACGCGATCAGCAGATTCGAGCAAATCGTCAAGAAAGACGGCGCCCAGGAACGACACGCGCCCTGGAGAATCTTCTTTAGAAAAGAAATCTTTAGCCCGTGGCATAAAGCTGAAGAAGACAAGGTCGCTACTAATTTAATCTACCACCAGATTTGCCGAGGCGTTAAATTCGGCGAATACAAGTTTGATTCTGACGAGAAAATGGCGGATCTAGCGGCGAAGCAGTACTACATCGAGTTTGGCAGTGACATTTCCGGGTCGAAAGTGATGCCAGTAGTGCCACAGTGGATTCCTGATCGAGTCCTGTCAAAGAAATCTCCATCCAAGTGGGCAGCTTTGATCGTCGACCGCCACAAACAAGGAGAACACGTGCGAGGAAGATGGGAGCCAAAGATGGTAAAGGACCACATCGTCAATCGAGCTCGTTTTCACTGGTCGATTCTCTTCAGCAGATTCTACGAAGTTATGCCGATGGGAAGCGATGCCGAATCGCTGCTAGGTCCGAAAACAAAGGGGATCGTGGCGATCAACTTTGCAGGAATTATGGTCTTCACTCAATCAGAGCGACTACTGCTCAGAATCGATTTTGTCGAGCTGAGTGGAATCTCCGTCAGTAGAAACCTCGACGATGTAGCAATCGCCTTCATTGTAACGACGATCCAAGGGAAGGACTATCAATTCGGCTCTCAAAACTGCGCCGATGTCCGAGAACTTGTAACGACATTCATGGAAGGGCTGAGAACAAGATCCAAGTACGTGGTCGCGATGCAGAAAAATCCCGATAAGGTGGCAAGTGGAGAAGATGGATCGAAGTTCTTGAAGTTCAAGAAAGGCGATTTGATCATGTTGGACGAGCCGGCGGGAAATAATCTGCTGACGTCTTCGTGGGCGTCTGGAACAAACTCGACTACGGCGGAATCAGGGGATTTCCCTGCGGATTGCGTTTGGGTACTACCGACGCTAACGAAGCCTACTTCGGGGACCATTGATTTGTTCAAAATGTCGAAGTCTGAGTTGGAAAGCTTGAGCAGTCGAGCACCGCAGAATCAGGAAAAGCTTATATTTCTAGTTGCTGGACTCAAAGCTTGGTACAGTGGGTTGCGCAGGTAGTGCACTAATTGTGATTGAGGCGTTGGTGCACCCTTCGCCCGCACTTTTTCTATTGTTCTTTGTAGACTTGCTCAAAGTGATTGCATGAGTGGTGAACCCTCTGCCAGCTCTAGTTAGGGGGTAACCCTAAGGAGTGCACTACCTATTCAATCCACTGCAGTCTGGAGCTGTAATACATGATAATTGGAAATGGAAAGACTTGAGTCAGAGTCAAAGATCATTTTCGCAAGAAATTGGTCAATTTACGAAACACTCAAATTTGAGTCAAAAAAAAAACTCTAAAAGTTGGACATTCGGTTTGATTTCTTTTGGTTTGAGATATGTCTTGGTTGAAATTGTCGATGACACAGTGTGACCTAAACTCACGCTCAGAGTTGCGGCCATAGCGAGTGTCCCCTATGATTTAAGATCTCTGGGAACGAGGTTCACGGGGACTGAAACACCCGAGGCCTAGCAAAAGAGACTATGGATTGTTAAGTAATTTTAACAGTCAAAAAATACACCATTCGTTCGAAAAAAAATATAGTTATGGTCTCCGAGAATTTTACTCTCGAACTTCGCATAATTTCTTTTTATAACACTCACGACCGTATATACGTAATTTCTATAATACAAGCGAGTGACGAAAAGTTAGCTTCGAAAAGTTCAATGTAACGGACAACACGGACTGTATCTACACTTTGGAAGAATTCGCGATGGAGTTCTTCAACCCGATGCACCAGGAAACTGGCGGCGGTTTTTTCAACTTCTCCAAGAAAGAGCGCGAAATCGTCTGGGCAAAGACGCAAGAGCCTATTCGCACGTCACATTTGCGATCGGTGCCACATGACATCATCGACGCAGCGGTTATTATGTTCACGACTGTGCTCAAGTACTGCGGCGACTATCCGAGCAAGGAAGGGTTGAAATTATTTTCGAAAAACAGGATTTTATCCAGGTTTTATTTTACCCTCAAAAAAGCGACCAAAACAGGGAAACGAGCTCACAGACGCGATCTTCAACATCCCCCTGAACAGCAACGGCCTCCGAGACGAGCTGTTCGTCCAGCTGATGCGCCAACTGACCAACAATCCGATCCCCTACTCGGAAGAACGCTGCTGGGAACTGATGTGGCTCGCGTGCGGAATCTTCTCGCCGACGGAAGAAGTGATGCCCTACTTGGTCAAGTTCTTTAATTCGAGAAAAGCAGTTTACCCGATCGCCGATGAGTGCTCCATCAGACTGCAAAAGACGATTCGGGCTGGTTGCAGAAAATATCCGCCGCATTTGGTCGAAGTTGAGGCGATTCAGAATAAAACTACTCAGGATAGGCGCAATTTCGTGCTTTCCGGATTCTTCGCAAGATTTGTTTTGAACTAGTAATGAAAAAAAACGCCTTGATAGATATTTCACAAAGTGTACTTCCCAGACGACACAGATGAAGCCTTCGAAGTCGAAAGCTCTACCAAAGCGCGCGACTTCTGCCAGAACATCGCGAATAGATTGAGATTGAAGAGCAGCGAGGGATTTTCGCTCTTCGTCAAGATCTCTGAGAAAGTCATTTCCGTCAAGGAGGATAACTTCTTCTTTGACTTCGTCAGGCAGCTGACCGAGTTGCTGAGGAAAAACAAGAGGACTTTTGAGAGCCCGCAGTTAACTTATCAAGGTGCAAATTCAGAAACTAAACTCGGCAACCTGCGCGGGAAACCTGACTCAGGGTCTTAGAGATCTTTTATAAAAAAGCCGCTTTGCTCTTGCATATCCTGACTCAAGTTGTCGGGCTCAGTTCTGAAAAACAGTAAGAAAACTCTTCACCGAAATATTTTCAGTTTTCTTCATGCGAAAACTGTGGTCGATGTGCATTCCGGGCAAGGATCTGAACGCAGACTGCATCTTCCATTTCCATCAAGAACTGCCAAAGTACCTGCGCGGCTACCACAAGTGCACGAAGCTCGAGGCGGCGCAACTGGCGGCATTCGTTTACCGCGTCAAATTTGGGGAGGACAAATCTCAGTTTCCAGCGATTCCCAAAATGCTGCGCGAGCTCATTCCTCAGGACATGATCAAAGTATGCAGCCGCCTATTTATTCTCGTTTCGAATCTGTTTAGCGGACGGGACAGGACGAGTGGAAGCGCTTGATCGTCGCTGAGTTCAATAAAAATGCTGGAAAGGCGAAAGAAGACGCCAAACTGGCATTCTTGAAGGTGATCCAGAAGTGGCCGACGTTCGGCTCCGCCTTCTTCGACGTCAAACAGACCTTTGATCAGACGCTGCCGATGGCGATCATTATAGCAATTAATAAATTAGGTGGATATACTCCATTCTTGAAAAATTAAAAAATTTGGACTTTTAGGCGTCTCGTTAATCGACCCAGGATCGAAGGAAATCTTGGTTACTCATAATTTCGCGAAAATCTCGGACTGGGACTGCGGCGATAACTATTTCACCATGTCGATCGGAGCTAATCACGCTGGCTCGAAGCTCATGTGCGAGACGACTCTTGGGTAAGCATAAGTTTAGCAGAACTCGATTTATGTCGAATTCAAGGTATAAAATGGAGAACCTGCTCTCTTCCTACATCGACCAGATCCACAACAATTTGAAAAAGCAGCGCAGCCGAAAGCTTTAAAGAAAAATGTTCTCAATTGAAAATTTTCTAGCGCGAAAAGTGATTCCGTATAACTTATACCAATAAATTACTTCACATATTCAGTAAAAACGCAGTGTGAAGCAGGCATAATGTGACTTTACAGTTTTTTATGAACTGTCAGACTCTGTAATTGGCTGATACGAAGAACGCTGATCTGGGTTCAATGACCTGTGTAGAATACCTGAGTCAGGGAAGCAAAAGAACTTTCACTGACCCATTGAACTCAGAGTTGAAAATGTACAGTAGTAGGGTAGTAGCATAGTAATGTAGTAAATAACTAGGGCCGATATATATAGTTATTTTAAATAATAAAATAGTCTATATTTAACTAGATCGTAATACTACATTACTACATTCGATTTTTGAGATTGATCTATTTTGAGAACGTGGCCTTTTCTCGCTCATTTTTTTTCAAAAGAGACGTTTAATTTTTTTTGATGATAGCTACGTCTCTTTTCTGGGTTCTAAATACCCCGAGCCTTCCTCCGGAGAAGCCCTTCACTTATTCGCTGCCTATCAACGATGGGTTCCGATTCTATCAGATCTCGCAAAAGAAAAGGAACGGGTCGATCTTCTTTTCAAACAGACGCCTTCGAATTTAAATATTTGAACTGAAAACTCGCAGCGATCCCAAAAAACAGCTCTTCGCAGATTTTTTGCTGGATGATCCGCTAAACCAAAATCCGGAGAAAATTGAAGATCCAGAGCCCCGCCGAA